GAAATGTACCCTTGAGTCCCGTGACGATCCCCTCCAATCTCCCAACTACCAACAGCGGCCTTCGAGGAAAAGCGCGATCAATGGACAACATGCTTTCGGAAGCTGACAAACAAAACAGCGAAAAGACAAAGCCTTCTACATTAATCAGGGGGCTTGATGTCTGTGGAGAAAAAATAGCGAGAAAAAATAATTTTTCATCAGCTCTTTCCAGGTTATTTTTAAAACGAGGCAGTGATGTCTCTGCAGCCACTAACGATTTGGGATCCAACACTGAGATGCCAGGTGAGACTTCTAGGATTAAGAACGATGCAGGAATTCATTCACAGAGGATGATTCGTTCATCAAATCGGTCGGCAGTGCATCTGAGACCTGTTCGCGATGACGGGTTTGAAACACATGACAAAAGTAAATTGAGAAAGGCTTTTAGTCTCGATTCATTGGGCGAGCCCTCCAGAGAAGTCACTGATCACCCGGATAAAGAGGATCACGTTTATGAGACTGTCACACTTAGACGTTCTAGACCACCGCCTCCCATCCCATTCGAACCACTGGCCGACAAACGAAAGCCGAACGCTGGCAGAATTTCTGCTGAAAATACGACAACAAAACCAGACAACGATACAGGCTGGATTAAAAAAACAAATCTCAAAGCCAACAGTGCAAACTATCAAAATTTACCTGAGGAAAGAAACCTGGTAAAGGCTATTAGTTTCCATTCGAATTCACTCAGCGAGCCTTGCCGAGAAGTCACTGATCGTCCGGATGAGGACGATCACCTTTACGATATTGTTAGTCCTAAATGTTATAAAATACCACCTTCTATCCCAGACAAACCACTGTTCTTTCAAAAGTTGAAAGCTGGCGAAATTTCTGCTGAAAATACGACAAGAAAACCAGACAACGATACAGCTTCGATTAAAAAAACAAATCTCAAAGCCAACACTGCAAACTATCAAAATTTACCTGAGAAAAGTAACCCGCGAAAGGCTATTAGTTTCCATTCGAATTCACTCAGCGAGCCTTGCCGAGAAGTCACTGATCGTCCGAATGAGAACGACCCCGTTTACGATATTGTTAGTCCTAAATGTTATAAAATACCACCTTCCATCCCAGACAAACCACTGTTCCGTCAAAAGTTGAAAACTGGCGAAATTTCTACTGAAAATACGACAGCAAAACCAGACAACGATACAGCTTTGATTAAAAAAACAAATCTCGGAGCCAACAGTGCGAACTATCAAAATTTACCTGAGGAAAGTAACACGCGAAAGGCTATTAGTTTCCATTCGAATTCACTCAGCGAGCCTTGCCGAGAAGTCACTGATCGTCCGAATGAGAACGATCCCGTTTACGATATTGTTAGTCCTAAAAGTTATAAAATACCACCTTCCATCCCAGACAAACCACTGTTCCGTCAAAAGTTGAAAACTGGTGAAATTTCTACTGAAAATACGACAGCAAAACCAGACAACGATACAGCTTTGATTAAAAAAACAAATCTCGGAGCCAACAGTGCGAACTATCAAAATTTACCTGAGGAAAGTAACCCGCGAAAGGCTATTAGTTTCCATTCGAATTCACTCAGCGAGCCTTGCCGAGAAGTCACTGATCGTCCGAATGAGAACGATTCCGTTTACGATATTGTTAGTCCTAAATGTGATAAAATACCACCTTCCATCCCAGACAAACCACTGTTCCGTCAAACGTTGAAAGCTGGCGAAATTTCTGCTGAAAATACGAAAACGAAACAAGACAACAACACAGCTTTGATTAAAAAAGCAAATCTCGAAGCCAACAGCGCAGGCCAACAAAATGACAGCATTGCGGGTCCTGTGAGAGAACATCATTTCTCGCAGGAGGCGGGAGATTTTATCCCTTGTGATCAGTCTCCAGGTCCCTGCCCTGGAAGCCCAACGTCAGCGCCGATACCCGAAGATCTGTTGTGCCTGAGTGAGACTGGAGTGGGAACACTCTTGAGAAGCCTAAACATGCAATGTTTTGTAAACAGGTTTCAAGAGGAACAGATTGACGGTAAATTGTTGGTGACTTTAGACGACACAGCTTTACTTTGTTTGGGTTTAAATGCATTTCATGTGGCGAAATTGAGGGGATTTATCGGCGGCTGGCGACCAAATATCAGTGAGAATGAAACATAGGTATTTCGTTGGTTACATTTACTTTATAGTATTTGTTTAGAATGGACGAAACAGGCTTAGTCAAAACTCAGACTCAGACTGGACAGAATCAAGGGCCCTATGGCCTAAGTGGGGGTTCTGTGCAGAATATACTGCACTAGAATTAGGTTAACGGGGTACCTAAGAACATTCGCCTATAATATAGCTATCACAAGGGGGCTCTTTTAATATTTTGACCTGGGGACCCAAGATGTGGTGTTATGCCACTGCTAAACGTTAATATAATACATTATAATTTAACATTTATAGTACGCGCGTGCTAATTGGTCAAGAAGCGTGTTTCTATTTAACAATTAGACAACGAAGACGAGTTGTCTAATTGTTTTAGTATACACCCTGTACCTAGATATGTTAATTTCGAGAAAATAATCGAAACACCGCAATTACACCGAAAAATAATTTAACTAATGTAATTTTATACGGTCGCGCGAGCGAATTTTCCCCAAACGTTCACCATCACGAATAGTCAATGGTTGAGTAGCCAATCAGAATGTAGGATTTGTAATAGACAATAGTTGGGTGTATACTAAAATTGTATAGAAACACGGAAAATGTTTTCTATTTCTTAAATCGGATACATGCAGTTCGCTACATTTGGGTACAGCACAGTACAATGCGGTATAATTCTAGTGTATATCAACTCAAGACCCAGTAAGTCCGAGTTTTCTGTTTACTTCACGTCTTAGTATGCTATATTAATCACATAACGTTTAATATAGAGTCAATGATTCACGCGAGTTTTAACGTGACGCAGGACGCGTGTTTCAACCTCGAATTGCGTGCGTGGAAACATGTGAGATTACGGTTCGAAAAAGCGACCCGGTTGTATTTACATATTATTATGTATGTTGTTTTTCTCCATGGGAGGAAGTGTGATTCCTCTGTCTGCTTTCAATATCATTACGAATAATTTAGGAACTATAGGAGAGCTATATTATAATAACAACCTATCAAACTTGTAGTAGGAACGTTTATAATAACAACAATAAATCATAACAGTCATAATAGTTGGTTTTATAACAGGAGGTTTTATTCCCTTTGTCACTACGCAGTCTGTACGTCAAAATGGCGTTGCGCTCGCGTGAGATGGCGTCAGATCAAACAATATATACTGTCAGAACTAGCCTCACTTTTTACCGCCAGTTTTCGTTTTGGAGGAAAAAAATTCACGGGGACATAGCCACCGCCATCTTGGAAATACTCAATTTCAACATCATCCAACCTCTTTTGGTAAAATCAGCAGAAATAATACCTTACTTTCCCACCCCTCCCTGCCAGCATTAATTATAAGCTGGATGTTCATGTTTTGCTTTTCAAAACTTTTCAAATCATCACAGTAGGAGCCTTTAGAAATGTGGTCTTCTTTAGAAACCCTGCAGATTTAAAATCCTGGGTGGTGGGATTTTTTGGACATCATGTTTATGTTGTTAACGTGAATTATCTAGCTTTCTTACAGAACGAAGGGTTTAGTGGCTGGTAATTGCGATTTGCAATTTGCATGTGTTTTAAATGGACGCCAGAAATACGAACTTTCTTAATGCGCCCGTCCCTGAAAATCAGGTAACCCAACAAGACAACAATGTCACTGTTAAAGCCGTAATGGCGAAATTCGAAAATAATGGAATCTGGAATGAGAGTGTAACGTTGGAAGCAGCGAAAAAGACCCCAACAAAAAACACCATAGTAAAGTATTGCATTTCCGACGACAACTCTGCAATTCCCTGCTCTGAACAGCCGTCTTCTGTCGAGATACCCTCGGATCTTTCGTACCTGAGTGTGGCCGGGGTTGGTCGCCTCCTGGCAAGTGTAAATATGCCGGAATGTTGTATAGACAAGTTTCGTGAGGAACAGATCGACGGAGAGATATTGGTGACTTTAGACAAAGCAACTTTATCTTCATTGGATTTGAAAGCATTTCACGTGACAAAAATGATCAAACTTATCGAAGGTTGGCGCCCGAAGATTGTTTAAAGATAGTTATTCAACTAAACACATCAATTCAAACGTGATATTAGTTTGACATCGGTAAAACAAAGTGAAACTTTCGATCATAAACTTGGCTGACTTTTCGAAGCAAATTTTCAGCACATATTCAGTACGATTCCTCGTTATAGAAACACTGTTGTTTTCAAAGTTTTAAACTAACCCTCGATAGTGTTACTTAGGATTAAATTTAGGTAGAAATGTGTGTTAAATTTAGTCAAAAATACTTCCGCATTGCGAGTTGATTATCTCGTTGAAAAATATAGGTATATATATAGTTGCTATATTCAGTGCACTAACAGATCAGTGGTTAAGCCTTCATCAGAATAGGCAGTAAACCCACTGATTCGATAATACACTGGATAGAGTAACTATACAGATTTTCGTAGGAATAGCGGCTATGTCCAGTCTAATATCAGATCAGTGTTTGCCTTGGAAACAGTGCCCTCTATGTAAACTGAAATGATTACTCGGTCGCCATCTTTGAATCCGAATTTGGGCGCCAGTTCCATTCCTTTTTTATTGTTTATGTCTTCACGGTCGATCATCGCGCCGACAAAAACAATAGAGATTGGCACTGGTGCCATTCGGCTTCAATGACGGGGAGATAATCCAAAGAGACAACCTTCATCTATCGTTCCAGTCTTTATCGTTCACTAACAGAAACTCACCAAATCGGTGAGATTCTCACCTGAAGTTAGACGGGTTTTCTTCCGCATGCCAGTGGGAGTAAAAATAACACGGGGAATTAACCCCCCGGCCAGAATAACTATAGTTACTAGTTAATAATTGAAAATGAATTTCACTCTCAAACGATCTTACCTTCCCACGGATAAGGACAAAGTTCTTTTACACATCATCAAAAGCCTTGTCTCCTGTTCTTGGACAAAGTCGTGATCACTAAATGTAAGTTCAGAGAGTAGGAATTAACTACTGCGATATCCTTTCCTTTCCCCGCCAATCAACTAAGACGCGGTTGTATAATTTATGGCTAGCTGCTGCTGCGGGTGTTTCTACATGGAAAATGGCACAAAGTAATCTATTTTGATTTGCGTTGGAACTGACATGGGGAAAAAACTATCGTGGTTTGTGTCTGAACTACCTGAGAAAGATATCTCAAACGTGGTAGTCCAGTGTAGGCAGTATTCTACAATAAGCTGTCGCGGTTTGTGTCTGAACTATCTGAAAAAGATATCTCAAACCTGGCGGTCCAGTCTAAGTAATATTCTACAATATGCTGTCGTGGTTTGTGTCTGAACTACCTGGAAAGATATCTCAGAGTGGTGGGCCATTATGTAGCTAGCATTTCAAATTTTACTGCAACATACTGTTTTTATTACAGACTGTGCATAAAAACTACAAAGAATTCTGATTGTGCATAAAAAGCACAAAGAATCATCACCATAGTAATGGCAAAGTGCCCCCGCTATTTCAGTTTTCGATCAAAATATAATACAAACATTATAAACCTTTATCGTCAACCATAATTAAATAAAACATTCATAATTAACATTCCTATATTCCTCACGGCATTTGTTATGCAATATAAGAAGCAATATTAGTTTTGTATGATCATAACTGCCTTAAAATTCGTGCGTGCAATAAACGTTGGCTGTTTAATGGCTGATATCTGATATTTTTCAGGCAGTTCAGACAAACTATGTCATGACTTTATGCAGCCACAGTCTTATAGGATATGGTTCAACGAGGCCGAAGAATTAGCAAACAGTATAACAAGCAGGAAGTCACAGGGCTATTCTGTATTATATATTTGTTTTAAAGGTCTGTCTCGCAGCTGAAAGTATGTCTGCAAACATAGAAGATATAGTAAACACTACAGTTGCGATACTGTGTTGTAATCAACGAGAATTGGCTGCAGACGGACTGGATAAAACCGACGCAGCAAGGAACGAAGAGTACCGACAAATCATCGTTCGAGAAATCGATCAGATTAGATCGAAGCTTGAGGATACTCGACCAGAGATCTATTCTTCTGCCTGAGTTTTTTCAAGGAAGGAATATCCAGATTGTACAGTTCGCTTGAAACATCAAACGAACAAGCAGACCAACCACCACCAACGGCCTCGAAAGCCTTCGAACAAAATGAATTTGACGTCGAAGATGCAACACCAGGAACAGACAACCAGATGCCAGTCACGCATGATATGACTAAACCTGCATCTGAGATTTCTAAACTTGTCGAAAACATACAAATCGATTCAAAAAAGCATTTCAGATTGGCTGTGAAAGCTTTAAAAGAAGCAAGTAAACTTGCAAAGGAAGCGTTTCGCAACATGTCGCTCAGCACAACCGAAAGAATTGTAGCCAGCAAACTTCGCATCGCTAGCAGAATACTTGTTTGTTTACATGAGCCAACGGCAGCCGTCCAGGACTGTTTTAACTACCTGAAAGAGCTGCATGACCTGCCTGGAGTGCAAACGATGTTTTCTACGGCGCTAGAATTTCGTAATGGGATTACATCTCGCTTGCGAGGTAGTTTTTCACGCAAGAAAACCAATCTGAAGACGGAATCGATACAAGCTTTGAACGAACTACTTCTAGACTTTATCATGAAGTTCACAGACTTGAAGATTGGTCTTCTAAGCTGGCCCACATCACAGTGGCAAAACATTTTACCACCCACTGTTGGACAACCGGAGTTTGAAGCGAAGAATTGAAGAGAAAGAAACACAAGTGCCTTGGTTATGGAAGTTCGAAACGACACCTTACTGGTATGATTTTGCGCTGACCAGCAAAAGGGAGATCTTATCGACAAACGAGAAACTGGACGGTCTCGAGATTATGAGAAGAGACAGCGAGAGCAAGTTGTTCTGTACCATTCCCCCGGGAATCGCCGGTAACAATATACGTTGTATTGCAATTGACGAAGATGACAACGTTTTCATTCTCATGGAAATTCCTTCCCACAACAAAATCTGCCCGCCGCGATACACGTTATTAACTTTTGATGTTGACGGCAATGAAACGGCGGAGAAACGTCTCGATTTGATCGAGAAACAGCTGGTGAATCCACAAATGAGCCTCGCTAAAGATGGCGTGTTGGTTATCTTCTGCAAATGCGAAGGAACTGTGTACGTTTGTGATAGCACAAATGCAACGGATGATTACAAATTCCTTATTCCTTTCAAGAAGGAAAGCCCTGACGGAATGTACGACGAGTTTAGCTTGACCGTATCCGATACAAACGAAATCATTTTCACATTTTTGAAAGATATCAAGCAAAAGGTCTTCATGCTTTTCATAACAATGGACGGCACTTTGAAACGTACGCTTGAGGTACCTCGAAAAATAAACCGTGGAACGTTTTCGAAATTGAGCGTCGCCTTCAACCACGTCAACGAGACCATTCTGGTAAGCTTGTGTTGTGGAAATTCGGATAAAAACGACATGACAGTAGTTATGACTCTCACCAAAACTGGCGAATTTCTTCACGAGTTTGAGATCCTGGGATGGTATCCGCTTCTGATTTCACATCCAAAAGGGAATATCGCGTTAGTGAGTCGCGAGGAGGCATTGATGTTGCAGGTGTATTGCAAACGCACAGCCGCTGGACATACACTGAAGTAGGCAGTCCAGATAAAGACACTATGAACACGCACTTCGCACTGTATGAGTTTCGAGAAACATCCCAACATTCCAATGCCGAAACGTTTTTTTCATTAGCTATTTCAAAACGTGAGTTTTATCCACGTTTTAATAATACGAAAAGTTTTACCCATTTTCAAGTGCATGACTTTATTTATGTAGAATTATTTGTTGAGTAAGCTATAGGCTAATTTACGCTAGAGTTGTTCCTTTAATGTTTGAATTTATTAAAAAATCGTATGAGAATATTCAAACTCATTTAGTTGAAGATGGTTTTTATTTTACCTCTGTGCATGTTAAGAAAGTTCACGAATGTAAATTATGTAAAACCTGTTTGCGAAATGCATGATATCGTGCAGTTTGTGAATTTTTTTTTCAAAACTACAAAATTTTAAGTTCGAATACCCCTCCTAGAACCGTTTGATTGAAATGTGTAGATTTGACTAGTTCCGCTACCACAACCTTCGAGGGAACATTAACCAATCAAAAGCGATCAGTCTATCAGACTAACCAATCACAAGCGCTTTGCAAGAACGCATGCAATCAAATGCGATAGATCTATCAGACTAACCAATCACAAGCGCTTTGAGAGAACACAAACCAATCAAATGGGATAGGTCTATCAGACTAACCAATCACAAGCGCTTCGAAAGAACACAAACCAATCAAATGCGATAGGTCTATCAGACAAACCAATCACAAGTTCAATTAATTAGCGAGAAGTAGCGGTACTGGAAGTCAAATCTAAACCTTGCTAATGTTGGATCGGATTCTGTGCACCGCAGGCAGACATGTGTTGTGAACCAGACCCTTGGGGCGGTGGGATTTATGCACCCCCCTGCTTTACTGGGTTCAATGGTGATAATTGCATACATAGAAGTGTATGAATATAGTTTACACTTTGGTGTGCAATGCAAAACACACACTACGCTTGAAACTCACCTCACTTCAGGATTTTGAACCAACGAAACGTGCACAGGTCTAGCAGATTGCAGCAATCTTCGAACTTCACGTATTCTGTGGTCGATACTGAACCGTAGTTTGGTTGCCTGGAAATGATAATCAAACATAAAACGATAAAAATATTAAACATGCCTCGAAGAGGGATAATTAAGATGCCAATCGCTGCAAACCATGCAAGGATGAGTACTTTTCTTAATTTTTCACATTCTAGTCCAATTCAATAAACATTTTTGGTTTCAAGATGTTAAGATTATGTTATATGTTGAATTTTTTACATTGACGGCTGGTATTTGCTTTTTCTACATACCTCGCACTCAAAATTCATGCCATCGTCAATTTCTCCGCCTTCAGGAGCAGCTTTCTGGATTTGATGAAAATGATTAGGCAGTTTGCATCAAGAAACGAAGCATAATTTTCAAACTGAACTATTCCTTGTTTATATATATGACGTTCATTATCTGCCCTTAGCCGCCACCTTGTTCGACCCTACAAAGTTTCGTTCTTTCAGGAAATTCATACGAAAAGATAAATTCATAAATAAACTCAGTTCTTTCTATTTCAAAGTAATTCAACTCAATTTGCCCAGAATAAAACAAGATGGCGGCTAAATTCTGACGGAATATGACGTCATTTGAAAAGAAGAAAACTCGAAAAAGTATATATTACGGTGAAACACAATATGTTAAAACTTGGTTTTCACCCGAGTAGTTTCTTGGTTTTTAATCGCCATAAATAACCTATTTAACATACATACCGGTTGACAGCAATTGTAGAAATCACTATCGTGTTTCCTTGCTTGAGCGGCCAATTCCTCTCGACCTAAGTGATATATTTGGATGAAATTTCACACTGCAAGTAAATGCGCACTGAAGTTAGAGCGCCTAAAAAACTGAATTAACAAAATGACAACCTTGTCTCACATTGATTTACAAGCTTAAGTTATCGTAAAATCGAAATACGAATTGTTTGCAGTCAATCTCTCGAAATTTTCCCTTCCAAGTCGTCAAGAATGCCCGATTATAAAGAGGGACTCACCGATTAACGTGTAGCTTTCTTCTGGTAAATGAAACGAAGGATTATTACGACATTGATAAATCGCTTCTCTCAACGGGACACTCACACCAAACGGTAGCGCTTCCAAGTCATCTTTTGTAAAACCTTATAAAACCAACAAACCGAGAATTACATTCATTTCAATAAATACAAGCGTAGAACTATTTGTGGAGCGTAGGGTTTACCTGTTTTTGCCATAAAAAGCACCATTCTGTCGACTGGTGTGCGACACCTACAGAAAAGTGCAACAGAAGAACTCCCATCAGACGGGGTTTATTATGAAGACATTTTCCAGTCTGCACTCGCAGAAATGGGTTTATTATGTTTATACTCACTGACAGGATGATGTTATTTTCACATTTCAATACCTCAAAATCATTTAACGCTTCATTATTCATAAGCGGAATAGTTTTTATAATAGTATATTTATAATAGTATATATATTTAGTTTATAATAGTTTATATAAGTTTATTTACCTCGTGTATTCCTCACTGTTAATGTCGAATTGAGAGTTTTGGCCTAAAAAGATATATCGAGTTTTAATATAACAGATATCATGGTACGATCTCGACACAGCAGAAACGGAACCATACCTAAATTTAGTGGAATCTTGTTCAATAGGTCTTCGGGATTTTCATTGTATGTTCCATCCTTTCGAGAGATGCACAAAGAATACATCTAGAATAAACAAACAGTTTTGTCAACCAAAGTTTAACCCGTGCTTGAGTGATCAAAATCGTCGACCGTGTATGCATCTTGTCGTCTTCAAACTTCTCGGGGAGCCGAAGCGCGAGCGTTCGGAGAGCCGAAGTGCCAGCGTGCGTGCAAGCTTAGAATGTCACGAAACTGCCCCTCGCGTTTTAAAACGCTAATTTGTTCTTTAGAATAAAACGAAGTAACAATTAAGTACTGTGGAACATTCCAGAATGTAACAAAAAAATTCTAAATTGTGGCAAAGGTAATTGTTGCAAAAAATGTTGCAAGCGTGGGAAAAACACAATTAGAACCTTTCGCGTGCGAAAAGAATGTTTTTCGTCGGAAAAGAACTTTTGCTTTGGAAAAGAACGTTTTTATAGTTGGTGAACTTCAATTCAGTACGTTTGCATCTGATGAAAGTGTCCATACCATAATTATTTTGTATATTTGCTGACACACGCTCGGTATTATAGGAAATTTCTTGACCTAAAATGAGAATTGGAAACGTGTAGAAAATTATGACTATCGGGGCTTTAGTCTACGATCAGTCGTTAATGGTGTCATAGTAAGGATTTTTACTTGTCTAAATTAGTGTGTTTATTGGTGTATTCAGGGTAACCCAGAATGCTTTATAATGCAATGTTGTTTTTGCAGCCCCATCTTACATTACCTGATTTCCCTTTAAACATTCAATTAACCAGTGGTAAATATTTGGCGGGTCTTGCGTTATAAAAACTGGTGAGGACATTTGACCATTGGGGGGTTGTTCTGAAATTTGAAAGTTAAAGAAACGATATAATTTTTTTGCACCCAGTTACCAACCTAGTGGGTGAAGAAAAGATTGCTGCTACACGAGAAAACTTTATACATACTGAACAGCTCTATGTGTGTTACTACAAGAAGAAACATAAACTAAACTAATTTTAATCATACTGGATAGCTCTATCAGTTCAAGACTGTTCTTCCTAGAGGTCCAGTAATGACAATCTCTTATTGATCCAGTGTATTACAGGAGGAAACCAAACTAAACTTTATTCACATACTGAACAGCTCTATAATTTCTAAACTGTTCTTTCTAGAGGTTCCGAAAGGATTATCTCTTATTTATCCAGTGTTATTATACATCCAGTTCAAATGGACGAAACATTCTTGGTTCTTAATTCTTTTAGTAGAAAAACTAACCTGCGGGTTTTTGAGAAACGTTAGGTTCCATCGAGAACTGTGGGTATTCCTTCTTGTAATAATCCACATATTGCCCCCAACCAATAGTCCTATGAAAATGTACATTTACATTTGATTTCACAAACTTTTAATGGGGCTACAGACAGTAAACAGCCTTGATAAATAACGACAAGAAATATAAACAAGGCCAGAAAAACATTAAATAAGTTTACCAGGTTAAGTCAAAAAGAAGTCGACCCAAAATCTTTGCAGAATGCCAAGTAAGGTTGCTCAGTTTGAGATCCTGAAAATAGATCAGATAGGTTGTACTGTCAGTTGAGGATTTCTCCCGAAGAAACACTGGATAAAGTAGAGATGATCCTTACTGGACCTTTGCGAAGAACAGTTTAGAACTGATATTCAGTATAAGTAAAGTTAGTTTAGTTTATGTTTCCTTCTGTAGTAACACTGGATCAATAAGAGATGATTCTTACTGGACGTCTAGGAAGAACAGTTTAAAACTGATAGAGCTATCCAGTATAAATAAAGTTAGTTTAGTTTAGGTTTCCTCCTGTAGTAACACTGGATCAATAAGAGATGATCCTTACTTGACCTCTGAAAAGAACAGTTTAGAACTGATAGAGCTATCCAGTTAATATATATAGTGACATATGCAGTTACCTCGTGAATCAGATGTAAAACAAACACAACACTTGGTATGTTTTGGAACAGCAAAGCATTACTATCCCAGGAACTTGATGACTCAGCACTTTCTGCTTGAGGCTCCTCGTCCCGGGTAGTTGATGGTAAAGAAAAACAAGCATTGCCAAGAAACTTGAAATCTTTAGAAGCACTTTTCAAAAGAAACTGCCACGCTTCCTGTGAAAGAGAGAGAACATAATTTGGTTTTGCTAATGAAGTACGAGTGTTCTTATTTAACATTCGTAACTTTTCCACTCGTTTACATCTATCAAAAGACGGAAATCGCAGCAATTAAAGATTACAAGTATATATAAACCGTGAATAATAAACAGCGTCTCACCTCTCCTACATCTGGGCTAGTCTTACATTTCTTTGCAGGAACACTTGCGAAAGACTACGTAAACAAAAACAAGGCATTATATATACAGTAGATTGTGTATACATGCGTCCCCGTAATATCTCATGCTCACCTCTTCAGTACCTTTGTACCCCAGTAATTTCCAAAGTGCTTCACAAAAGTTCCGCCATTCCTCATCCGGGGTATAGTTGCTATTTGATCCGTCATTGGTCAGGTGGTAGTATTTTAAATATAGTTTTGCGCCAATGTCGTCAGTTAATACTTGTCGTAGCCCAGTCAGACAGGAAGAAACTAAAACAACAAAAATATAAATGCATCAGTGAGAGACGATCCTTACTGAATTTATACGAAGAATGAATGGTCAAGAAACGATAGAGCTACCCAGTGTAAATAAAGTTAGTTTAGTTTAGGTTTCCTCCTGTAGTAACACTGGATCAATAAGAGATTATCCTTACTGGACTTCTAGGAAAAACGATTTAGAACTGATAGAGCTATCCATGCAGTATAAATAAAGTTAGTTTAGTTTAGTTTTCCTCCTGTAGTAACACTGGATCAATACGAGATGATCCTTACTGAACCTCTAGGAAGAACAGATTAGAACTGATAGAGCTATCTAGTATAAATCAAGTTAGTTTAGTTTAGGTTTCCTTCTGTAGTAACACTGGATCAAAAAGAGATGGTCCTTACTGGACCTCTAGGAAGAACAGATTAGAACTGATAGAACTATACAGTATAAATAAAGTTAGTTTAGTTTAGGTTTCCTCCTGTATAGTAACACTGGATCAATAAGAGATGATGCTTACTGAACCTCTAGGAAGAACAGATTAGAACTGATAGAGCTATCTAGTATAAATCAAGTTAGTTTAGTTTAGGTTTCCTTCTGTAGTAACACTGGATCAATAAGAGATGGCCTTACTGGACCTCTAGGAAGAACAGATTAGAACTGATAGAACTATACAGTATAAATAAAGTTAGTTTAGTTTAGGTTTCCTCCTGTATAGTAACACTGGATCAATAAGAGATGGTCTTTACTGGACCTCTAGGAAGAACAGTTTAGAACTGATAGAACTATCCAGTATAAATAAAGTTAGTTTAGTTTAGGTTTCCTCCTGTAGTAACACTGGATCAATAAGAGATGATCCTTACTGGACCTCTGGGAAGAACAATAGGAACTAATGGAGGTATGCAGTATATTGCACATTATATTGAAATATAATTACACAATCCTCGCATATTCATACCTGTACTGTCTCGAGCCAGTGGTGGCAAGGTCATGCGATACATCTCGTCATTACGGAGTTGCTAACGAATGCAAAGGAACATTTGATCAATCATTCTTTACAAAACAAAAATATACTAACGACAGATTTTCTGCGATGGTAGGTATGTATAATATTCAGCTCCCATCACAGAGTAATACCTGGTATAATAGGACGTATAGGAATCTACTTACCAAAAGAACGGTACTTCCCGTCGTCTCCCTAAGACCTGAAACGTAGATCTCCTCTAAATGGCTTGATGCTGAAGTTATAAGATTGAAAACGGAATGAAACCACAGATTCTTAAGACATAAAAAAATCACACTTCTACGTTAATTTCTCCTGTTAATTTCGGTTGTTACCTCAAGGTTTAATCCCCACCATCAGATATACTAACCAAGAGTGGTATGTCAAAAACCTAGCATTGAGACACCCGGGAATATTTCTGATGCTTTGACGCGAAGGAAAAAAAATACCATACCTTTGAAAGCACTCGTAATGCTCGATCCTTGACTGGATGGTGCTTTTTGAACCGGCGAAACGAGCGTGACCTGTAAGATTTTTCGGATTCACTTCACATTCACGTGTTTATCATTGAGTCTTAAAGTCGTTTTGAAAATTACTCGCGACGTGTGAGTATCCAAGTGGAAGTTGTGTTAAAGCACACCTTGGAAGTTGTCAAAGTTCCGTGTCAAAGTTGACCACCAGGAGCCGTTGTTCAAAAGCCGGTTAGTTTAACCCAGAGTTAACTCAAATTTGCACATCAATTTTTTTAATTGCTCGTTTATGAAGTTGAACATGTTTTAATTTGCAAAGTCTTGAAACGAACAACGGTGCAGAAGCACATAAACCAAAACAGCGAAGTAAAATTTAATCCAGGGTTAGCGCTAACCCAGCTTTGAACAACCGACTCCAGGTGCTATTTGTAACACACCATACTCGCTTTTGCAATAGCTACATCTTCAAACAGTAAAAAGTATACGCACATAAAATTGTATTACATATAAAAAGTTAATATTATACCTCAGACGATATTGACATGATGGAATCGTCATTAAGATCTCCTAAACTATCTGTTCGTTTTTGCGCGATTTCATCCAGTCCAATCAGCTTAATTTCGCTGCCCTGAAAAACAACATAGCTAGGTACAGAATATTATTCTGATCGACGTCGTGATGTAATTGCCCGACAGGTTTTCTCCCAAGAATCTTTAGACACAGGCAAGTATTTTGTATTATTGCTAAAATGTTCAGACATGGGTTCTTTGGGAGAGTTGGTGTGCGAAAATTGATCATAGCAGCCATCATTCGCTTTGCTTTCATTGGCATAATTGCAAGTGCATGATGAAAATTAAACTTTATTTCATTTATAGTTATACAGCTTACCTTGTGTTTACCAGTGTACAAGACTAAACTATTCTCAGGAGTAAGAACGAGAATCATGTTGAGATCCTACAAAGATACAAACGAAAAAGATTGCTTGATCTTCAGCTTGTAAGCAAAATCTTCAGAACAGCATTGCTAGCATTCAACCGTTCAGCAATGTAAAAAATAAATGTTCTTAAAAATATAGTTAGATGCATTCAATATCATACTTGGATATTAACAGCATCAACGGCAGGAATATCAAACGTTTTTCCAAATAGGATTTGGTCTAATCTGTTTCCAACACTAAATTGTGTCAACCTAAGGATGTATTATAGTAACAGTTTTAAAGATATTGGCATATAGTTTTTTTAACAAAGTTATGGTAGTGTATTTTTACCTTAATTTTGAGATATGTGGAACAAGAAAGCAGATGTACTGAACGCCACAAACATCAGTCGTTGTGAAGGCTTTATTCGCTTGTGCCTTGTTGGAATGCCTGCGTGAATAGATAAACTCTTAACTGACAATATTTACCAACACAGGATGTAACAAGTTTTGATGATAGAGCTAACCAGCTAGTAAAACACTTGGTTAGTTATGGTTCCTCTCGTAGTAACACTGGATCAATAAGAGAAGGTACTTACTGGACCTTAAGGAAGAACAGTTCAGAACTGATAGAGCTATTCAGTGTAAATAAAGTTAGTTTAGTTTAGGTTTCCTCCTGTAGTAACACTGGATCAATAAGAGATGATACTTACTGGACCTCTAGGAAGAACAGTTTAGAACTGATAGAGCTATCCAGTATAAATAAAGTTAGCTTGTTTTAGGTTTTCTCCTGTAGGAACACTGGATCAACATGAGATGATCCTTAATCACTACACAGGCTAAGAGATGACACTCTAAACCATTTGTGAAAGATTTGAAAACTGACAAAGTTCTACAAAGTCTACCTCACAGTAGATGTTTCTTCCCAAACATGATCCAGGCATATCTCAGGCTCCAAGGGCTCTATGCAATGCCAGTAGGTATCCTCGTGAAAACTGTTCATTGTTGTCGCCGAGGACCTGAATATATCCGGAGACTGAAGAATCGATGGTGAATCGACTAAAAAGAAAGGAAATTGTTGGTGCTTCGGATATGGGATTTGTGAATTTCGGAGAAAACGCAATTCGACAGCACAGCTAGAAAGGGCATCTTAGGAAAAGTAAAACGACAAAGTTTGGTTGTGAATTAATATTAATAATACGGACGGGAATTATAACTTTCAGCTGAAAATTGCAATTTTCCCTGCCTGAAAGTGAAATATATTGTAGGCTACATATTTTCCAAAGTTTGCAGGGCCAAATTTTCGACATTTCACGACAATTTGAAACTAAACTTTGGAGTTTCGTTTATTCTGAAAGGCACTCGCCCAGCTGTGATGTTAAATTTTGTTCTTTCGGCTTAAATTAGAAATTTTCCCTTGAACAGTCTTAGGAATCACCGGGGGTGGGGGTGGGGGTAAGGGAACCCCTCTCCCCTAGGAAGGCCGCTGGCCTGGAAATACGGTCGTTCTCAAACATACCAAAACTGTGGGGAGCGGGGGATTGCAGCATCATTCTGGAGGAATGTAATCTGGAAACTTGGGGCGAGGAGACGATGTGAGGGGTGTGGGGGAATCGGTTTAAACCTTTTTCGGAGGGGGACGAGGTACGGACTTGCGAGAGGAACGAGGAGGGTGAGGCCGTCACAGAGAGACGGGAGTAGGCTGCAGGTTTCAATATGGGGGTCGGGTATGGAATTGTACGGGCGAAGGAGTCTGATAATTCACTGATTGTGCTGGGCTCTGGAAAATCCTGAAAAACGAAGAGTTTTCTTTACAACTGCTCTTAATTGTTTAAATAAAATAGATCAGCATGCAAGGAATACTACCGCAAAATAGGCAAGATATGGACTTTTGAAAGATATTTAATAGCTCAAAACTCAGCATTGAAATAAAATAGCTCCTTCATACAAAAAATAATACAAAAAATGTTGACATGAACTTTGTCAGACTTTTATGTCAAACATGTTTCAATTGATAAATGTGTACCAGCACCAGCAGTAATGCCAAGAGTCTGTACCAAGCCTTTCTAGGTCATTTGATAAAAAAAAACAAAACCAGTGCACAAAGAAATAAAGAGTGTACCTCTTTCTTTGCATCCCGTACAAGCCAAAGAGAGTGCCCTCCGACGAAGGAATCGTACGTAAGAAGAAGTGGAGGATTGTTACAACTGAAGATAACATGCAGTGTTGATTCAGACATGTAGGAAGGTTTACCTGAAGATGCAAAAAAAACCCTTTTATCTGCATGCAGAACTACAAGGATTTGAAAAATGTTTGAAGCTTGAAATGACAGTAGCATCAATGCAAAGCTAAATTTACCTCCATATCGAATAACAACAGGTCTGGGCTCATCTAACGCACCCAGGAGGCTGAATAATGTTGGGATCTTTTTACTAAAAAGGAAATCAAAATGAAAAACCTTAAGTAAACTTTTAAATAGTAAAACCTTTGGGCTTTTGGGTTTTGAAGACAAAGTATGCTCAATACTTCAATTTATAAAATGCGATTATGATGACACTACAATTGCATAATAGGAACACATATGAACCTTTTCTGCTGTTCTGTGTCCGGCTGTGAAATGTTTCGTTCCAAAATTAAACCACCGGGAATTGACAGAATATTGCAAACCTAACAGTCAAAGCATTTACACATTTCACTATATGTATATTTACATAAAACAAATCCCTAAAGACAAAGGATTCTAACCAACAAACACGGCCAACTAACTTTAAAAGGCAAGGTACAAGATTCAACACTCCCATCTTCTGAAAATGCTTTGATCAAATCCTCCTCAACCACACATAGACTTCGTTTTCGAGCTAAGGGTATTGAAGTTATCGTAAAAAAATAGCATAAAAAATTACTAAATACAACATATGATACAACAGTTAAGGCATGTATATCTTGCCTGTTTGCCAACAAGTAAAAATATCAAGGGAGTTGGCTAGTGGAAAGCAGAGCCACTCAAAACACGAAATGTGCAAATAGCCATTAGTATACTAATGGGATGGGTCTATCTTGTCCATTTTTTGTTAGAATGAGACAAGTAAAAATCATACCATTATTGTTCGAATTACTGCCAGATTCTGGTTTTCCAAAAGTGCACCATACAACATTAGTTATTGGAGTATCCACCGTAAAAGACTTCTGTAAGACCTTAGATTCACCAGAGCCATGACTCCATATGGCTGTGCAACCACTTACATAGACCTGTCAAAACCATATGAACATAACTACAATGTGTGTAACTGCAAAATATTCAAGATTATTTTTCAAGTGATGTATAGATCTATATAGTGCACTATTCAGATCGACATATTTTTTAAGTACCTCATCTTCAATGTTGCCATCTTCACGTTTTGTCAGCTGCCAAAACTCCAGCTAAAGTAGAATAATGCAAACAGACTTGGACAAGAAAAGATCTGAGGTCAAGGGTTCAAACGGCCAGTATTTACACCTAGACAGACTGTTTAGTGTTTGGAGCTCTCGCAGTCTCGCCAAATAAATTACTATATTTAAACGCGAACAGATCGGCAGTTTTAACCAGTTTTTAAACACGGTTCACTATATATACATATGGGCTACAGATTGAGATAAGAAATAACGGTGCAGAAAACTTCATTTCAGAGGCCTCTGGAACTACACACGTGGAGAGCCTTAACTTGAAAGCACCATTTATTACCATCTATATTTGTACATTCCTACTTGAAAAAGCATCAAATTTTCTTTGCATAGTATAAAAAGATCAACACTAGACATGAACTACACAATGCGTACATCCGATCGGCAATAACTCACCAATTTTTTTGACTTGCCAATATTCTGCGTTGGAAATATTCCATCATGTTGTTCGATATTCGACACGCGCGGTCTTAATTTGGCTAGTTTTCTTCCGTGCGGCGAAAACTGGCGCAAATTTCTCACTTCAATCATTAAAAAGAAGTTTCAACTTCAATCCTTATCAACTTTTTTCTGCGATCGCTCTTTCATCAAGAATGAACTACTGCGAAAAGTACAAAATATTTCCTAAAACGAACAAAATTTTGTTACATTTTACTTTGTTGTTTTGGTTTCACAAATTCGCGGGATGAGCCTGTTTACACAGGACCGCTTTGCCTAAACTTCAAGTAAGTAAGGCATTTTCTGTTTATACCTTAGGGGCTAGTTGTATCCTAGTTAACTCAAGAAATACACGACTTTTATTGCTTATTGGCCAATTCTGTCCTTAACTACAGTTAAAAGTTCACTAGGAAAGAGTCCAAGACAATGTGCGTCATAAGATAAAACTTTCTGTAATTCAAATTTACAAATTTTCTTCATTATTCTTTCTTTATAATAACCTTAACTAAAGACCTTAAAACCTTATTAAACTAAAGCCTGTTTACACGATCTAAATTTGTCGGATTCAATTCACCTCTGATGGATGTTTTATAGTCTGTAGGCTTGGAATGTATATGAGCATCAAATCAACTAAAGACAATGCAGTACCACTACCACTATATCACTACCAGACAACATTCCATACATCAGAAGTTATTCGGATCCAACAAAATTGGATCGTGTAGACAGATCTTTACATCATCTACAAGCTATAAATAACGAAATACATGAGACCAATTTACTATCAACTGTGAAATTGACTAAGGTTTAAACAATTCCTGTCTTTAACAGAGTACAAACCAATCAATATCATACCATCCAAAACACTGATACTGCAGAAGTCCTGAATCAAGTTAGCGATTATTACTACGATTAGCCTAAGTATAGATTAGACTATAGATGTAAATCTCAATCCGTGTAATCCCGCTATTGATAAGGTGAAACAAAAATAGGAGGAATACAGACTAAATTTTGATTCAAGCAATGAAGAATGGAACCGAACACTACAGCTAAAAGAAAAAGCATTTTAGACTGAGTAAACACACTAAGCTTGGTTGAAAAATATAGCTGACTTTCGGCACAGAAATGGTTATTTATTACCGCCCGTAATTGCAGTTTGATTCATTCCAAGCTGGTCTATATATGTAGCTGTAGTGTTAGAATTCATTCAAAATTTCGCAGATAGCTTTAATCAATCATCACATGAGCAAATTTCTTTTTCAGGTTTTCTTCGATGTAAAAAAGCATTCAAACATTTGTCTAAATTCATTTACTATATCAAACTTTTTCATTGACAACTGCTTATAATTCAACGAAATTTTATTTTGTGAAGATAGCCGGGGTCTTGTTATTATTGGAATATTGGACTGCAATTTAATCAGTCACAAAGGAGTAAGAGACTATACGAACCGACTTAGAAAACTCAGCAGACAGACTCATACAACGGTCTTGGAAATCACCGAAAAACTAAGAAGTTTTCAATGCCACAGTAGGACTCTGCCAGTTGCTTGCCAAGAGGCGTCGGGTCTGAGAATGCCAGCAGTTCTTTTGCGACCACCCCACCAAACATGAAGTCATTCCTAAGATAATGAAAGAGTTGTTTATTATGAACCCAGTTCATTTACATTTGATTCGGCACGAGAAAAGTTTGACGTCTGAATTGAGCCTAAAAGTCGTCGAAATTCAATGGGCTAAAATATACTTTTGCCTGAAATTAATGGAGCAATCTGACTCGGTATACTGATTTAGTCTCAAAGATGGTGGGCTTTGGCAGCCAAGTTAACGCTCCAGTTTAGTTTCATTAGAGTTCAGCGCTACCAGCACTACTATCACCGTCGTCATACCTATATATGGTCATACCTGACACAGTCCAAGATCCTTGTGGCAATTTTTTTTCTTCTATATTGTTGTAGTACCCAGACCCTGCTTATACCACATTGAGCACGGACAGGAGCGGTGCTAAACACGAGAATAAAATGACGCCGCTTACACTTGCAATTTTTGCTTCAATTTTATGATGCGATTTTCCACTTTTAACAGTGGGAAAAAACGGATAAATGACTAATGTTCAAATAGATGCACTTTTACATCAAAGCACTCAGAAATATCCGGGTTTATTGCATCTATTAAGAGAATAATGTCGCACCCAAAATCTTGAAAGTGTAAACAAGACTTTAAAACGCTGGCTACCAGCGATACTTCTTTAGCAATCATGATATTATCAGTGAACTTAAACATTCCTAGATAATTACTCTCTACGTCTGTCTCAAACTTTCAAAAAACTACCAGAAAACTACTAAATTTGGCTTCAAAGATGGCGGCCAGGTTAGCGTTCCAGGTTTTAAATTATTACAGTTCACTGGATATGACGCCATTACCTGCAGCACCAGGCTCCTTGTTCTGTTACCTCAAACTTGTCCCCTTGTGTAGAACACGGCAAGAGAGGAAACGCCTGAAAATTTTCAACAAAAACATTTAATGTTTTCCCGCCAACTCCTTTGTTCACACAAAACTGACGCAAGGTAAAATACGGAAAATGGGTGAATTTCTACATCGATTTTTAGTTGCTGTAAGTTCGCCTTAATCCTGACCCTAGCCCCATCTTCTTTTGATGTAAAAACGTGAGTTATACCTCTTGAATAAGCACAGCGATCACACATCCAACAACCTTTTTGTCCGCAATAAATAAGTAGGTCTGTAAAATGATTGTAATAAATATTTTAAGCCTTTGACAAACACGGTTTCAACTTTAAAATGTAAACAAAATCAGAACGAGAATAGAATCCTGGGGCCAGTTGTATCAAGCCCGTTTAGCTTAAACGGTGGTTAAGTTCAAAATAAAAAGCAAGTCGATCGTTTTATTCAAGAAGAATACTAAATGTTTTTAAGCTTAATACAAAGATACTATTTACAACTACATATTCAGTGCATAATATTGAAGGTGACTCATTCAAGAGAGATGTAAGAGTGTTATTTTATTTTGACTTATCCACCGTTTAAGCTAAACGGGCTTGATAGAACCTGCCCCTGAATACTGCTTGCCCAATTGTACCTTGGAGTCATTCATCCTGAGTGAGGTCTCTGATGAAAAGCCGAGTTCGTCATCAACGACAGTCAAAACAGTAGCAACCTGATACAGTATAAAGAACATTGTTAATACAAGTGGTTCGTGGTAATTTGCCTTCTCTGAACATAAAATAATCTTGGAGAGTGGTTTAACTAAAGAAACAACACACTCTTCATTGATTTGTGCCGACAGAAAGTTGTACTAACTCATTGCAAAGCAACTGACCTTTTTTAAATGCGATTGTGGGTCCTGAGGTAAAATAACTATGACACGGCCGTCCTCGAAATGTTCAACAACACGTTCCGTCTTCCAGCCCTGAAAAAACATCACAAATTTAACACCGGGTAAGCGATTAGTGATGCACTAAAACATAAACTACACCCCATTAATTAACGAATTACACATCACAAATCAGTTTAACACTGTAAATTACACGCTATAAACTCCTCGCTATGAAAAACGCACGTCAAATTACACATCATAAAAGACACATCACAATAAATAACAAATTTCAAAAAGCCGGTACTTTAAAGCGAAGTCCAGAGACGATTTTATGATGAAATTTAACATGATAAGCCTCGTCTTCGGGCTGAGCGATCGTGTACACCATATTGCATGTGGGACAAGTTACGTGACCAAAGTTCTTTTGCCCAAGATCCTAAAAAGAGGTCAATATCCTCTCGTTTAAAAAGATTTAAGTTTGACCAGTAGTTTCGAACCCTATACCAGGCTCCTGACAAAAAAGGCAAGCATGCAAAGGCAAGCATGCATTAATTCAATGCATATGAAAAGACTTTACGATTTACGGTCCGAAAACAATCCTTAAAAAATCGTTACCAGAAACATTTGTTCTTTCTTGTTGGTCACTGGAGAATTTGATGGCGAAGTAATTTTCCTAAAACGAAATACATAAGGGTAAAAATTTATGTCTCCTGGAGATGATCCTTCCTGGACCTCTAGGAAGAACATTTTAGAACTGATAGAACTATCCAGTATAAATAAAGTTAGTTTAGTTTAGGTTTCCTCTTGTAGTAACACTGGATCAATAAGAGATGATCCTTCCTGGACCACTAGGAAGAACATTTTAAAACTGATAGAACTATCTAGTATAAAAAAGTTAGTTTAGTTTAGGTTTCCTCTTGTAGTAACACTGGATCAATAAGAGATGATCCATACTGGACCTCTAGGAAGAACAGTTTAGAACTGATAGAGCTATCCAGTATAAATAAAGTTAGTTTAGTTTAGGTTTCCTCCTGTAGTAACACTGGATCAATAAGAGATGATCCTTACTGTACCTCTAGGAAGAACAGTTTAGAACTGATAGAGCTATCCAGTATTGGAAATTGGAGATATTCGTCAGTTTTATCAATTGCCCACTGTTAAATAAGATATCACTTGCCTTCCTTTACCGTTTCGCCTCCCTTTCTTGTCAGAAATCGGCGACATATTGCTACTCTTCAAAGACACGCTAGAACCGCTCTTTCTGAGTGGCGTAAAGTACTTTGTAATGCTACTCTGAGACTCTGGTGAAACAGATTTACTCTTCAACGATCCAGAACATCCTGTGGATGAGCTGCTTGAACTAAACAACAAAGGACTCGACTCTACACTTGAACAACCAACTGTTTCTTGAGAAGACAGCTCGCCTAAGATCCTAAACGGCTCGTGAAAGCCCGAATCTTTCAGCCTTTCGTTCGCTGTGGATTTTCGTGACTTTTCTACGATAACAAAAGCGTCTAAAGATCCATTCTTCTTCCGAATTACTTGACGCTTCCTGCCCTCGGAGGAGTTTGTTTTAAAACTGTCTATGCTTTGGCAAGATGAACTTTGGGACACTAATATATCATTTTCAGTTTTTTTTGCTGTTCTGTACATCTTATTTTTATCATTTTTAAAACCAAAATCATCTTCCGACGGTGAATCAAACAATTTCATTTCCTCATTCAAAATATTATCATTTGTTTGCTGTGAACTTTTCGATTCTGTATCGTTTTGGCCATTTTCATCTAAGCTATTCTCACTTTGAGTTATTGAAATTGGGCTGCCAAATATACCATTTTCCGATTCTCCTCTGAAAACCTCATCATTTTCACCAGATGAATTGTTACCTTTTTCTACTGTTGAATCACTCTGACACTGAGAAACTGAACTTGCACATTCAAATATTTCATTATCAGACAGTTTCTCATCAACAAGGTCACCTAAAATATCACATTTACTTTCCTTGCATCTGTCAAAAATCCGTTTGTCTTTGACTTTATCGCCTGTTTGACTTTCTTCAAGTGTTATAGTATCACTTTGCCCACTCTTTGAACAAGTACTCAAATCATTTCCATCAACAACATTTAACTTTTCAATCTTTGAAAGATTTTCCTCCCCCTGTCCACCCAGCTTGTTTTTAACACCTGTCTCAGCACAGAATTGATTCTGGGTTGAGTCTTCTCCAGCTTCCTCAATATTCTTATTCAAGTCCAGTCTGATCTTTTTACAACAGTTAGTTTGCCCAATGCCCTCTCCACCCATTTCAGCCAAAGTTCGTTTTCCAGTCGGTAAATCTGTCACACCATTACTTTCCTTATTTCCAAGTTCTTTAAACTCTGAAACAGTTTTTCTTTTACACTTTTGTCTTTTTACACAAGTACTCATTTTAGACATTGGCAATTTATTTGTCTTTTTTCCCTTTAGTATTTGTGCAGGTTTATTTCTTCTTGTACTCCCACCAGTGGATTGATTTGGTGGATCTTTGGAATGTAATAGTAAAGGTCTTGTTTTTATACGATTGGGAAAGGTATTTAGTTTTGTTTGATTGTAGAATGTTGATGTTCTAATCCCAGTTTCGCCATTGCTTGACAGCACTGCAATTTTGCTCATCCTATATTAGAATGATATCAATTATAATAAACTGTAAACACTGGAAACAGAAATTAGGCCCACTGGAAACTACCCTTAGTTTATATATTATAGTTTTGTTGTATATACAAGACTTTTACCGGTACTCTACTTGATCATTCTTAAAAGTAATTTACACCAGCTTTGAGCAGCTTTTTAACCCAAGACAAACACTAGTCTGAGGCAATGCCACTAATTGACAGTACTCTTCTACTGTTGAGTAGATCATCTGGTATCTGTCTAACTTTTATATAGATGTAGTACATTGCAAGCCACTTAAGGACAATATGAAAAATCGTTAGGAGACGTGTAGATTCTGATGATGATTCCTTAAGTCCAAATCTTATACGACATAAATTGGTACGTATTTATGAGGAAAGTACACTTTAATACTAGAGATGTCTCATATTCAGTAACTTTAATAATTACAATTAATGCAGAAGGACGATGGAAAGTTATATCTATATACCTACCGAGATAATTTATAATCAACCTGAAATCCCTCCTTAACCGCAAAGTTTCAGATCGTTCGTTTAAGAGCTCAAATCTCTCGCTAGAAGCATTCGATTTACATTTATGCATTCATCGTATTTTGATAGAATATCAGACATGTTCCCAATACATGTTCCATTTCACGCACTTTGGAAACAACGATTTCGGGGGGCCTGTGTTCCAGCCACTGGGCTCTACTATAATTCTGGACGACCTGCCCTCAATCATAGATATGGTACGTAATAGTTCCATGCATCGTCCATGGAATGGGTAAGAAATACGAAAAATAATTGACTTACAACCGACTTACTTCAAACTGACTTACAAAGAATATTGCAGCATATTCACTAGTAAGAAATGTCACCAGTTGGTGCATCACTTTTTTATCGACAAAAATTCCCACAGTGAAATGCATTTCGATATTTTATTTGCACAAATACATATTTTTTGCTCTGTTTTTTAATTTCATAGCATATATTTTTAGCATATAAGCTTATACAATCTTCCAGCTAATTTGGCTGCGGTGGCCCCTTTTGAGAGGAGAGCCCTATATGTTGGACTGCTGTTGACCGATTTTCAATGATTCTCGGAAAATACGATTTACAACAAGCATTTTGCATCATCGTAGAGGATGTTGAACCATATTTTGTCTCGTTTAAACGGGTTATTTTTTAACCCCAAAAAAATGCTACCACCAAAATTAGTTTATACCTATACAAAAAATACTCCTAAGCATTCGCCATCACTTGGGTGTGAAAGAAATAAAAACTTATAATGGTTTTATGGTAATCTTTAGCCCAGGAGTTTTTCCCGCGCTTTTAGAATGGCAGTCTTTTTGGAAACTATATTAAAGATCTGAGATGAACCGCCACCTTTAGCATATTTTACGATACTGCCATCTATCTATCTAGAACACGAGACGTCGGATTCGCCTGCACGTTTTTCCTACACGTGACCACGAACTTTTCAAGCGGTAGCACGGAATATCTTCTCGTTAAACGCACGACACATTGTCCGCTTCGCTAGGACAGTGCAACTCCTGCGGCTGTGAAATACTTCTCGAGACATGCTAAAGCATCTGGTGGTAAACTGGATTTTATCATCGGTGTAACCTAGGAATGGTAAAGGCCCTGTTACACGGTGCAATTTTTCCAGCAACTTGCAATGCGATTCCTCTTTTGAGAGATGTAAATTTGGTAACTACCAAACTTTTGTCTTTATTACACTCCATGGCGTTTCTTACACTTACATATGAAGACTCTTCACTAATTTACACCTCTTAAAAGTAGAATTGGATTACAAGTTGCAAGAAAAATTGCACCGTGTAACATGGCCTTAAAGGTCGACTCCAATAAACATTGTTAAAGCTGCCCCTATAGGTTACTCAGAGCTTGCAGCTTTGAGATTACGGTTTGAAATCTACAGTACAAAACGAACTGATTAACATTTGAGAACTGCTGTCAGTTATTCCTTAAGAAACACAGACAAAACCTTACTTTTCCTGGGTGAGCAGTTGAGAGTTTATTTAAACATTGCGCAAGATAGATCTTTGCATCAGGAATTGTAGTTGAAAAAGGATCGTGATCTGTTGAGCCAGCAAAGGCCAGTTGACAGTAAGCTGCTTGATAACCTTAAAACAGAAGTTGAGGACATTTCACACTACTGAACTCTCTTTCGTAGCCTGGATGTTTTGTTCAACATTGACCAATCAAAACATACCAGGCGTGTCTTCTATTTCAATAAAGTGTTCGTCATCAGGCGTGGACGTGTCTTCAGGTAATTCAAACACCTTAAGGAGCGCAGTCAACAGAGGCGCCCTAGATGAAAACATGAAGATACTCGTGAGACTTGACGAGAAAGTCTGCGCTGTGACGTAGTCGTGTTCCTGATTGGTCAAGAAAACGCCAATCAGAAGCAAACACGTCAAAACGCATACTGGTTTGCCCGCGAAATATATGCTTAAAATATTTAAGAGAAGAGACAAAGTTTGAAACTCTACAACAACGTTTTGCAACAGAGATTTGCTTTCTCGGTAATCTGCTTACTGCAAGCAGCTAACAATTACACAGGTGGAAACACAACCCGTACTTCCCTATATGACTGGAACAACTATATTTCGAACGGTTACAAATCCAGCTTTGACGAATTATATCAGCATGGCTACAATTCACGTTATAATATAGCTACTAACCAGCAGTTATTATACTCCGACAACATGACCGGACATTGTGTTAAAATATTTGTAATGCCAACGGCACATATCTTTCGCTCTGTATTGCCAGAAACCTATAAACAACCACGCACAGGTTTTGAACAAAAACAATCACAAGAATAGCGACGACAAAGTTGAAAACAAATGTATATACTTACTTTCTGGACTTCAGCGATGAATAATTTTTCCAAAACCATCCCGAACAATCTAAAAGCGTTATTTAACAAAGTGAGAATCGTTTTTCGTAAACAATTTCAATCAGTGAAACTAATCCATTCCTTACTTTTTCTGCAGCGAATCAACGATTTCTGCCAATGTGGCAGCGCCATACTTGGTCGCGTATAAAGAGAGAAAAACCAACAAGCCTACAAGGTTTATCAAAGAAAAATATATTTCAATTCTTCAAGACGTTAAGGGTCAAATCAGTTTATATTATTAACATCAGTAATTTAACTCAGAATTACGAAACGAAATTCTGTAATCTGTATCTTTTTCCGCGCAAAACCTGAATATAATTTTTGCAAGAATATATTTTTTGCATTTAACAACATTTTCCAATGAATTTTGACATTTTACTTATTCAAAAACGCTCTTTCTGGCTGTGGTGTTAAATTTTAATCTTCTTCGCCTAGAAAAGCCTTACATGATCGAATTTTACCTTACCTTTTACATACTTAGTGGTCTTTGAACTGCTTAATCTTTGAAACAATAATATAAATATCTGTTGCATATGTCTCGCCAAAGCTGATCTGAGAGAAATAAAAATTGTACAAATCAAAGGGGCGACTAAGGAAAATTTCCCACCCACACAAGTTATGAAATCTTTTGAGTATTATTTAGTATATCGAGTATGTAAGTTTTGAAGCGTTATAAGCCAGTCATAATGAGGTGTATGTCCGTAATGACGTGTATAGCGGTTATGTTTAACGGTCTAAATTAGTTCTCCATGCAATATCAGAAAGAATAATAGGCCAAGGATAACTATTATCTCAATTGAAAACACTTTCCATTTCTACCGACAACTAGAAACGTATAGCATCTCTTTGGGCATCTCAAAAAAGTCACTCAAATTTACGCCGGCCGATTCAACATGGCCGCCAATGATCTCAATTAATGGTCCAGTTTTGTACAGATCAGTGGTTTTCGCCCAAGGACTTACTGATCCACGGTTTCCACCAAAGTGTTTAATATGTAAAATCCTTCATGGTCGTTTGTCTTGGAGGCAATCAGCTTTTGAAACACTCCTAACAATCCTCCCTGAAATCAAAGCCGAATGAAATTTGAAATGTGTTCGATCGTGGCATATAGAAGGTTTAATTTAGGTTTTCCCTTGTAGTAGCCATGGATGAACAAGGGAGAGGAAAGGGTCATATGAATGAGGTAGGAATAAAACATTAGCAATACCAGTCTGTGTTCATCTGTAACCATTCCTGGAGCTTTCTTGATATAGGCTTGAAGAAGTCGAACCATTGGAGGAATATTACCTGGTGGATACATAGTGAGTTAACATAGAAATTTGCGTAAAAAATACTTTCAATTAACAACTGCTGTTTCCTGGTGAAGAAGCTCGTGCAATCTCACCTTGTCTCTCCCAAGGGGCGGCTGAGAGTAAGAAAGGAAAGAGGCCCAAATGCGACGCTGGTACTTCATCTTTTCGAAGCTCCAGGAGAAGGGACAAGACTTGAAAGACATAGGGAAGAAACTCTGCAAAAAAGGTTTGAAAAACATTTACAACTGAAGGGAAATCGAAGGTTTAGTTTCCCCTGTAGTAACACTGGATCAATAGGAGATGATCCTTATTCGACGTCTGGGGAGGATTACGTTGCTTCCCACGATGATAACCATGAAAGGGAAATTTTAAAAGCCGAAGAAGATAGCATTATAAAGCAGATATTGCTCCTATGTACCTGTAACATCACGTTGAATAATTTCGGTAAATATTGGAAACAATCCATGTTCAAATTCTCCTAGTTTCTCACTGCTTGTCCCCGTGAATCTACAAAAAAAAATATGGATTAACCCAATATACTCAAGCAGTAACGACGTTGTGGCTTTAAGTACTACATGTAGTGTATATATAATTGCTATATCCAGTGCTTTAATAAATCAGTGGCTAATAACTTGACAGGTAGTATACTGTAGTGTACAGACAGTATACTCCAGGGCACTATAAGTATAGTCACTATATTCAGTGTTTTATCAGATCAGTGACTAGTAATAAGTGCATGATATACTGTACTAGAAATACAGGGCACGACGCACAAATTAAGATTCACTGTACAAAGGTCTATTATATACATACCGTATAGCGCATGAAAGTGATTCAAAGAGATAATGATTGAACTGTGGCCTGCTTGGACTCTAAGAAGTAGTGTATAGAAAAAATGCGAATTTGTTACCGTTAAACCTCGAATTGAGTCCAAACTCCGGATATCGAAATGAACTGCACAATATACTAACGCTAAAGTTACACTAAACTGCATGCTAAGCTATGCTATAATGTATAAAACTTCCTGACTGTACTAACGTTGAACCTTCGCCATGCTGAAGAATGATGTGTGCTCATTAAACACTGTGTATAAAGAGTAGAAACAATATCAGATCAGATCGATGAACCAAAGCGGCAACAGGCTATTCCACTCAATATCCGCACTCCCCTTTTCCGAAAAACTCTGAAATTCCTCTGGTATATCTAAACTAAAACCTGGAATTCCTTGGGGGTTAACTGAACTATAGCCCAGAGTTCCTTGTTGAAGGTTAGCTAAACTACTACACTTATAGAAAAAACTAAACTATGGACTGTAGTTCCCGAGGGTTAATTAAACTATGGCCAGTAATTCCTTGATGGTTAGCCAACCTATGGCGCGCAGGTAAACGCTAGGATTTCTACTGTTTTTCACTCCCTGTTGGATGGCCTTTTTAACTTTGGATATTTTTCCGTATGACGAACAAATCACACATGAATATACTCGAATAGTACCTTGCTGACAGCTGCTAACTTGGCGATAAGTTGACTGAGTAATTGTGTCATGTACGGGGACATATCATCTTGCATCATTGAAAATGTCCGCATTATTGCTGAAAAACATTTCATTTGACAGTGAGACATCGACCTCTATATGAATGGAATAAATTGATATAGCAGTAAATTGATATAGAAAAATAGCAGTCACACACCCTTCATCATATACTCGTTCAATTCAGACCCACGAAGTTCCAAAGCTTTGAATAAATTCAAAAGCAAGTCTTCCAACACTGGCTTCACCTCTGCTCGAGTGATTCTGTAACAAATTGACATACATGTGCTGTATATACTTTGGTCGACTCTTAATTCACACTCTTAACTTGCACAGGCTGCAATTTGTGTTCTTACAAAAATCCTGATGAAAACGAAAGTTTGCAGCAAGATTTCCAATATCAAAAATCTGCGGTGAATCATCACATATAATATACTTACGGTGCTCCTCCACCTGGATTTTTCAAAGTAAATATTCTTTCGATGGCGTAAGCGGCGTACGTGTGGACCACAACTGACTTTGCTTTTAAGTAGTTTATTAGATAAGGAAGACATCCGATTAATATCTCACGAGAGAGCTAGAATGGGATAGAAGAAAGGGAAATATATATATATATATAAGTTTTTAAGGGCAAACTAGACCTTAAAACATTCAACAAATCTTCCCAGATATCCAGTAAGGATCATCTCTTATTGATCCAGTGTTACTACCGGAGGAAACCTAAACTAAACTAACTTTATTTAAACTGGATAGCTCTATCAGTTCTAAACTGTTCTTCCTAGAGGTCCAGTAAGGATCATCTCTTATTGATCCAGTGTTACTACAGGAGGAAACCTAAACTAAACTAACTTTATTTAAACTGGATAGCTCTATCAGTTCTAAACTGTTCTTCCTAGAGGTCCAGTAAGGATCATCTCTTATTGATCCAGTGTTACTACAGGAGGAAACCTAAACTAAACTAACTTTATTTATACTGGATAGCTCTATCAGTTCTAAACTGTTCTTCCTAAAGGTCCAGTAAGGATCATCTCTTATTGATCCAGTGTTACTACAGGAGGAAACCTAAACTAAACTTATTTGTACTGGATAGCTCTATCAGTTCTAAACTGTTCTTCCTAGAGGTAAGGATATTATTCTAACTCTACTTTAATCTATTTTTCCGAGAGGTCCATGGGAATATACTTACCATATTTCTAAAGGCAGCTACGTATTTCAAAGAATCAGCTTTCAGCACAGGAGTCAAGTCGACTAAGGAGATTGAAGAAGAGTTTGAATACCCCGATAATGTGAAAATATCGTTAACCAGAGCATTTTGGGAAAAGCACAAAGCTGGCATGCTGCAGAAATAATCTGAGCCAAAAATACCTACTGTTAGGATTCTTGAGTTCAGGTAATATTTGATTGTTGAAGAAATCGGTTAAATTCACCAGTTCACTGGCCTGTGTAGCTCCGTGCTGAGGGAAAACAGTCCAAGATTAGCCTCAATATCAATCATTAGAAAGCGCCAAACACGAGTGATTAAGGTCCTGGTCTCTACGAAGACTTTAGTGCATTTACTTCAGGTATACGTGTTGAAACAATCACTGTAGTTTGGAGTTTTCTTTGGAGTGTCCCCCCCCATATTAACCAAGAACTAACATTGGGCCGTGTCCAGAGTGGATTTGCAGAAATCGGTTGTACAGAATTCCCGCCAAAAATATGGCGGATTAAGTTGCTGATGCCATTTTGCGAGAGTATGAAATCCAGTGAGCTCTATATATAAAGCTCTATATATAGAGCTAACTGACGAGATCAATCAGGAATATAGAGCAAGAGCGCGTGGAGAAAACATTACTTTAGCAGTTTGTTTTTTCGTAGCTAGCGAGGTGACCAAGTAAATAGCACAGTCTTTGCTCTTCCAGTTTCTGGCCGGATCTTCAGCGTGAAGCTAGAGGAAGGGAAGGAAACATTTTTTCAAAATTTTAGAAAAACTTGTCTACTTTCTACTGTCTCTAAATAGGACACAATCAAACCAGTGTGAAATAAGAAAAGGAAAAATGAACTAAACTCATTCCTAATATATTTTTGTCAACTGACAGTATAGATATCTTATCTTAAAGATATGATTAAGGGTCAACTAAACGGAGTAAGGGCAGGATCTGTGTCAAGTTTCATAAACGTTTTTTTTTCATCCATAATTACTGTGTGTTTCATTTGTAGACCAAGAGCCATAATTGAAAACTCGAGGTTTTACTCAAGAAACAATATAAATTTGGCCACAACAAATAAACAAAACTGATCATTCCCTTTCAGACCATTTTGCCAAAAAAGCACCCGTAAAAATATGTTCCTTGTCGTGGCGAACATTGATCTCACTTCAGTTATCCACTGACCTCTAGTAACATTGTGACGTAATGTGAAAAGATCGCGGTCACAGGTTCCTCAAAGTATTTGCACAAACCACGCACAAAATCACAAGCAGCGCGGCGGCGAGTGTCCACATCTGAAAACGATAAAACGTAACGATCACTCGATAACGATTACGCTGTTTTAACCAGCAGCCATCACTCCAGTAATTACCGAGTTCAGTGGGTAAAAACTCACCTGAGCCCTCGATATCTCTCCTGATATATTCCTCAGGATTATCCTCAAATTCCTCTTCATCGGCATCTAATGATAGAAAGATTTTAAGATCTGCGAACACCTGCAATTCTTCCAGCGATTTTCTTCGCATCTCACCGCCTTTAAGGCCCGTTTACACTCGCATTTTTTGCTGCGATTTTCTTCTTTTGATAGATGTGAACGAGTGAATTAGTTGTGGATGTCCAAATACGAGCCCTTACACATCAGAGCATTCGTAACTAGTCACTCGTTCACATCTACCAAAAGACGAAAATCGCACCTAAAGTGTAAACGGTGTGAAGTGTAAAGTGTAAAATTGCAAACCTAACATACTGTACTGTACCTCTGAATTCCATATTAGGCACTATAACTTTCTCGCAAATGCTTTGCAGATTGCTTTGATCTTCAAACAGGCCCTTGTAGTGAGATCTCTCACACACGGACGTTAAGAATTGGATTGCGTTGCTGACAAGCTAAATAAAAGCAGAAAATGCGTGGAATAAAACCTTTTAGGCGTAGAATAAAATTTTCTTAGGAAGAATTTACATAGGAGTCGCTTTTAAACTCTAACAGGATTGTTTATTTGCTTGTTTGGAGATCAGGAATTCCCAGAAATTCAAATTTGTGGGTGCCACTATGAACATTCTTGTGATGATTGTATGTTTCGTAATTAGACCAAGAGTTACCAAGCAAACTCAAGATCCACTCAAAGAAACAGCGTTCCTCTGCCACAACGCTAAAAACGGAACTGGTAAATGATTTTAAGACCAGTTTGTGTGGTTATACGTCGAGTGTGGCGAAAGAAAAAAAGACAGCAAACAAAAAACTTCCATACAGATGTACGTTTGAATTGATAGTTTTGCAATGAAAAAGATCATTTCATAATGAAATTACCCATGCGCTTTTAAAAATAAGTTTTGGTTCAGATTAGGAATTACATTACGAAATCTTGATCTTTGCCATTCACGAACATCTCACCAAAGTTCGGAATATTTTTGTCAATTTCATTTAGGAAATTAGGAAATAAAAACCTGTTCAAATATCTTAGGAGGAAACAAATTGAAAAGTATATACAATAATACAAACCAAGTCATATTTCACTCTATTTTCAATCGTGGTGAGCAAGTTCCATATTGCACTAACAAATCCAGGTAGATAAGGCTGAAAAAGTCAAAGGTTAGTTATGTTACACTCATAAACAGTTCTTAACAGTGGAAAGTCATTATTACTGCAGGTCCAACCAGACAGCCTCAGTTTGTAGGAATCAGCTGCTCAGCTGAACTCAATGAAAAACGAGTTTCTAAAAGGTACGCGTGGCTACAGTAGGCTGGGATTTTTTTTCAAATTTCCATACCTGAAATTCCTCGTCATATTTTTGAGCGTACATCGAGACATTATCACATATTTGTGATTTAATCAATTCAAGTGGACCCGCTTCGTCGTCGTCCTGCAAAGAAGTTCGCGTATCACGGTGATTGCAATAAACGTTTGTGTTTTGACGTCAAAAAGGCCCAGAAACGAGCCTAACTGGGCCGGAAATGGCCACGAACACCATGGATATTCTTATTTTCATATGGGGGGACGCAAATATTATCGAGATTTACTTCAGGTCAAGATAATGTCAAACACTTGTTAGACCAATCAAATCGTATGACAGAGGTTTGGCGGGAAAACCAAAAATTTCAGAGCAAAAGTGTGGTCTAAGGATAAGGGACTGGCAAGCCAGGATTTTTGGGGATTTTTTTATTTTAACACAAGCTAAAATATCAAATTTCCAAAATGTGTACAACTGTAATTTACGTCTTACGGCTTTTTTTTGAAAATTACTGTTTCGCTACGCAATCCAAAAGCTCTTACCTCTGTTTTTAATAGTTTATTGTCTGTGGTTAATATGACCAAGAAATGTTTCATCCACACCTCCATATTATCTTCAAAATACTCCGGAAGGTCCTATGACAAGACGTAAGATGATCTCAATACCGGCTGGAGCGATATTGTGGATTACATAAGCCAAGAGAACTGGTCTACCTTCCCGTATTCTCAGTAATAAGTACCCACTTGTCTGAACATATATGCCACCTGTATCAAGGATATACCTAAAAATAGAACATATCTGAATGCGGGTTACACTTACCTGCGAGTTTAAACTGTAGAAAATCTTGCAGATCACTGTCAAAGAACTGAACAGAACCTTCAGCGATTCTGGATCGTTGCTGTGCTGATTTGCCAGATCCATTGTTGACTATGTTGAGGAGAAAGCATGTTTTAATACCTTTACCAGGCTCGGAGGAATGTGGGAGTGATTAAATCACACACCTGAAGTAATTCTGTTATCGGCTTCGCAAATCCATCCAAAACAATTTTGATTTCTTCCCAAAGCTCCTGGGACTTGAATTCATGGCGGTACCTGGAATAGCAAAGCTAAAGTTCAAAATTTGCATTGGAAAAGGACAGATATAATGATAGAAATTTATAGCATATTCATTGAAATAACATTATTTCTACTCTCAAAAAGCAAATAACACAATGTCATGGCAAAATGAATGTGTTTACTTTTGTACAACAATGTTTAGTGCAAATATGAAAAAAATTGTCCAAGTTTTTTTCTGTGTACAAAATTAAAATTAACCTATTTAGACAAACCTTTTGAACAAGGAATGAGCAGTTTTCAAGACACCATTGATGATATGGAAGTCTCCGGAGCCAAATTTTTTAACCATTTCCTACAGAAAGAATAAAAAATTCTCTCTTTTCTTAGAGCATTGAGTATTGCTATTAACACATCCAACTCCCTGTAGTTAGGTTGCATTCTTACTGGTAGTAGATTTGGCCATTTTCTTGGAAAATCTTCTCTGCCAATGATACTGACAGCATCACTCAACTGATTGGAAACAAAAGCGTGGAATGTTTAAAACAATTTTGCCAGGGGAGATGAGGTGAAATAAACATATTTCTGCTAATGGGTTAAATGATTACCCTGACGTTTACCTGGCTTTGTAACTGCGGTGGACTCTTCAACATCAAGTCAATTATCAAAACTTTAACTGGAAACAAAGAGAATAATAAACTTCCACATGAGAGAAATGGGAAAAGAAATGAGAAATTAGGTAACATATTTAAAAAAACATACTGCTTTCCCTGTCTTCTTGTGTTTTTTGTTAGGATCACCATCAACCTGAAGAATAAGACTGTTTTTAACCACCTTTACTGTACTTGATTGTAAGGATGTACTGTGTGTATGTTAAGGATGTAAGGATGCATAATATACATGGAACATCTTTTAGTCCTAAGCATTTATTTAAGTAACGCTGTTGGAATCAGTTTTGGTTATGCTTTTGAAATAACCAGAAATGATTTTCGCTCAGTTTAACTGATATATTCTATAATCAACATTTTTTAATAGAAAGTAACAAATTATTTGATTATTCAGTCAATTTGATGAACAAACTACCAAACTATATAATTCACAGTATATTCAAACTAACCACGCGCCACTGTCGTTTCACAAAATTCTTGAACGTGATGGCCGCTGCCAACCGGATCATGCTGTCAAACGAACCATTCTCAACAATATGAAGCAAGAGCAATGAGTAATTACTATTGCCTTCTATTGTTTGAAGAAACTTCTCAGCTGAAAGCAAATAAAGAATAATATTAGAATTTGATACAAAATATTGGCATAAAGATATAAAATAAAGATCATTCCATGGGAGTTAGGGAGACGTTTCTCTGTTCAATAATCTACTCAAACTTCTCGAAATTGTTTATTATAAATTGTCAATATTTCCAGATTATTTTATCATAATACAAATATATTTCTGTCAGATGCTAAATACCTAACCATTATGCCTAACATGCCCTGATGATTCTGAATGAATCACTCGAAAGCATGCTAACACAGGCTGAATATCTTCCATCCAAGGTAGCACTTGAAAAATCATCCTGGTTTTACCAACACAAAATCCCTTCGGAACTTTTTATTAAATTTTAACAACTTAATCATCGGATATAAACTTAATGCTTCACTGTTTTGCATTGGAATTTGACAGGTCAACAATATGTGGAAATTTCTAAGTATTTTCAACCAAAATAGGTCAAAGACTATATGTTAATTTTGGACCATGCCCAAACATGCCTGAAAATTATATTCAGCATAATTATGCTAAATAGAAATATCCCGCATAATTATGCTATATTTTGGTGGTAATTTGAAAATATTTCAAACACTGTTCAATTAACAACGATTAAGACAAATAACGAATTATGACAAATAATTTTTAAATCTTGCCGGTTAAGTAAATAATGTGTCTGCTAAATACTCCTATTACACACTAAATGTAGAAATAAACCCAAATTTCTAGTTTAAACATTATATTGTGATGGTATTTAGCTTTCCTTCACGGATTCAACACGCTCTCAAGTAATAAACAGTTCCTCTTCTAGAAACCTTTAAACAAAGCAATCTGGACGAAATACCCGCTCAAAATATCTTACCGTCTCTTCTGAGTTGATCTTCCGAGCTGAGGGTTTCCTGTAATCTACCGGCAAGCACTTGCAAGTTCTGGGCGTTTGCTTCGAAATTCATACTTGCAACGAGTTGTTCTCACAACAAGAATGAACCACGATGAAGTATCCTTCGTTATCTTTAAAACGCTGCGATTTCTATTCAAAATAATTCAAAATATATCAGTTTGAAGTGATCGAAGTTGATTTCAAATTTCTCTTCCTGAATCGCGCGCCATGTGATGTGCCTGCAGTCCAGATCCCATCTGACGGTGGCGCGTTGCAGAGAGCTCTGGGAAAAATTGACAGAAACTCATCAAAGAGACCGTTTTCACAAAATCAGTTTTTCTTCAGGCCCAATGTATTGTGGTATATCTTCATTAATTTATCTTATATGTCATGCATCTATCACGTGGCAGTACTCAATTTGGTAACCAGGTCGTATGGCCGTATATGCAAATATTTTAATCAAATATGCTCAAATATAGCTAGACTGAACCTCCTGGTCTATTGAAGTGGTAATTATTTGGTGCAGCTGTCTACTGAGATCTGGTCACACTAATCCAGGCTCAGGCATGCAGGTTATTCCAAAGGACATAGGTATTCAGTAGTGCAATTTTTAATAACAACCAAGGCTTGCAAGTTGACCATTCAAATGTCTTAAAAACACTGCCTAGTTTCAGCAAAACAAAAACCTGAATGATCACAAAAAAAAACAGAAAATAGTTTTATGAGCTGCTTTTCTAAAACATTTTTAAACTTCATCATTGTGAGTGATTGTAGTAGTACTAACAACTTGAAATAAAATTATTTTATTTTCAAATTCTACTTTTTACAAAACTAGTGTGACATAGCTACATGCACAGTTTTCAAAAGACAACATTTCAGGAAACCAATTCTTTTCCACATTCTGTACATGTTCGTAAATCTAAAGACAAATAAATGCCAATTAGAAAAATATTCTGCTTTGTGCAAGACAAGTGTCAAACCATTTTCAGTTTTGAAATTTAGAAGAGTAAACTAGTCACCTGGAAAATCTATTCTCTCTTAGGTTTCGTCACAGCAACATAGTGATATAGGATAACCAACAGGAATAATATGATGCCAAGAAAATTGGAGAAAACAGCTAACTGCATGTCATTGATCATTGTGAGTCTGAAGAAAGATATTTATTACATATAATATAATGAAAAATGATATGCAAATATTGCTATACAATGCCCTATGACTGTTTAGCTAGTGTGACTATGAGTGCAAATGCACAAGGAATTGATCTGACAGATAAGAAAGTTTTTAATAGATTGATTAGATCAAGCAAAATTGATTCATAATTGGAGCAATAATTGCAATTTTAAGATATAGAACATCAAAGCTGTGTACAGGATACAAACTAGCTGTTTCTGGTTAGGCTATACATACACACTGGACCTACGAATGTATATTTTACTGATTAAATGTGGCATATAACTGTAGCATGTATGTATCCCTTAAAATAGTATTTATATATGTCATATATGCATAAATTTAGAATTCGTTTAAAATTCACAAGAACATTAACGTTAAGTGAAGAACGCACTCATGCCCGCTTTACTCCTAGGAACAAGTTGTGGAAATGTTGTATTTTACCTGAAAATGGAGCCTGATCTTCAGCACTTCTACACGTTGAATTTAGATCAAAAAGAAAGAACCGAGCGTCGTATGAAAAACAAGGGACTAAGTCGAGATGCCCGCAGAATTTAGGGTAGTAATGGAAATATAACCTACACGCAGGCAACCTTGCACCCAGGTTTTTCCGCGTCCTTCGTGGCTTCAAGGTAAAATAGCCTTCACCACCTGTATACCACCACAAAAGCCACACTACACGCCTAAAAACGATCAAGATTGATGCAATATTGACATGAACAAGATGGAGGAATGTTGTGCTGCCCACATTGTTCAGAGTTGTTATCAAGATTGAACAATATTGTCACACACGAATCATTCAGCACAACATTGTTGCATGCTGACAAACCGCAGGCTCAGAGTTTTTAGCCGTGTACACGCGTAAAAAATATCATATCTTGTAGCAAGTCTGTTCACAAGCTTGCAACAAGATTTGTTCCCACTGCTTGTCGCAAGTTGTTGACGAGATGGGACAACTTGTTAAGAAGTTGTAACAAACTTGTTGAATCAAAACTCAAAAGACTTGCTACGAGGCTGTTCCAACAAGTCCGGTACAAACATGATGTGACAATATTGCTACAATCATGTGCTGTCAAGTTCGTAGCAATGTTGTTGTATCATATCTGTATAAGACTTGTCATAACAATCTTGTAACAATTCTTATAATGCCATCGGACTTGCTACAAGTTGTTAACAGCTTGTCCAAAACTTGTTACAACAAATTGGAGCAAGCAGTGCGAACAAATCTTGTTGCAAGCTTGTGAACAGACTTGTATAAACAACTCTGCCGCAGACTTGTTACAACTTGTTCAAAAAAACACCCCAAATCATCGTATTTTGTTATGGCCCTGTGAATTATCTGTTTATTACCAGAACAGTATTCTCGCATTCACTTCCACTGCATAATTTCATAAGTTACGCATTTTATATATTCACTATCCCTGCCACACCAAGTCACAAACGTTTGACATCCTGCATCGTTGCCTTTCTACAAGCGCACTGTTTAACAAGGAGGAATTTCGTTTTATAGACCAATCAGAAATTTTGTTCACATTTCAGAAACCAATAAGAATGCATAAATATTCGCTACTTCCGATAAAAAGCTACATTAAAAATCTAGGCATTCTAATCATTGAACTGCCTACAATTCAATGATTCTAGGCTTGACCTGAAAAATGTAAACAAATTTGCCGATCAGTTCAAAACGAAATTCCTCCTTGTTATACTGTGTACTATTTAACCATCCATAAAACCACTCAAAAGCCATAAGTCATTGACAAATGGCCACATCAAATCGTGTTTTCTTTCGAAAGCACAACGCCTGTTATGGAGGTCATTATTTTCACATTCAAATTCCATCAGGATCGAATCTACAAACAGAAATAAACACTGCCTGAGAACTATCATTTGTCTACACAAGGGAAAACTTGGTTATTGCAGCAAACTTTGGTTAACCTCACTCTAAAAGGCAAAAATTTAGTTTTGACATTACCTCAGTGACTATCCCGGCCGCAATCGTCTTTCCGCCGTACCGTAACATAAATCTTCCTAGATCTTTGCAATCCTGGTATAACTCTAAACACATTGTTCTCGACAGTTCTAACTCGATGTTTGCCGTAGAATTTTTTGTCAGGCACCTGGAATGCAAAGTGTTCTTCCTATATTTTAATACTCTCTTAAAAGAGGTTTATCCAGGGGGGTCGAACCAAATATGGTTTAGTTTAAAAAGGTTTTTCAGCCTAAAGAACCCAGTGTGCAAATGATTAATTTTACCTGGGTCTCTTCTGAATAACTTCACCAGTATTTTTGTGGAGAATGCTGAGTAGACGCTTGATAACCGCAGGCTCGTTTATCGTTTGAAAATGAAACACGACCTGAAGGGATAGAAAGATACTTAAGGGGATTGCCCATATACTCGATCCACACGGAGTTTCTCAACTCTCAAGGTGACATTACCGGAAATCCTTTTGTTAAAGGAACTTCGATATCGAAAACCATAACCCTCGCTCGAAGTCTTGTCACGGCTTGAATGGGAAACGCTGGATCACACAAAATACTGCCTACCCTGAAGTAAAATGAATATTTAATAGCATCCACTTTGAAGAAAATGTTAACGCTTGCTGATAAAATTAAAACACACAACGAGTTCGTATTGGAACTCTACACATTGACAAATTTATATTATAGGGTCGGTCCTATAAGTTGGCCAGGCTAATCTATAGACCTTTTTTTACTTTGTATGCAAATTAACCTATTTCAAATCACATAGTCTGAAATGGTTAGGTTTTATTGGCTATTCCATATCATCACAACATCTGAAATGAGTTCATCAGCATGCAAACTGAAAAGGTCTATTTAGGGAGAGCAAAAATAACCCGGAGTCTCTCACCGGGGAAGAATTTGTAGTTATTCATGACGAGATGTAAATATAAATACGTACGTGATATTCACCATGTCAACGCCATGTACGCTCAGGGTCACGTGATCACCTGCTTGGGCCCAGTCCGCCGGCTCGCCGTGAACTGAGATGCTCTTGGCTTGCCCTTGAACAGCGGCTGGCATGACTAAAATTTTTTGACCGTTTTTGACCTGGCCACCCTCTGCCCGTCCCATTACATTGACCCCCGAACCAGTCCCTATACCCGCAACGAAAAATACAGGGTATTCATATTAATTACTGCAGATAAGACTTTACTTATTACTCTCTGTCTCTCTCTTGAAGTTTATATATTCGCATGCGTTTTTGCTAAATTTTGGCTCAGAAAAAGTACAGTAAGTAAGGACAAAACACGGTAGATAATTCCCATTGAACCAAAGCCATTGTCGTTCATTTCTGTACACATTCAAGAAGTACAGTATAATGGAATAGATAAAACCAACAGTTTACTTATCTTAAAGCAGATTTACCAGTAAAAACTAACCTTTAAAAACATCCGAGATACAAAGTCTAAAAGGCTTTTCGACTGGTCTTTCAGGAGCTTTAAAAGCATCTGGAAAGATATTTTAGGCGTTTCTATTAACAAACTTGCGATGGTTTGCCTGATGGTCCACGTGTGCGTATTCATACCTATTCGTTCAATCATGTTTGGTCCACTATACCAATTCTTCAACAACGTTTCTTCGGCATGTTTGGTCAGATTCTCGCCAGTCAGACCGCTGCATGGCACGAAGTTCACGTCGCTTTCCTGGAAAACGGGAAAAATATGTCGTGCCATTTAGCAAACTGGTGAAATATGGGGTAAGCGCCGAGCCAGGCGAGCCTGGTAACGAGGGACCGCTCGAGTTAGCTCTCCATAAAATATCTGGAGTAAGTCCAAAAGTTGAACCAAAACATGGTAAAATTGTCGATTGTTGAATGTCGATTCTATCGATTGTTTTCGGAAGACAGGGAAGATATTTTGGTTGTACGACACTTGCGTTTTAGGAAACTGCATTTCTGGCTAGGATAAAACTGGTTAACTCTACATGCTTAATTACACTTTAAAATATTCCAAACTAACCTTAAATCCAACTTGTTTTAGAAATTTCTTCAACTTCATGATAATGTTATCATACCGTTCTTTAGACCATCCTACCTGAAGCACACAAAACACAGTCCTTTCAAAGAATGCTCTTAGTCGTATAAAAGGCGGGGAGGGGGGTGTTTGTATTGAGCTATATTGCTAGTGACGTCACGGTTGGCCTGTGGTACGCGCGACCATCCAGTTGAAGACTATATATCAGAGTCAAGAATTTTAGGTAAAAGCGTACTGTGTCGAGTTTGTTGACCGCTACGAGGAGTTGTGTTACACCAAGTGAGCGAATAAGAATGGCGTGTTCTCTCGTCTGTCCACCAGCTTCGAAACCAGCCTCAAATTCACCAGTGGAAGAGGCAACTACCAAAATAGCGACATCGGCCTTGGAGCGGAAAATGGTAGATATTAGTAAGATACTTGTCACTATGCATACGTTTATGGTTTTTCTCCCATATATAATTTTGTTTCACAAATTACCTGAGCTGCACCAGAAATCATATTAGGAATGAAGTCCTTGTGACCCGGAGCATCCATTAACGTGATGATCTTCGAGTCTGTTTCAATACGAGTTACTCCAACGTCCATTGTTATCCCTCTGAAATAGAAAAAAAATTATAACGTATAAATGTAAATTGACTCAATATTTATATTCTCTGTCGTGTCTTACCAGTTCTTTCCGTAAGCATAGTCTAAATATGGCCGTAATTGTCGTGAACAAATAACTTTCTATCATAGTCTGGATTTGTCTTTATTTAATTGTCATTAGGGAGCTTTATCATGAACTACAAGCACAGAGTAAACAACAGACATCTTTTAGTTACACTGTGCTACAAATACGAGTACAAGATTCGTTATTCTCGCGCGTTGTTTGCTTACGCCATCAGCCAAAGCTCGTAGTTTGTCATACAAACGAGATGGGATGAATATGTTGGTCAAACGACGTAGGCAAAAGCATCGACTTTGGCGCGAAAATGACGAGTCTTACACTCGCAGTCACGGCTAAAGATCCCCATAGTGAACTGCCCACACATAGCAATATTCTATTACATCAGTTACCATGACACGTTCACGAATGGAAACCAGTCTTATTGAAAATCAGAAGAAATTACAGAAACGAATCTTTCCATGTACAGCAGTAAGTAAACTCACCGTTCTCTCTCCTCGCCAGTCTCGTCTAAAACCCAGGCATATGCAAATGAAGCCTTACCAGCTTTCTTCGCATCTTGTTCATATGTGCGGGAAATTAAGGATTATAGCAGAACACCTGAGCATATTCGATATATAGGGTCGGATTAGGAAGATACTGCAGGCTGTCTCAAAAAGAGGCACCCTGAAGATTGTAGTGTTCAGGAATTTTACGTCATAACCAATACACTTTCTGAATGACTGAGGGTTGAAAAGTTTCATTAAAAGGATATTTATGCATTGTTTTCTTTGACACGTCTCCTAATAAATAGAGCAGGTGGCCCATGAGGGTGCTTTTGCCCGCATCTACGTGACCTGAAAAGTTGAAAAAGTTGAAACACTGCAATATACTAGACCAGTCAGGCAACACTCAGTCTGACTAGCAGTACTGAATTGTACAAATGACATTGAGGAAGGTTGAAAACACTAAATAAAACATTACAAAGCAGTAGGTACTAGACTAGTCAGGCTAGTATTAGTAGCAACAGTCAACACTCAGTCAGACTAGCAGTACTGCAATGATCAACTGACATTGAGGAAGGTTGAAAGAGAAACACTAAATAAAACATTGCAAAGCAGTTGGTACTAAACTAGTCAGGCTAGTATTAGTAACAACAGTCACACACCACGGAATAACTTACCAATCACAACTAAATTGAGCAGAGTCTTTCCTTGTCTAACTTTGTTAATTTCTTTTGCTGAAACTTTGTCTTTCGAGGCATTTTTCGACTTACTAGACGAAGGGCTGTCCGGGGAAGCCAGCTTCGCATTCCCATTAACAAGCTGGGGCGAGCTATGGGGAAAAATTAAACTGAGATGAATATAAAACTTAATCATAGACATAGGAGTGCTTTCCTTTAGGGCGCCAAAATGGTCAAACCGGTCATATTTTGAATTGAAATAGATTATTTCGTAAAGAATAAAGCGGTGAAGCTGCATTTTTCGTGCTGGGCAGATGAAATAACGACATACTTGAACTCAGAGTTCTTGAAACTCTCTACAATACCAGTAATCTATCTGTACAGAAATATAACAAGACTGGTCTGGCCGTTTGTACCGTAGATAAAGGAAAGAACCGCTAACATTCCATTATATCAATCAAAACAATATTATATCAAGGTATCCCGAATCTGTCTACCAAACAGCAATGTTCTTAAGACGTTTGCAAGGCGTTTATACTGAAAGGATAACGACAATTGACAAGGCTAAATATAGAAATTATTCAGTTGAGATTAGGTTAGGATTATAATTGGACTTGGGATTAACCGTAATCAGCCATAACGTTAGTCTAAGACCTAATCCTAGTCTCCCCCGTCTTCCCCATTCCCATTCCTCGCTGCATTGGCAGTGATGACGTAATGGTATGTCATAATGTACCTGCGGTTAGGCGAGGTTGGGTTGGACTTGGTACTACGCTCCAGTACAGGTGAGGAAAAATTGGCTTGAGCCGGCTGATTGTCAGCGGTAGCAGCTTCGTCTTTCTTGGGAGTATTACAACGCCTTGAATCTAAAATGCAACGCTTTTGAAATGCTACGTAATACATAAAAAACACGATCCACGTTTGTTCTGGGATAGAATACGCGTGACCAGCTTCCAAATTGTCTGCGGTGTCAAATAAGTTAAATAATACAAAGTTGAACTCGTAGGGCGAAAGTATTTCACTGTCGACCTAATGCCTAGTTTCCATTTAGTCGTGACTGTCGTGAACATGTCAAGGTGGCTGATGTGATAGAATACTTCTATGTGTGCAGCAGTCAACAATGACCGATTTGAATACAGAAACAAAGACAAATTTTCATCCGGACTATTTCTCATCGGTGAAAATGAGTTGTCCACGACTTAATGGAAACCAGGTTTAACACAGCCTCGAAAACAGGCGCAAAAATGGAAAACAAAAATGTGCACACTACAGTGAACTATATAGATCAGACGCCTACATTTTTTCGTAACTGATCTCTATATCATTAACTTCATGCGATCTTTATGATCTTCGAAGAGCGCCTGGGCACGAATACACCTGACCTTGGCTTTCCTGAAAGTTCTGCGCTGGTCGGAAGGAATTTGATGGGATAAATATGTTGAATAATTGGACCATGTTTCATCTTGTAGGAGGAAAACATAAGTTTGATATATTTGTACTCGCCAAAACCTGATGAAAAGCATGGGTCCGATGCAGAACGGCATTATCCGACGGCATGCCGAGAACAGTGTCGACTTTTGTCGTATTCTAATTAGGCAATTACACATACGATAGAGAACATTGATAAAATGACTTGCAGATTTCATTTGTAAGTATATTTTACAACTTCCAGAAAATATTTCCTATAAAATATCTCGTTATAATGTTCACTACGATAGCTGCTAAAATAACTTTTATACAAATATATACACATCATGTGCAGAATTGTCGATGGAAAAGATTGGATATGGCTTTTCTTAAAAAACAAAGCACTTTCATCTACAATTATTTACACCACAGATTTATATTGACTACAAAAAATGATTGTGTCTACTTCTTTGGTCTATCATGAAAAACTTTGGTTTGGTCCTTTCGTATCAAAAAAATTTTAAACTCATTAGTAAGCAAAGCTGTCTTTAGAATATTCCGTGTCTAGATTGCAACGTTATCACTATATATCATTGTTAAAAGTTATCCCATTTACAATAAAACATGTTCTTGTAGATATTTCCATGCGACATTGTCTCTTGGTGAAATCATGAAATCTATCACAAAGACAGTTTAGCTATAAGATACCTTCGACCTATTTTCTTTGCAAACGAGCTTTCTTTTGTTTTGCCAGGACAAAGTCATCAGGCGATGCCGTGCTGAAATCAAAGGGTACGATTGCAAAATCATTTTGAAATCTTCTTGTCACATCGGGCTTCCATTTTGGACCGGGTTTTTCGTAGTAAACGAGCAACGTGCACGCAAACGTGCTTGGACCATGAAGGAATTCAAAAACTGACTCTCCGGAAGAAACATCTTGTTCAAAGTCGATCAGGAAGTCGTCTTCAACATCGCTAGTTGATGACTCACGAGAATCACTTCGTGTTGCGGATAAACCCTCATCTTTACCTGATTTTTCACTGAGATTGATTTTCATGCGCGAAAACGACGAAGATAAACCAGCATTTTCAGTTTTACCGGACACAGGAAAGGTAGTCAAAGGCTTCATCGTTGACAACCCAGATTTCGCTTTGTCGCTTGTTTCGCCTACGCCAATATTGAGGTTTGAATTGTTGTTGTTTTCTAAGCCAACTTTCGAAACACAATCATCGCGTTTAGGCGACTGTCTAGCTCTGAGAAGACGACCCAAGCATCCATCATTTGTTGGTATGTGAACCAATGCTCTCGCTGTATTGTCTGTGTTTGCTTTGTCTCCAGACAACGTTCCAAATGTCTTGTCATTCAAAGACCGTTCTGCTTTCAACCGGGTAAGTGGCGATATTGAAGACTCGTCAACGGATGGTATATGCACAAGTGAAGGAGGCATCTTTGTCGAAACTTGTACTGAGATTCCCTTCATATCTTTAGACTCTTGTTTTGAAGCAAGTTTCTTGCTCAAAGGCGACGTGTTTTGGACTTTTGAGGCAGACAAAGGCGATGTCATTAACGAACCATTTCTTCTGTCGGAACTTGATGTTTTCCCTAAGTCATCTCCAGATGAATATTTGGTTTCTGTCGATTGACTTAAATTTGATAGCGAGGGCTTGAATTGTGATCCAATCACGGGTGATGAAAGCGTAGGTCTAATATTCGACTGAGTTTCTTTCAAACCACGATGCATGGAAAGAGGTGAAACTTGTGAATCTTTGCTTTCAAGCGTTTGGTGTGTTTTCAACAGTTGACCTAACGGCAAAGTATCACGACCCTCGTTTTTTGACACGCCACAACCAGTTGAGCTTTCTTTCGCGAACAACGACCCTGTTTTCTCGTAAACAACCCGGGCGACAAAAGAGTTCTCGACCAACTTTTTAGACGCCGCAATGCTACGAACTGATTTGATAGACTCCCTTTGTTTTTTAGATTTTTCAGTCCTCGACAATTCTTTTAACGGGGAATTTTGGAGTTTTGCATTAGACGAGAACAACGATTGTTCGGTTGGGCCTCCTTTTCCGGTTGTTTCTTCAGCATTTAAAACACTTCGCTCGCTAAACATTTTCACTTTGTTTATATTTTGCAACGGCTTTTCAAAATTCTGCTTCGTGCCGGCCTGACCTATTTCGTGCTGGGAACGCGCGCCTAAGCCATGCTCAGAATGCAAATTGTTGACATGCTCAAATTTTAAAACATCTTACCTTAATATTGCCATGGCAGAAAGAGTGAACAGCATCATAAAAAAAGAGACGAAAAGGCACAAAGTTAGTATTTGGATGAAGCTATGAAGTGGTTTTTACATCTTGGCGTTTTTACTGAATGATGTTAGAACTGCCTTAATCAGCCTTTGGGGCAAAAACTAGCGGACTTATCGGTGGGGTGGAAAGCAGCCCATAGTTGGGGGGGCGGCTCATGCTTGGGGAGAGCCTGCTTCTCCCAAAATGTGTCCACCCGCCCTAGACAAACTAAGCGACAAAACTGAAGTGAATTACCTTTCTCCTTTCGAGGAACATTATGGCTCTTCAAATCCTGATTTCCACCTGGCGAAAGTTAAAATAAAACTGAGAAATTTGTTCATTTTTGAGAGTCTTTTTAAAGCATGATTCACTCAACACTAGAATATGGGTCAGACTAACTTCAGCATGCAATCTACAATGGTTACCTTGATCTAAGACTTCATCAAGGGCTCTCTCCAAATCAAAGTTATGTTTCAAAATGGCAGCCTTTGCCTCCTGTTCGTCACAATGGTCACCAAGAATCGATCGAAATTCATCCATACAGGAAAGCAGTTTTGCTAGAAAATTAAAATACTCCATTAATTAGCTTACCTCCCCATAGACAAGTAAAATCAGTGAAAGTTTAATGAAAGGGAACTTTCTAAGGTTTAATCAATATGGTGATCAAATAATGCTCCGATCATGAAAGGGAGATCAGACACTTTCATGCAGCCATCTACAATTCATTCACACTTTTGTGAGTCTGCTGCCCTTATAAAAGTTTTGCCCCTTCCCTGGAAAGATTAATCCAGGGCTGACTAGTAAGATCATTCAATTTAATACTACAATAGGATGAATTTAGGTTCACTGGTAACTATGATGGGGAAGCCAGCAATAATGTTTTGTGGTAAACATTTTACCTTCATCCTCCCTACTCAGTTTTGGGATTTCATAATCCTTCACAGCTCCAAGATGTTCACTCTGGTCCAAGTACTTGTTGTCTTCGTAATCTGCTGGCTCCTCCATGAAGGAAGACAAGTTTCGATGTTGCGTCTCACCACGACGATACATGAATTGTTGGGCTGCATGACACAAAATGATAACAAGTTATGAATATGACAAACTACAGGCTTTGTAAACACCATATTTGTTTAGACCTTACCGGTAGTTGGCGAGACACACAGATCATGTTCTTCAACAGAATGACCGTAAACATCTTCGTACATATCTATATGATACAATAAATTTTATGATGAGATAAACTCCTCTGTTGGGTGATATGTATATATGATTTTCAACATCTAGAGTTGGTTATTTTTTGGACAACCTTGTAGGTACTTGTAAACGAATGAAAGTCTAGAGGTTGCCGGTTGGGGTGCAAATCAATCTCCAAGGGCACAATGAGAGACAATCAAAGCAATATAGGGATTAAATAGGTCTAAACACAATGAAGTTTAGAGATTTAAGGCATGCACCTTTGGCCTTGGGTTTGAATAATGCTATTAAGGCGACAATGCATTAAAAAATCTTTGGGGAGACTTCAAGTAGCAATGCAATCTGGCAGGATTACGGTGAGAATTTTTGTAGGCACATGATAAATACCACTTGACTAGCACATGATAAATACTTTCCATTGATGAAACCACGATCAAAACAATCACAATGTATACCACTTAATAATATTTATATATACTTTGCTTTGTCTATTAAATCTAAAAAGTGTGTATGAATAATCTGCAGTAATCTGAATAATGCTGCAACTTGCCAGAAGCTTAATGCACCAGGTATGGTCTACACATACACATAAACTAACATAAATACGCGATGATGCACCACATAAAAGATAAAACTCTTCATGTATAGAGCTCTGAAGTGTTTGTTTTATGATCAACGACTTTCAACGTACCTTCTTCATAAGCATAATTCCGAATATTTCTGTGCCGTGACATTTTCCTCACAATCTTATAAACCCGTGGGCCTACTGTGAAAGATCACAGGCGATTTGAAAAAGAGATGATCGGCGTTTTCCTCTGTCCATAAAATAGTATGTTTTTGTTGTGGCCATATTGATTCGCGGAAAGACCTTGTTATTCTTTCACATCGCCCAAAAGGTGTGACGCATCAATTAGCCTTTCTCACGACGACGTTTTTGGGGTACTTTCAATGTTTTCAAACGGGTTTTAAAAGTTATAACAACATGAAAAGCAATTTTTTTAGAATCAACAGATCATTGGAAGCATAACTCCAGCCTAAAATTAAAGACCGTGGCCATTATGAGGTTTCACGCTTGCGGTTTTGAGAAAAAGTACCCCAAAATGGCCGCATATTCGTCATCGTGAGAAAGCCTAATTCCATACTACGGAGCATGCATTTTTCCGGAAAGCAGTTTACTTTAGCAAAGCTGATATACTAAAATAAACTTGTAAAGTAAACTTGTAGTGGCAGTACAGGGGCGGAATAGCTAAGATTTAGTCCTCACTCGAATTTGGGCCTCCACTTTTTCGTTGTGTATCGCTTAATGGGGCCTCTAGACTACTTCGGATCTCGGACATTTCCCAAATACATGCCTGTTAAAATGGTTCTGACAATTTAAACGTCCATGTCTTTTATGAATTGCTACGGTGCTACCCACCCTCAGGTTGAAAGAAACAATACGTCAGTCGCCATCTGTTTTTATATAAAATATAATGTATATATAGTACATTTCTAATAGCAAAACAATGCAATTTCCAAGTCCAGATGTACAAAAATATCTGCTCGTTCTTGTAGGTTGAAGAAACGCGGTGTGAACGTTTTTACTATAACATAACATATTTTGATGTGCAAAGGAAAATCTTTAGGAGTTTACATATCCTTGATATTTATCGCAACATGAAGAGGCACAGTACATCTTCCCTGAAAAAACTATGTGAAATCTATCGACATGCAAAAAGCCAGCCACACGCTGGTTTTCAAACTGAAGAATATACTGCACTTCTCACATTGCAGAAGATTTGAGAATGAACCCAAAGTCTAAGATACGAGATATGCACTTAATTTTCAAAGTGAACTAACAAAACTAACGTTCAAACTACCAAAACGTAGTAGGTAGCGTCTTTTTTTTCTTTTCAACAATATAAATCTCTGAGTTTTCATAAAAAACATTATGTCAACGTGAACATGAGACACACAAAAAATTACTAAATGCAAAGTTAATCGATATCAAAATCTTCGTCTTTGCTGCCCACACTTTCGGCACGCAAGGCAATTTCGCTCACCAAAGCATCTAAAACGACTTTCTCTGGAGTGTCACCGGGGCAGTCGTCTTCTAGAGATGGTTTGCCATCCATGTCTCCAACGCCACAATGATCCTCCTCATCAGCTGTACTGCCGTTCCTGTGCTCAAAATCATCATTATTTTTGACCTGAGTTTCAATAATGGCGGTCGTATGCTGTTCAAAGAAGTCCTTATCATCGATTACTTGCTCGTGGACGTCTATTTTACGATCGTCACCGGGGTCGTCTTCAGAAACTGAGGGAATTGCATCGAGCTCGGTTTGAATTGAAGACTGTCCATTTACACCGCCATTCTCAGCATCAGGTTCTGACAATTCACAAGTGCCAACGGTTATATTTTCCATACTATCTTCAACTTCTTGGTTCTTTTCCCCATGAACATCTTCTGAAGCTTCAACTTCACCAATGGCGGGTAAAATACATGGATCCGTACTTTCGCTATCACCAAATGCCTCAGACTCTCCAACTGCGCAAGGCTCGGGCTCCCCGGGGTTCTCTTCCCCCTTTTCTGCCGGATCAACCTCAATCTCCATTTCAGGTGCACAAGGCTGCTCGTCAATACAATACTGATCATCAGCATCATGAAGAATTCCATTCACACTCTCAGCATGTTCTTCGCAACCTCCTACATGCTCATAAAAAGCATTCTGTCCTTCTGCTATACTTCTGCCAGCTTCCACGTCATCAACCTCAACTTCATTTATTGTCGCGTCAGAATGAGGTTCAGCAATCTCTTCATCCTGTCCTTCATCACAGTCTTCATCATCTTCCATGCCAAGGACATCTCGACCGTCTTCTGCAGGAACTTCATCCGATGCTTCAGGCTTCTCGTCTAATATAATCATTCCACATTTCTCATCCTTGTACGAGGCTTCTTCACCCTGACGATACGAGATTACGGTTGCTTCGTCTCCTGAAAGATCACTCCCTCTTTCATCACGCTGTCCGCTAGGATCCAGCGTAACTTCTGCAGAAGTTTCATGTGTTGCAAGAGCGATGATCTCGTCCAGTTCTTCCGATATCGTCTTTGTGCTTCCTTCATCTTCGCCTGGGATTTCCATAAGCACCATGGCAGCTACATCGCTTGAATCATCAACGCCTCTAACATCATGCTGCTCGCTCGGAACTTGATGATTTTCGGAGGAGGTTTCATTTGATGCTTCGGGCTTATCAACCTTCTCTTCCAACATCGTCTGTGCGCTCTCTTGATCTTCGCCTTCGTTTTCTACATCTTTATCTGCATCACCATCATAGATGGCAGCCGAAGCTCCTTCACTTGATGTATCAAAGCTTGAATTATCACGCTGTTCACTAAAGCCAGCACTCTCTTTCGTCTCACCGAACTCTTCACAGTGAACTCCAATCGTGTCTTCCATCTCCTCCAAAGAACATTCCTGAACTTCTGTTTGCAAACCACTTTGTGTCTCATTCTCTTCCACCATAGCAATCTTTTCAATTTCAGCTTCAATTTCAGCTTCAATTTCAGCTTCAATTTCAGCTTCAATTTCAGCTTCAGCGACGGTCGTACATTCCTCCGTAGAAATTTCTTCCGTGTTTAACAGAATGCTGTTTTTGTCGTGGGTTTCATCGGCTGCTCCCGAAGCAGGAGAAACTTTACCTTGTATTTCACTACGGCCCACATTTTCAATTTCGCTATGCCCTTCAGAAACATCTTCTGTGTCCTCCGATAGTTCCATTGCCGATTTGACGGCTTGGTCGATGGCGACTTCTATCAAGTTTTCTAGAAACTCTTCCACACTTTTGCTAATCTCCATTCTGCTGGTTTCAGACTAATAAAGAGATTTTAAAAATGTTAAAGAAAGAAATAATTATATTTAAGTCTAAATAAATCTAATTGTTATATCTACTCCTAAACTAATTTCTCAAGAACTAAAAATCTATTCTAATACCTATTCTAATTGAAACTGTATTACTATAACTAAGTGATTTATCACCACTGACTAGATAAGAAATTTAGGGACAAAGCATGCATTTAAACCCAATTCTTCTTTGAATTATTTTCTGAAAGAAAAACACTGCTTGAATAGAAATGTTCTTTCCTAATCTAACAAAAATAACTGGCTAAATACATCAAACATTACCCAACTAACGCTATTAATGACCACCACTGCTAATTTTATTATCAAAGAAAAAAACTAATAAAATGTTTAAAATCTTTGTCTAACGCACATGTTGTACAAGTACACAAGAACTACACTACGTTCAACGTTCAAATCACTTCTATGCAGATCTCACGACGCTAACTTTCTGGCATCAAAAATATATATTTATATATTTACAAAACTTACCAAAACAACGTTTATTAGTATAAAATGTGTTAGTTAAAGCCCTGAACACGAAGATGGATAAACCAGTGTTAAATGTTAGTAAAAAATACGAGATTAAAAATTAGTAAAACAAAAAATCAAAAAATACATATATTGTCTATTCCTTCAAATTCTATACATAAATTTTACCCTACGTTGCAACAAAGAATCGTGCAAAGATCTTTGCTGCAACACATGGGAATTGTCCAGCTACAAAAATATCTATATAAAAATACACCTTATTTACCTAATGCTTTCCTCAGTATTTTTAAAGTCCATGCTATATTTTCAATGAATATCTTAGCTGCTTTGAAACATGCAGTAAAATATAAACCAGTTATTACGGAAGAAAATTGTGTTTTGACTTCACTGCAAATTAAAACACGATTACATGCAGTATTCTATGAAAAACTAGCGGTTGGATTGGGCTTTGACACAGGAAAATTTGCACAAGTCTTCAGACAACCTTACCATCCAGGTCTTGCCCAATGGAGTAGCTAGTTTTTCACAATTCGAGAAAAATATGGTTATATGTTATCCTATATAAATAGTTAAATAGATAATTTGGACTAACATATACTACTTGCATTAATATATCCTGCATTTTTACTCAGAGCAGGTTTGATGATGAAGAAAATATCAACAACACTTACGACCTCAATTTTATGCGGAATACACAATTCCCCTAAGTTTCCTTGTATAGGAAGATGTCGAAATTATATTGCCTAAGGTAACATACACGAATATATCTATACGTAAACGTGCATATATTATTAATTTCCAATGACGTTAGAGCCCTATCTATTTGTTCACCTGGTGATCGTCATTTTGTGAACCGCTTGGTTCTTTTTCATCGTTCTTCTCATCCGGTATCGATTCTAAGAGTTTGGAAAGTTAAAGCAAGTGAGTTTGGGATATTTACTTTGAAAAATTATTTATACCTTGAAAAGAAATCTCTATAAATATGGCTGGAAAGTTATGAGAAGAGTTGCATCTGCTATAAGGTGCTGTTGTTGGTGATGGAACGAAGGACTGTTAATGCCTTTAACACAACCCTCAGAAAATCACCAATTAATTTAGGAAACTGCGCAGACCGACTGAGTTCACGAATATATCACTCGTCAGTGCATTACGTTTCCACCGAGACTCCTATGAGTCTATGACGTTTTGCCGGAATCAAAAGCATTTCGAATCTATGGGCTATGGTAAGAAAAAATCTTCTACAATGCAAAACGAAATAGTAGACTATACCTTCTTCATTTACGTCATTGCTTTCACTTGAATCAGCACCCTGTAAAACATTTAAAAAATGGTTTCAAACATTGCAAAGAAATGCCCAATATCGCCTTCTCTTGCAGAAACGTTCAGGATGTTCAGGCCCCTATCGGTATAGGTTGCTACCGGAAATTCTTACCTCCCCGGAGTCAGAACCCCTTCCAGTAACCCTTGCCAATTTCAGATCCACCAGAAGTTTATTTACGAAGTCCGCGTCATCGTCTTCGGGGTCACGAAGATAAATATTGTATACCTTACGATGACGTGATCGGAAGATTCCTTCCAGCATTTTCCCAGCACACACTTCGGTCATTTTTGTCACCGCATCCGCTGACCACTTCTCGTCCGCGGGCTCAAGGTCCACTAAGGAGCAATGAATAGCCTGGCGTGGAAGACTGGTGACAAATTCATGACTGATAGATTTTAGTCCGCCCGCCGGCAGATTGACGTTTTTCCCGAAGTCGACAAGCGTGACATCGACGTGATCATCATCTCCGATGTTTCTGACGACAGCACGATACCATTTGCCATCGTCGGGGGACTGGGCGCAGCACAAGGCACCCACATTAGAGGCATCGATGGAAAGTGTTTCTTGGATATCTTCAGTGAAAGTCGTTTGGATCGTCTCCATGAGATGCGAAAGTTCGATTTCCATTCTCGACAATTGGCAGAAAAAACTTGACGGGGATTGAATGTGTGATATAGTAACCTAAGAGAACATATTGGGATAAAACAGGGTTTGTGATGACCATTAAAGTTAAATTCCAGGTGTATTTAAGGACTATTTAGGATCAAAATCTTAAAAATCTTATTAAGAGTGAACCACAATAAAGGTTGTTTTTCACTGTCGCGTTTTTCATACGCACGTACACGCACGTAAAAGTCTAAATCCTTATATATTTAGCGAGGTGAATAAATCGAAAGAACTTTGTTTTCTGCATATTTTAGTATGCATTTGTTGACCCATTCGTTAAATAACACAAATTTGGAAACATTTTAAGTTTCCCGCGCGTGGAAAACAGCCCTAACACTCCTGTCGAGATATGATTTGTCTATTTTAAGTTCGTTTTCCACTAGGCGATTTTATTCGCGCAAAGCGAAGCGATATATCTGAAGTCCGGATAATTATGGATAAGCCTGTATTTGAATGGCGATAAAAAAGGCGGGAAATCATCGCAGCATTCCTTGTAGGAAATCAATCACATTACCTTGTGAATATCTCCGAGATTAATCTCGGGATAAGCGTAACGTTGGCGGTCGCTCGTATCAGACTCGGGAGACGAAAACAACGCTTGATCTTCGCCGACTGTTTCCGAGACGAGTTCATCAGGCGGGGTCATATACGAGTTTGTCTCATCACTGGGAGACTCGTCCGTGAGTTCAGTCCTAGGGCTTAAAAAAGACGGAGTCGTACTACTACTGCCCGTGGCGGAGTCGCTTTCAAGACAAAGTTGGTTTTTTTGAAACTCGATGTTTGGTGCAGTAATTTCCGAAGGGGTTGTCTCGTCCACCGTGACCTCGGGAATGTCCTCAGAGACTTTCTTATCGTCAGCAATTGGTTCTTTTTCGGAATGTACTTTAACATCAGTTGTAGACTGAAACGGATAAGAAGAATTGAATACAAGAAGATAGAGTGGTTAGAATGCAGATTAGGGAGGGCAGTGAGGTATAAGGCAGGGTAGGTTACAGCGGGCAGGAGTGAAGAGGGATAGAAAGAATGGGATAAGATTGATGGAAGAGGTTGAATAAAGTAAACTAAAACGGAATGAACAACGATGGGAATAGAAGGCAAGAGAGATTATGGTTGTCTGGTACAGAAAATAGGAGAGGAAATGAAGTAGAAAAATTGGAGTAGTATATAGTAGGATAAATTAGGATAGAGTATGGTTAAAAAGATTGAAGTATTAGAATATAATATACCTCATCCTGATGAGGTGTTTTCTCTTCCCCAGGTGTGATCGGGGGCGCCTCTTCATTGAGTTCTTCTTCAGCTGGTTTTCCATCGTCTGTGTTTTCTTCACCAGAGCGAGAGTCAATCTCGTCAAGCAAGCGGTCGATGGCATGACAAACGGCTGTTGCATCGTTCAAATCTTCCTCGCTGTCGCCTGGAGAAGCTCCTCTTGTCACGTCTTCGGCTTCGTCGCTGCGACTATTTTGGGCGAGTAGGACATCGTCCGCTTGTTCTTTGATCGGAGGCCGCTCATCCAGAACTGGTTCTTCCAAAGGCAGTTGATCATAGGCTGGTTTCTCTTCTAAAGCTGGTGTACCGACTTCTTGCTGGTCCACTGGCTGGTCGTCCACTGGTTGGTCCAAAACATCTGGTGATTCAAGATCTGGCTGGTCGTCTACTGGTTGGTCATTTATTAAGTGATCTTTTACTTCTACTGTTGCTTCATCCACTGGCTGGTCATCTACTGGTACTTCATCCACTGGCTGGTCATCTATTGGTACATCATCCACTGGCTGGTCATTTACTGGCACTTCATCCACTGACTGGTCATCTACTGGTACTTCATGCACTGGCTGGTCATCCACTGGTACTTCATCCACTGGCTGGTCATCTACTGGTACTTCATCCTCTGGCTGGTCATCTACTGGTACTTCATCCACAGCTGACTGGTCATCTACTGGTACTTCATCCATTGACTGGTCATTTACTGGCACTTCATCCATTGGCTGGTCATCTACTGATTTTTCGTCCACTAGCTGGTCACCCACTGGGGGACCTACCTGGTCATCTACTGGTAGTTCATTTCCTGTAAGGTCGCTAACTGTCTGGTCTTCAACAGCGGCTGACTCGACATCTGGCTGGTCTAAAGCCTCGCTTCCTTTCGTGTCTTCCTGTTCAACACCATCTCCATCTTTCCTCGCAACAAGTTCCGCCTGGCACAACTCATCCAACAACAGTTTCTGCGACTCAATTTCTCGTAAGGAAATTTCCATGGCGCTATCGGAGATTCCGAGAATTTCACCGACATAACATTTCTCGGAACATAATTCTTCCATCGCATCCTGTTTTTCCTCCGACCATTCTTCGAGAGACTCGGGTGAGACACCGGAAAGTTCTAAGTGGATAGCTTGTTTGGGTAAAGCTGCAAATTCAGGCTTCAAAATTCGAATTCTGGATTGAGTCAACTTCTCAGAGTTTCCATAATCAACAAACTGAACGGCTAAGCTCGGTTCAGTCTCCAATATCACAGCGCGATACCACGAATCATCCTCAGTGAACTGGGCACAAACGGCCGCTCCAACGACCGGTTCTACACGCGCCCAGTCTCCTTCATTCAGGTTTCCATAAAACGCTCCAAGCTTCTCCATGAGATCAAGCAGATCGTTTTCAGAGTCGGACAGTTGACACCAAATACTCGCTGGTGATTCGGCAGACACGTAAAATAGATTCAACTTGTCGCCAATCTTCGCTGGGAAGTTCGAATAGGATACTTCAGCTACCAAACTACCTGGAGCTTCGTTTGAAGATTCCACAGACCGAGTTGCGAAGGATTTCTCGACAAGAAGATCGCTTAAAGATATTTCCTCGTCTTCTGAACGGCCGTAAACGATAGCTGTGGCAGCAAGATCATCCACACTTTTTATTTCGATCGTAAGGGACCTGATAAAAATGAAATGACGGTTAAAGCAATGATAATAGCGCCGAAATTAAACTCGATTTTCCTTTAGTCTGTGATGTCAGTGTCACACGAAGACATCAAGCTGACGGATGTGAAAGAGTGCAGATCAAGCTTTGCACATATATTCGCATACAACACAAATGATTGTATATTGAGTAAGTGAAAATAAATAACATTAGATCAACATGCGAGGCTATAAAACATCCGTCAGAAGTGAACTGGATTTAACAAAATTGGAACGGGTGAACTCAGACCTTAAGAAATTTGGAAAATATTTTTATTTGCCCAGTTAAAAAATTACTCTTTGACGGGAATTGCGTATTGAATAAATACAAACTACAAACTTTTCGGAGGTAAACTCTTCGACAACGGTAATGGCGTCAGAACTCCAGTCATCGTCACTGGGCTGGATGTCGGCCAACAAACACGCGATGGCTTGGCGTGGTATTGCCAAAAACTCTGGCTTTAAACTTCGTAATCTTGCAGTAGGTAATAGTTCCTCGTTACCGTAATCAACATAACGCACCATGACACCTTAATATGAACCATATCATGGTTATCAAAGACAAGTTTAAACTACACTAGAACGCTGGCCCACTGATCTCAAAAGGAAACCCGGAGTTGTTGAGTCAAGTATTACGCTAAACTATAAGAGCTAGCGATCCAAGTTTTATTATAGTTCACTGGTTATAGTCCGATAGTTTGGCATGCATTGACAAATAAACACTGATCTGATAAAACACTGGATGAACTTCACGAACACAGAACAGAGAAAATTACTTCCGCGTAATACATTAATTCTAGCATCATTTTGGGTGGGTATAGTTGATCCAGTTTACTAGCAGATAAGTGGTACAAAATGACGGAGCAACATATGGTGTACCTTCATCCTGCTTGCCAAGTATTTCCGCTCGATACCAACCGTCGTCATCAAGAAACTGGCCGCAACACACTGAATTGACGTCGTAACTCGTGACCAGCAGTTCCTCGGCGCTAAGTGCACTGTATACTTCATGTAAATGATCCATAAGATCATCCAAAATGCCCTGATCTTCTGAGAGCTGGCACCAAAGTTTCTGAGGCGATTCAATATGTGAACATATGACATCCTTCCGTTCACCTGAGGTCAACCACAGAAATACAATAAACGCTATATCGACTTACTGTTGGAAAATGTGAGGAAGGAAAGGCTAGTTAAGACCCGTTTACACTTGCAATTTTTGGAGTGATTTTCTTTTTTTTGGAGATGTGAACGAGCGACTAGTTACGGATGCTCTGATGTATAAGAGCTCGTATTTGGACATCCGTAACTAATTCACTCGTTCACATCTATCAAAAGGAGGGGAAGAGTGAACTTTCCCTTTTTGACTCACGGATACTCTCTCGCATTCTTTAGTGCCATTAACTCGACCAAGCTGCTTTGCGCGCTTAGTATTAAAAACTTGTTTATCCGGTTAGTCTACTAGCCAACAATTAATCGGCTATTCGTGCATGCGTGAGTCGTCTCATTGAGATCTTTGATTCGTTCCCCTAAATTTTCCGGTCATTTTCACAACGGTTATTTTACCTGCTGTTAGTTCTTTGACCTGATAACGATCAGAGATCGCCACTTCTGCGGTAGTTCCACTATCCGAAGCTGATGCAACCTCGCCAGATGTTAAAACTTTGGCCAAGACATCTTCCCCATCACAGAACAGCCTAACTGAAAAAACCTCGTCATTTTCGGACGTAATCTTACAACGAAGTTCGTGTTCTCCGTAAATTTCAACCAATTTCTCGCCAACGTCATCCGTCCAGATTTCCCCACCGTTTGAGAGATCGAAACAGCAACGGACACTGACTTCGGGTAGATTTGAGAATCGTTCAGATATTGGAGCAAGCCTGTCGGCATCTAACCATTCCGCATTACCATAATCCACGTAAAGGACCCTGACCAGGTCACCATCGCAATCCAGGACCTAAAAATTTATATTTAATATTTGAATTATATTTCAAATAACATTAATGTAGATCTGAATTAAATTTTAAATATCATCAACGTAGATCTGAATCATATTTTAAATACCATTGACGGGGATCTGAATTGTATCATATTTATACTCAATTATATTTTAAATATCATTGACGGCATTTGAACAACCGGCCTCTGATCTATATATAAGTAACACTCTTACCTTTGCTCGATACCAGGCCTCATCTTCAGTAAACAGAGCGAGACAAGACGCTCCAGTTTCCACTTGCGTGATCGGTAACGTGTCCTGAGGTGGGTTAGTGGCTATATCATCCATTAATGCCTCCAAGTCACTCACGTGACCACTTAACTGAAGGATGACGTCATCTGGTGAATGTACGCTGACAATGTACACAGCGGGCTCGTCCCCAATGGCCAAACGTGGTTTTTGCACAGACGGGGTAACCGCGGAAGGTTTGAGTAGCTGATTCAACGAGGTAGTCCCGTCTTTAAGCGTCAGTATCCAAGTTTTCTCGAGGTACGCTTCAAACGTTGCTTGAAGTGGTTTATCCAATGCGGCAGCTTCGAAACTGGAGCACTGTTCGGGCGTCCACGAGCCACGCGCGAGGGTGCAGGGTATAGCATGACAAGGCGATGTTGAAAGTTCAGCTGAAAGTCGACGAAGATCTGATGCGAGATTCGCCACGTCAGTGTTGCCATGGTCGACGAAACGAACGGTCGCTGTGTGATTGGTGGGGTCGACGGAGAGGATCTGGGCTCGATACCAGGCCTCGTCTTCAGAGTAACGCGCACAACAGAACATATCCTGAGAAAAGGATTTAACGTTATCACTAAAATGGCGCTGATATCTCTCGTAAGGATCTACCTAATATGATCCAGTTATTTGATTGGATATTTGTAACAATAGTGAACTGTGTTTATGATTCGTTCTTTTGAAAATCAGTTTCTAAAGTTCATTGTATTTTATGGCTATAATCAACCAATAGCAAAGCTTGTTTCAATAGCTAGGCTCTTTTCGAAATGAATTGCAAAGAAAAGTACCAGTGGACTCTAATACAACTGGTAAATGATATTGAAAGCGAGAGTCTTCAGTTTTTCAGAGTTTTGGGCATAAAATATTTTCACGCTTCGTGAGGCTTTCAATGCAAGTATATTGCCGCGAGAATTTGTTTTTGCGATGAGCGGAAAAGAATACGTGTTTCTACACACCTTTTGTGGATTAGGCAGTTTATAACTCTCACTTTCTGGGCCGTCGTAAGTCTGGGCACAAAGTTCAGCCAAGCGTTCTAGCTCTTCCTCAGTTCCAGAAAGCTGCACATAGAATTCACCGGGGTTGACCAAGTGACTGATGTAAACCTCTGCGGTTTGTTTTCCTGTCACAGGAAACGCCGTAAGGGATATCTCGGCTGGCTGTGAAAACGAGAGGAATGCGATAAATCTCAAATCGTGCTGTAGCATACCAAACAAGTGAAAAGTTGCGGCTGCTTTTATGAGGCTACAGGACTTCTAAACTGCATTAAATCCTAGTAATTAAGCATTTTTGAACAGATCAAAAAAATTTTCATAGTTAAACATTAAAAACAACTGAATTCAACCTGCTGTGCCAACAGAAACTCCCAAAATTGCAAGCCTGGGCGGTATACAATACCTCGGCAGAGTCCTCAGATAGTTCAGATGGTTTTTGACTAAACATGTCATTCAATGATAGTGATCCCTCCTCATCCGTCATTGTCACCAGCAATTTAACATCCAGGTCTTTCAGCACGGTCATCTTTAAGCACTTGTCAGCGGTGGCTGTCTCAAATCGTTCCTTCGTTTCTGAATCCCAGGCTCTTGGTTGGTGGTGTATCTGCAAGCCACAACATATGGCCTGCGCGGGTAGCTCAAGCAGACTGGGATCGAGCTCTTTTATTCTAAACAAAAAGATCAATTTTTTCATTCCGTAATATTCTTATTCAATCACCCACTGACCGAAATGGAACGTTTTGGAACATGGATGGAGCATTTATTACCATGAAAAAGATTAATTTCAAATGGGATTTTTATGAGGTCAATGTGAAGAAATAAAATCCACTTTCTTCGTTACCTTTCTTTCGGTAAAACCTCCGTATTTCCGTAATCGACAAAAAGCACTTCTACGGAGTCAGGCCCAGGCTCCTGTGTAACTCTCGCGCGGTACCAGGCATCGTCCGCAGTATACTGAGCAGCACAAAGGGTGCCATGCTTGATATCCACTATTGCTCCTCGGGATCCGTCGGTACAGCTTGTATGTATGTCGTCCATAACTAGCAATACAATGCAGACAAGGTAGAAGTCTGTTCAAACGATGTCATTTTTTCAGATCCAATTCAATTCTGATGGATGTTTTATACGCTGTTGACTTGAAATAATGCATATGAGCGGCAAATTAAGCCGCCAATGCAGTACTGCTTTATCACTAGCAGACTACATTCCATACGTCAGAAAGGAATTCGATCCGACAAAATTGGATCGTGTGAACAGACTTTATTAAGACATGCAGTAATGTCTACGAAAAGCAAGGAGAAATTTCGTTTTAGACCAATCAGCAAATTTGTTTCGACCATGGTAGAATACGCCGTTTTCCGGTACACTCGACCATAGTTGAATACGCCGTTTTCCAGTACATTCGACCATGGTCAAATACGTCGAATACGCCGTTTTCGGGTAGACTCAGCCATGGTCGAATACACCGTTTTCCGGCGGACTCGACCATGGTCGAATACAACCTGTACTACAACCTGTAACTCCCACTGCCAAAAAATAAGGACATTAATTTATAGAAATATTATGAATTCGTGGCAGTCAACATGATGGACAAACCTTTGTCAATGGCGTCTGCATTCGCAGCCTGTTGAACGTAGAAATCCTCGGGATTTCTCGAATGTGTTACGTAAACATCACATGATGTCCCCACAGCCACCTTAAGTTCATAGAAATCATCTTGCACCACCTCCGGTTCAGAGTCCTTGCTTGTCACGAGTTTTTCACGTGCCAGCCACGTGTGTATGCTTCCTAATTTGTCTTCGAGGAGGGCTTGGTACGGTTCCCTATCGGAGCTCAGCCTTGCTCGAAATTCCTTCTCGACAACATAGCGAACGAACGCGTCGTGCGCGCGTGGGGTCCACGAATACCGTTTCCCCTCAGTGCTGACACGTGACAACGAACACATCACACCGCGCATGGGCGGATAACGAAGAAGTTCCTTTTCAAGATACCGTACGCGTTTCCCAATCTCCGCTCGGGGAATCGTCTCTGAATTTCCGTAGTCAATGTAAGTCATGTGCACGCCACCATCGGGGTTTAGCCCCGAGACAGATGCCCGGTACCATGTTTCGTCTTCGTTAAACATGGCGGCGATCACGTCATTGACTTGTAATGGAGTAGCGACAAAGTCCGGTGGGGTCCCCTCATGGTAAGTTTCGTACATCATGTCCGCCACTGTGTCAAGGTCGAGGTTAAGTCTTGTAAATTGGCAGATAAAACTATCCAGAGATTCCGCACTCTCGACCAGGACATTTTCAACGTCTTTGAGTTGGAGTTTGGGAAGGCTTGTGAGCTTGGGTAGTTTTTCCTGACTTCTTGAGGATTTAGCGCTGATAGCTTTGAGGATGTTTACATTTTCAGAGCCATGGGTATCGAACAGGGAGACCGTCAAAGTTTGGGTGTTCGTATCTTAAATGAAACGAGGGATATTAAAAAACGATCTTGTAACCACAAGTTTTCCTGTGGTGTAAAACCGGATACAGCGTTCGTTCTTTCAAAGAAAGTTGAAACTTGAGCAATATCAAAGGGCTTTTTTAAGGGTTTTTATGGAAATTCGAAGACAAAATCTCATTTGTACATAAACAGAAATTAATTTCCCGAGATTTCACGAGCAAACTTCGTCATTGCATTCAGTGTAATTTCTAGTGTGGTATTCAAGGGAAAATAATTTTGCAGATGTAAGAATCAGTCTACGTTTGACGCCATGAACTAACAAACTTTTCACCTCCGTAGTATTATTAGAACAGAACATTGCATCCTGTCAGACACGATTGTAATGGTTCTCAGTGGAGGTACCAAGTTACCAAGCGAGCAAAATTAGTTTGACCACGGAGGGAATCGAACCAGCGACCTTTGGTTTGCTAATCCAATGCTCTTCCAACTGAGCTACTAGGTCAAGACTGTTCAAATATGTGGTATTTCGGAACTCAATAACTTGAGTCACATGCATTCATTATGAATCGTAACTCACAACATTCAATGTTCAAATCAAAGATCAAAAGTTTGATATCTTACCGATGGACTTCACATCTGCAATGAGGTGCTTCTCAAGAACCAAGATCTCGAATGTATCGCACTCGTTACCATTCCACTTTTCCTTCCCGTCATGCAGACGGCATTTGACCGCTTGCACGGGCGTGTCATGGAACGCGGGAGCAAGCGTTTTGATGTCATGTAAACCAACACGCTCGCAATTTCCGAAATCAACATAACAAACTTCCACTTCGTTTGGAGAAGGAATACTGAGAATACGCGCCCTGTACCATCCACCATCCACTAAAACAAACAAATACTTCCATTAGGAAATATTAATCTTCATTATGTGCGATTATAAAATCTTCATCAGGTGCGATTTTCTTCTTTTGGTAGATGTGAACAAGTAACTAGTTACGAATGCTCTGATGAATAAGAGCTCTTATTACAACGTCCCTAACTAATCCACTCGTTCACATCTATCAAAAGAAGATCGCACATGAAATCCCAGAAAAAATCGCAAGTGTAAACGGGCCTTTATAAATTATTATAATCTAACATGCTCTTTTTACGGTTGTGTTGAGTTGAATTTCTTTTGCCTGAATCGATTATATGCTGTGACCAGGATTCTAGGGGCATCGTCTCACCTGGGTATTTGGCAGCAACAAACATGTGGACTACAGGATTGACAACTGCCTTATCCGTTGGTTTGAGGTTAGAATACACTTCAGTCAGTTCTGTCATAACCTTCTCCAGACTTCCTTTATTCTTCACCAGGTGAAGGTAGAACATATTGGGACTCTCGCAGTGAGATCCACAGACGTCCATCTGTGATCCTGACAGGATGTTGTACGAACTCAAGAAATCTGTCCGAAAAAAGAGCAAAAAGTCAGGTTAATTTAGTATTATCATAGGGAAAGTTGGGGAAACTTACAATATAAGTCCTAACAAAATAAGTCCTATTTAACTACATACAGTAAACATAAAATGGAGGGATAAAAAGATATCACATGTCGAACTTTTTATCTAATTCCAATCGGTTAGAAAACAATCTTGAAATACTTATTATGTCATATTAATTTACTGAAAATCGGCTTTCTTTTGAAGAATTTTGTTCTCCGGCTGCCATCGAAAAGATTGTAGCGAGACGTCGAAATCAACATGCCCTTTTAATAATAAAGAAAAAATTCTTATTTTCAACAGAAAATGCTACCTTGCAGACACAAAAGTTCGTCAGGAGGCAGCTGCAATTCCTTGCTTTATCAAAGCGACACATGCAGTAAACAACACAACATCGCTGTTGAAACCCATTCAAAATTGCAAAAAATATTTTCGACGACTTGGTGATATATTTTTCTCTATGGTGAATTGGTGGACTTCGTGCAGGCTTTTGAAAACGGCCCATACCTACCATTTATTGACCGCACTTCTGCTGGTTTCCCAGAACCCTGTGCAGAACTAAACAGTCTTCTACCATTCATATCATAGACCTCGACATCGTAAACACCGTTATCCTTTCGACCTGTCACACGAACCATTAATTCCTTGCCATCGATGGCTTCCCTTATCTTTTCCACTCCCGCCGAAGTAGATCCAACCAGCCTAGCTGAAAAGCCTTGGACACTCGTTTCACAATAACACGCGAGTAACCTCTTTATTCTGGACACCGGAAGTTCCTCACTGTTGCCGTAATCGATATAATTAACTTCTACTGTATTGACAGAAACCTGATAAGAAAATGGACACTCGTTTGATCGTCAGCACTGAACTATATATATGAACTGGATGATAACTCTGTTGCCATCTTTGAAACCAAATCGGAGGACTAGTGCCAGTCCTTTTTTTACAATATTTTTCTTCACGGTTATGGATCACGTGAAAAAAACAATAGAAAGAGGTTGGCGCTGGTTCTTGATTTGGCTTTAAAATGGGATTCAAAGATGGCCGCCAAAAAAGACAGTTATAATCGTTCCAGATTTTATAGAGACCCTAGACAGAACTGAAAACCATCTTAAGACATGAATTGTTACGAGAATGGCTACCATTTCTACCTCAACGTTTTCCAGATAAATTCCTATTGCATTACCTTAGTAATGACGGCACGATACCATCCGTCATCTTCGGTGAACATTGCACAGCAAGTATCGCCAATCTTTGGCTTTACCAGACGTTCATCGCCATCGCCCAGGGGGCGGTAGAATTCTTCGAGCCTGTCCATAAGCTCATCCAGGTGTTTCGAGGTCTTCGTGAGTTGACAGAAAAAGCTTTCGGGACTTTCAAAGAACGTCACATAAACGTGTTCTTTGGCACCCTTCGTTACCTGGGCTTCCTCGACTTTGTATACTTCGGCTTAAAGGAAAAATAATTCAAATGCAATCCATGAGAAAGAGCTTAGAAATTTTCGGAGCTTATCGGAGTCAAATACTGCCGCTTGCATTCAACAAGGTGAATGATGTAATAGAATATATCCTCATTTCCCAATTACTCACTTAATACAGCAAATAAAGACTTCAAATTTACTTCTACACAACTTCTCATTGACGAAAGTGACTTGTCAAAAAAGATTGGCCATTTTCCCCCCGAACGCAGAAACGACCGAAAATTAATTGACTATTGTTTACCTGCTTAAAAGCCAGGCAAAATCGAAACTCAATTTGTTTAATAATGACAGAAACTGCTTTCATTGAAGCACTTTCATTGCAGACGAGTTAAGGCTAATTATCTTGAAAATATTTTAGAAATCCCGTTAAAAATGGTTTTTCCATTTTTTTGTCTACCTAGAGAGGCGGAACAGTAAATAGTCTTTTATTTACTCTGAAAAGATATGTAAATTTCGCGCCAAAACTGTGTAGCTATTAGCAACCAATCAAAAACGCTGTAATCTTCCTTGAACGAACCGACTGAAGGTGTTGAAAAACTAATGCTTTACTTACTTTTTTTCCTATCATCCATAGTTCCAAACAACTTCATCCCGTCAGCGTTGAAAAGCTCGACTTCAAACACGCTCCCCTTATTCTGCGCAACAATCCTTGCGTCGAATTCTTTCTCCAAAACACTATCCTTAAACGACGAGCTATCCACAGCGTTCGCGGTTTTAACACAGGCGTGAAAACCTTGGACAGGCAACCTCGTAAAGTTCTCGTGTAAAGTCTTCACTCTGATTTGGGGAATAGTTTCTGAGTTGCCGTAATCGATGTAACAAACATCAAATGTGGTACCAGAACGATTGTTCACCCTCGCACGATACCAACCATCGTCCAAAGTGAACATGGCACAACATGCCTCGCCAATCTATGATGGAGGAATAAGCTGTAGGATTTTTAAAGCTTTTGAGAACAGAAGAAACGACACAGTCATGTTGGAAACACAATAGGCTGGCCTCTGACAACATGGGAGTGTACGTAACCTTCATACACTGTGACTATACTAGATGTTCATTTTATGTTTTTAAAGGCAGAATTTTCAATTTATGAAGTACCAATTTAGCTATAGGCGCACGAGGAATTGGCCAAAAAATGCACTATTAATGACCACAAGCAGACAGTTGCGGCATTTTTAAATCTCAACTCTGAGTAGCAAGATCACGCACATATAGTCAATACCTAGGGCCTTAGCATCAAATGTGGTATAACAACTGCCTAAATAGACAAAACACTTCTCGACGTTTCGACCTGAGGGCGAAAAGAAGAATACGTCGAGAAGTATTTTGTCTATTTAGGCAGTTGTTATACCACACTTGATGCTAAGTTGTTTGAAGACGCTGCCACGTTGCTCCCTGGTTATATTGGAACTTATCAAGTAAGGTTATATTGGGAATAACAAGTAAGAAAATGCTAGTTAGAACATCGATTTTTTGTAGGTGTCAAAGCATATACGAGTTGAATACAAACGAAGTCTTTATTGTGACTTGCAAAGTATTCTATACATAAAGCATTCGTTTTTACCTCTGGGTCTTTTAAGGACTCCTGTTGATCTCCGAGCGGTCGATAATGCTCTTCAATCTCGTTCATTAAGTCGTCAAGTTGAGCGGTCGTTTTAGTAAGCTGGCAGAAGAAATCGTCGGGACTTGTTACAGAAGTTATGTACACACGCATCGTCTCGTCGATTGAAACACTTGCGTCCTTTACCGTACAGGGTGTACGTTTAGACGACGCTAGAGAAAGAGAGAAACATGTTGTGTTAAAATAAAAACTGTTCACCACGCGACCCAAATCCAATTCACTTCTGAAAGATTGACTCGCATTGTATCATAACAACGCAGTGCTGCTTTATCAATAACAGACTTTACTATTTGGCTTTTCAAAATCCTCTGATCTGATTGGCTGACGAGTGGTCTATATGTTCCGTATATGGACCAGTATCCTGGATGTCTCATGCAGCTCAGCCATATAATAAACCGTATTGTGAAATATCAGACCAAAGTTTTTTGCATGGACATATTAAAAGCCTCGGTTTGATATTTCACAGTACGACCTCACGCTCAGTCAATAATCAGTTAATATTAAATACGTCAGAAGTGAATTGGATCCGACAAAATTAGATCGTGTGAAAGTGCCCTAGTTTTATCAATCCAGTTAAACAGCTCTGAGTACCTTGTCTCTGTTGTGACCTCTCAGAACCACTGGGGAATAGAGGTCTTCCGTTGGAATCTAATAGACGAACGACGTAAGCACCATTGTCATCTTTTTTAACAATCTCTGCCTTCAATTCTTTCTCCAGTACTTTCTGCTCAAAATCCGCCGTATTTTCCGAGCTCGGAGAGAGTGGCTTAGCATGGAAGCACTGCGCGGGTAGCTCGGTGAAGCACGCATTCAAATTCCAAATTCGAGAAAGTGGAAGCTCCTCGCTATTTCCGTAATCCAGGTAACGGACTTCGACACAATCACGTGAGAGCTTCGTGACGACAGCCCGGTAGAAACCATCGTCCACCGTGAACATGGCGCAGCAAATATCGCCAACTTGTGGGTTAACAAACGTGGAATCGTCTGGGGAGAGGTCGCGGTAGAATGATTCGATGCTGTCCATAAGTTTGTCTAATTGAGAAGATGTCTTAACAAGCTGACAGTGGAATTCTTCGGAGCTGATCACGTTTGTGATGTAGACGAGCTCTTCAGTACCAATGGCGATATTGGGTTCATCCACTTTCGATGTTTTTTTTGCAACAGGTTCTACAATGTGAAATGCCGTGTAAATAGACCTTTCCTCTTTTAGCTTTCAAGCGCGCATTGCGTGACAGTAGTTGATTATCAAGCAACTTTGAGTTGCGATATCGCTCTGCTTAGAAGCGATTTTATTTGTAAGAAAACCTTGCCGATTCTTTTTGCTTCTTTGCTAAACTAAATCTCTCCTAAAAATGGTGAAATCACAACTCAAATTGACCTTGATAATCAACTACCATCACGCATTTCGCGCTTCAAAGCAAATTTAAAAGGGAAAGGTCTATTTAGGCTACAGAATATCTGATGGCAGTCACGTTAAATTTTAATTGAAATCCTTGTAAATTCAGCGCAAATTCTTAACTTGTAGTACGACAATAATGCTTGCAAGTAAAGAAACACCATGCGTGAACACACCATTTTACTGCATGAAAATATCGGTTAATAACCTAAAATTGTGTTTTCTTTTCGCTTCCCTCTCTTGTTATGCAGTTAGCTATATTCATATTTAAAATTGCCGCCAAATTTATTTAATCAACTTCAGGCATTTCATCCTTTGTCTATCTCCTGAATGTTTTATTGTACTTTCACCTTGATTCCAAAGATATACTCAACACACAATTTTGGTTTGTTTACAGTGTAATTAAAACATGTGAGAACAAAAAATACGAGTGAAAACTCGACTTAAGAACATACCTTTCTCAGCATTTTGCTTCGCATTATTCCCGGTGCTAAATTCAACCATCTCTTCGTTGATGTTAACAGATGTACCTCCACCTGTATCGATCAGCAACACCGAATATTTGCCATTATTGACACGTTCGTCCATCCGACCAACCAGCTCTTTGCCGTCCACCATGGCGAGAAATTTACTAACAAACTTGTTCGCTCTCTTGTGAGCCGAAGGCAGGTTCGCGAGGCTACATTCGATGGCCTGGATTGGTAACTGCAGAAATTCCGGATTCAAAACAGCGACACTAAAATAGATGTGAAGCGTTTACCCTTTTTTTACGATGCCTTCCCGTTTCTAAAAACGCCCTAACGGCAGTAACGCCCTTTGAAATAACTTGATTGGTCAAGATATACTGTCTCCGTCTAGTCACTGGCCGGTGACTATAGCTTTTTTTTGTTGTTTTTCAAATAAGACAGTTGAAGTAATCATGAATTTTTATGAAATTATGTTGATTATTATTTGTAAACACCCCGAAATTTATACTAAAACAATAAGTCGCCTTATTAGTTCCTACTCTTTTACTCAACTTCAATTTCCCATTGTTCTGGACCATTGAAAAACGACGTTTTCAAGCATTGACTTACCTCTTCGCAGAAACAATTTCGCAATTCCCGTAGTCAACAAAACGAACTTTAAAACGACTGTTTGGCATTTTTTCAAGAATCTTTCCACGGTACCACAAGTTGTCATCACTGAACCGTGCACAACACGGGCTCCCTGGTGACAATAAACGAATCGCATTAAACTGAATAAAACGGCATATTTCGCCAGAAACAGCGATAAATATACATGAGACAAGGAGAAATAGAAAAACATACGGCTATAACTCAAAACCTATAGTATCTGTATACTAGCATAAAAACACAGGAAAATGATCTCTATTTCTTTGGCAGCCTAAAATGTTGCAACTGGGTCGTTATGTATATTTTGCTAATAATTTTTGGGCAAGAAAACAGCTTAGTTTGTATAATCATTTGTGAATCGAGAGAGGAGAAAAGGCGCGAAATGAGGGAAATGGCGCGAAAGGGGAAAAAGGCGCGAAAAGAAAAAAAAAGGCGCGAAAACGAAAAAAAGGCGCGAAAAGGGAAAAAAAGGCGCGAAAAAGACACGAGGGGCTAAGATTCTATTGGGTCTGAAGTTTTATAATTCGCTTCAGTTAGTCTGTTGACGATTTTACGTTTTAGCGGGAAAAGTGTCTTTTATAGATCCAAACTTTTAGGCATTGAATTAACGTTCGGGAAAAACATATCAATGTTAGCTATATTACAGTTACCTTTGTTAAATACGTTCAAGTCTGTCCCCTTTGGTGGATTCAGGTCGTAATACTCCTGAAGATTTGCCATCAGACTTTCCATGTCATCCGCCGAGGAGACAAGATGGCACCAAAACTGGTCGAGATTCTCAACGTGAGTGACTTCAATGTCAACATAGTTACCAATATCTACGGCTGGTGGATGGTAATTTTGAAAACCTGTCTCGACTGGAACTCCCGGATGATCTTCATCAGATATCGCAAAACCTGAAAAAACACACAAACTCATACCTCAGCAATAGACCTTTTCGGTAATTACGTCAGAACATAGACATTTTAAATTTAACACCACCTTAAATGAAATGGATTTCAAGTTTTACTCTCACAAGCCACGTGCAAAGATGCAAACATCCTTCTTCAACACGTGCACGAAAACGAATTTTTAATTTTTACAAATAAGTGTAGAAATAAGCCATAACGCAAGAACGAGCCTCACGGTCTTGGTCATTGGTCCAGGTAGTCCAGAAGCTCGTGTGTCCAGTTCTGCATATATATATCGCAATCAGTGACACACATTCACAACAGTGAAACAAGGGGAAATTTGGTTTTAGACCAATGAGCAAGTTTGTTTATATTTTCAGTTACCCAATCAGAATGCAAAAAAATCTGACCACTTCCGGTAAAAAGGTTCATTATTTACCATTTTACATGAAGTTTTAAAAATTAAGGCATTCTGATTGGCTTTGTGTAAAAAATGTAAACAAATATGCAGATTAGTTTAAAACGAAATTCCCCCATGTTCAACTGTGAATGAATGTGAATTCATTATGTCACTGATTGCAATACATGAAACTGCACAAACAAACTTCTGGGCTACCTGGGAACTGACAGCTAACTGTTAACACATCATGCAAAATTACAGAACATTATTTCGAAATACCCCCTTTCTTTATTGCTTTTGAGCCAGCTTCCACCCTATGTCTCAGCCCACACTTCAGACAATACCATGTCATACAAATTGAAGTTAATAAGTTTACAGCAAGCAGGTATGTAATCCATTGCTACTTTGGTTTAATTAATGAAAGTAATCACAACACATAGATCGTGAATGTAATCCTTGTGGCGATTACTTTTATTAAACCAGAGTAGCGATAATTGCGATGGACCATGTCATACATTCATCAATCTCTTTGTCTGCGGTGATTGCAGCATAAAATGCTTTGTTGGAAAAAAATTCTACTTGTATCAGTTTTGTTGATGCTCTCACAGAAACTTCACCAAATTTAATTTTTTGAATAGATACCAGATTTAAAAAACAACAAATGCTTCTCACCGAAACTTCGCCGAATTTAATTTTTTGAATAGATACCAGATTTAAAAAACAACAAATGCTTACCTTTCTGAACTAGTTGTTTGTTAATGCTGTATTCCTCATCACCAACAGTCTCCATGACACATACACTATAATTCTGTGCCTCGCTGTGCGAGACAACTTTAATCTGCAGTTCTTTGTCTAGTATTGCATTTTGAAATTCCTCAATTGCTTGGTCGGTCCAGTTTGGTGCAGAAGGGCTTACACCATACAGGCAACAGGGAATGGCTTGCTGAGGCAACATCACAAACTTGGGTTTTAACTCTTTGATTCTTGTGATGGGAAGCATCTCAAAATTACCGTAGTCCACATACATTACTTCCACTTGCCGATTTGCAATATCCGAGCTTAAAATCAAAGCTCTATACCAACCATCGTCCTCGGTATATTTGCCACAGCAAAGCATTCCAGCTTGAGGCAAGGTTATGGTATCATCAACATCGCCAAGCGCTTCATAATACTCACTTATATCATCCATTAGCTTGCTCAAATCATTTGAATGTTTTAGAAGTTGGCAGTAAAAGTCCGATGGGGATTCTATATTTGTGACCACAACCTTTTCTGTACTGCTTGGAGCAAGATCTATGATGCCGAACGAAGACTTCCTACGCTGAGATGTTCGCGGTTTTTTGTAGTCTGTCAATGGTTTAACTGCAACAGCCTTGCCTTGGTCGACTAAAACTTGGCCAAAATTTATATCTTTAGTCTCTTCAGATGTGTCGAAAAGAAAAACTTCTCCAGCATTGTCCCGAATGTTGCTTAAATAGCTTACAAGTTGCTTTTCACTGGTGAGTGTTTCAAACAAATCACAAGCATCCTGAGGCCAATCGATTTTATTATCCATCGGCTTGACTCCATACAATGTGCACTCTAATGCTTGCATAGGTAATTCCAAGAATCTTTCATCAAGTCCCATAAGGTTAGAAATATGGACAGTCTGGCAATTGCCATAATCGACAAACTTTACATTAATTTCGCCAGTGGAAGAAGGGGTTTCGCTTGTAATGATTGCACGGTACCACATATCATCGTCGGAATACTTGGCACAGCATGGGTTATTTTGGCAACTAGATGTCAACGGGTAATCGTCCTCTGTCGCTTCTCTGTAAGTCTTTTCCAATTCTTCCATCAGCCTATGCAATGCAGTTGAGTTCTTTATCAATATACAATAGAACTCACTTGGATTCTCACAGTGGGAAACAAGGACATCCTCAAAGCTAAAATTATTCAGCTCCAAATACTTGTAACTTTGCTTCGGTCCACCAGAATTGGCTGGAAGCGGAACCTCGGTGCGCTCAAGGTAACCAGCCGAAATTAATGGATCTACCACAAGCTTACTCATTGTTGCATCTTGGAATAGGCTAAGGACTAAAACGTTGTTGGTTTTCAATGAAACTGCCTGGGCAACAAAGATTTGCTCCAAAATCAATTCCTCAAGTTTCACAAGCAGTTCAGCATTCCAGTTTTCTCCAGTGGGTTTAACATCTGCAAGTTCACATTCAAAGGCTTGCGGTGGCAAAGTTATGAATTTCTCCGTAGCTAGCATAGCGTTATTGGATGCAACTAAATCGCAGTTTCCATAATCAAAGAAAAACACCTTATAACTGTTATTATTTACACCCAAAACTTTACCTCTATACCAAACCTCGTCGAGGTGGTATTGAGCCAGGCAAATATCGCCGACTCTCAAAATCTTCGACCTTAAAGAACTTGAGGTGTTGTGGGCAACGAAATTGGCGATATCTCCCATAAGATCCTCGAGTTTTGAACTGTTCGAGTCGCTGAGTTGAACGAAGAAATTGCCCGTTTCTGCCTCCACGTGGGTTACCAGCACTTCGACCATTTCGTCGACAGGAAAGCGTAGACGCCATGCCATCGCGGCTTTAAATACTCTTTAACTAGTTTACTTCTTTTCCTATACACAAATCGCAGCAATTTTCTTTTGATTTTAAAAAATGTACCTTTTTATGTTAAGAAAATGAAGCGATTGAGGCGATCTCTAGCTATGACAGTCGCACAAACCACAACGAAGCCTAGATTGAAGTATCAAATCGCTAAAAAACAATACATCAAAAGGCACAGGTTAAAAAACCATACACCAAACGTTGATAGATCAGAAAACAATTTATACAGAAATTACGCCATGCACTGTTGTGAAGCACTATTTTTTTGCTGTGCAACTTTCACCACTTTTTCGCACTTAGAGAGCTGAACTTACAGAATATACACCAGTGGTTATTGACTAACAAACTCGCTCGGAATAGGATAAAGACCGAATACATATCGTAATCTGATCTAGACAAAAGCTCTCTAAAGTCGCACACGTAAGCTATTAGTCGACCACTCGTGGCTGTTAGCTCAGCAAGTTACTCTCGTGTGCGGATAGTTTTTCGTGAGGAATTCTCCTGAAGAGGCAAGTTTGAACTAACTGGCAGGCTGAACTAACTGCCTCGCGAGGTCGTTAGCTGAGCTGATAGCTCTCCTGTGCCGGCTGTGCGGGCTTAATGTTTCCAACGAGCCGGAAATCCATGTAGGTGAAACAATAATTAGAAGAGTAAGATTTTCAAGGTATAACCTCCGTAGCAACAACCGAGATTTCAGTTTTGATAAACCTAATACAAATTTCATGAAAAAAAAGCATTTCTGATGTCAAATTTATATAATTTAATAACTCGGAAAATATTCAATGGCATATCTCTGATGTTTCCACATTAGCAACACTCGTGTTCCAAGGTGAGCGTTTTCGATGGACCTGCCTCTGGATGCCGAACTTTGGAATTCTATCTCAGTAAGAAAGTAATAACCAAAATTAAACTGTTTCGGTTTTTATTTCGTCCATATGAAATTAATAGATCATTGAAAAAAATTTCAACTTAGATTACAAACTAAACAATATGATTAAAAACTAGAGATAACTTGCAATGCAATTCTTCTTTTGAGATATGTACTCCATCGCGTTTCTTACACCTACATTTTGAGAACTCTTCGCTAATTTACATCTCTTAAAAGTAGAATTGCATTGCAAGTTGCAAGAAAAATTGCACCGTGTAACAGGGCCTTTAGTTGAGTGTCGTTTAAGATATTAATAAACGTTATATTAATATCAGAATTAGAATTTTTACTTATTATACCCATATTGCCGTCTAATTTCTCAAAGAAGACTTTGTCATAATCTGTTTTAGGCGACGCCATCTTGGTGTTATTTGTATGCTCCAAAAAGTTAACTTTCGTGTTTCAAGACAGCAATTTATTTGCCTTTGTTTGCTCTGTGATCGCCTATTGCCTCATTCTGTTATAGTTTTATCACCCATTCAAAGACAACAGTAATCTAGTCGGAGTTCATAGACTCTGTGTTGCTCTCATCGCTAGTGCTTCCCCATTCTTCTTCATCTGATTCAACTTCACCATCAATGAGTTCCATCAAGCACAAAACTCGGAAATAAACATCCTTCTTTTCGTCAGGAACATCACAAAATTGAATATGAATAGCCTCATCTTGTTCAAGTCCTAAATCTGCTGTTTCAACTAACTCCGACAATCTTTCTTCACGCGACTTAAGCTCAGCTATGTATGGCTCGTCGGGTTCCACAGATTCAACCTTCGTTTTACGCTTTCGTTTCTTCTTCGGTTCATTTTGAGGCGAAACTTTGACACGCCGTAGCTGTCGGAAGACACCTTTTATATATTTCTCGTTCACATGTTCCAGTATCTCCAACTCGTTCTCAATTTCGCTGGTTTCCTCTTGAATTTCCGCATAGGAGTCGTTGATGATTGCTATGAACATATTCATGAGCACCATCACGTTTAATCCGATAAAAGAAAAGAAATAAAGTGTCGCTAGGACCGGGTCGACCATAAACAAAGCCTCGAAATCAAAATCTCCTAAAGTCATGCTGAGTTGCGTGACCAGTGTTCTCGAGAAGGAACTGTAATCCTCGAGTTCAGAGCTGAAAACGGAGAAAGCAAAAAGGGCGAACGCGAGGAAGCCAAATACGAATGGGATGCAGAAGTTCAAGATTGGTGCGCTGATTCGAGACAGAGTCTTTCCAATCACGAGGAAGTTCTTGTTGAATCTCAACAAACGCAGGAAACGTAAAATGTAGAAGAATACCAGGACGCCAATGACGTACGTCATCAGAGCATCGACGTTTCCTGCATATTGGAAACCGACGTAATCGTTTGGATTCTCTCTTAGCTGAAGAAGATTTCTGTCAACCTCGTACAGACGCGCCAAGAAGAGAACGATCAGCAAGAACTCGCTGAGAATGAGAATAACTTCAATCCAATTCCAGAAACCTTTGAAGTAAGCCCAGCGCTGTTTACGAAGAACTTTTACTTCTCGATAGAGGAAGTATATCATGAAGAATATGACCAGAACGTGGGCTAACGTTTGTCCGCCTGTGAGCTGCAAGTAAAATCTTGCTGATTCGTATTGGACTTTCGTTACCGCTCCAGACGAAGGTGGAAATTCGATGAAGATGGACAACATCCCAAAGAGGTTCGTGTTTGCGTTGTACACGGTGAATTCGACAAAGACAGCGCGTGTTTGAGCATTCAACCAACCATTCGAATGTAAGTCAGCAACAACTGTATAAGCAGTCTCTTGATCGTAACCAAGATTCGCCGCGTAACCCCCGCCGCTGTACATACTGATCGTACCCCAGTACGGAAATCCACGAAGTTCCGACATCGTTTGATGACGCCATCTCTCGACACACGAGAGAATTCTGCCACCAGATAACAGAGCTTTGTCCATGATTCGATACGTTTTAGGATTCTGACTTGACAAGAGACGATGCTTTTTGCGACGTTTTTTACCGCTTGTTCCTCCTTGGATGGGATCAATTGCTCTCTTCTTCCGAGACTTTTCATCTGCGCCATTGTTTAAATGATCAAACCACTCCCGCTCTGTCTGTGTACCCGGCAGTATATCGCGGCGTTTTCTCGAAGCAGTGTTGGGCAACGGAAGCCAGCCGACCCCGTAGTCTCCTTCATCCTGGTTCAACATCGAATATCCGCCATAACAATGAGGAATGATGTTCTCGAGAAGATTTGGTACTGTGCACGAGTCTAGAATAAACAATGTGATTTTCAAGACGTAATTGACAATACACATGGGTCTTGAAGTCAAGTCAGTCTCTGTACAGTCAGTCTCTGTACAGTAGCAAGCCTGTCGATTTGTCCCGCTATGCTAATATTTTAGTGTTCACTGATTGTGAGAACAATAGATTTCTAAAGACATGAATAATTATAATAACTCCAAATTTACATAGCGGGACAAAATCGTCAGGCTGGCTACGCCACTGCGTACAGTCAGTGTAAAGGCAAATAAACACTTTGTCTTTCCTCAACTGTTCCCAATCCGTACCACTAATAAGTAAGTTTTCATGCGTTTCGCTTTCATCAATGACTGAATGAATTGTTTGATAATATTGACTATCGACAATGTCTGGGCACTCTCTCCAGTTTCACTTCTCACCTTTCTTAACACGCAAAAGTCTAATGCGCGGCACTCCCACCAGATAGACTTCCATATTCGCCAACCATCCTTTCTTACTTTTATCGTTACTTTGTCCATCACTTGAGTAAAGACCTGGGATCAGCGTCTCACGTGACCACATCCATAGCGAATCGACGTCTGAGATCTAAAAGTCAGAGGTTAAAGAAAATATTACAAGAGATTTTGAGCGTTTAGAAGATGTGACATTGCAGAAGAGTAGGGGAAGGTAAAATTGAAGCTATATAGGAATATAGTGCAAAGACATGAAGGAGAGTTGGTCAGAGATATTATGGAATGAAGAGATCAGAAGAAGATGTGAGGTGGTAGACATTGTAAAGAAGATGAGGCAAGCAAGGTTGAGATGATATGAACACGTAATAAGAAGAGATGAAGGAGAGCTGGTCAGAGATATTATGAAATGAAGAGATCAGAAGAAGATGTGAGGTGGTAGACATTGTAAAGAAGATGAGTGAAGCAAGGTTGAGATGATATGGTCACGTTATAAGAAGAGATAGAGAGATGTTCAAGGATACTATGGAATAAAGAGATCAAAAGGTAGTAGACATTGCAGGGAAGATAAAGAAAGTAAGGGTGAGTTCTTCAGAGGTGTAATAAGGTGAAAGGATCAGAAGATGTGGTGTGGTACACATTGTAGTGAAAGTAAAGAATTAATAGATGATATGTACATATAGTGAGAAGAGATAAAGGAACGAGAAGAAAGAATAAGTTATAGTAAGATGAGATGAGATGAGTTAAATAAAAGCAGTAAGTGGTCGAACAAAAAGCAGAACTGACCGAAGATAAATCAATTCCGTAAGCATCGACTTCTTCAAATGTTTCAAACATAGTCTTTGTCAGCAAAAATGTGTTGGGATTCCTGTGATATTGAGCGACATCCATCAGCAGAATGAGAAAAACAAAGAAAGCGAAAATTTCTGTTAAAGCTGCATCCATCTTAATCTCTTTCAGACGTTTTCTTCTTGCTTTTTCTAGTTTCTCTGGATCTGGTGGGCTGAAAGTGAAAATAGTAGGAAAAGAACTATTTCAAATTAAAAAAAAACGAGTAACGACAGCAGGTGATCTTAAAACCAATAAACAAACGCAGCAAAGGCAACAAAAAAAAGAAAAACAGAAAACAAGACAACACAACCCAAGCAAGAACACAAAACTTAACAACACGACAAGAAAAAAAGAAAATGGAAAATAGTTGGAGCAATAATATGCTTACAACACTTGAGAGAGACAAACGTAAAAAACTAAAATAAAATACAGAAAATGTAGCGACGGCAAGAACAATAAAACAAGCAATAAGAGCAACAAAAAATTGGGAAAAACAACAACAAAACTGTTTAATCGAGAGATCTGTCACCTGTAAAATTTTTTCATCTTTTTCTTTGTAGGAATGATCTCTGAAGATCGATTTTCCAGCAAAGGTATCGGAGTTTGTTCTTCTTCAGTATCTGTAGGTTTGCGGATGATCAATGCAAACACAATGGCCAGAACAACAACTTTGATTGGTTGTAGAAGAAGTACAGATTGTAAAAACGATGTTACCATTGCGATTACCCATTCCGTCGACGTTTCCTTTCCCCACTGGATGCTGTAGAGCAAGGTGAAGAAAATAGATGCACCGGATGCCAAGTAGCAAATCGCATAAGCAATATAAATGAACCAGTGAGGAAGCCTTCCCTTTGACGCCTGTCCTTTTTCTTTATCTTCTTCTTCTTCACCATTTTGAACTGCATCGTTTTTGTTTTCGGATTTCCCCGCTTCCTTTGGTCGAAGATTGCGGAATATTTGTACGATTAACACATTTACAGGGACTATGATTATACTGCTCTGTAGACCAATCACGAACGGTTTTAAATCAATGACCAACGATCCGAGATGAACAGCAAACGGACTCGGACCCTGGCCTCCCATGTTGTAAAACATGGCGCTCGTAATCATCGTGCAACACAGCAGGCAAAGAGCGCACGACAGACGTTGGACGCGCGTGAAGTTGCTGGTCGGAGGCCTGGAGACAATCGAGAACCATATATGGCCATCAGCCAGACCTTTGATCGCACGCGTTGAAAACAAATGTCCGAAGTTGACGGTCTCTTCCTCGCTAGCGACATGAAGTACTCGACATACTTCGCCGTCATTCGACTCAACTGCCAACCAATTTTCACAAAACAAAGGCCATGTTTCCCCCGTCTGAAGATCTTTAACCAGCACACGACTAAGATACCACGACGGTGATGAGCCTGAATAAAAATTTCTCAAGCTCAAAAATGATTAATGAACGGGAAACCAAAGAAATAAATTTAAAATTGGCATCTTCAGATCGAAAAAGAGTACTAGTACTTTAAAAATGAAGCAAATGAGGTTTTCAAAATCTTAGGAATTTGAAAGGACACGTCTTCAAATATATTTTTGATGGGTTTTTACAGGTTTAAGTAAATTGGCTTGTAGGTCCATCACTTAAGTATTTAATATACTGCAAAGCTTTCGGTCGTTAACCCGGGCCTTCATCAGTACAATTATTTGAAAGCACATCTACACGTCACTTAAATATCACGTTAGTCGTGATTTGTCAGCTATATATTTTATTATTTTTCGATTTGTTATAATTAATCGCATCTGAATAAATTATAATGCTCTTAAGTATAAAATTCTTTCTTACCACTATTATCGTGCCAAATTTTGAGACGGATAAGTTCACCAACTCTCTTTGGGTATGAAACAACAAAGGCGTTTTCTTGGCCACGTTCAAAGAAAGGTCTATGACGGTCTCTCAACCTGACAGGTTCCGTTTCACCTTTCTCTCCACTCATCGTAAACACGACTCTAGCTGTAGTTCCTGCTCCCTGTCTGCTGCCGGTGTAGGTGGTGATGAGGTAACGATAGGATCCTTTAGGTTTGGAGAGGATAGTTGGACCAACCTTAAGAGTAGTAGTAAGATGTCAAAAAATCAGGCAGAGAAAAAAAGTAATGATCACACAGAATAGAAGGAAATATAGCACAAGAGAAGAAAGAGGTGAAACAAAACATGGCAAACTAACTATTCTTTTCCTCCATCTTATTTTCAGTATTGACAATCACAAAAGAAAGTTTACCATTAACATGTCTCTTTTATCCGCTCGCCTCGCCCAGACAACACCAATGATGTAAATGCCAAGGATAGTTGATATCAGAGCCAGCACTGCAACATTTTCAGCAAGACTGCCAAAGTTTTTAAAAGCTGAATCGAAATCGATTGGATTTGGCGCAACAAGAAGATCACTTCCAAACGATGTCAAATGATTACAATAACAATTGATTTGCTCCTTGTTTGTGCCCAAGGCTACCTGTTTACAATGAAAGAAAAAAATACATGCTACATTGTCGATGTTTTCAAGCTAACTCATGCATGAGTAATTTAGCTTGTAGGTACACCACGTAAGTATTTAATACTGCAAAACTTTCGGTCTTAAAGGACCGAAAGTTTTGCAGTATGAAATAATTACGTGGTGTACCTACAAGCTAAATTACTTATTGATGTCACCATGCAAACATACAAGAATATTATTAACTCAGGCATGGTTGGCACAATTCGTCTTAGTTTTTTTTTAAATCTTGTGGCTTACTTTCTACATTATAGGTAAAAAATTTAAATACCCTAGCTGGGTGTAATTAAAGAAAAATATTCTGGTATAAGCACCCACCCTGCATCCTTCACCTGTCCAAGACTCATTTACCACATTCCAATGCATACAACTCGACTCAAACATCGTGAGATTGTAGTTTGGAGTTTGGTTGGGGAAAAAGAATTTTCCATCAAAGCCAAGATTGTCCGCCACTAAGATTTCAATAGGAGGGGCATTGGTTGTTTTAGGGGGAGGTGTAGGGATAATAACACATGACCGACGGACTCTTTTCGCGCCAACTTCGCACGAAACTGAACGACGTCTACGAGACGCCATTTTGTCATCTGTCTTGTTTAAATTACTTAAGTATTGGATGGCTATAAACGGAATGAGAATGAACGGAATAAGTGTCATTAGCAATGGACTTCAAAAGGTTAACGGCTATGAGTAATATAGAAAAAATATATAAACTTGAACTTTACAAAAAGATACAAAGAGAATAAATTCTTGGGGCTAAAAGCTTACCAAATCAAAAAACTTACCAAAACAATATTCACCCGTCCCATTTAAGTCCGTATTCGACACAAACAAGGTGTAAGGGTTTCGAGAACAATTTGATGGAACGACATAGACCAAGTCTTCTTCTAGCGAACGATTTGAATTCTGTTCATTGTTATGGCTTATTTTACAGCTGGACAAATCTGGAAGCTCAAAGGCTTTGTCATATACATCGTTTCTAACATTAGGTCTGCCACCTTTTTTCATGTAAACAACCAACTTGATCCCGATATCTTCAGGCTGCAGGTCAAAGTTTATCGATGTAAAATTGCTGTTTCGTGTCAGACAATGGTACTTCAGGAACTCCTTGGTTCCGCTCGTGTGATTTTCTTCGCCCGGTTTCAAATAGAACGCATTGACTGGAGGAAATTTCGATGGATCACGAGCCACCTTAATGAAAGCCTCTTCAGTGAAATTTGACGTGGACATGTTCAAATTCGATTCGAGGACAATGTCGACAACGTTTGAAGCCATGTTTTCACTTGTTGTGTCCCAGGTGAATAAATTGTCTTTCAACACACCCATCTAGAAATGAAAATTAACGAAGATCAGTGCACTACGAGTTTTCTAGCATTGGATGAGTCAGAAACTCAGACTTCAAGACAGGAATCAAGAATGCCTAGTTGCCACATGTATTTTTGCATGCATGATTTACGGATTCCGTTCGAAACAGCTGCTTTTGTGAAAGCAAATATAACCGCAATCTGTTCTTACCTTGATCGAAAGAGGTTGCATTTGAAGAATTGTGTTGTTTGGATCCCGAGTAACTAAATGGAACCATTTGAATGATTAAAGCACAGCATTTGGTTTCCTTTCAACCTTCATCACGCGCTACACCTTATTTTCGGCTATTTCTTTGTGGCGAGATAATGGTCAATTACACTATACCCAAGTCATGTCTAAGAAACGTGGTAAAAATTTCCACGGGTTATAAAAACGTATACAAAACGTGCAAGCTTTGCCACACAATATTTCCCTTATTCTTTCACATTTCGCAACCAAGCTTCGTACTTTTACTTTTTTTGAGCAGAATATCCTTGAATATATTTTAGGCAGTAAACAAATATGAGATTTGCAAAAAACACAACGTGCATTTGTTATATTCAGAGCTTTCGGTCCTCCATTTTCTGATCGACAAAAAATTTTCCTGGCTGTCTTTCGACCTTTGAATTACCTTCCTCAAAACCAAGGCCTTGTGGCGAAGGAGGTGTGAAGCCGCATTTTCCCAAAGTGCTTTTGTGTCCACCAATACTTTTAATCTTTATTTTCTCAACTTGAATGGACAACGATGGTGTTTCCAACGTCAAGGGACCTTCGCTGGTCACAAGCTTGCCAAGGAGAACATCTTGAACTGTGTTGAGAAGCGCCATTGAACTTTTCACCTGCCCTGACTGAAAAGTAGAGCAGAAAAAAGGGGAAATGTGACGAACTGTCAAAAATAAACTGTCAACTTTTTTCTATATATCGAATTGCTTTCCAGGAGAAAAGGATGTTGAAGAGCGAACTTCAAGATAAGGACACAAACAGAATACGATTTTTTATAAATCTTAAAACCAATTCCTTCATATAGTAAAGTCGACAAGCGGTTAAAGGTCTTAAATACTGAATTACAAATTAGAGGTTTGAATAATTTTGGAATGTTTTTTTAAATGAGCGATCTTGAAACAGGTGAATCTTTGAACGACTTTACTTTGACCTTTAAAATTTTAAATTTGCAAAAAAGTTGCTTCAAAGTGGTATATTTGTAAACATGAATGTATCAGAATAATGCATTAACACAAAATTATGCAATTACGCACCAGACTGCCTGAATTGAGTCACTTACCGATTGTTTTAGATCGCCAGAAGATAGATTTTTTTGCGTTTTCGGACGATTTTGAAATAACTTGACCTAACGTTCCGACAATTGTACTGGCAGCATTTTTAGTATCTTTGAATCCTGCACCGCCATTCGATAGTTCCTTTAAACTTTGTGTAAGTGAGCTGCAGAGCGTAATGGAAGAGTCCTTGAAGATAGAGATTTGGAGCAATTTTGAAAGACCTGTATTTGAGAACTACATACTTGACATCGTCGTCATCATTGGCGTAAATCGACCGTTAATTGAGGGGGACCATATTAAAATTTCTGCTTTACGTGGCTAATTTCTTTTCAAAACAATTTCACTTTCAATAAAATCAGCCTGGCATAACAGAATATATTTCATATTTGCCCGCCCCACAATTAACGTTCGATTGCGGTGGGCGTGAAAAATCGTTAAGTGATGAGAGGGAGGAAATATTCATATATTCATGTTAGCATCCCGTAATAACGATCAATTTTAAAAGAAACTAATAATACCCAACGGTAATATATGAATATTTGCTCCCCCCCCTCCGCAATTAGGGATCCTCGGGGCCCCTGTTCGATTGACGTCTATGGTCGTCATTATTGACAAAATGGGTACGGTGAGTTTGGTCCGAAATTTTTGATAAAACGCGCAGTGATTGAAACAAATGTAAATTAGTCTCAGTGCAAAGACAAGATTATGTTTTTTCATCAGTATTACGATTAATCGGAAAGCAGAAATGTTTAATGTATGTCACTTTATGTATCATGTATATTGTTTACATGGACGCCTGTGGGAAAACCAATGAGAAAAAGAAGAGCAGATTACTTACTAAAGCTTCGGGCAGCAAGTCGTCCTTTTTCTCTGTTATCAAATTGAGAAGCATACTTTGTTGCATTAATGATAAAATATCCTCAGCCGTGATGTTTGCGCCAACCAGCTGTTCCAGGATTTTCAAACGCATCTGAAACAAGGAATAAACGTTTTCTTATTTCCTAGTACGACCATATATCATAAATACAAAAGATTTTTACAAGTTTCAAATTTATTTCCAGTTGATCAAAGCCGTAGAAAAGATTTTGGTTACGAGTGGAGGGTCAGCAGAAACCTAAGGGCATGCAGGGGGGGAGGCCGCCAGTGTAAATGAAGCCAAATTTCAAGACCATTTCATGAGCACCTACAGACGCCTTGCATAGACGTATATGAAGCTACATAAACGGTTTTTTAAAGAAGAATATAATTTTAACAGGGGCGCATAATTTAACTAGAAGAGGGGGGGGTGACCCCTTCAGTTTCCGCATAGTAACGCCCCTCAGTGGGATTTGCCGTCCGTTAAGTATACATAAGCTTTGAGTCAGTATTAATATTTACCTCGGTAGAAATCTTTCCCTGTTGTTGCGAATCAGCTGCTGTACCGTTGCCATCTAAATTCAGTAAAATTCCCAAGGAAGCACTGAAACTCATTGCTTGTTGATTCAATCCTGCGTCAAGAAGCTGTTCGAGGCTGTTGTAATATGCCGACATCAACTTATCCAACTCCGCCATATCCGCCATCTCAGGCGGAGGACGAACCTGACGTGAAGAAATAAACAATGCCGATAATACGGTTAGTTTACTTAATCAATTCTTGTTCATTGAACCTTGTAACATGAACATATATATCCGATCTCGTTAGTTAAAAAACACACTTGTGGAAATCCTGAAACGTTTAACTCGATAATACTCGAAATACTCGAATATACTCGAAAGAAAACCATCGTATAGAAAGCCGTAAACTTAATTCGGTGACAGAGATAATATACCAAACTCTATATATATCTTATTACACCGTGAACAAAACTCAAGCATTCGAAAAAAGCCAAAAATTTTAAGAGAACCCTTTACCTCTCGGTCATAGGCACACAGTCTATCTAATCTAATTCATAATATCCACATGCATTGGCTATTATAGAGGCCACCCTTATCGAAGAAGGGTCGGGGAGTGATAAGGACTATTTCTTCAAATAGTGTTCTTCAAACCTTCAATAAAGACAATGATATACCTGGACCGTAAGAATATACTCCGACTTGCTTCCGATGACATCTAGAACTAGCACACTTATGTTGAGGTTGAATTCGTTCGTTACGTCACCGACTGGTAGTCGATCAACAACGGTTGCTGCCTTGCCAGAAGCGACTGTTTCGTAGGCGAATATCACCCTTGCTCCGTTGTTAATGTACGCGAATTGAATGAGCAGAGGAGGGTCTGGGTCTATCCAATCCTGACAAGTGATCGTGAAATTCGTTTCCAACGCAATACCAGAATAAGGGAATATCGAACAGTTTCCTATAAGAAAAGAAGTTAGAATAACAATCTGTCGCCGGTTATATCAAGCCCGTTTAGCTTAAACAGTGCATAAGTCAAAATTAAATACCACCCTTAGATCTATCTTGGATGAGTCAACTTGAATATTGTGCACTGAACATGTAGTTGTAAACAGTGCCTTTGTATTAAGGTTGAAAACATTTAGTTCGCTTGTTGAATAAAACGGACACCACATTACTACTCTGGTTTAATTAATCAAACTAATCACCACACAAAGATTACATTCACGACCAAATTGGGTCATGAATTAAACCAGAGTAGTAGCAAGATTGCGATGGATTATATACCTGTTTGCCGTGAACTTATTAACTTCAAGTTTTAAAATGGTAAAATGTAAATTTCTTTGAACTCTCAAAGCTAAATACAACATTTCAGCTACAGGGAACCTACACATAAATTGTTGTTTACATAATGATTTTTTCACTTCCTAATTGTAAATAAACATAGCGAGCAAGTGATCCTAGAATGATCGCCAATCAAATTGAACTTACCTCTTTCCGGAGGCGAATTCATGAGCAAAGTGTATCTCAGCTCGCCAACAACACCACTAGGTCGTATTGCCCGGAATGCTGCGATGTATTTCTTGTTTTCCTTCAGAGAATTCGGCTTGATAGCAAGATCAAGCTCATCAACGGGGTTGGATGTCATGTTACTGAACTCTTCCCTCGGGATTTCAATAAGTTCCGTTAAGTTATAAGGCTCCGGTGTGTTCACGTCATCGTACAGGTAAAGCGACCAAAGGAACGTCAATTCGCCGTAACAACGAGCATCACAAAATGACTCGAGGATAATTTTCTCGTCAGTGTTGATTTTGGACTTACAGTTCATTTTACAGCTGTAAAGAGAGTTTGAAAACAGATTTACTCAAAACTAGGCTAATCAAGAGTAAACTTTCATTACTTTACTGGAATTACCTTGTTTTTATGCCTGGAGGAAGACCTTTAGCCACATAAAAGAAAATGTTTTTGATGTCTTGTCGAGGACCAAATTCTGGATGGTCGGTCGAAATTACGAGAGAAATCGTATATCTACATTAACAATGAACAAAGATACATTTATAGAAAATATTTATAGGAAATTATATGTAGAATGTTTACTTATTGGAAGTTATCTTAAATTAGATCGAACACGCAGGCCTTTTGGAGCTTTCGAGTGCAGCAGAAAAAATTTTTATATTCGGATCGGACAAAAGGGATATGTATATGTTGCACAGGACAACAGTCTGATTTGAATGTGCAGCCAGCCTCAGTAACGGTAATTAATTTCTAGTTCTGTCCTGAAAAAAATTATAACGCTTGTAATGATTACAAATACAATTACTTGTCAAAGTCTCGTTGAATATCATTTGATTTTTTTTCGCGGAATATATCAAAGAAAAACAGGATTATACAGCAGTTAGATAAGAAAAGAAAAACAATAATAAGAAACAAACTCTTTCTCTATCATTGCTATCTTAGCTGCTATGCCTATCCGGCTGTGTATTTGAGACAAATTTAATATCGAAAACTTACGTTTTATCTTCTATCATCGCCCTAGTATCCAATTCCACAAAGATTCCAGTTGTGTTCAATTGACCCCGACCTGTTCCAAAGCACCCACCAAGCTAAAAATAAAATTGTTGAAAATTACAAAGGATAAAAAAGGTTATCAGTTAATTAGTGTACAAGGTCTGAATTTAAAGAGGTCAACAAGGACGAATTTCGTTTTACTCCAATTAGTATATTTCATTCAGAATCACGAGTATTGATTTTTTTTGGTAAAAAGGTATATTATTCACCATTTTACATGAAGTACTCAGAAATTAGACATTCTGGACAGCCTGGAAAATGTAAACAAACTTGCTGATTAGTTCAAAACGAAATTCCTCCTTGTAAAGAGGTCTGAAACAATTTAAATGTAGCCCCTTTCGAGTCAAACTAATACTCAGGTTTTCTCTTGCACAGGCAAATTACATTGGTATGAACTTCGTCTCCAGCTTCTGCATCCTCGTCAATTTCAGGAATCGCAATCAAAGGTTCTTTATCCAGTTCAGGAAGAAGAAATTCGTTGTCGTCAACATCTCTGCAGTACCACGAGAAATTCATTCCATCTGTTCCGAGAAAATCTGGATCTACCGAAGACGAGGCATTGAGAGAACCCTGGCATTGAAAAACATAGAAGAGATTCAACACAAAATTAACAAAAGAATATAAAAATGTATTATTAGCGTACAATATACACTAGTTGGCGCACAATTGGTACACAATAGCGCTATAGTTGGAGAGTTGAAACTATCATATAAATATTATTGCTACAAATTTTGTAAGCAAAGGAGTATTTTTCTAGTAATCGACTGTTCATTAAGAAGTACTAACCATGAATCCATAAGGGACGGTATAGAACGAACCGCTTGTCACGCTAGCCTCAAGCCAAGGTGTCTGAACAACTTCAATATAAAACGAACTGCTTCCGAACACGTCAGGCAGACCTTCCATCTCCAACCGGACGCTGATCTCATAGAAACCATATGGGAAATTACGCGAAGGCAGCAACAAATCGGCAGCAGCGATATCCGCCTGAAAAACTGATTTCCGCAAATTGGAAAGGGATAGCCCGGGAATAGTGCTTAAAGCTTTGACGTTGTCGTCGAATTTGCGAACTGTCCAAATTACTTTGGTGTCCTGAGTGATTTCACAGTCTATTTGTTTTTCGGTTGAAAGCATGACTATGGACGATCGATAGACCTGGACAGCGTCCAGTAAATTGGAGTTGTTTGGGAGTAATCCTGCAAGAAAAAAGTAACAGAACATTTTCAGCTTTCAACTTTATACACGTAAATGAAAATGATGCGCAAATGTAGATAAGGTTATACCTGATATTGTAACATTAGGGTTGCGACATTCTAAGGCAAGTACGACTGCGACTAAACTCTCTGTTGCCATGGAAACATCATTTGACGCGTTCAACCTGATGTCATAGGAACCAAAACGAGGATAAACATGGGTGATGACAATCTGTTGGGTGTTCGAATTTTTAGGAAAAAACTTCAATCGTGGTTCTTCCACTATATTTGGATTGATTTGAGAGACATCGATTTTAGTTTCACAAGAGGCGTCCCCGTAGACGAGAAGGGAACTGTTGTCGCCTAAGTCAACCCACATACAAGTATCCCAACCTAGTTTTTGCAACGAAATTGTAAACGTCATGGTTTTGTTTAGTTTCACAGGACCGTCGTTGGTCAAACTATTAAGAATGACACTTTCTTTCAAGACTATCGATCTATTTGTCGACACTTCACTAAAGCTGTTCTTTAATGTGAGTTTTACGTCACACAATTGGCTTTTATCATTTGGAAACGTTTTATCAACGTTCAACTGCGATTCCAATGTTATACCGGAAACGCTACAGTCAAAAATCCAAGTAGTATTTTTAGCCGGTCCATATTGATACTGCGCGCTAATTTTTACAGGATATTCCGCTGGAAACACGTTTTGTAGGCTACCACGACCTTCGACCCCAGATCCAAATGCCGAGTAACTCGTGAGCATCGATATCGTAGGATTTTCGATCAGTTTTTGTACTTCCACCGCGACGGAGCGAATTTCGTTGGAAACTGGGTTTGAGGCATGAATCTCTATGTCTACCAGCCCATCGGGGTCGAAGAGGTTTGGGTCCGACACCAGGCAATCACACTGGTCCCCTACGTGCATCAATTGGGTGACATTGCAACATGGGACACCATTGTAGTGCACCATCACCGACACACGAGTACCTTCATCCATTTCCCATTTGACGAGAATGCTTTCCCCAAATTTATGAACAGACAGCGAAGGCAACAAAGATAGATTTGTAATTGGATGGATGATTTCTACAAAGTGAAGGAAACAGATTCATCCATGCACATTATTTATGTGGAAAAATTGAGCATACAAAAACATGGGAAAAACTAATCAGATCAAACTATAATCTGGGCCTTCTTTGTAATAAACCTATTATCAGTCAGTTGGTCAAGCTGTTGTCACTTGACATTCATATTGTTCAAAAGCGGATTTTTAACGTTTTAGACTAGATTTTCGATCAAAATAGAACTATTCTTAGACGTGTAAAGATAATCGAATAAGCCTTACCGTGTTCACAATTAGTACCATTATAGTCACGTGTGCAGGAGCAATTGTAAAAGTTTACAAAATCATGACAGGTTCCGTTGTGCAGACAGGGATAATAGAGGCACTCGTCAATTTCTGTAGAAAGAAAAAATTGCTGTGAAAGCATATGTATCTTATTAATTCATGCATAGTTGATACCTAATACAAAACAAGTTCTTACCTATACGTTACATGTTTATACGTACGTTTGCATGGTGACATCAAAGAAGTCAATTAGCTTGTAGGTACACCACGTAAGTATTTAATACTGCAAAGCTTTCGGTCTTTTAACCCAGGCTTAACTGTGCTCTGGTGAAGGCCCGGGTTAACGGGCCGAAAGCTTTGCAGTATTAAATACTTACGTGGTGTACCTACAAGGTAGTTGACTTATTTGATGTCATGTCACCATGCAAATGTACACGAGTATTTTTTTTCTTACCTGTCTCGCACTGCTCTCCAGTGTAACCTGGAGTGCAGATACATTTGAAAATATTATAGAAGTCGAAGGAATCTTGACAGGTGGAATTATTTTGGCAAGGAGACGACTCGCACGTATCGATATCTGAAAAAACAATGGATAATAAATAATATTAATGAGATCTTTGTATAGTAAAAGTTTTTTTCAAAAAACAAATTGTTCCATTTTTACTGTCAGTGAGTGGGCATTTTAAACAACAAGATTCGATACTAAAATCTCGTGATATTTCGACTTCAAATGCATGTCATCGTCAAACTAACTAGCTATTTATTTTGTTGCTTGCAAAATGGGGGGCTGGAATTTTGGAACTTGGGCAAAAAAAATTACCAAGATGAAAAAACGATTATTTTTGACGTCTTCACGTCACTTAGTGGGATGGTAATTTCCACAGCAGAAATATGTTCTATTCTAAAGGCACCAGAACAATCCTTACTAAAATTCTTAATATTTTGCATGGGGAATTTATAACTTTACTCACCACTTTACCACTCCAGCTGACAAATCAGTTTCAAAAATAAGGATGATTAAATCCAACCTACCTTCGTAGCAACCAATGAAGTCAGCTCTCAAGCCACACCGCATCGTGCACGTCGTTGGATAAATTCGTATATATCGAGTTAAAATCGCCGGCGATACTTGGTTGGTTACAACGGTTTGTTTATCAGTGTTTCCAGTAAAAATCTGTGAGATGTAAATTTTTGCAGATCAGTTGAAGAAACGGAGAGAGAGGGGTGAAGCGCTTTACCTTTTTAGAAGTGCACGATATATGTAAAGATTTGATTTTCAAATGTATATTCTTGTCTTTTGCTTAATAAAGGATTAACGCACGGATGCCGCTTCATAACTGGCTATGAAGCCAGTTTTCGCAATCAATATGTATTCTCGTTCTTAAAAGGTTCTAGCTAGCTATCTTACGAAAATACAACAAATTCAGGCATGCGAAACTTGCTAGTGAATAACTGGCTTGGTAACAACTAAAAATTTGTGGTTGAAATATTGAAAGGGAATCTTGTAGAAACACCAAACAAAACTTCAAAAGGCTATATAATTATTATACGGGGTGTCCCAAAGAACGTAATTAACCTTCCGAGCCTGATTCCGAAATGAAAACGTGATAAAATTAATCGAGAATTATCTCATTTTATTAAAGCCTGCTCATCCGTGTTTTCAACGATACGTTTCTTAAATATTTCAGGCAAGAAATCTATTTACAAGATAGATTCTCGTACACTGTGATTTTAAGATTCAGTCAACGCGCAAAAGAACTTTTATGTCCCATGGGTATTCAGAAATCAACTACAAATTCATTTTTTTCTTTAATACAACCGTTTGGAAAAACTTCAATGACATACCAAACTGTTCAAACCATAATAAACTGTTTGGCAAAACTTCAATGGCATAACATAATGGTACTGTAAACTTCAAAACACAAAGTTTGAATAGCAAATTGCGTTTTTTTTATACATTATATATACGACGCTAAAATACTCACTTTAGTGATTCCAAATTCTTTATACGGTTCGAGATCAGAGTTACTGTAACCATAGCTAACAGTATATGACTTCACCCAGTATGTGTAATAATAAGTTCTATCTCGACCCTGCGTCTGTATTGCCGAGACAGTCACGTTTGCAATAAAGTCCACTTGCAACCATTTATTCGTATCCGTCTCAAGTGGAAGCCAAAAATTCCAACGAGTAGTTTCAGGGCTATTATTAAGTCTGCTATTGGCAGTTGTAAAACGTAGTGAATCCCAAAAGTGCGGTTTTACGGAAGAACTGGATAATTGAGCATCTTTTATTTGACCATTTTGCATTCCGAGCGGTCTTGGGAATAGGCACGTCATATCTAGAAATTAATATAGGATTTACTGTCGTCATTGAACTACGCGTATTCTGCAACATTAATTCTATGGACGAGAACAACGCAGAAATTTGTGTTTATGAAGAGTCAAGCCAAAAATCACTGGTTCACAATTAAAGGAATACTTAATGGTTTTCCGTGCAGGATTGCGTGAGTACTGCACACGCGGGAAATTGCGAGACTTTCGGAAGGCGTGAAAACGCAATCCTGCACGTAAAACCATTTAGTATTTTCTTTATAAAATAACTATACAATGAAACGATGGTCAAATTTCCCGCGCAAAGCGGCATTGTAAACTTTCCGTGCAGGATTGTCTCATACTGCACGCCTACGAACCAATCAAATTGCGTGTTTCATTGTAGTTATTATATAATGTGCATTTCTTCACCGCTATCAAAGAGAAAACTTTTGAATAACTTTGAAAAGTTCAATTTTTCTTCCGAATACGCATTCTGCAATCTTTTGACAGCCCATCTGACGGCTGTGAAATGGCCATTCTAGGCTTAAAGAATACACAAGCTTCAATTTTTCTGTGCAAGACATATTTTGATGAACACTTATAAATCTTTTTCCTCACAAAGGTTATGTGCACATGGTAACGTTTTCGAGCGTTTTCACATTCGTTTTCATTCCAGAACGGTTTCAAATACCGTCAATTTACAATAGAAGTTGAAGCTAATTTAACCGATATTAAGCATATTTTTCTTCGGATCGTGCGGGCAGGGCGTCTATAAACACTTTAAAAGACAAAAACGATTTTGAAAACGACGCTCGCTACGCTCTAAATGCTAATTTCACTGGAAACCTCATGCATACCTGTGTAGCAACCAATGAACTCTGCTCTGAGAGCGATTGCTGTAAACCACGACGTTGGGTGAATACGAATGAATCGTGCCACTACTTTGGGAGACAATGTTCTCGTTACAATCGAAGTTCTGTCCGAGTTTCCAATAAAATTCTAAATTTGAAAACATTTATTGAATTCTGTTTAAATATTTCGAATCACACGCAACGTTTGCACGGCTTGTGCATGGTTATATGCTTTTTTAAAAATATATTTACGCCTGTATTCTAAAAGCTCACTCACACTCAAACTCGTTGAGTGGAAGATCTCAATACTCTCATAACTTTTCCATGGAGGTATTTTTAGTCAAACAATAGCTTGATTTTTACCAATGTTTTACCTTAAATCTATTCATTGAATATAAGAAAGAACTTTCTCATTGAATAGTAGTAACAAAACTATTTCTATGTAAGATTCAAAGAGTGTGGGTCATGAGCTTTTTGAATACATACAGGCGTTAGAATCGTTGTACAAGTAAATATCTCGAGGAAAAATGACTATGTAAAACTATCTACACAGGGTTGCATGTAGTTATCTCTCTATCTGAGCTACAGAAATTTTGTCAACATTCTGTCATATGCATTGATTATGGTCAGCATGCAAACCTGAATATTTCCATTTTCGTCCATTAAATGGGCAAAGTTTGTTCCATCTTGACTGAAGGAAACTTGATATTGAGTAACCCACTCGTCTACGTCGTTCCTTCCCTGCGTTTGAACGGCGGTAACCGCTATCTGCTTCAAAAAATCAACCTAAAGAGAAAGGAGAAATATTTTACAACTGTACAAGTGAACAATGTTTCGTTTTCGTCTGCAGATCTCCTTTGATCAACTTCTTAAAAAGTCAGGCAACGTCAATTACCCTAAGGAAGAGAACCTTACCAATAACTAAAACTGAACAATCGAAGCTAGGAAAAATCTGAATTTTCCACATATCAACTTACCTGGAGCCATTCAGAAGTGGAATTACTCTGAGGTGACCAGCAACCACATCGTGAAAATATCGTGTTATTAATACGAGCTTCAAAGGGGTTTGCTAAGTAAGAGCTTAGGCGGTCAGTTGATGACGCAGTTATTTGATAATCTTTAATATGACCATTGACCATGCCGAGAGACCGCGGTTCCAAGCATGCTAAGATAGTAGAGAACAATAAAAATGATTAAACATCTCAAACTCTCCACGATAGCTCACATGCATGTTCTTTGACACAATAACAACAGTTCGGAATCAATTTAACACAATAAAAAGATATAAATGTGCAACACTAAAAAACTGCAAAATATAAAAATACATAAAAACAACTTGGGAAACACAACTGCGTGAAATGTACTGCAAAAATATGATACAATTTACTATAGAAATAAGTAAATGCATTACAATTACAATAACACCGCAGAAATTGGTGTTTATGACGTTTCAACCCGAAAATCTAATCACTGGTTCACAATTGTGCATTGCTGTACCGCTATCAAAGGGAAAACTATTGAATAACTTTAAAAAGTTCAATTTTTCTTCTGAGTACGCATTCTGCAATCTTTTGACAGCTTATCATACACATCTGACAGCTGTGAAATAGCCATTTTGAGGCTTTAAGTATACACAAGGTTATTAATTCAGACGATTTGGTTTTGCAAGCTTCAAATCTTTTGTGCAAGACATATTTTGCTGAGTATTTACAAAATCTTTTTTCCTACTATTAAGTTTGAAGGCTTATTCCGGCTAAGTATATAATTGAGAAATCTTACCAATTTCCGCGGTATGCGAATGAAGCAATAGCATCATAGAAAAGCACAAACGATTTGTTTTAACGCATTCCAAAATCTTACCTGACTCACAATAGACCCCAGTAAATCCAGGCAAACAGACGCAAGTGAAAGAATTGTAAATATCAAATATATCAACGCACGTTCCGCCATTTAAACACGGGAGCGAAGAACAAATATCGACATCTAAAAAACGATTTTATCGAGGTATAATCAATACGAGCTTTTGTGAGAGGGTTTATATATATTTAAAAAACTCATTAATAATTCATGAGTAAATTTCAAAAGAAATTAATGTTTAATCAGTGTCTTTATACAGGGTGTCCCAAAAAAATGTCCCCTCTATTGAAATCAAGCCTTTGTCCGAATCTGATTGCCTTAATATTATGATAAACCCAATTGAAAGCAAGACGCTTTATTTGAATGCCTCAACCTAATAAATATGCTATTTACACACTACTGCGTTGATCATGCATTCAAATTCCAACAAAAGCTTCATTTCAATAGCGGGGACTTTTTTTTGGGACACCCTGTATGTGATATAGATTCATGTTCATTTACATAAACTTTAACTTTGATTTTCTCGGCTTTGACAAGGTTTATTTTTAAAATTTCTTCGCCATTGAACTCATAAGATGGATACGTTTTTTAAGCCATTTAAAAAACTCGTAGATCCTACTCGTTTTTTAAATAGTACGTAATTCATTTGTTGCGATTAAAGGTAGAGTTAAAGGTTCTATACATGCTTGGTGAGCCTTGTTCGGGATAAAAAATGTTTTAAAATAAATCCATTGAACAACAATATCAAAAAATTCAGTATCTTCTAGCTATATCTTCTAGAGGTTTCTGCGTTTGAAACCGGGCCATAACAAACACTAAACGAAAGGGAATCTTAACTTTTTTGGAAGATGGGTATAAGAAGGTCGGAATAAATTTAAATGCTTGGTGATATTACCCGCAAAATTCATTATTATTATTCTACTACACGGCACTATAATAATTTAGGACAAATGTCGAGGCGACTATTGATTTTCCTGCATTTCTGATTGGTCAAAATTGACTGTCTCTGCATGAAGCGATAGCCATGCACTGGCCGGTGATTATAGATTTTTGTTGTTGTATTTAAACTATGAATCAAAATTTGGTTATACAAAAAATGGTTATAAACTTATAGAAAAATATAGGCTTGTAATTGTTAAATAGAACTTTAAGAAACCGCAAATGTTCTAAAAGAATTATAGCTACTTTGCATATAAACTGCTAGAACAACAAATCGTTTTTGAGAAATATTCGTGTTTAGGAATAGAACGATGTGAAAAGTCAATCTGGCCTGCATGTTATCAACCACAGTCATAGATATTTACCTTCGTAACAGCCGTTGAACTCTACCCTCAGTGGACTCGAAGTTTCCAGGCGAATGCGAACATGTCGAGCAGCAATAAACGGCGAAGGAAAATTTGTAACAGGCGTATCTGGATCATTGTTAGCTGTGAATATCTGAAATAAAAATATACATAGCTATACAACAACAACAAATATACATAGCTACATACACTGACAACCATGGGGCCAGTTCTTCAAACCTTGGTTAGCCCTGGGTTAAATTTTAGTCCACTAGCTGTTTTGGTTCAAATGCTTCCGGCTTTTGTCAGTCCAGAAAATATTTATGAAAAATCTATTCAACTTTGTAAACAAGCGATTAAAATGTTGATGTAAAGATTTGCTTTAACCCAGGGTTAAGTTAACCGGCTTTGGAACAACCGGTCGCAGGTCAATAGACCTTTACAGCTTGTATGCAAATTAACCCATTTCAAGTCACATGGTCTGAAATGGTTAAGTTTTATTGGTTATTCCATGGTCACAACATCTGAAATGAATTAATTTGCATGCAAGCTGAAAAGGTCAATTGACCAAAAAATCCCGTCTTCACTAATAACCTACCCTTTTAACTCTATCCTCGTTGTATGTCTTGAAGGATGTAAAATTTTCTTTGTAAGCAAGAGAATAATCGCTTGCCCATGCATCGACGAAGCCTTGTGTGGTAACGCTGACGACAATGGTGCGGTATAAGAAGTCTACTCTCAGATACTTGTTCCCGTCATCCGGCGAAGGCTTCCACGCGCCGTGTTTATTCAATCGAGCTTTACTCGCTGAAACGGAGGCGGATTTCTCAGACGAAGAACTGATTTGATGATCACGTATCTGTCCGTTTTCCATTCCGAGCACATTAGGATGAATGCATCCTACAATAAACAATTGAAAAGAAATACTAAAAATCTAAAATAGGATTTCGCAAAAAACATGACACCAGTTGCGTAAAAATATATATTCAAAGTGAAGGGGGAGGGGGGATGATGAGAGGCCCTTGAAGGGGAGGGGGTGAGGAAAGGTTGTTAGCGTGTGCAGTAGGAATTTCAGGTACACTTTAATTTAGAAGAACATATGCATACACATTTTACAAGGACACAAAATGTGTACGAGGACATGCTATTTTAATGCCTGGTATACAAAAAAAGACCTCCTGTGCTAGAGCTATCTTAAGGCCCATTTACACTTGCAATTTTTGTTGCCATTTTATGTGTGATTTTCTTCATTTCATAGATATGAACGAGTGAATTATAGTTACAGATATTCAAATAGGAGCTCATACACTTCAGAGCATTGCTAACTTATTACTAGTTCACATCTAGCAAATCCATATCTTAAAAACCAAATCACCGTTCTGTAATCTGATTGGTCGAGATACTCATCAGATATCAGCTCATATGCGGTGAGTAGCAAAAACAAAATGGCCGACAATTTTGCTTAGGAATGATAAAGAGGAAATGAAAACACTTTTTTAATCTTCATTTCCCAGAGATTTAAAACAAATAAACAAAATATGAGATACAAAAATTTATACGGTAAGTAGAACTGACGAAAAGCAGAAACCTTTTGTTCATGAAACGTTTTTAAATTTATTTCAACATGTAAACATTCAGCGAAAGATTGGACGAAATTAAATTAATGGTCGATCTAGCAATTTGTTTATGCAATATTTATCTCGCTTATAACTGGTATTTATATAGCATATAGGTACGACAATATAGTGGTATAATTGCTAATTATTGATTTTGATTACTGACCGTAGTAACATCCCAAAAATTCCACCCGCAAAGACGCAGAGTCCTTCCAAACAGTTGGATTTATTCGAACAAATCGGGAGAAGAGTGTTCGAGCCAAGCGGGTCATCACGACGCTTTTCTCATCGCCGTTTCCATTGAAGATCTAAAAGTAGATTAAATTCGGTATCTAAATAGAAAATAATACATGGATGCGCGGAAACGTGGAATTTATTTCGTGTGTTGGGAGTAATGCCGAACGAGTGAAAAGTTTTGAAAAGTTTTTTTTTTATTCCCAGGCCGCGTATATATACCTGATTCCTGATTAGTGGATCAAAAACTTTACCAATCGTGTTAATATTTTCGCAGTTTGAACCTAAAACTTTGTGCCTCTTTTCCCAATCTAACCATAAAACTGCTTGCGTTCATGAAAATTAAACCTGCATGAAACTGTGTACCTTTCAAGTTGCGAAGTGACTGACACATTAGATGATTAATGAAATATTTCTATCTCAATAGACCTTATGCATAATGACGTAACACGCCGTGACACCTGCAGGGAGTTCTGGGCTTAGTAGTTTTGGCGGGAAATTTTGAAGTTTGAATTTTTCGCAGTGACTACAAAAACCAGAATTCCCATGCAGCAGGCGTCACGGCTTGATACGTCATTATGCATAAGGTCTTTTGGGGTATATTGTACCTTCACGCGACCGTTCTCTTTATATTTTAGAAACTGGAAACCATCATTGCAATAGGATAATGTGTAATGTGACACATAGCGTTCGTAGTTGCTGGAATCTTCCCCCTGTGTCTTGATTGCGCTAACTTTCGTTACCATCAAGAAGTCGACCTGAAACCAGGGATGGTTATCATCTGTGTTTGCTCTCCAAGCAGCTCCCGATGGAAGATTAAGACGACCTTTTAACATAGTCCACGTACTTGATGACGCGTCAATTTGATCGTCCCTGATCGTTTTGTTTTCCATGCCAAGAGGCTCTGGAGAGGAACAATCTGTGAAAAGAATTTACCGAGGGAGGCTTAGTTAGATTCGTAGTAACAATATTGAGGCCAAACATGTGAAACAAAAAACGCATTTACAATACAGGGATAAAAAAATTCAGCACACAGGGCCGTCGCTAGAAGCTTAATTGGGGAGGTGCATATTCATATATTCGTCTTACGCCCGACTGCTTTCTTTTGTTAGCTATTGTTTCTACGGTTGTATGAACTTGAATATATGAATACACCACCCTCTCCCACCGAATTAAGCGACAATTTGGCGGCCCTAACGAATTCACCTAGTTGAAAACGGGCTTTGCACTGATCATAACCTACCTTCATGACACCCGAGAAACTCTAATCTAATCGAGCATTTTCCATTCCAGGTCTTAGGCTCAACACGAACAAAACGACCATACAATGGCGGAAACATAAATTGTGTCACAACGGAATGTCTGTCTTTATTCGCAGAGAACACCTACAAAAGACGAAAGATAGTTAAAAATGGTAGAAGGGCCGGGTGGGGACAGGATGTAACTGGAATCGCTAGAAAACGCGACTAAACTCCTCGGAACTTCGACTTACGCTTTTGTTACTTTATTGAGCAGTGCTGATGCCTTGCAAAAAAAGTAGAACAAACTAAAAAATGCTGTGACTTGTGCTTCAACTACCGGGTGTCCCAAAAAAAACTTTACCTCTTTGTCTTAATATAACTCAAAAACGAATAAAAGTCATTAAATTGAAATAAACTCCACTGCATGCAAGCAGGGCTAACTTAGATTTTGATATATAACATTAAATTATTGATGCGATATTTACGGAGATACAAGCATTTGATGTCGCAAGGTACTTTCAAAATCTGTGCAAAATTGACAAAAATCGGCTATTAAATTAATTCGAAACTAATACTTTAACTTTTACGTTTTTAACTTTAGTGATTTTAACTTTAAATGTACGCTTTTCCATTGCAAACTTACTCTTATATAAGAGCGAACAATTAAAGTTAAAATCGCTGAAGTTAAAAACTTACCACGGGAAGTGGCATGCAAGTATTTTCGAATTAATTTAATAGCCGATTTTTGTCAATTTTTCACGGATTTTGAAAGTACCTTGCGACATCAAATGCTTGTATCTCCGTAAATATCACATCAATAATTTAATGTTATATATCAAAATCTAAGTTAGCCCTGCTTGTATACAGTGGAGTTTATTTCAACTCAATAGCTTTTATCGTTTTTGAGTTATATTAAGACAAACAGGTAAAGTTTTTTTTGGGACACCCGGTATTTCGTTTTTCGTATTTATATAAAATCCAATAAAACCAGAGAAAAGCGCGGTGCTTTGCATCAAACGTAGTTTAAGAAGGACGTAAAAAAGACAAAAATGCATAAATACGTTGCGACCTTCCCTTTTGAAATCCGATGTTTTAAGATCTGACGGTATAAAATTTCTTATATGGCGAGGCCGCCAATGCTCTTCGAAATATGACTTATCGCAAATGCAGTCAACAAATATTTTGCGTGGCGTGAGCGTTTTTTTCACCCATTACTACAAATTCTTAGAAATTTGAAAGTCTTCTGAAATGACAAAAATTTAAGACGTACAGTAGCTACTACAATCTCAACCGTGTCCTATGTTTGTTTGCTCTTAACAGACGGCTTAAATTGTTTTCCAAAATGGCAGAAGGGAAGAGATACGAACTATGACCTCGCTGATGTTAGGCTTTCAAACACCTACCTTAACCTGCCCATTTTCGTGAAATTTATCGTAGTTATTCGAAGTTGTACCATAAGATACTTCGTAAGTGGTGACCCATTCGTCAGCGTCCTCCCGACCCTGTGTTTGGATCGCTCTTAATGTCACATTTGCTCTAAAGTCAATTCTGATCCACGGTTGAACATCGTCATGCGAAGCAACCCACCCCCCTGATCGAACTCCAGTAACCGAGACCAGATTCAATCTCGCACTCGTGTGGCGGGAATATTTGTCGTGGGTCGAGGAAGATGTAAGCTGATTATTGGAAATATGGAAGCTTTCCATACCAAGGGCTTCTGGATCAGGACAAGGTACATCTAGGTCAAAAGATTGCAAAGATAACAATTCAATTTCGAAATAGAAATGTATAAGTCCTCAGCGAAAACTTTAACCAGGCTACCATCTTTAGAGAGTTTTTTCCTTAAAACTCTCAATACCACTTTCAAAAGAGTTTTTCTTGTACACAGTTCCCGCTTTTATCGGTAATTAGTATTGGGAAAACAAAACTCACTATTTGGGACATGTCGCAGCTCTCGGGAGCTTTCGTCCAATTGGATAATGCTTTTCTATGCTTTCTAAAGAACGAAGCTATGCTATTGGTTGAAACAGAAATGTATTGTAAAGTTCAGCCAATGAAAATCATTCTTGCGAGGAGCTGCGACACTACCCACTATTTCCCTCGGGAGCATACATTAAGTGTATAATATATTAAGCTTATTAAGTTGGACACCTGAAAAAGTTTGACGTCTGAAATCTAAATTGTTGTACTTACCACAGTAGCAACCTTTAAACTCTATTCGAAGTCCAATTTCACTTTTCCAAGTTTTTGGATGAATGCGAATGTATCGGGTGAATATTGAAGGCGTCAAAGGATTGTAGGAGATGGTGTTTCTGTCAAAGTTTGCTTGGAAAACCTAAAACATGAAGTAAAGTATGTTGATAATTTTCATATTCACGTTGTGAAATGGTATATATTAGCGGTAAATACGAAAAGATTTTCATGTTAAATTAAAAAAGACGCATCTCTATAATATTTAGAACGTCTTGCCCGCGTTGCAGACACAGTGTCATGTTTTAAAAAGAAAATTGGAAATTCAACGAGAAGAATGTCAGGAACTACAGAAAAATGTAGAGTCGATGCAGTTGATTCTGAATTTCAGCAGCATATGTACTTGGTTTAACCGTTTTAGCATCCTCTTTAAAATTAATGCTACAACGTCATCTGTTCGAGCAGTTCTGAATCTCTGTCCTGGCTCAGTTGGTTGAACATTCCCATCGTTGTCGATAAACCTTTCTGTAATATTTAAAACCGTTCGTAACGGTAGTTTTAATCGCTTTGCAATCTCAGATGGTCGCGTTTTATTTAGCCACGATTTCAAAATTCCCTCGCGTACGTTCAGTGGAAGTGCATCCTTGACGTGAAAAAGGATTGCTACTCATATCGGCTCTTGTGAATTACGAATTTTGAAAATTGAATTTCGCGAGATTTGATTTTCAGGACTACGTTGTTAATTTCTTTGCGAAGTTCACGCTTTATTTCTAAATTTGAAATTGTAATTGACAACTTCGCAACAAACTTGGGAAGCGCTCAGTGAAAAGTGATCTGAAATCGACTGTAACAGGCAGATTTAAACTAAATAAGTATTCGAATATAATCTCAAAAAATTATATTTTACATTTCTACAGAGTGTAAACATCTATGCATAAATGATAAATAAAATTGTGTACTTACCCTGTCGCGCGCATGCTCTTTAATGTATTGAAAATCCAGTTCGTTGGTTGAATAAGACACCAGGTAGCTTGTTACAAAAGCGTTATAATTAGATCGCCCCTGGGTCAAAATCAACGAGATTTTTGCGTGTCTCAAAAAATCAACTTGAAGCCAAGAATTAGGGTGGATTTGAGGACGCCATGCGCCCCCAGTAGGAGAGACTAGGTTCAATCTAGCTGCAGCTGGTCTCAACCCATACCTAGCCTCACTGGATGCAGAGAATTGGCTATCTAAGATCTTGTTATTTTCTACACCTAGATCTTTAACTTCTCTGCAACCTATAACATTAAATAAACAATTTTTAGCAACACGATGGGGAGGGGGGAAGGACGCCACGGTTCCTTTACCAGGGTCGTATAGCTAGAAGCTTAATTAGGGCGGCGGGGGGGGGGTGTATTCGTCTTTTGCCCACCAGATACATAAACATGCCCACCAGAGATAAATATATAAATATGATGATAAAATTTTGGCCCTACCTTCATACCGGCCATATACTTCAATCCGTAATGAACAATTACCAATCCAGGATTTTGGGATGATTCGTAGCACACGTGTGGTGAACGACGGAACAACGTCTTGTCTTACTGTGGAGTTTTCCTCATAGTTCGCCAAGAACACCTTGAAATTAAGAAATTCAGAAAACAGTTAAACGATAATTGTGGCGAATATTAATATATTCAGTTCTGCCCGACGGATTTCTTTTGTAAGTCCAATAGCTTGACATTACGTTTGGCCCAAAGCAGAATGAAAGAACAACGACAAAATATATGATCGTGTTGGCTCTTTAGGGCTGTTTTCCACTGTCGCGTTTTTTGTACCTACGTCTACGCACGTCAAAGTTTAAAATAATTTAAAGGATACTTATAAAATTAACGGTTGAATAGATGTATGGGATTAGATTCTCTCGATGATCTGGTATGTTCTTTTTGGCGTAAAATTGATCATACAGCAACTTGGGAAGTTTTAAGCTTTTACGTGCGTGAAAAAAACGCGACAGTGCAAAGCAGCCAACATGGCAAATCTTGTTCGAACATAACAAGCGAAAAGAATCGACATGAAACCGGTTGTTCAAAGATCATTTAGCATTTTTTTATAGTTAACACGAATCTTCAAATAAAAAAGGGAGATATTGAACGTATTTTCTTGAACAGCGGGTTCATATCTCATCAAATTAATCAAGGGTTGAAAAACAGGGGGAGTTTCGTTTAGACCAATCAGCGAGTTTGTTTATATTTTTAGTAACCTAATCAGAATGCATAAATTTTGACCACCTCCATGAAGAGTCTTTATTTACCAGTTTACATGAAGTATTATAAATTTAGGCATTTTGATTGGATTTGCCTGAAAAATGTAAACAAATATGCCGATTAGTTCAAAACGAAATCCTTCTTTGCCGGGTTTTAAAAATCGCCATACGCGTGAGTTTATCACCTAGCGCGGAATATGAAAATTAGAATCTTATAGCAGACACGGGTACCTTAACTTTATCATATTGTTTGTACTCCTGAAAGCTGAGTCCATCCGTGCTGAGAGATGCCGCATAACTTGTCACGCGACTTTTGCTGCTGGCGGAGCCCTGCGTGTCGATTCTTGTGACAGTGGCGTTTGTAAAGAAGTCGACTTGAAGCCAGGGGTTGACATCATTTTCGGCCGCAATCCAGCCTCCATGTCTCTCAGGATTCGTATTCAAGTTGAGGCGTGAATTTTTGGCACCAGACAAGGAATTTTGGGCCGAGGACGCGGTCAACTGCAGCGCGGAGATCAAGCCATTCTCTATGCCCAGTGCGACGGGATTAAACCAATCATCTACGGCTATGTAGAGAATTCGAAATACGCTAGTTTTCAAGTTGAGCAAAAGTTGATTGCTGTTGTCTTACGATGGTAATTATGACGTTTTCATCATATGCTAATACAAGAAATTTAATTTCTGCTACTTCGATGATAAACTTGGCACTTCTTTTTAAAAAACCGTGCCATCGGTAGTGCGAAGTCTAACCTTGGAATTAAAACCTCTTGACAGACGTTTGCCTTAATCTAATGCTTTGACTCATGCACTTGTAAAAATACCCTCAAAATCTGGTACTCAAATTTTTCACTTCTTCTTCTTACCCTTAAACCCATGTACTCAGATTTTACATTTCTCTCTATCCTCAAAATCCTAATTGTTCCTAGATTTTTCACTTCTTCTCTTTACCCTTCAACCCAGGTACTCAGATTTTTCACTTTTCTCTATCCTCAAAATCTGATTCCTAGATTTTTCACTTCTCTTTACCCTTCAACCCAGGTACTCAGATTTTTTACTTTTCTCTACCCTGAAAATCTGGTTCCTAGATTTTTCACTTCTTCTCTTTACCCTTAAACCCAGGTACTCGAACTTTTCACTTCTTCTTTCTTTCCTCAAAATCTAGCTGGTACTCGAATAAAAATAGACCCATTCTCACCTTTTCGGCAGCCTTCGAATTCGATTCGCATAGAAAGATGGATGTGCCACGTCTTTGGATAAATTCGAACAAAACGGGCGAAAATGACTCGCTGAAGACGTTGGCGAACTATAGTACTCATGTCAAAGTTGGCTTGAAATACCTGAAGGAAAAAAGAACACAAAGTTTCAAAGTCTTTCTTCAATCAATATAATGATATAAATCTACATGTTTGTATTAGACGGCATTTCGCTGTTTACCACTTGGTAATTCAGATTCTGGCATCTTATTGTACCAATTAAAGCATTGACAACATCTTGTAGGCGATGTGATTTAACTTTTATTTTAACGTTTGAGTTTTCTTTTCGACTGCTAATTTGAAGGCGTTTATTTTAGCCTAAATCTTTTTAATTTTGTGATTCTTGGGAACGGGCGAAAATCCTAGCTGCAAACTCTTATCTTTCTCACGCGAGTGAACGTGTCCTTGTCCAAAGTTTATTTGCATTCGATTCAGGACATGAAAAGTTCGACGCATTTAAGTTAGGGTCTGTTTACATGGGCCACGTAAGCCGAGATGAAACGAAATATGAAATGACTTTGAGGTATTGAAATTAATATATGACGTGATCCGGGCAGCGATATATTCCACTCGACAATAGAATGTGCTTTTGTTTGGTTAGTAAATGCTCATTTCAATACCTCAGAATCATTACACACTCTGTGGGATCTTGGGTAACCAGGCTCATGTAAACAGCCCCTTACAACAGTCTGTACTATGACAGCTATATAGAAACATGGCAACAATTGCATATTAATCGATGCAGTTCCTTTAACCGTCTAATTGTTTTAATTATATAATGATATAAATTGCTTTTACTGCCATGCATGTACCTTTCCCGCGCCACGATCCTTGTATTCCACGAAGTTCAAACCATCGCTGCTCTCATGCATTATGTAAGTTTTCACAAATTGAAAGGAATCTTGACGGCCTTGCGTTAGCACGGCGCAAATAATACGCTTCACCAAGAAATCCACTTGAAGCCAGGGATTTTGATCCGCGTGCTGAGCCCAAGCTCCGTAATGTGTGCCGATTACTTGAGTAAGATTTATTCTTGCTAAAGAAGCACGATGAGCAGTAATGTCGTTCCCGTAAACGGAAGAGGCTGTTATTTGGCTGTCCAATATCTCATGATTTGCCATTCCTAAATAACTCTTGATTTCACACGCTGCAAACAAATGCTGTATATAAGAATACGTAACAATATTACATTGTTTGGGGAACAGCGACGTCTTTGACGAATTTTAGAGTGGGTTTTTCAGCGGTCGCGAACGCACAGTACGGGCACAGAATACCTATCGTTTTTTAGCATCAATTTAAAGAGTTTGCAATATCTGAGAGTGCAGATGCTTTTCATTATCCCAAAATAAAGTTCCACTGAGGAAACCAGCAAACTTTTAGTAGCTATTTGAGACGAAATATACTTCTCAGTTTTTCGAGCATAAGTAAATTTATGTACTCCTGGCAAAATAGTTTTACTGAGCTTGGCTCATAGGACAGAGTAATAGTTAAGGTGAGACTTTGAATGGGTGAGATTAAGATTATATTGTTTTCTGTTTCAGATTCTTTACCTTCGTAACGGCCGTAAAATTCCACTCTCAGAGCGCAGTATCCAGCGCATGCCGTGGCGGTGACTCGAATAAAGCGAGCAAGGATATTTGGATAAATGTCATGGCGTTTGGTAGAACGGCTGTCAAAGTTAGCTGGGAATATCTGTGTTAAAAAAAAACCAAATCGTCAAGCAACCGTCTGACCGTCTCGCACAAATAGATGTCTTGTGGTCACAGCTGAAGTGATCATAACTTTAAAATCTGGTAGTTTGCAAATCTGGTAATTTGCACAAACAAACAGTGCAAATTTGGAAGAAAGAAGAAAGAAAAACAATTTTTATCTTCAAATTGAGCTTCAGAGAATAATTGCAAACGTTAACGAATATGAATTTTTGAAAGTTTGCATGAAGAAAATTTGCGCGAATCTAAGTTTTCCCACAATGTATGTACGGAGGTTTGTCCAGAGCGGGACAAGGGACTGAGTTCGAGGGCTGACCTTGAGGAAGGGCGTAAATATTGTAAATATCTGCATGAATGTTTCCTTTTTATCTTATGCCATTTCTTTCAAAACGTTATGCACTCCTGTTCAAAAATCGAAACTACCTGTTCGGATCGGAACTAACCAGAAAGCGGCTTTTATCCAAAGGATAAGCGAATCGCACAAATAGAATCATAATTTAACTGTTGTGGACCAATATTTTAAAAATTCCTTTGAAATTACAATCATGGGATAGGAAAGAATAACTGCTTAACTGTGAAGGCCCTTCATGTTTTCAAGTTTTTAAAATGTAAATGGAAAAATTTAACGTATCGGTTGTACGATTAGGAATTGGATTAGGAATGGAATGGATTAGGAATTCTTTTCAAATCTGTAACTTCATTGATTCCATGGAAGTTTAAACAACGACGAAAAAATCACTATTCGATGAATAGCACTGTCCACGAAATTTAATAAACTATATTGCAATATAATAATTATGAGCACATTACTTTAGTTTTTCCGTCTTCCTCGTAGTTCGTAAAGAGAATATTATCTGGACCAAAACCAATCGAGTATTCCTTCACCCAGTGTTGTCCACCATCCAGACCTTGTGTAGCTATTGCTGTGATGGTAACGTTTGTGATGAAGTCAACTTGAAGCCATGGATTGTTGTCGTTCTCTGCTGCGATCCACGCTCCATAGGAGGAAGGATTTGTCTTTAAATTGAGTCGTGCATTCGATGCTGTTGCGTTGTAGTATTGACTGGATGACGCTGTCAGTTGGGAATCCAAAATAGACAAATTTTCCATACCGAGAGCGTCAGAGTGGCGCCAAGTCGAATCTAAAATCGAAGAAAATAAAGCATTAGGAAAAGATATGCCTGACAGGCGGATGAATCCTTCGATCGTTTGGTCAGCAACACGGACTAAGCGGTGAGGTAACGCATGTGAGGTTAGGGGAGGGGAGGTAGGGGGGATTGGTGACGTGAGGCTGGGGGGGGGTGCGTTGAGTGGAATATTTACTGGAGTGACTAATTTCATGATCACATTACTCTTTACTATTCGTATATATTTTACAAGTATGTTTTATGAAATGAATGATAAGCATGTGGCAGCATTTTGCTTATAGGATCGACTATAACTCTTTCAGAGACATAGCGGTCAATTATTGGAGGTGGTGGCACTGCCCCGCCTCCCCCGCGCCCCTTATTGCACCCCTTTTCTACCCGGGTAGAAAGAGGACATCAGTTTGAACGCGATGGGGGACGAGAATAAAAAAAAAACGATGAGCAAATAATGTTGAGACCGGAACACGATGTGATGCATGTTCCCTACAGAGCAGAGGGAAACCAACTAAATGCAAACCAAAATTTTTTTCAATTTTTTGCATTTCAATGAGGCAAATCTTCGGTTGCACGATTAATTACTGAAGAGCTGAAAGTCTACGTGGAAACTTACCGCAAGAACAACCAAGAAATTCAATCCTAATCGCGGCCTTATCATGATTCTTCGTACAGTAGACACGCACATATCGAGCAAAGATTTCATTCACAAGATGTTGTTTCACAGTCGTAACTCTGTCGAAGTTGGCGATAAATACCTATTCGTAGATAAAAAGACATATTAGCTAACGATTATCAGGAAAAAAAACGAAGCAAAATATTTTTATCTCTCCGTAAAATATCGCTACGAAAAGAAGGCCTGCTGATATCCTTTTTTTCTTCTTCAATACGATTTCTGAAAACGTGCACATCGGACAAATGAAAAGTTGATGTTTCATGTTTTTTAGTTTACAATGAATGTGAAAAAAAGGATATTTCAGTTGGCTCATGTTTTCCTTTTAATTTGCCTTCATCTATGTATCAATTTTGGGTTGATAATGAAATAATTGAAGGAATAGGAGTGCAATTATAATAAAATGTAGAATAAAAGATAAAAATTCATAATTTTTTTTGATTATTCTGTATCCTGAATGGTGATTGGCTAGTTTTATATACTAGAGTGATTCGTATTGGAATAAGAGTGCAATCACAAATTGCAAAGAGTGCAATTAAAGCACTGTAAACCATTGATTACGGAAGATATATAAATAATTATTTACCTAGACTGAAACTCTTTGTATATGTGACCATATTCGATATCGAGTACAAATTATGATTAAATGTACGAGTAATGTTTGAAAATTTGGCCAAAATTGGACGAGTCGCCTTTGCCAGTCCGATTTCACAAAATCTGCAAACATCACGATTACAAAGTGCTCAATCAAAATCATTTAATATTTTACTTCGAGCATGATTTTTCTGTCAGAATATATCTCAGCCAAACTTTTATAAATATTTTACGCTTTTGCCAGTATTTTTGCTTACTTTTCACCTGTAAAGTTCATCCGGAGTTGCCTGGTTTACACGCCGAATTAACTTTCCGCCGTTTTATTCAGGCTAGTTTCAGACAAAATCATTATTTGTATACATGAAATAGCTAAACTCCTCTCGACCAACCAGCATCTAATAATTTTATCATGTTTATAATACGTAATACATGTTTATAATAACTTGGTGATCATACCCTTTTAAGACCATTTTCCATGTAGTCAGAAAAACTTATCTCGTCATTAGAATAAGAAATTGTGAAGGCTGTTACCCATTGGCTGTAATCCTGTCGACCTAAAAAACAAAACTCGCGCTGTGTCAGCAAGCCTACTCGTCCACATGCCGTGTTTCGACGACCAGGCAACGTTGCTATTTTGAAAATATTTGAAAATGAATTTAAAAATATTAATTTCTCGGTCCAATCCGAATGCGTTTGAAATAAATAAAATAAAGGTAGACACAGTACAAACAAGCCGGCAGCTTGCTGAGTATATGGCTTTCGAAGTGTCTGGTCTGACTTTCCCAAGTCTAATAAACGAAAATAATTCAAAGTATAGGAATAAAATTATCATTATTTAATAATTATCGATTTGTCGTCGATTAACAAAGTTCTTTGTCTTTCTGGGTTTTCTAACAAGATGAATATTTTTTCATAGCTCAACTCTTGTGCAAATTTCGCAAATTATTAAATAAAATTGCAAGTCACCTCTGCTCAGCATATGCGTGATTTTGGTGTTTTTCAAAAAATCAACTTGTATCCACGGGTTTACATCATAATTATGCATCACCCAGCCTCCCAAATTTTTTCCCTTTATTCTAACTGTATAAAGTTTGCCTAGAGAAGCCCACGTTTCATGACTTTCATACGACGATGCTGTCATTTGGCTGTCGAGTATTTTGTGATCCGCAATGCCGAGCCGCTGAGGGTCATTGCAGTCTAAAAAAGTGATTTAATAAGAGGGGAAAAGGTAGCAATTAGTTAGATGGAGATTTGCAGTGGAGGTCTGGTGATGGTGATGGTGTTGGTGATGGTGTTGGTTGGGATGGTGATGGTGTTGGTGTTGGTGATGGTGTGTTGTTGGTGATGGTGTTAGTGATGGTGTTGGTGTTGGTGTTGGTGATGGTGATGGTGATGGTGTTGGTGATGGTGATAGTGATGGTGTTGGTGCTGGTGATGGTGCTGGTGATGGTGTTGGCGATGGTGGTGGTGCTGGTGATAGGTGTTGGCGATGGTGATGGTGTTGGTGATGGTGATGGTGTTGGTGATGGTGCTAGTGTTGGTGATGGTGTTGGTAATGGTGTTAGTGATGGTGTTGGTGGTGGTGTTGGCAATAGTTTCGTGATGATGGTGTTGGTGATGGTGCTAGCATTGGTGATGGTGTTGGCGATGGTTTGGTGATGGTGTTGGTGATGGTGTTGGCGATGATGATGGTGTTGGCGATGATGATGGTGTTGGCGATGATGCTGGTTTGGTGATGGTGCTAGTGTTGGTGATAGTGTTGGTGATGGTGTTAGTGACAGTGTTGGTGATGGTGTTGGTGATGGTGTTGGTGATGGTGTTAGTGATGGTGTTGGCGATGGTGATGGTTTGGTGATGGTGCTAGTGATGGTGTTGGTGATAGTGTTGGTGATGGTGTTAGTGATGGTGTTGGTGATGGTGTTAGTGATGGTGTTGGTGATGGTGTTGGTGATGGTGTTGGTGATGGTGATAGTGATGGTGTTGGTGATGGTGTTGGTGATGGTGTTGGTGATGGTGTTGGTGATGGTGTTGGTGATGGTGTTGGTGATGGTGTTAGTGATGGTGTTGGCGATGGTGATGGTTTGGTGATGGTGCTAGTGATGGTGTTGGTGATAGTGTTGGTGATGGTGTTAGTGATGGTGTTGGTGATGGTGATGGTGACAAAACATTTTGGGTTTTTAAAACATGATTCACGTAAACGAAAGGTTGTTGTCCAAAGCATCTCCATAATGCGTTGTTAATATCACGTTATCAGTTCTGTCTTGTTTAGGTTTTTGATGAACTAAGTGTATACAGTAATTTAGCTTATAGGTACACCACGTAAATATTTAATATGTTTAGCAGTATTAAATACTTACGTGGTGTACCTACAAACTAAATTACTCATTGATGTCACCATGCAAACATACAAGAATATAAGTGTATAACACTTGCTCACCTTCATAGCGACCGTGAAGCTCCACTCTCAAAGCACAAAATCCATGACAATCTTTTGGCTTTACCCTTATGAAACGAGCGTTAATATGCGGGAATATGTCGAGCCATGTGGTGGAATTACTGTCGTAGTTTGCTGAGAATACCTAGAAGAAAGAATATGACCAATATTTGAATTTGTCTTACATGCGTGACAGGGCGAAGGAATGACAGAACATGTAAATATTGTTGTTTTTGTTCGGATTGTACACTCTTGAATGCGAAGCACTATTGAAGCCAAATCTGCCCTGTTAGGTCTGTTTTCCACTTCAGCCGTATCATAGCGTAACGTAGCGTATTTCTTTGTTTCCGGAGTATTCGACCAGAACTAATGAATTTAAAACAATGAGATACGCTACGTTTCGCTACGATACGGTTGAAGTGGAAAACGGCCTTTAACGCAAAGAGTAACAGAAAGAATTTTACCAATGCCTTTCTCAGTTCAATGTGTGCAATATTTGCTAATTTACTGTTTTTAGAATTCATGGGTTTAATGGTTCCTTCGTTCCAACAAATCACCGGTCTTAGATAATGAATAGTGCCTTATTTTAATTGCCTTATACAAATTCCAGCAAAGCTTTTGGTCATATATGTGATAAATATTGGGTGAAATCGATAATTATCTGTTTAATTTTATCCTGCATATCATCACAAACCTTGGGATTTCCGTTAACTTTGTAGCTTTCTTGAATATCCTTTTTATACCCAAAGTTCACAGTAAAGGATTTGACCCAGTGCTGACCACCTTCCAAACCTTGGATTGAAATTGCAGTGACTGTTACATTCGAGATGAAGTCAACTTCAAGCCAAGGGTCATTGTCATAATCTGCCGCAATCCATCCTCCATATCTGACGTTGTCTATCGTAGTAAGATCAAGTCTTCCATTCCATGCTCCAGCGATTGTACCGTTTGAAGAAGACGCGATGATTTGAGTGTCCAAAATCAATCTACTTTTCATTCCAAGCGGAACCGGGTTAAACCAATTGGTATCTAGGAAATTAAGATAGTGTAGGTAAACCACGAAAGTTCGTATAGCGGTTTGACGTTTGGCGTTTAAACTTTCAAATTTACTGTAGAACTGCGTTGTTCTTACCCTTGTAGTTGCCAATGAGTTCCAATCTCAGTCCATATCCAAGCCCTGATTTCTCTTTGAAATTTATGCGAATGAATCGAGTAAAAATTGGGTGTGTTAAACGTTGCTCAACACTTCTTGCTGCGCGTATATAATTTCCTTCAAATATCTATATGAAGCAAGATGATCACATTATTTACGGGAACGAACAAAGATTTCAAAAGGCTGTTAGTGCAAAATTATCATCCCGATTTACGGACATCAATCCGGGAACAAAAAGGGGGCTTGGGGCAAAATCTTGAAATTTAGCGTACGGTGGATGAGATTTCTTCCTTCTCTCGGAAGCTAAGATTTTATAGTTCGACAATATTAATCTACTGTTTAGGGTGTACATGTGACCGTATTCATCTATATACGTACGTCCCAGTCTTATCTCCCAATAGTTGTGGTGCACAGCTTTGGCAAATTTTCCGATGCGCGATTCGATTTCGCACGCATGATACGGCAATTCCTCCAAGAGAAACAAATAAACCGTTTTTTTCATGCTCTTCGATTAAGTTTAGATTGAATTCTGGTCCTATTTTAATAATATCGCTGCTATTTCGCCGTTTAACAAGATGATGTGGTCGTGTATGGGCGCGTTGACACGTCGTAGTTTGCACAGGTTGAAGATTTAATATAACTATATAAGTGCGAATTCCAAAGGCAAAGTGTAAGACAAAGCGAATGTATCATGCGGTTTATTTACATTTTTGAACAATTGAACTTTTATACAGCGATGTGCTTCTGAATTTCGCGATCGAACATTTAGGTTCGCAAGGCATCTAAATGCGAATATGAACTGTATTGTTTATGTTCAGAAGCTCTATATTAAAGACTGGCACGTGCGCCGGAGTTAACGCCAGAACAGGCGTCTTGTTATATATTTATTCATGTCTTTAGAAATTTATTGTTTTCAAGGTTTATGAACACCGAAATATCAGTATAGCGGAACAAATCTTCAGGCTCTGGCTACGCTACTGCTGTTTTTATTAGAGGTAGAATAAAAGAACACTGAACAACCTTCCTTCGATAGGCTTTACTTAATACTAGGTAAAATATCAAAATGGCTTCATATTTATGAAAACATTAAATAGACCTTTCTTATAATGACGTCAAACGCGCATGTTACACGAAATTTGATTGGCATAAAATTATCGAGCCAATGAAATTTCGTGTAACATCAGACTTTCCGCGTTTGACGTCATTATGAAAAAGGTCTATTAGGCCTGGTTCTTAGTAAAATTAGAATAATACTTTAGCTAAACATAATATAAAATCACTACAGTGTTCATGTAATTTTTGGGGGCCTCAGCAAATAAGGCGCCCATGGCTCAAAGATCCCCTTCCCCCCTCCTACTTAGCGCAGTTGTACATCTTAGTAGTTGTACATAAAAAAGTTGAGAATTTCCGTACCTTGACATGATTGAATTCTTTATACATATTGAATTTTTCGCCATTACTACTTGTAGAAAGTGTGAACGTTTTACAACAATAATGCCGATACGACCGACATTGAGTATCGACTCGATCGACCATGGTAGGTACGAGAAAATCAACTTGAAACCATGGATTTGTGTCGTGATCACGAGGACACCACCCTCCAGCAAGTACACCCGGTATCTCCTGAATATTCAATCTAGCCAGCTGAGGTCGGTATGCAAAACCATGCATTGATGATGCTGAAACTTGGCTATCTATTATCTTCCTGCTCTCCATTCCCAAAGCATGAGAGTGCATGGAGTCTATTAGCAAAAAATGGGCGATTAAAAAACTCCTCTCTATTATGCTCTATATTCAGAATCGTCGGTATGTGGCTCCAAAATACTTAAATATATAAAAAATGTTCGAAGGCGAAGCCTTAGTTGACTATTCGCTCATAGACAACGAAGGCGAGTTGTCTAATTGTTTTAGTACACACCCTGTACCTAGATATATTAATTTCGAGAAAATAATCGATACACCGCAATTACACCGAAAAATAATATAATTAATTCAATTTCATATATACGGTCGCGCGAGCAAATTTTCCCCAAACGTTTACCATCACGAATAGACGATGGTTGAGTAGCCAATCAAGATGTAGGATTTGTAATAGAAAATAGTCGGGTGTATACTAAAACTTTATATAAACAAAGGAAAAATATTTTCCGCTTCTTTTATAATATAACTTAATAAAAAGATTTTGTATTCGATTAAATTACAAATTACTTCGCTTGTCAATTTCGGCGGGAAAATGTCCGTGTTTGTATACAGTTTTAGTAAAAGTTTCCAGGTGACTATTGATTTTCCTGCATTTTGATTGGTCAAAACTGACTGTCTCCGAAGTGATGGTCACTTAGCTTTTTGTTGTTTTTGTTTTCAAATTTGTAATTTGAAGTAATTTTAATTTTTTATGAAATTGGGTTGATTATTCTTTGTAAACAACCCTAAATTTATGCTAAAACAATTAATCGCGTTGATCGCAAGCCTATATTCACTTCGCCTTCGACTCACGCTTATAAAAAACACGCTTATAAATAGAGTTATGGTCATTACTCACCTTCATAACGGCCATAAACTTCAATTCTGAGGGCGCACAACTCAATGCAGTGTTTTGGTTTGATACGGACAAAACGGGCTGTGATATGGGGCCACAAATCTTGCTTCATCAATGAACCATCGGCATGGACTGCTGGGAATATCTTATGAAAAAAAAATGAAGATTTCATAATATTAGCGCGAGTCTTGATTGTTTATACCAGGTTGGTCGTAAAAAACTAAAGAAAAACAATCCTAATCAAACATTTTTTCCATACTCAACTTCTGAATTTTTTCTATACACCAGCATGGGTGTATTTGTTTTTTAAACGTGCGGATATATCCTGGAATAACGTATGCAAAATTTTCGTATATTGTTCAGGTAAATTGTTCCTTTGGAATTAAAATACCCAACTTATATACTGTAAGCTTTGTCCAAAAATACATTCACACAATCCTGTATACCCTAAAAAAAGCTCACCTAACCCATTGTCTTCGCTACCAACCCTCGGGAATAAAAAATAACGGAGCTTGCCCTTACGACAATTTAGAAACCAACAAAATTTAAAAATTTTGAATTAGCCTGAGAAATGAAATTCAACATCGCAACTTTAAAAATCTTAATTGAAGTAATTCGAAGTGAGAAACAAAAAGAAAAAAAATATATATTGTCGAAGTTTCTGCGTTCCCATGCAGTTGAAAATTTGCATTGCTAAATCCCAAGACAGAGCAAATTCTAAATCACAATATAACAAGGGAGATCAAATTGGTATAACAACTGTCTAAAATAGACAAAACACTTCTTGACGTTTCGACCAAGGCCCTCAGATCAAAACGTCGAGAAGTGTTTTGCCTATTTTATAGGCAGTTGTTATACCACATTTGATGCCAAGTTCCAAATTATTTGCAGCAGGTAATATCACGATGGAGCAACTCATTGTTAATTAACTACTGTTTTAGTTTCCTTGAATATTTCAACCAAATACTTTGAAACTTAGGATTACAAAATTATACGTTTGAAAATTCTGTTATCACAGAAAATTTTAAAGTGTAAACCACTACATCGCCATAAACGCGTACAATGGCTCTTCCACGTAAATAGTATAAAACACGGCTGGTTATAATTATCACGTATTGCACTAGAGCACAGATTACCTTTATCTGTCCTTTCACGGTATAATTTTGAAGAAAATCTCTGTCGAATCCAAAAGAGACCGTGTAGTTCAACGTCTTTTGTTGTCCTCCGTCCAAACCTTGGGTAGCTATTGCAGTGACGGTAACGTTGGCGATAAAGTCGACTTGAAGCCATGGGTCCTTGTCATGCTCTGCTACAATCCAGCCTCCGAAGTTCACGTTTTCTACTGTAGTCAAATTTAGTCTGGCATTCCATGGGCCAGCCTTTGTGCTTTTTGACGAAGACGCCGATATTTGCGAATCCAAGATCATTCCATTTTGCATTCCAAGAGGAATTGGGTCATACCAATCGGTAACTAAAATAAGCGATGTAGCAAATAACTATATACTCTAAAGCGGAAGGTAGTTAATTGATAGCTACAAAAAAGGTGATCTTAAAACCCGGCGCAATCGTCAATACTCAAGGCTTCAAACTTTGTTAGAAAAAATATTAGTAAACACGCAAGTGTAGTCTTACCTATGTACTCGCCCTGAAATTCAATTCTCATCGAAGGTACTCCGCCCCACCGCTCAACATTAAGGCGAACAAAACGTGTAACAACAGTACGAGTTAAGCGCTGCTCAACGATAGTGTTTCTATCATAGTTTGCTTCAAAGACCTGAAACAGAGAAAGGTTTGCGGGTTGAATTTTAGACTAAACAATTTACCCGAACTTAGAGTGCTATTAAACCCTCAGTTTTCCCGAATACAGCAAGAAAAAGAAGTAGTGCAAAAAGAAAAAGAAACGCAATGTTTTTCGCATTTTACAACATATCGTAACCGATCGAACTTTGCGTTATACAAATTTTGGTACTACCATTGAACTGTAAACAAACTGGAACGATAACTCTGGGGAGGGGGAAATTGAAGCTAGTGCTTTTTACTTTTTCTGAGTTTTGAGCTGAAATACTTGACGCCAAATGTTGAGCTGTATATGAAATTAATGCTATTAAAAAGTTATATTTGGTGTAGAAATTTCGAGACTTTAGCTTAAAGGGAAATATCTAAAAAATACTTCAAAATTTACTGCATTAGCTAAAAACTCTGACCGACGACGGAATAAAAATATTTAAAAAAAGTGTTTATTAAATTGTTTGTCTTTGCTTTGCAGTGGGTGCAACGGCGAAATTGCCTCGTACTTTGTTTCCTGCTAGCTACGGCTATTGGCAAATTTCAGGACGTACGAACATTAAAATACCTTAATTTGTCCAAATTCCTCGTAAATCTGATAATCGACGTCGTTATTGCTTGTCCACATTGTAAACGCACTAACCCAATTGTCGGATACTCCTCTGCCTTGCGTCAAAATTCTGCTTAATTTTGTTGGACCAAGGAAATCTACTTTAACCCAGGGCTTATGATCAGAAGAATGCCTCACCCAAACTTCACCTTTGCTTGTTGGTTTCATATTCAGTCGAGCACGTGCCGCCCTGTGATTCCAATTAGCGGAACTGGAAGCCGTTATCTGACTGTCCAAAATTGTGCCGTTTTCCATTCCCAAATATACCGGATTCAGAGCGCCTTAAATTATTACGGCAAATATCGGGTTTAGTACAAATTTCCAGGTGACTATTGATTTTCCTGCATTCTGATTGGTCAAAATTCACTGTCTCTGAAATGATAGTCACTGGTCAGTGACTATAGCTTTTTAATGTTTTTTTGATGTTTTTCGAAATCCGAAATCGCCCTTCTGTCAAGTACAAATTGCCCAACGTACACATATATTAATGGCGAAAATTATCGTGTAAATGTACAGCAATGACAGTTACTTTGACTATGACCATTGTGGTTATTACTATAGCGATTAAACATTGTTTATATAACCACATTATACCATAAGCTCCAGTCGTATATTAATCAATTATAGAACGTGGTCGAGCAAAATATCGTGACTTGTCGCTGGCGAGCAGATCCAATTATTTATTGATCAGCGAGCCACCGAAGAATCACGATATTTTGCGAGAACCGATTATTTTTTGGTATTTTCCGCGTTTTTTTCTTCGAGTAAGCAATACAATTCATTCTCCGAAAGTTTACCAAAGCGAGTCGCCATTCTTGCTTAAATAATAATATTTGGTAATAATATTTGGCTAATTTGTTCAGTAATCTGGCGACCCTGCCTCATATATGAGATGATATAGGCAATCGGTAACTTAACTAGTCAGGGGCGCTTTCCTATATATAGGGTGGTCAATTGTCAGACCGGTCTTATTTTGAATTGACTTGGAATGTTTTGCTAAAACTATGGCGGTGAAACTGCATTTTCCCGTGGTAGGCAGATGTGAATAACAATATATTTGAATGCAAAGTTCTTGAAGCACTCTTAAATACCAGTAATCTGTGTCTGTGTGTATACCGAATACAACGGGGCCGGTCTCGCATTGCATAAAATCTCATACATGATGCGTAGCTATTTTCTTTTAAAAGGTTAAATGATAGATGGGTTTTATTGAAAACACAATAAACGTTTTTCACCTTCATATCGACCATAAAACTCCGCCCTCAACGAACATGATCCAGCGCAAATCTTCGGTTTTATTCGAATATGCCGAGCAATGATAAATGGATACAAATATTGCTTCACTGTGAGACCACTGGTTGCATTAAAAACCTTTTTAAAATAGATAAAAAAGAGCATTTTTAATATTTCTTGTCCATATTCAGTGTTGCAAATTCACATAATTATGAATTGTCGAATTCCTTTTGACGAAGCCTGTCAAACGCTTCAAATAAAAGTTCAAAATTTTGAAAAATGAATAGGCAAAAATTAGTGAAATATGTCGTATAGTATAGGAAAGACACATTTTGTGTCTCGTTCCCTAACCTTAGGTTATGTCAAGGGGTCTTGCAATTAATGCCCCCAGTTAATTAAAACAACAATTAAACCAATTGTAAAAAGCAAAAATAAACCTTAGACATGTTCCTAATGGCTATGATATGAACAAAAATCGGGTTTTCTTAGAAGTAAATTTTTAGGTCACCTTAATCTCATCTTTAATTTTATATTCCTCCAAAGAGTCCCGACGGAATCCAGAAGCGACTGTGTAACTCCGAACCCACGATTGTCCACCATCCAGACCCTGGGTCGAGATTGAAGTGAGAGTGATGTTTGCGATGAAGTCAACTTCAAGCCAAGGGTCACTGTCATAGTCAGCCGCAATCCATCCTCCATATCTTACGTTGTCTACCGTAGTCAAATTCAGTCTGCCATTCGATGCTCCGGATTGGAAAAATTTTGATGAAGACGCTGTGATTTGCGAATCAACGATCATTCTACTTTGCATTCCCAAGGGCACGGGATCAAACCAATTCGTTACTGGAAACAAAAGTAACATAACAAGTTGAATAGACGATTAATTTTCCAGTCAACCGAAGTCTTAAATGGAGCCACCTTAATCGTCAATATTTCGTCACTTGTGCGAACGTTTTAAACGAACACCAAAACACTCAAATCTTTAAGCGATGTTGCTATCGACGAACGCAATAACAACGCTACATGCCACAAATCTCAAATTATTTGAACCTTAATATGTTTTCATTATGTATTTATATCCTTTAAATGCTTTTGAGCTTTCTCGCTGTAGATCAAAAACGCCTTTATGCGCAATATGATATTTCAAAATCTCTCGTGGGAGCCAGCCAATTAATGGTTGGTAAACCCTCGCGTTATTACAACAATTTACGAAGTACAATTGTGAGGATAAGTGCAAAGAATTAAGACACATATAAACCATGCATTATAAATGTTCAACCGTTATCTACGAAAGAATCGTATAGCTCATTACCTATATACTCGCCCTGGAATTCAATCCGCATCGAAGATAGCGCATTCCAGGTTTTAGAAGTCAGAAGAACAAAACGGGCTACAACTGTACGCGTTAAACGTTGCTCAACGACAGTCTTGTCATCATAGTTCGCCTGAAAAAGCTGAGAAAAAGTTTGAGATGAAGTTCTTTGAAACTGCTTTACAAGATGCACGAAAAATTGCATCGTGTAACACGGCTTTAACATTTATACCTACCTTAATTTGCCCAAATTCCTTGTAAACTGGATAGTCCACATCGTTGTTACTCGTCGACATTGTAAAGCTTGCAACCCAATGGCCGTATATTCCTCTGCCTTGCGTCAAAACACCGGTTAATTTTATTCGACCAAGAAAATCTACTTTCACCCAAAGCTTAGTATCGGTACGATGTCTAACCCAAGCTTTTGCGGCATTCAATCGAGCCTTTGCAGCGGTGCGATCCCAATCTTCAAAACTAGAAGACGTCAGTTGACTGTCCAAAATTGCACCGCTTTCCATTCCCAAATGTATCGAATTTGGAGGGTCTAAAAATTCATAACTTGTGATTTTTAGGCACAGCGTGTACTGTATACACAGTCATAGGTGTTCCAGCCATGACTTAACACCCGATTCACGTATACGAATTGACCAAACACCCGACTCACGTATATAAATTGCCTGAGTTATCACTGATTTTATAAGAAAATGCATGAATTTCGGAGTAATTTGATAAAAACTGTCCATCTTCAGGCTACGTCATAATTTTCAATATTATAACATTTTACAAGTTGTAGCCTGAAAAATGTCGACAGTTGTTGAACAGCTCGAAAAGTTGAAAAAATAAAATTAAAAACCTCTTGCGGAATCCTGTTTGAAACTGAATTAAATTATGAAATTAACAAAGAACAGAGGTGAAAGTTTTAGAAGAAAAATGTACACTATGGTTCAATTTTTTAACCAGAATGAGAGAATTCTTACAGCCAAGAGACCTATTAAACTGAATCCTGAACTAGATTCAGGATCTAATTTTAGTCTAAACTAGATTCGAGTCTAAAGGCGGATTTCCACTTACAGCGAAATTCGCCAGCGAAATATTTGCATATTTTCTTTTGAATTTTAACAGCATAAATAAATTAGTTCGACTTGACTGTTCTTAATTCAAACGAAAATATGCAAATATTTCGCTAGCGAACGATTTCGCTGTAAGTGGAAATCCGCCTTAATTAAGATTAGTCGGTTCTGAAGTATACAGCTGGAAAGAGCATCCCAAAATTAGTAAAATTGAAAGTTTGGTTTCGAGATGTTGAAAAATGTCGTCGTGTGAAGTTATTTTCAATCTCGTGCAAACTACGACGTGTCAACGTGCCCATACACGACCACATCTTGTTAAACGGCGAAATAGCAGCGATATTATTAAAATAGGACCAGAATCTACATGTATCAAATATATTCTTACCCCAATTAAATCTAAACTTATTCGAACAGCATCAAAAGAACGGCTTATTTGTTCCTCTTGGAGGAATTGCCGTATCATGCGAGCGAAATCGAATCGCGCATCGGAAAATTAGCCAACGTACACAGAGATTAATGGCGAGAATTATAGTGTAAATGGACAGCAGTGACAGTTACTTTGACTATGACCATTGTGGTTATTACTATCGCGATTAAACATTGTTTATATAACCACATTATACCATAAGCTCCAGTCGTATATTAATCAATTATAGAACGTGGTCGAGCAAAATATCGTGACTTGTCGCTGGCGAGCAGATCCAATTATTTATTGATCAGCGAGCCACCGAAGAATCACGATATTTTGCGAGAACCGATTATTTTTTGGTATTTTCCGCGTTTTTTTCTTCGAGTAAGCAATACAATTCATTCTCCGAAAGTTCAGCAAAGCGAGTCGCCATTATTGTTTAAATAATAATATTTGGTAATAATATTTGGCTAATTTGTTCAGTAATCTGGCGACCCTGCCTCGTATATGAGATGATATAGGCAATCGGTAACTTAGCTAGTCAGGGGCACTTTCCTTTATATAGGGTGGTCAATTGTCAGACCGGTCTTATTTTGAATTGACTTGGAATGTTTTGCTAAAACTATGGCGGTGAAACTGCATTTTCCTGTGGTAGGCAGATGTGAATAACAATATATTTGAATGCACAGTTCTTGAAGCACTCCTAAATACCAGTAATCTGTGTGTATACCGAATACAACGGGGCCGGTCTCGCATTGCATAAAATCTCATACATGATGCGTAGCTATTTTCTTTTAAAAGGTTAAATGATAGATGGGTTTTATTGAAAACAAAACAAACGTTTTTCACCTTCATATCGACCATAAAACTCCGCCCTCAACGAACATGATCCAGCGCAAATCTTCGGTTTTATTCGAATATGCCGAGCAATGATAAATGGATACAAATATTGCTTCACTGTGAGACCACTGGTTGCATTAAAAACCTTTTTAAAATAGATAAAAAAGAGCATTTTTAATATTTCTTGTCCCTATTCAGTGTTGCAAATTCACATAATTATGAATTGTCGAATTCCTTTTGACGAAGCCTGTCAAACGCTTCAAATAAAAGTTCAACATTTTTAAAAATGAATGGGCAAAGGCAAATATTAGTGAAATATGTCGTAAAGTAGGAAAGACACGTCTTGTGTGTCGTTCCCTAACACTATGTTATGTCACAGAGTCTTGCAATTAATGCCACGCACATGGGATTTTCCAGTTAATTAAAACAACAATTAAGCAAATTGTAAAGAACAAAAAATCGGGTTTTCTTCTACAGGGTGTCCCAAAAAACCCCGAAAACTATTGAAATCACCCACAACAACGCAATTGTTAGAGTTTGAATGCCTAAGCACTCTGTTGTGTCCCCAATTAGTTATTTATAGCTAAACACATTGACACTAAAATAAAGTTTTCATTCATTCATTCATACGCATTTTTATGCATGCATATGATGCAGTAAAATTTTCCTGTACGCAAAAATGATATTTATTAACAATAATTACAATTTACAAATATGGATAACAATATCTAAATGTGTATATTTTAGGACCACGACCTTCGACATGTCCCCTTTTTCTAGCAACACAAAGCATTTAGCATTTTATAAGTTGCATTAAGTCCCCACGGGTTGAAATTCGTGAACACGGCATTCAAATTTTAACAATGAGTGATTTCAATAGTTTTCGGGTTTTTTTGAGACACCCTGTATAATTAAATCAGTAGCGTAGCCAGCCTGACGATTTGTCACACTATGCTAATATATAAGGAAATGGATATAACACGAAATTTACATATCGGGACAAAATCGTCTGGCTGGCTACGCCACTGAATTTAATTCAGCTATTGAGTGACATAAGCGGGTAAGCTAACTCTGAATATTCATATTTTCTTGCGCTTGTATGGTTTTTGACTTTTGAAATTCAATTTTTATGGCCTATCAGTATCCATTTAGAACAGGGACTTTCTAATTCATTCAGAAATAAAGTCAGCCGAGCTTTTAACATGCATCGAAGAGTTTTTAAGAAAATCGACTGTAAAGTTTCACCAATATATTACGATAGTTTGCAGAAAGAGATAAGAAAAAGCTAGGCTAGGCGGTAGCAATCATATAAGGTTTTTACCCTATATAGACTTGGATCCTTACATGAAACTACACTTCTAAAGCTTAGAATTGTTTTATCTTTTCAAGATATACGGATATAAATAAGAAGGCAATAGGGCCTATATTTTTCATATCTTAGAAAATGCGTTTGCATACAAGACCACTTAGCTACGTGTGAGCCCAGGCTTTCTGAAGAATTTAGAAGTAAATTTTTAGGTCACCTTTATCTCATCTTTAATTTTATATTCCTCCAAAGCGTCCCGACGGAATCCAGAAGCGACTGTGTAACTCCGAACCCACGATTGTCCACCGTCCAGACCTTGGGTTGAGATTGAAGTCAGAGTGATGTTTGCGATGAAGTCAACTTCAAGCCAAGGGTCACTGTCATAGTCCGCCGCAATCCATCCTCCATATCTTACGTTGTCTACCGTTGTCAAATTCAGTCTGCCATTCCATGCTCCGGATTGGAAAAATTTTGATGAAGACGCTGTGATTTGCGAGTCAACGATCATTCTACTTTGCATTCCCAAAGGCACAGGATCAAACCAATTCGTTACTGGAAACAAAAGTAACATAACAAGTTGAATAGACAATTAAGTTTTCGAGTCAACCGAAGTCTTAAATGGAGCCACCTTAATCGTCAATATTTTGTCACTTGTGCGAACGTTTTAAACGAACACCAAAACACTTAAATCTTTAAGCGATGTTGCTATCGACGAACAGAATTACAACGCTACATGCCACAAATCTCAAATTATTTGAACCTCAATATGTTTTCATTATGTATTTATATCCTTTAAATGCTTTTGAGCTTTCTCGCTGTAGATCAAAAACGCCTTTATGCGCAATATGATATTTCAAAATCTCTCGTGGGAGCCAGCCAATTAATGGTTGGTAAACCCTCGCGTTATTACAACAATTTACGAAGTACAATTGTGAGGATAAGTGCAAAGACTTAAGACACATATAAACCATGCATTATAAATGTTCAACCGTTATCTACGAAAGAATCGTATAGCTCATTACCTATATACTCGCCCTGGAATTCAATCCGCATCGAAGATAGCCCATTCCAGGTTTTAGAAGTCAGAAGAACAAAACGGGCTACAACTGTACGCGTTAAACGTTGCTCAACGACAGTCTTGTCATCATAGTTTGCCTGAAAAAGCTGAGAAAAAGTTTGAGATGAAGTTCCTTGAAACTGCTTTACAAGATGCACGAAAAATTGCATCGTGTAACACGGCTTTAATATTTATAACTACCTTAATTTGCCCAAATTCCTTGTAAACTGGATAGTCCACATCGTTGTTACTCGTCGACATTGTATAGCTTGCAACCCAATGGCCGTATATTCCTCTGCCTTGCGTCAAAATACCGGTTAATTTTATTCGACCAAGAAAATCTACTTTCACCCAAAGCTTAGTATCGGTACGATGTCTAACCCAAGCTTTTGCGGCATTCAATCGAGCCTTTGCCGCGGTGCGATCCCAATCTTCAAAACTAGAAGACGTCAGTTGACTGTCCAAAATCTCACCGCTTTCCATTCCCAAATGTTTGGAACTTGGAGGGTCTAAAAATTCATAACTTGTGATTTTCAGGCACAGCGTGTACTGTATACACAGTCATAGGTGTTCCAGCCATGACTTAACACCCGATTCACGTATACGAATTGACCAAACACCCGACTCACGTATATAAATTGTCTGAGTTATCACTGATTTTAGAAAAAAATGCACGAATTTCGGAGTAATTTGATAAAAACTGTCCATCTTCAGGCTACGTCATAATTTTCAATATTATAACATTTTACAAGTTGTAGCCTGAAAAATGTCGACAATTGTTGAACAGCTCGAAAAGTTAAAAAAAAAATTAAAAACCTCTTGCGGAATCCTGTTTGAAACTAAATTAAATTATGAAAATAACAATGAACAGAGGTGAATGTTTTAGAAGAAAAATGTACATCTATTGTTCAATTTTTTGACCAAAATGAGAGAATTCTTACAGCCAAGGGACCTATTAAACTGAATGCTGAACTAGGAAGATTAGTCGGTTCTGAAGTATACAGCTGGAAAGAGCATCCCAAAATTAGTAAAATTGAAAGTTTGGTTTCGAAATGTTGAAAAATCAGAAAAGTATCGTCGTGTGAAGTTATTTTCAATCTCGTGCAAACTACGACGTGTCAACGCGCCCATACACGACCACATCTTGTTAAATGGCGAAATAGCAGCGATATTATTAAAATAGGACAAGAATCTACATGTATTAAATATATTCTTACCCCAATTAAATCTAAACTTATTCGAACAGCATCAAAAGAACGGCTTATTTGTTCCTCTTGGAGGAATTGCCGTATCATGCGAGCGAAATCGAATCGCGCATCGGAAAATTAGCCAAAGCTGTGCACCACAACTCTTGGGAGACAAGACTGGGACGTAGATAAATACGGTCACATACACTTTTCAAATACTAGTATATTTCGCCCCAAAACACACTTGTGACGACGAAAAATAGAAAAAAGACAAAACAAAAACGAAACAAAAGCTAGGCGTCGCTCACGATAGAGTTATTATAATATTACGTTCGTACAAAACTTTCCAATTTTACTAATTTGGGGATACTCTTTCCAGTTGTACTGATGAAAATTCCTAGTTTTAAATTTAGTTTAATAGGGGAATGGAAGACTCATTAAAAACAATTTGCTTTATTATGTTCGATGAAAGTGAGAATTTCGTTTTAGACCGATAAAAAAGTTTGTTCACATTTCAGTAACCCTATCAGAATGCAAAAATTTTGACTAGGTACTTCCGGTAAAAAAGGTACATTATTTACCATTTATAATGAAGTATTAAAAATTTAGGCATTCTGATTGGCTTAGCTTGAAAAATGTAAACAAATATGTTTACATTATAACATTATTTTAAAACGAAATTCCTCCTTGTTTGAGCAAACGACGATGCTAATGGTTACAGCTATGATCAAGGTGCATGACTCTATAACAATGTGGCTGACGGATTTCGGGGAGGACGCAATATAATGAAATATTTTTTCACCTTCATAACGACCGTAAAACTCCACTCTCAATGAACATGATCCAGCGCACATCTTTGGCTTAATTTGAATGTACCGAGCAATGATAAATGGATACAAATCTTGCTTCACTGTGAGACCACTGCTTGCATTAAACATCTATTGAAAAAAGATCAAAAGTTCCGGGTAACAAAGAGCAGAATAATAACCATAGAAACCATGGGAATAAAACAGGAAAATAATCAAAATTCTCTCCATAATTTTTATAATTGTTTTGTATTACTATTTCACTTCAAAATTTTAAATCATCAATAGACAAAGGTGCAAATAAAATATACCGTAAAATCAGAAAAAAAAAACTACTTCAAAGATAAATGCAAAATATTTAGAAATCTTTCTTACATTACGTTATGAATGTGTTAAAGAGAACGTTAATCTTAGGTTCACAGAGTTTTCCCATTTTTATACACTAACACTGAAATTCTCCCACTGAAAATGTCATTTTTAATTAAGCCAGCAATTAGACCAATGGTAAAAAGGAAATTAACCGAAGCAAAATATTGCCGTTTGACAGTTGACAGTTTCTAATGACTAATAATATGAATAGAAATATCGCGTTTTCTCTAGAATTCAAGTCAGCTATACAGTGACTTAACTAGCCAGCTGAATGTTCATTACTTTTTTTCCGATTTTCTCGCACTTATCTGACTTTTGAAGTTAAAATCATGAACTCATCATTATCTGTTTAGCAAAGAAACTTTCGAATTCATTCAGAAATAAAATAGAAATTTTAGCATGTTTCGAAAGGGCATTTGAGAACATCGACTGTAAAGTTTTACCAATATATTACGGTCCTTTGCAGAATAACACAATAAAAGAGTATTAATGACTGAAGCAGTAATACAAGCAGAATTAATTCATCTTTTCAAGATATGAATAAGAAGGTAATAGAGAGGAGATTGCACTTACCATATTTCAGAAAATACGATTGTGTGGAAAATCACTAAATTACGTGTAGTTAATTCAAGAATTTACATCGAAGAAAAATTTTTAGGTCACCTTTATCTCATCTTTATGTTTATATTCCTCCAAAGAGTCCCGACGGAATCCAGAAGTGACTGTGTAACTACGAACCCACAATTGTCCACCATCCAGACCTTGGGTTGAGATTGAAGTGAGAGTGATGTTTGCGATGAAGTCAACTTCAAGCCAAGGGTCACTGTCATAGTCCGCCGCAATCCATCCTCCATATCTTACGTTGTCTACCGTAGTCAAATTCAGTCTGCCATTCCATGCTCCGGATTGGAAAAATTTTGATGAAGACGCTGTGATTTGCGAGTCAACAATCATCCTACTTTGCATTCCCAAGGGCACGGAATCAAACCAATCCCTTTCTGGAAAAAAAAGTAACATAACAAGTTGAATAGACTGTCAGCAGTCAACCGAAGTTTTAAATTGCGGAAAAAGAAGATGTAAACACAAGTCGCAAGTCGCCCTAGAAATTAGTTCGCACCGAGGATTTTTGGGATCCAGGATCAAAAGCTTATTAGTAGCCCCATTGATGACCCTGGTAAACTATATATAGTTTTTATTGATCAGGTCGAGGTGATTTAAATACAAAAAACACCCAATCAGAAATTAGACCCTCCATGAAACCTGATTATCGTTTCCTTCATTTCACAATTTTTGCATCCATTAATTGTGTAATTCAATCACTTCTATGCATTGGTTGTTTTAGCAAAATGTAAATCAGTAGAATCTCGATTTCACGGCAGGCCCATCGTGAAGGACGGGGAGGAATGACTGCATGGCGCATGATAACTCAGCTCTGTCAAGGTACCTCATAACGTCGTGATCTCAGATCAACTGGATTAATTTAATACGTACAACAATAAAAGTCGAAAACTTTTAATTTTTTCGTATTTCTTTTGTCCAAAAGAATTATTTAAACCGGTTCAAATTTTCCATTTTCTTGTAAGAAAACGTTTTATGAAATAAAAATTGGGTAACCGAGCTTATATAGAAAAAAATGTCGAATCGCCATTGATGCCATAACAACTGTTATGACGTTATGAATTATATGGTTAATATAATTATCATGTCATGTTTCCAAAATTTTATGGATCCACCTTAATTGTAAATATTTCGTCTCTTCCGCGAACCTTGTAAGCATACACCAAAACACTCAAATCTTCAAGCGATTTTGCTATAGGCGAACGGACTTGCAACGCTGCATATGCATGCAACAAATCTGAAAATATTTGAACCTCAATATGCTTTCATAATGTGTTTATATCCTTTAGATGCTTTTGAGCTTTCTCACTGTAGATCGTCAGTGATTGAAAATTCTTCATGGGAACCAGCCAACTAATGGTTGTTAAACCTTCGCGTTACTACAACGTTTTACGAAGTATATCAATTTTGAAAAACTGTGCAAAGAATTAAGACAAATATAAACCATGCATTATAAATGTTCAACCGTTATCTACGAAGGAATAATGTAGTTCATTACCTATATACTCGCCCTGGAATTCAATCCGCATCGAAGATGTCTTTTCCCAGCTCTTAGTATTCAGACGAACAAAACGGGCTACAACTGTACGAGTTAAACGTTGTTCAATGACAGACCTGTCATCATAGTTTGCCTGAAACAACTGAGAAAAAGTTTGAGATGAAGACCTTTGTGACTTTACAAGATGCACGAAAAATTGCACGGTGTAACAAGGCTTTAACATTTATACCAACCTTAATTTGCCCAAATTCCGTGTAAGCGGGATAGTCCACATCGTCGTTACTCGTCGACATTGTAAAGCTTGCAACCCAACAGCCGTATACTCCCCTGCCTTGCGTCAAAATACCGGTTAATTTTATTCGACCAAGAAAATCTACTTTCACCCAAGGCTTAGTATCGGTACCATGTCTCACCCAAGCTTTTGCCGCATTCAATCGAGCCTTTGCTGCGGTGCGATCCCAATCTTCAAAACTAGAAGACGTCAGTTGACTGTCCAAAATTGCACCGCTTTGCATTCCCAAATGTACGGAGCTTGGAGGGTCTAAAAATTAATCATTTCTGATTTTTAGGCATAATTTCGAGTGGAATTATACACACTTCCAATTAAAGCAGTGATGGGAATATGAGTCAACTATGAGTCAGCTATAGGTCCTCCGGCAGGAATCGAACCTTTCCTTTTGCGATGCCGGTAAGATGCTTGGCAAGAGCATTGCACCGGCATCGCAAAAGCGTAGGTTCGATTCCTGCTGGAGGACCCATAGTTGATTCATTTTTCCATCAACAACACCTAACTTGAATTTGAAGTGTGTATATAATTCCACTCGAAATAAAGACCTTTTAAAACCTCTTGAATTTTGGGGTGTACTTAATTTATACCCCGCCATAGCTGTTCGGGCCAAAGGAATTTTAGGAGGGTGAAGGGGGCGCATGACTTCAGCAAAAATTACCCGACTCACGTATATACATTGCCTGACTTATCACTGATCTAATTGCACGTATTTCCGTATCATTTAATAACAGTTGTCCCGACTTTCATAGATTCTACTGGGTGTCCCAAAGATAAAGTACTCCGCTTTGATTGATAATAATTTTTTAACCAGAGAAGCCATTGCACTGAAAAAAATTGCATTAGATAGAGGGAAGGTTCACTTATCTTTTGGTACCTCAGAATTATGTAAAAAAACCCGGAGATATTTATTAGTGTTCAAAGGTAATAGGCTATCAGTTATAGATGCGTCTAAATTATGCAAAATCGCAGCATAGCAGAAAATGAGAGAAAAGCATCGCTCGCATTTAGACAATGTCCTAACTTGCGTTTTAATAAATTAGAATAAATCGTGAGAATTTTTAGTTGTATAGCATAATGCAACTGTTTGTTAAATGTCTACCGTTAATAGTGCGTGCTTCAGTTTAGAAAAGCTTAATTAAGTAACATTTTTATACAGCGATTTTGCATATTTTAGAGACAGCCCAAAATAATTTGTACAGATTTTGAAAAGTAATAACTCCATGCATTTGCTTCAAAAATACAACTAGAAAATATTAAAATATAATTTAGTTTTTCTTCTAACTAAAGAATGTGGTTTCATTTCGACAACTTTACTTGATATGGAGTTATTTTGAATGAAAACGGAGTAATTTTTTGGGACACCCGGTATATGTAAACATAATTCTTTTTGTTAAGTAATATTTAGAAAATAAGACAGTTAGCCGAAGTATGTGAATAAATTGTATATCCATTGTTTTCAATTTTTTTAACCAGAAATAGAGAATTCTTACAGCCAATGGACCATTCCCATTTTAAACTGAAACCTGAACTAGGAAGATTCGTCGGTTCTGAGGTATACAGCTGGAAAGAGCATCCCAAAATTAGTAAATTGGAAAGTTTGTTTTCGAAATGTTGAAAAATGCGAAAAGTATCGCCGTGTCTAGTTGGCAAATTTTGTATCAATTATAGTATTATGCTTGAAGTGGTAACGCTTTTTGACCATAATACTAATTTATACAAAACTTGCAAATTTTGCACCGCCATATTTTTCACACTTTACAATATTTCGCCACAAAACTTTTCAATTTTACTAATTTGGGGATACTCTTTCCAGTTGTACGGATGAAAATTCCTAGTTTTAAATTTAGTTTCACAGGGGAATGGTAAAGACAATTTGCTTTATTATGTTCTATTAAACAACAAGGGAGAATTTCGTTTTTGACCAATAAGCAAGTTTGTTTGTATTACCAATAACCCAATCAGATTGCATATATTTTGACTACTTCCGGTAAAAAGATACATTATTTACCATTTTAAATGAAGTAATAAAGATTTAGGCATTCCGATTGGCTTAGCTCAAAAAATGTAAACAAATATGCCGATTAGTTTAAAACGAAATTCCTACTTTTTTGAGCAAACGATGATGCTAATGGTTAAAGCTATGATCAAGGTGCATGACTCTATAGCAATGTGGCTGAGGGTTTTCGGGGAAGACGCAATATAATAAAAGTTTTTCACCTTCATAACGACCGTAAAACTCCACTCTCAATGAACAAGATCCAGTGCATATCTTTGGTTTAATTTGAATGTACCGAGCAATGATAAATGGATACAGATCTTGCTTCACTGTGAGACCACTGCTTGCATTAAACATCTATTGAAAAAAGATCAAAATTTCCGGGTAACAAAAGAAAGAGCAGAATAACTATATTAACCTGAGGAGTTACAGGAAAATAATCAAAATTCTCTGCATAATTTTTATATTTTGTATTACTATTCAGTATTTGAAATCTGCATAATTATGGCGAATTCGAGCTTTTCAGAATCTTTTTCAAAATTTTAAATAATGAATAGACAAAGGTGCAAATAAAATATATCATAAACTACTTCAAAGATAAACGCAAAGTATTTAAAAATCTTTCTTAACAATAAGTTATCAATGTGTTAAAGAGAACGTTAATTTTAGGTTCACAGAGCTTTCCCATTATTATACACTAACACTGAAATTTTCCCACTGAAAATGTCATTTTTCATTAAACCAACAATTAGACCAATGGTAAAAAGGAAGCACACGCAAAATATTGTTTGACAGGTCCTAATGACTAATAGCTATATATAATATGAATAAAAATATCGCGTTTTCTCTAGAATTTAAGTCAGCTATACAGTGACTTAACTAGCCAGCTGAATGTTCATTAATTATTTTCTGATCTTGATGCACTTATCTGACTTTTGAAGAAGTTAAAATCATGAACTCATCATTATCTGTTTAACAAAGAAACTTTCGAATTCATTCAGAAATAAAGTGGAAATTTTAGAAAGTTTCGAAAGGGATTTTGAGAAAATCGACTGTATAGTTTTAACAATATATATATTACGGTACTTGCAGACTTATATATGCACACTTATATATATGCAGGTTTTTAAAGGGTCTTAATTTCGAGTGAAATTATACAAACTTCAAATTCAAGCCAGGAACAGTTGATGGAAAAATTAGTCAACTATAGGTCCTCCGGCAGGAATCGAACCTACGCTTTTGCGATGCCGGTGCAATGCTCTTGCCAGCGAAGGTTCGATTCCTGCCGGAGGACGGATGGTTGACTCATTTTTCCATCAACTGTCTCTGGCTTGAATTTGAAGTGTGTATAATTCCACTCGAAATTAAGACCTTTAAACCTCTAGAATTTACTTGCATCGAGTGAAGTGCCAATAATCATAACTGACAATTATATATATATATATATATATATATATATATATATATATATATATATATATATATATATATATACAGTAGGAGGCAAAAGTTTGAGTCCAGTGACTGTATTTCTTTGTTTCAGCAGCATATATTAATATTCTACAGAAAATCTTACCGATAAGTGAACTAGAAAAAAGTAAACAAGTAAACAGAAAAATACATGCTGTACAACAACTATGAGATGTTATGATATTCATTTTTACGTATTTTAATGTGCAAACATGCATTTACATGTCATTGCTTAGTTCCCTCTTTTTTGCTCTTGAAATGACCTTTATTCTTGCTCGCATAGATTCCATAGGTTTTTTAATGTCACACGTTCAATACCTTGCCAGCATTCGTTGACCACTTGCCTCAAGTCAGCCTGGCTGGCGGGTCTGTGCCTCGCCCTCTTCCGGTTAAAACGGTTCTACAAGTGCTCCATAGGTTTTAGATCTGGAATATGAGGTGGAAAGCCATGACAACGAGATCACCAGAATGAGTTTGCTTCTAAACGATTTCTGGCACATAGAAGATGTGCATGTGCTTAGGGTGATTATCATGTAGTTAGACGTGCGATCATCTTTGTACCAGATGAAATTCCATGTCCTTGAAGAATTGGATGATACTTTTCTTTAATTAGGATCCTATTATATCTTTCAATATTGCCAAACCGAGCATGACCAAAGCAGCTAAAAGTTTGCTTGAGTAGGATTTAGTTTCTTCGAACCTCTCCAAGGTTAGTTGCATACCACCTTTTTAAATTCTCACTTCTTCTGCGATCTTACGAGGAAAGAATCCTTCAATACTTAATGGAACTATTTGTCCTTGTGCACCATCACTTTGCCCTTTTTCCTACCCATCTTGGGCAGTGTAAAGGAATGAGAACTTTATTTTGTTATAATTTAGATCATTAGGACCAAAACAGTGTGCAATTAATATAGTTTACAGTACTGAAACACTAGCACGCATGTCTTAACTCCAATACGCTGCCAGGATTTAATACTGGAATTCTACAACGACTGGACTCAAACTTTTGCCTCCTACTGTATATATTAATAATAATATATATTTAATTTTAATATATTAATTTTAATACGTCAACAACTCCTCCAAAGGATATCCTAGTCGGGAACTAGAAGTTTTTCTAACTAAGAAGTTTTTAGGGTATATATGTTTAATTTTTATTTTTAACATTCCATTGAACTTTTCCAGAAAGGTTTTCACACATTTTAGCCGTAGCTACGTTGCTTTGGTTTTGTCCATTTGCTCACATTTTTCACAGAGGGCCGGTTGTATTTCACAGCGGGCCGGATGAGAAAAACGAGCCCGCTGTGAAACGCTCCTCAGCCAATCAAATTGCTTCACTTACACAGTTAAACCATGGTTTTATCTTTTAAAGACTTCCTTACAGCTAAACTACTGAAGCTCAGAATTAATTCATCTTTTCAACAGAAGGTAATAGAGACGAGGCTACACTTAGCATATTTTAGAAAATACGATTGTGTAGAAAACCACTAAATTACGTATACTTAATTCAAGAATCTAGATCGAAGTAAATTTTAAGATCACCTTTATGTCATCTTTATGTTTATATTCCTCCAAAGAGTCCCGACGGAATCCAGAAGCGACTGTGTAACTCTGAACCCACGATTGTCCACCGTCCAAACCCTGGGTCGAAATTGAAGTGAGAGTGATGTTTGCGATGAAGTCAACTTCAAGCCAAGGGTCACTGTCATAGTCCGCCGCAATCCATCCTCCATATCTTACGTTGTCTACCGTAGTCAAATTCAGTCTGCCATTCCATGCTCCGGATTGGAAAAATTTTGATGAAGACGCTGTGATTTGCGAGTCAACGATCATTCTACTTTGCATTCCCATGGGCACAGGATCAAACCAATTCGATACTGGAAAAAAAAGTAACATAACAAGTTGAATAGACTATTTGCAGTCAACCGAAGTCTTAAATGGAGCCACCTTAATCGTCAATATTACGTCACTTGTGCGAACATTTTAAACATACACCAAAACACTAAAATCTTCAAGTTATGTTGCTCTCGGCGAACGGAATTGCAGCGCTGCATGCCACAAATCAGTCTCAATTATTTGAAACTCAATATATTTTCATAATGCATGTATTTATATCCTTTAGATGCTTTTGAGCTTCCTCGCTGTAGATCGTAAACGCCTTCATGCGCAACATGACATTTCAAAATCTCTCGTGGGAACCAGCCAGCTAATGTTCAACCGTTATCTACGAAAATATAATGTAGTTCATTACCTATATACTCGCCCTGGAATTCAATCCGCATCGAAGATGTCTTGTGCAAGGCCTTAGTATTCAGACGAACAAAACGGGCTACAACTGTACGAGTTAAACGCTGTTCAACGACAGACTTCTCGTCATAGTTTGCCTGAAAAAGCTGAGAAAAAGTTTTAGATGAAGAGCTTTGCAAATTTACAAGATGCATAAAAAATTGCACGGTGTTACAAGGCTTTAACAAATCATACTAAACCTTAATTTGCCCAAATTCCTTGTAAACTGGATAGTCCACGTCGTCGTTACTCGTTGACATTGTAAAGCTTGCAACCCAACAGTCGTATGCTCCTCTGCCTTGCGTCAAAATACCGGTTAATTTTATTCGACCAAGAAAATCTACTTTCACCCAAGGCTTAGTATCGGTACCATGTCTCACCCAAGCTTTTGCCGCATTCAATCGAGCCTTTGCCGCGGTGCGATCCCAAGCTTCAAAACTAGAAGCCGTCAGTTGACTGTCCAAAATTGCACCGCTTTGCATTCCCAAATGAACGGAACTTGGAGGGTCTAAAAATTGATCATTTGTGATTTTATGGGATTTCACTCGATGAGAGGGTCTCAATACTTATACTATTATTAAACATGATGCAAATTTTTTTATTACGGAAAATTTTGAAGATTAGAAGTTGAAAAATTTTGTGTTTATTCTTATTTTTTTATTCTCAAAAGACTAATTCTTAATGTTTTTCAAAATAACTTGCTGATCATGTTCGGGCGGGCTACGATGATGCTAATGGATTGTGGATATGATTATAAGGTGCTTTTCTGTATAAAGGTCTGTTCACAAATCACAAGATCCAATTTTGTCGGAATTATTCACTTCTGATGGATGTTTTATAGTCGGTTGATGTGCATATGGGCATGCAGCAAATAGACTAAAACCAATGCAGTACTGCTTTATCAATAACAAAATACATGCAAACTACACTTCCATACATGTCTGAAGTTAATTAAATCCAACAAAATTGGATTGTGTGAAGGGGCCTTAATAATTAGTTGGTGGTCTTCGGGGAGAACGTAATAATAAAAATTTTTTACCTTCATAACGACCGTAAAACTCCACTCTCAATGAACAAGATCCAGTGCACATCTTTGGTTTGATTTGAATGTACCGAGCAATGATAAATGGATACAAATCTTGCTTCACTGTGAGACCACTGCTTGCATTAAACACCTTTTCGAAAAAAAGTATATATTAATAAGCGGTCAAAGTTCATTTGACAAACTGACTGAGCTTTTACGTATAATCTTATGCAAAATACTTGTTCTTCAGTGATTTTAAAAATGGATGCACAGGGCACGTGCCCCCTTCCAAATTTTTTCAATGGACCAAGTGCCTTTTTTGTGATGAAAAATGCCTTTTTCGAGAAGCTAATGCAGCTGTAAATACTATTTTAAAATTGAAGGTGCCCTTTTTGTTTCCGTCGTACACCCACACACCACACCAAATCGCATTTATGCCAATGCAAAAGCATCAACTGTATTTAATACTATTATATTAAATTTAAAGAGCAGTTTTTGTATAAAAAATTGCTAGCTCAACACTTCAGTCATTCTTCTGATTGGCTTAGATCAGCAGGCTATTTCACCCCGGCATTTTAGCCCGCAAAATTCACCGCAATGCCCACCAAATGTTAATATAATATTGCACCACCTATTTTAGTCACAGTTGTAACGATTCAATGTCGTTGACAAGTGCGAAAATTTTGGTGAATGCTGTTGAACCGCGGGCTCAGACTTCTTAGCCGCTTCAAACTTTATGTAACGTCCCCCGACACTTGTTTCAAATAATTTTAACGAACATGTGCACGCATAAAACGTGTAAACCCAGATTAAAGCGTGAATTTCGATCGACATAAAATTTGAATCTCACCTTTATCTGATCCTCAATCTGATATCCCTCCAAAGATTCTCGATTTAATCCAGAAGCGACTGTGTAACTCCGAACCCACGATTGTGCACCGTCCAGACCCTGGGTTGAGATTGACGTGAGAGTGATGTTTGCGATGAAGTCAACTTCAAGCCAAGGGTCACTGTCATAGTCCGCCGCAATCCATCCTCCATATCTTACGTTGTCTATCGTAGTCAAATTCAGTCGGCCATTCCATGCTCCGGATTGGAAAAATTTTGATGAAGACGCTGTGATTTGTGAGTCAACGATCATTCTACTTTGCATTCCCAAGGGAACGTGATTGAACGAATCCGTTACTGGAGAGAAAGGAGAAGAAATACACAAAGTGATATATATATATATATATATATATATATATATATATATATATATATATATATATATATATATATATATATATATATATATATATATATATATATATCTTAAGAAACATGTAAGGAGAATTTCATTATTGATCAAATAAATAAATTTTGTTGTTGCCCTATAATTTCTTCTTATATTATAAAAGAATTAAAAAAGCTCGTCGCGTGCCTTTATGGTGTAATAATGCACTCGGGGAAATATTGGAAGAATACTCGAGAAGCTTGTAAACACTCGGCTACGCCTCGTGTTTTACAAGCTTCTCTCGTATTCTCCCAACATTCCCCCATCGTGCATTGTTACACCATAAAGGCACGCGACTCGTTTTTTAATTCTTAATTAATCAATGTCCTTAAGATTTTCTATTAACTTCCGGTGGAATCACGCCTATCCAGACGGACAGGTACTCGGCCCTGGACATGCGGCTAGTTTGACAAGCGGAGTTTATCGCTTACCATTTACATAGCATCCTTTGAATTCAACTCTTATCCTGGGGTATTGGTAGAAATTTCCAGGGTGAATACGAACGTAGCGCACAAAAATGTGATAAAGCAGCTCATTTTTCACCACTGTGCCTGCGTTTGTGTTGGCAGGAAAAACCTTAAACAAGGGAAAACGTTTTTCAATTATTTTTAATAAATGTAACAAGGAAATAAGCAAATTTATTTACATATTTTAGGCTGAGCCAATCAGAATGTATATTCAATGTAAAATTGTGGTAACCCATTGCCACCTATTTACCGCAAATAGTCAAAATTTTATTATTATTATTATTTAATTTTCCTTAAGCCTGGTTCACACTTGTCTTAAGGATCTGAAATTCCCTTGGTCTGAAGTCATTGGTGCACGAAATGCTTTGTCTATCCGAAGGTGATATAACGGATCCCCGATCCTAGGAGCTGGTGTTAACCAGGCCTTAAAAACAACGGTAGCCCTTTAGCACTTGTCATGAGAAACTGTTTTCCAAGGGGCCATTGCACAATACATATAATCACAAAATAATTTAGGCTAGTTATTACAATATCTATTGCATAGTTACACATTACTCATTACACAATACACCACATACATTAAAAGCTTACGCATTAAGTATTACTGAAATAAGGGTTGACTGAGCCACGAAATCTTTCATTCGTCGAATCATTCCTATGCCTTTAGATATTTTGATGGCAACAATTAGTGCAAACCGTTTGGTTTGCACTTTCTCATGCCATACACGGCTTTTGATTGGGCGTATGATATTCTTCACACGTGAAAAATTGCCGTATGTCATTTTGGCGGCAATTTGTTTACATTTTATCAAGATGGCGTCGAAATATAGAAGTGAGATTCAAAATATATTACTCAAATTCAAGACATTTTCGCATTCGGCACATTATAAAATCTTTCGGAGAGAATATCTAACTTCTATTGAACAAAATTACAACGAAACTGAACGGTAATAAATATATTTTGATGCATAAAATAGGCGATTTTTTTGCTCGCTGTGTTTTTGTATTTTAAAAGCGTGTGGTTGCCAAATTGATCTCTATACACTTTTAATAAACAAATTACTTCATGGTTGGCTCGTTTCTACGATTTTTATTATGCACTCGTTGTATCAGGCTATCGGCGAAAATAATAGTCAAAGAAACGATTTCCAACGATGAGCAATGAAATGCCATGTTACAAGTTGCAATTTTTCTTACAACTTGCAATGCGAGATTCAAATTCTAAGAGATGTAAATTAGTGAAGAGTCTTGTAATAGACACAAAAGTTTCGTTGTTCCCAAATATACATCTCTCAAAAGTAGAATTGCAATGCAAGTTGCAGGAAAAATTTCACCGTGTCACCGGGTTTTAAGGGATTACCTTGTCCGTTTCACCTTCTCGATAAGTGTTAAATGTAACACCATCATTTGAGTAAGATAGAGTATAATCTTTCATCCACTCATTTCTTCGAGCAGAACCTTGAGTTTCTACGTCACTGACGATAGTTCTAGTTAGGAAATCAACCTGCAGCCATGGATTGGAATCACCACTCAGTGAATGCAACCAGTCTTTTGAGTGTCCAAGCCTTCCTTGGTGGGGCGGATAATTATAGCCGTGAAAAGAACTGGCACTTATCTGGCTGTCGAGAATACCACCGCTTTCCATACCAAGTCTAGTTAGCTTTCCACAAGCTAAAAACAGGCAGAAGTTAAATATTTCTTTTTAAATTAAATAAATGTCATGTGAACAATGTGAGAACTACAATCCTGGTCAAAACATTCACGACACTCTGTGTTAATTCACACTACAGTCTGCAGTCGCAGAATTTATTTCAAGTTTCTCCTTTTTATTTCAAGATTCCCCTACAAATCAATTTTGAGTGATTTATCTTAACTCATTCAAGCATTTAGCATATATTCAACATTGATTAGGGGGGCGAAGAGGGGGAGAATCGACACAGAAATGTTGATGTTTTATGTAAAAAACTACAAATCATTGTAAAAATATATAAGATATAGCTAATCACAACTTTAATAGCAACTACATCCACTCAGGGGCTATTTACATGACCCTAATGAACTCAAAATGTTTAGAATTTGCAGGCTCTTAAATGCCAAAGCGATCTTAGCGGCAGGACCGTTTTTTTGAGTACGAGTGTTTATGAATTACGTAATATCTATTAATTAGTTCCCGAGACGGTGCAAAGCTTCGTACGAGATTTATTACACCCGGGTATTGTGACAGATCAATGGAAATCCAATTTTATCTAAATTCTATGTCATTTGACGGTAAATATTCAATGGCCATGGTCTGTTTTGGGTTAACAGCAACGTCCTGGTTCACTGCGACGAAAAGTTTGTACTTTAAAAGAGAGCGTCAGCATGCAATTCAGCTGTCCTCGCAAACTATTTTGTGAAAAATTTGACAATACAAAATATAATAATTAAATAATTGAACAAACACATGCACAAACGATGAGCCAATGAAGAGAAATAACGCGGATGCAGTTCAAGAATAAGCGAAAAAATAGGAATGAATTATTATCAATAAGTGCTATAGCGAAACTATTTTAAGGCGCTGTTACACTTTCCTTGCAACTTGCAATGCAATTCTACTCCTGAGGCACCTAAAGTTGTCAAATACGAACATTTCTTACGATCTCCTAACGTTTTCTTAGCATTTGAGAAACTTTTTACAGATTAACTTGCACTGCAAGTTGCAAGCAAAATTGCATAGTGTATTTTGGCAGCGCCTTGCAAAAGTTCAGTGTCTATTCTATAGTTCCTTTTTTGTTTGCCGCAATGATGTAGTTTTATTCCTACTCACCGTTATAACATCCGTACAATTCCAATCTTACAGCTGGGCGTTCATTCCACTCGGTAGGTATGACGCGAAGATATCGGGTATTGATGACAGGAGAGAAAGCATGTTCTACCACCGTATTCCGGTCACTGTTAGCCGAGAATACCTGAAATTACATATTAAATATATCCTTAATTATTAAAATTAATTATAATTATTAAATCTAATTATTAAGATTACGCATTAAGTATTTTTCACGACGCCAAAAAGTTCGTGGTCGTCAGCAGTGAGCGTTTCTACTACAATCCACCATTTTTTTTAATATTGACGTCGATATTGTTTCACAGAGGGGGGGGGGGCACCGAATGAGAAATTGTGTCATAAAAACCAGCCTCAATCAAACTTTCCCCAAAGTTCGCACACAATTCAATTCAACTTTCCCTCAATTCATGACGGTAGCTAGAAGCTTAATTGGGGGGTGCATGTATATTCATATTTTCGTCGGTACATAAACACGAATGCGGTAAATAAACATTAATATATGAATATACACCCTCCAATTAAGCGGTCTAGCTACGGCCCTGCCTCAATTTTAATGCAATACACACAACTCTGAGATGCGACATGGCCCACCTTGACTTGTCCAGCATCTTTATAGGATTCCAAAGCAGTTCGATTATAGCCGGAGGCCACTGAGAACTTCTTTAGCCATTCGTCAGCGTCGCTTCTTCCTTGGGTTGTAATTTTAACAACCGTTGTTGTTGCAATAAGGTCAATCTGAATCCATGGCTGGTTATCGAGCTCTTGAGGAACCCAAGCAGCGTGTCTCCTGCCTGGTACGGCTGTAAGGTTCACTCTTGCATTGTGAGCCTCGCCGAGGGCATCTTGAGAGGACGCTGTGAACTGTTCGTCCAAGATTATATTATTACTTTTCAAGCCAATCTCTGTGACGATAGCACAGCCTGAAATAAAAATAACACACCTGTCACCTCTAAGTCTCGTTTAAGTCATGATTTCACTGCTAAAAAAACTTGAAGAGATTCAGACATATCCACAAACATCGAGCACGGTCAGGCATTCGCTTGTCATTACACAAGAAACTCAACATTAGGCGAATAAATTAACTAATCACAGTCATGCCTTTTGTCAACTTTTGTCAACAACATTTTTTGGCCTTTTGTCTTGATTTGCGCAGTTCATATCTCGCATTTTCGTTGCGTCGAATTCAATTCAAACGATAGGTAATGAAATAAACTAATTAAGCTTCATTATCATCTCATTATCTATTGTTTGAATTGCATTCGACGCGACCAAAACACATGCACGTATAAACTAGGTATTAGTTTTTTAATGCGGCCATTGATGGTGTTTTTCACGCAGTGGTTGCAATGGTGATTCACATCTTACTGGCCGCAATTATACCACGGGGTGTACAGAAATGTTCCATCTTTCAAAATCAGGCTTTGCGTGCAATACTAATCAGTTACCTTTCACAAACCACTATAACACGATGAACTACGAGAACGAACGAATATGCAAGAAATGTTGTGTTGAAATTGTGGCATGGAAATTCTAACAACATAGCAATAAGCTAGCTGTTTCAATAATTTTAAATTCTAATGAGACACTCTGTACTTGTTTTTGAAATACAAAATCACATATTTCTGAGTTAGCTATCTCCAATACCTGTATAATTGTCTTTTTAAAACAGCCTGGGTTACAAGAATCGTTCGTAGACTCGCTTCACACTGAAGCTATAGTTTTTATCAAAGCTTTATATGTACAGCAGGTTCAAACATGTCTGCGTATTTCGGTCAAATAATAACAAAGGCGAATCTCCGTGGAACGACTATTTCACAAGACTTTCACCGCGTAAATATTACTTATGGTATTAATGAAGCTATATTCTTGAGTGAAGCTATATCGTGCTGATGTCACGTACACGCCTAAAAACGCTCAGGTTGATGCAAGTTGCATGATATAAACACGACGAAGCAATGCTGTGCTGCCCACATTGTTCAGAGTTGTTATCAACATTGAACAATATTGTTGAAACTGAATCGGGTGTGACAATATTGTTCAATATTGATAACAACTCTGAACAATGTGGGCAGCACAACATTGCTCCATCCTGTTTATATCAACTTGCATCAACCTGAGCGTTTTTAGGCGTGTACACGACGTGTGATTGGCTCCACGAATTAAACTACAACAAACCACTTCATGTAACATTAGGCTTTTTGCGTTTGATGTTATATCACGAGAAATGTCTATTAAGGTCTGGCTTACAATGTAAAAAGCCGTGTTATAACTAAGATCATATAAATTATAGTGTTATCACATTTACCCATGCACATCGGCGATAACCTGCCAATATCATTATGACCATATGTTCTGAAAACTCTTGATTAATTCGAGACAAATACAAAAATATATCTGAAACACTTACCACATTGAACTTCAACGACAATTTGGGAAAGCAGAACCTGGGAAAATAAAATATATACTTTTTCATACGGGTTTTTAAAAACACCGCGACACTGAACCGCCGACAGCAATCCTATTTAATACTCGGTCTCCGAATAAACAACATTATAGTAATGCATTCGCAATGTTTGAAGGTTAATGTAATATAATAATAATATAATAGAATATAATTATGTAGACTGGCAAGTTTTTCAATGTAAGTTTGATAGAGAGAGTATTCTATCGAAAGTATTCTAACCATCCAGTGAATATTTCAGCGAGACCTGCGTAAACTATGCATGCATGAGATTTAAGAATTCCTTTCAACAGCGATTTAAAACAGGTTTGAAACAGGTGTTAATAAAAATATATTACAAACCCGTCTGACTCTCGTCTAGCGGATTAAAGATAGCCTTTGACATTTCAAGTTTATATCATGTGGTATATAAATTAACGTACATATAATTTTAAATATAATTCCAATAATGATTTGTTTACGTCAATACTGAGTGCTTATCGTTATATTAGCTATAAATTGTAAAGATTATACGTTAAGTCTTTATGCTAAGGTTCTATAGCACCTGGTGTCTATGTTTCTCTTTTGAACTTTTTTCGAAGCAATTACAAAAAACAGAAACATTTTAAGATTAGTTCAGCAATTTTCCTTGTAGAAATTTTCTATTGCGGAGAAGAGCACTGATTTTTTTCTCGGGCAGCATTCCCATATAGGTAAACAAAATATTTACCAAATAATTATACGTTGAAATGAAATTAAATTGGTTGAATGAACATATTAAACAGAATTAAAAGCTATACCCACCCAAATACAGATTGCAATGTGCAGAAATCTCTTTGAGAACGTATTTTCCACGTAAATAAGAGTCATCTTTAAGCAACTATATGCGTAGGATATGCATCTTCAAAACTGCATTAAAGCTGAAAATATACCTGTTAAACTATTTAACATACACAAAAGGTTGCCAAGGACATAAACGTAACCTTCATTAATATTGCATTATAGTTGCTTGGCAAGGACTAGGACTGTTTATAGTAATTAATGAATTGTAAGAAAGTGTGAAGTAAATTTTCTCCCCTTTTAGTATAACGCCACACAAGAAAGAAGGCAAGAAGCATAATAGTGCTTTCTTTGTCCGGGTGTTGAAAGGGCAACTTTCATTTCACGCCAGCGACCATCAACTTTGTTGGTTGATGAACTCTTTGGAGTGTGGTCAGTAAAATGAAAATGCAGTGATGAGGTATGGGCAATTGGAGGGGGAGGTCAGTCAGGAAACCACCTGTTAATCAGGTACGCAGATCTCCCTTGTTGCTAAATGTATTTTGAACGGCGTTGTAACAACATGAATACTTATATGTATACGAAGAAGTTCCGTAGCCAACACGATAAACGGGGGGGGGGCATATTGATATATTCATGATATGTGTGACGAATTTCTTCTCAAATCAATTGTCTCTACAGTCTGTTAACATGGTATATGAATATATAAATATGGGCCCTCCCAAATATCGGTGCGGGGTACGCCACTGTTACTAAGTCACAACATGCTTGCAATTTTTCCTGCGATTTTTCCCTTTTAAACGATGGGAACCAGTGGATATAGTTATGCGTGCTTTGAACACAGAATACCACAGACAGAATACCTATCAGAAGAACAACTCCATTGTTTTTGGCGTAAGTGTGATTCGTCTGATTCGTCACTCAGCAAGTACGTAAATAGAGGCAAGCCCCCCCTGCCAATATTTAATTAGAATACTATTTTAAACATTGGCAGGGGGGCGATTGCCTCCGTTTACGGTACTTGCTGATTGACGAATCAGAACGAATCGAAATTACGAAAAAAGTTACGAGTTATCTTTCTCATAAGTATTTTCTGTGATGACATCATCAAACTTAATTGCATTTTAAAAACTCAAAAATTCGTAAAAATTGCGTTCCGTAAACGGATCGCGTCCCGTGTGTCTCGGCCTCAAGGGCAGTTTTCCTTACATATTATATATATAATATTATATAATTATATATATATAATATATATTATATATTATATATAATATATATATATATATATATATTATATATAATATATATTATATATATATATATAACTAATTCTATTTCAGAAAAACACATACCAATAATTTAAGCAAGTTTTTTTATACCAAACACAACAATTTAGAAGGTTTGACGCATGACTGTATACCGAGATATATTTAAAAACCTTATCTGTTTCTAGATCTGTATTTATAGTGCTATACCGAAGCAATTAAATTGATTTGGCAAGCGATAATGCTATTTGGCTCGACAAACACATTGTCCACATTTGTAAACGTGACTATACGCTATATAGCGGAAGCATTTCAAAACTTTCATCCCTTCATGACGTAAAATAGTATTCCGCCAGAAAAATATCACGGAATTGAAGGTCGAATTCAAGCTAACGAACGTGCCCGCCCACAGACTAAGCGAGCTAATGTTTTTATCGTGCAACGGCATTTCCCATGCGAAACATATAAAGCAATAAACTAGTGCGGGACTTGAACAGACAAGATAGCACAAAACAGCTACGGAACATGTCGATACATTTTTCAAACCAGAAACGCGATTACGATTTCTGCTTGTTAATGAGTCTCGCGTTTCCTCGTCCGCATTAATGCAAAGCGTTGTAGTCCTTTTCTTTGTTTTCGCGATGACGTACATTTTGTAGTTCAAATAAGCGAACAGAATCGTGAAAATCGTAAGATATACAGTTGCGACGATGTTGTTCGTTTGTCGTTCAACCGCGAGAGACAGCAGCATCATTGCAGCAAAGGTCAACAGCAAAAAGCCAAGGAAAAGCATCAGCCTGCATTTGTTCACGTGCGTTTGATGGAAAAACGGGCACGTCAAGGCAAGGAACCGTTCGATATTTAGCGTCAAAAGGGAAAACATTGAGAAGCCATGAAGCACCATGTTCACAGCGATCCTCATTTCTTCCCGTTGGGCATCGAAGCCGTCCAAATACGTTGAGATGGCAGAAAACGCTATCAGAGGATGAGCGATAGTCACGACAGCCAAATCGAACCAAGATAGAACAAAAATCATGAAGTAACATAACTTTTTCCGATGCTGTGCCGACCTCCACAGACTAATTATAACCACGAAATTTAAAAATACTCCAACGATCATAAAGGTGCCGTTCACAGCGAACAAAATGGATGCATTCAGCAGCATGGCGAACTGTTTCATTTTAATCGAAATCTATATCGATGCCCTTTCACAGGTAATTTCCACGACTTCGGATATCTTGCCTTTAAATTTCTATGAGATTTAATGATTCGTATTCACAAATGTCGGATGTCAATCAATATGAACGCGCACATGTGCGGACCACTTGACAGGGTATAGATTATGGGATAATGGTTATATTGGAAAGTCGTAATCCGCAATGTTCAACTGTTCAATTTTGAAATTGAATGCTTGATTTAACACGACCACTACCATATCATTTGCTTTCCGTTTGTTGATCCCTCTTCCATCCGCAGCACAATTAATACATTGCCCGAAAGCAAATAGTTGCCACCTGCTGCGATAGTCTCAAAACTTATACATTATATATAAAAACACCTGTTAATGTTGCTGCTTAAATATGTAGACATGAAAATTCATATCATCCTTGTCTTCATCTTTGAGCGGATAGTTGAAGAGATCTAGTTGTGTTTCATTGCATGATGATGAAATTTTACCTCGAAAAAAATCATAATACAAGTTTGGAATAAGCTAGAGAGAAATGTTATATTATTTGAGAGCGGAAACTAGTCGGTAAACGCTTCTATTGTCGCGACTGTAAATTCGCATAATTTAAAAGGAAAAAACACCTCTTCAATTTCCGTCAAAACAAAGCCATGCACGCTGTACAATTAATCTATTTCGCCAATATTATGAAAGTCAAACAATAACAGACGAAGCAATATATATTGCAGCGAAAAATTGCTAAATTGGTAAAAAATATTGACGTGACACATCGTAATTTTAAATTGGCTATTTCAATTACCGATTTGCAAACTGGAATACTAAAATGTGAATAGGCCTAAGAAAGAAAAACGAGTCCAAATAATATCATTTCAAATATTATATTCCTTTATGCATAACGATAAAGCTGATATTTTGGCCTATGTTATTTTATCTCAGTGATGTCGTTAAATTAGTATTTTTTGACTCGACAAAATAGGCGTATGAACCGGCGTATAGACTTGCTTATATGGACATGGGTGTCACAATAGACATGGTTGTTATTATACATAATTATATGGACATAGGTGTTATGGGTGTCACAATAGACATGAGTGTTATTATACATAATTATATGGACATGGGTGTTATTTATATGGACATGGCACATGGGTGTTTTACCGAAAACAAATTCACTAGTGAAATATGAAAACATATGTAATGTGTGTCTCTCCTCGCGCGACAATCGCGAGTTGTCCCGCTTTGTTCTGTTTTATTATTGAGTTGCTTTTCAATTTTGATCATTCATATAAGAAACAGAATATATATATATATATATATATATATATATATATATATATATATATATATGTAGCTATATATATATATATATAGCTATATATATAATATTATATATAATATATATATATATATATATATATATATATATATATATATATATATATATATATATATATATATATATATATATATTATTATATATTATATGTTATTGTATAATGTATAATATATATATATGTATATATATATATATATATATATATATATATATATATATATATATATATATATATATATATATATACACCCATTTGCAAAAACGTTGGCCGCAGATAGATAGATAGATAGATACTCGAAATCTATAATTAGAATTGCATATGTTGTGTAATATGATTGAAATCCCATGCAAATGTAATCATATGCAATTCTAATTAGACTTCGAGTATCTATCTATCTATCTATCTGCGGCGTATATATATATATATATATATATATTTATATATATATATATATATATATATATATATACTAATATATAATTAATAATGAAAGTAATGAAAGATGTTTCATTTGGATAACTTTACTGGGTAAGAAGCTATTTTGATTCAAACCAGAGACACAGTTTTCTATGTGACCGATATATTTATATTAAATTTAGCGTGCAAACTCATTTCGTCTTCTAGAGTGTTCCAAACGAAAAGGGAAATACCAGGCATGTATAACTGATAAGTGTTATTTTTAGGAATACATAAAGGAAGCCCCTGACATAAGTGGTAGAAATGGAAGTTTATACATAATAGCATTCAGGTTATAGATTATTTTCCAATAGTTCGTTTAAATTTTGTCTTTAAAATCTTCAGTTTGTTCGTATGAAACCCAATATCATACTATTCGAGAAAAAATAGACAAAAATTAAATAATAAAATTTGCACCACCTGTCTGGAATTCCCCGTTTTGAATATAAATTACGTATATGGGGTTTCCCCTGTGGCCTGTTAACTATATATACTCAGTTCAAGAAATAAGTAAGGCTTTCTTGTGAAAAGCGCTCCTCTGCCACGACGGAGCCAAGGGCAAGGAGAAATCTTTCTTTAAATTGGAGATCTTTGGAATTACTAGCTATAACACGCTGACTTAATTAAGGTGGGTCTCATGTTTGTTATATCGTACGAAAATTTTGACTGCATCAAAGGGTAAATATATATATTTAAAGAATCCGTTATATATGAGTTTACGCAGTCTACATTTCACGTAAAATCGTACAATACTATATCGTCATCGTTGACACATTACGGGAAGCTGGTTTAAGCCTGTTTAACGCGTTGGATATGGCATGTTGTTCACGGGCCTTACAGAGATGTATATAATATATTGCTTCAAATTCGCTTCGTATCTTGCCAAGGAGATATGTACGACAGGTGATACAACAATGTACAGATATTAGGAAAAAAGTTCCAAGTGATTCCGGCTTTATCATAGTTCGTGTGGTTTTAGGAAGATATCAGTGTTGGCGTTGTTAAGATAATATATACACTTAATGTATGCTCCCGAGGGAAATAGTGAGTTTTGTTTTCACAAGAGTCTGAATGTTTCCCGAACCGAAGTCGAGGAAAACATTGAGACTCGAGGGAAAACAAAACTCAATATTTCCTGAGGTAGTGTACATTAAGTTTTTTGTAATATAGGAACGCGAAAACATACATGTTACACATCAATTTCATTTAAAAAAGAAACCCACTCCCTTTACTTTGTCAGTATATGGCAATATGCGGGCAACAAATTTTCACTTGCATATTTCCCTGGCGGGAAACATTGCATTTAATCAAAGATGTGTTATCACAAACATTTAGGACAAATGTAATACAGCTCAATACCCTTTTGTACATGTTTTCGGATTTCGCATAAATTGAAAATCGAAACATGCTTAGCTTGCAGGTTTTTTATTTTTCGCGTGACATCACTCGCTGACGATAAAGTCAATATGTAAAGGCCCACACAGACAGATTTGGCAACGCGGCCCGACTTTTCAAAGTTTCTCATTCTCCAAAAGCACATAAATTTTAACGTAACATAATATTCTTGTAAATTACTTAACGATAATACAAAGCTGAAAAATCCTTTTTTTTATACTAAAAAAACTTTCGCGTCAAACCGTCAGGCTCAGTAAATATCACTGAAAAACACCTCGACTTCGTCCTAATTCAGCGATATTCTGCGATATTCATTTGTTCAATTTATACACTATATAAAAAGATTTTCCTGTTTTAATGCTATGCATACCTATAATATGCGAATATATACTTGTAGGCATGGTCGATCTTCAATGTCAAGTATGTTATCAGAGCTTTTCCAGGCTTGATAGCTGTTGCAACCATGTTCACACCCACAATACGTCAACCAAATCGTGCGTCGTCCGTGGATGTAGACGAAATTGTAGGCGTTTATCAAGACACCTTAAGGGAACACATAGAGGGTTATGTGAGTACTCGTGTGTCAAATGTTCCAAAGTGTTCGTTCGCGAATGCGACTTGAATATGCATTTGAAGGCCAAACATTCGGGAGAAGTGCTGAGCTTGCTTAACCAACGTGTCCATGCAATTCCGACAGGTAACGCGAATACTAAATAATTTATTCCTTCCTACGTCCAACTGTTTTTACCAAAATATTATAGGATTGATTTTCACAGAAACTAAACTCTTTTCAAGCCAGAAGACGTAAAGAAAAAGTAAAAACTAGCAAGGCAAGAGAGACAGGAGGTATAATGACAGCGCTTTATATAGCAGCTATCGATTTAAGAATTTTTTGGGCATTACTGGGCATAATTTGTGGGCATACTTTGGCAATCATGCGTTCGCGTGGATGTCAGAAAGCAAGGGTAGGCCTATATGCTTTTAGCGTGCGTCTAAACAGGGGTGGCGGTACAGGGGATACTAGGCCAACCAGAAGTAAATGTGGGGTGGGGTGTTGAAATACATGCATGCAGGATATATATTTACACAAAAGAGTAATAAAATTAATTTTGAATTGAATAGCACCTTCGTTTCTCCCTTGCAATTCTCTTTGGGGACAATTTTGACCCTTTTTGAATTTCCAGCTTACGATAATTTTAAGTGTTGCAAAAATATGTATATTTTAGGGGCCAGAATAACAGTAGATTTCCATAGCCCAATAACAGCAAAAAATCTCAACAAATTCATTAGTGAAACACTCCAGCCAACTAAAAAGTTCAACAAAGAAATGAAGAAAATCGTCAAATTGATATGCGATCTCTTGCAGAAACGTGAAAGGCCCGATCAAAACGTAAAGGTAACTCAACTCTGACTTTAAAGACCCCTTAAAATTGGGATAAAATCGTGGCCTTAAAGTACGGGAGTAAAAGACAGTCTGTTAAATGGATCCAGAGCAATTTATTCAGGAAATAATGTTGTAATATGAAATTAATATTAATTAGTTAAAACTGAAGAATGTGTTTGTTTATTGCGGACAAAGTGTATTAGATCATGGAAATGGTTAGATCAAGGGCTTCATGGAAGGTTAAAGGCAAAATTATCAGACATATTGACATCAAATCATTTAAGATATAGAGGCGATTTCACAATAGGCTTAATTTCTCGATTAGTCGTAAAACCCAGCCTGGGGGAGCACCGCCTTAAAGCATAGCTATATAATGTGCATTGTTTTTAAAAAGCACAAACGCCCTTGATAACTGCCATTCAACAAGGTTAATTTAATTCTCTGCAATTTTCTGGACACATTTATTATTAAATTAACATTAAATAATCCGCACTATGTATGATAGTAGTCTAAATTTCAAAATTTAGGGGGGATCGCAAGGCAAAGGAACAGCAGTGAAAGAATATTGCGACATAGACCTTGTTATGATTTTAAACGATGTGAAGGATGCACAAGATCTCCAAAAGCAACTACCGAAGATTAAAGAAGAAGTCAAGGAAAAATTGAGACGCTATGCAAGTGCCCATATTGTTCCCAACTCCTTAACAGACACAACATTCTCGGTGAAGTTTTCTGTCCAAGGAACAAATGGAAATATAGATGTTGACCTGTTGCCAACGTTTAAATTTGAAGGTATACAAGGAGCAGATTTAAAACATTTCATGAATATCATTATAGTCACCTCGACGTATATAGCTACGCTCAGTGCTAGTATTTATCATACAATTTTCAGGGCCGGCGCTAGAATTAGCTAAATTCGGGGGAAGGATATTCAAATTCGTCTTATGCCTGATTTTGATAGTGATTTTCTTTATTCAAACATTGAATATATATATGAATACACAACCCCCCCCCCCCGCCAATTAAGCTTCCAAGCAGCGCCGGCCCTGACAATTGTATATCTTTAAAAATTCGAATTAATTCATGCATGCAGTGTTTTGTTCTTTAATCAAACTTCACGATGAAATTCTGTAAGTTCTAGCATACATGCTTGGACTGTTTTTCTTGATCTATATCTTAACTTTAGATCTTCAAGATCTGTATCAACGTATGCTGAAAGATATGGATTACGCTGACTATTACAGCGCAGCGTTAGTTCAACAGCAGGTACAATAAGTGTCTGTATAAAAACTATGCCAGCACACAATTTGATGAAATAATTATGCAGGAAGTAAACATGTTCCTAAAAACAAAATCTTGTAAACTCAAGACATATGAATTAATTTTGAAGTATATATATTATTTTAATATTTCAAAGTCATTCCCACAATCATTCTCAAATCAATTTCACAATGATGTGAGAATGACTTTCAAATGGATTCGATACATCACAGCAAATTGTCTTGTTTCTTATTATATGACTCAAGATGTTGTTTTTCGGAGCATGTTTCTTCCTGCAGATATTTTAATTGAGAAAAAATTATATATTTAATTAACGATTGCACCACGAGCTCGAGTCGCATACAAGCTGATAGCCATGCAACGAGATGCCGATGAAAAGTCATGAGCGAACTAAAATTGCATAAAAAATTAACTAGATCAGCTATTTAGGTGGATTTTGTGGAGGAGTATCCACCCAATGTAAAGAATTTGATTCGTTTGGTCAAATACTGGAAAAAGGAAATGGTTGAACCATCCTCAGCTAGTCGGCGAATCCCGAATTCCTACCTCATGGAACTGATCACGATTCATCTTTGGGAAGAAAACACGGAAGATAGTGATGGGAAATTTGATACATTGAAAGCGTTCCATGGGGTAATGGAAGCATTAATGGACTACGAATCTTTGAATGTTATTTGGACAGAGAATTACTCCGAAAATGACATACCAAGCGAAATTAAAGACCAAAGGTATGACCATATTTTAAGTAAATGTAAAGCGTTAAAAACGATATGAATTTACATTTGAAATGTACATATAAAATCATATTGGGGCAAAATTAATAATGATATTAATAGTATTAAATTTCGCCTAATAACGTAAACCTATTGCTTTCTGCCTGCATTTTGAACATTGTCCTAATACGTTCTGATGCTGCATTCATGGTTATGTACAAGGTGCCTCAAAAGATAGAAATTTTACAATTCACTAACTCCTCTTTATAAATTCGACCACTGAACAACAATGCAATAAGTCAATAAATTCAGTTTACGTACAAGTGTGTTTACGCTCTCCTTTAGGTTACATACGGTATAGATTATTAGCATTGAAAGTATCAATTACGGAATTATCGCATTGTTATAATTTGAATTTGAGTTTGATTCGGAAATCGAGTAGAATTGTGTTCTGGATTGAGGTAAAGCATTCTAGTTTGCATAAAAAAATATAACCTTAGTTTACTGACTTTCAGACCCTTGGTTATGGACCCTGCGAATCCAACGAACAACGTTTGCGAAAATTTTGAGTGGGAAGAAATCAAAGAAGAGGCAAAAAGAGTGCTTGCAAGTCCAATGATGCGCGGTGTTTCTTCAACTACTTGGAAATAAGAAAATCAGATCCGCTGTTTAATTAATCTTTACGCACAAATTTTACATTAACATATTACATTCGAAGGTAACATTAACATAAAACATCTCACTTAATGTTTCATCAATAAAAGCACTAGAGCAAATCAAGACTGAGGGAGGACCGTTGCGTGTCTCAATTATGAAGGATCATGCATGTTTTATTATATGGATTACACGTTACAATAATTATAACGATATATAGCAATTGTTTAACATAGTAAGTAGCCAGATATTTAAATGCATGAGTTTGAAGTATTGAGTACAGTTGTCACTTTTATAAATGTATGATCGAAAGCTATAAGTTATTTATTTGTTAACAACTACTAATGATTTGTACGCGTACAATTAATATGAACCCATTTAGGGAATGAATATGGATTTAAATAGAATGAATTAAGTCGTGCAATTACTGCCAAAATCATACATTCCTGCTCGTGGATAACAAATCTAACAAATCAACCACCACCTCCTAGGCGGTCGGTTGATTTTGTAAACATTCATATGATTTTTGCATTAATTCTGTTATCATTATTATCATCGCCGTTCTATTATAATTATTTATTATTAAAACTGAGAAAATAAAGTGAGTTGACCAGTGCTAATATTATTAATAGTACATTATCGAAATGTCAGTAAATAACATCAATTAATATTGTCATTGCGGCTTAAGGTTGCTGCGCGGCGTACGTTCGTCTGATAAGCGATATTTCTCAAAAAAGTTCAAAAAATAGTCAAAAGCGCAAGTCGTCCATAGACACAGAAATTTCATTTCAATTCAGAAAATTATTAAAAATTTTTTTTCTCATTTCAATGCCGAAATGTATGGCGGTATATGTCAATACCACACTTCTTGCTCCTTGACACTCTCCTTAGTCCTTTGGAAAGTGTTTTTCTTTTGCGCGGTTCCCGCCTTAATCAGCGATTCTTTTCAAAATAGCAAACATTTTCTAAGTGGGTAATCAGTAAATCCTAAACACGCGGATTTAATCATTGAGACTAGGTAAGGATTAGAAGTTAGGATTAGATCTTAGATTGGGATTATACTTGATCAGGGATAACCCTAATTATAAATCTTATCCACATCCTAAATTAATTTCAAGGAATAAATTCATGTATCAAGGATTTAAAAAACATGGAATTATTAGCCAGTTATTCGCTTCAGTTTCTATAGAGTCCACTGCTTCACTTCAGACCAGAGATAAACACGTTTATTTAGCTATTACATACATAGCTGCTGCAATCTAAAAAACTTAGCTATACTATTTTACTTATGCTTACACATTCGGTGAGTATATAATATAAAAAACAGAAAAAATCCCATCGTCGTCGCCGTCGTAGTTAAACACCGACAAAAAAGGTTTTATGAACGAAACTTGGTCCCTGGTGCCGATGGTGTTGATCCTGTGTAAAAAATGTAATCATTGAATCAATTACTAGAGGATAATAACGTTTGTGGAAAAACCATGATTTATGGCTCGTAGTAGTCGCATTGTCGTATAAAGTCACAAATAACTGGTTATTTTATTATAACTGCAATCTTTGCTGAAAACTGTGAAAATAACTCCGGATACAATGTATCTCGCATTTTACATGCATAAATGCGTCTCCTGAGTTAAATATTAAACCAACAATAATATTCCTGTATGTTGACAAGCGAACTAAACGTTGAAATGGATCAAGAGAGAGAAGGATTAACGACATTTGCACATAAAAATCGCGCAACTCAGAACAAAAGCTGGAAAATAATGAGTATTGTTTGTCAATTGGATTTAGAAATGGCGGCCAAGTATATTTTGAAGGTGACCATAATAGGCACAGATATAAACCTGTGTCACAATGCTGTTTTTCCCGGGTCCGGACCAGCCAATGAATGCAAAAGAGGAACGATACTCGTGTTTGATTAGATTTCGTGCACCCAATCTCCATAAGGCCGTGTACACTGAACGTGTTACCCGATACGAAGCTTCATCTTGTATCGCAACCAAAACAATGCGCCTTTAAAAAATTGAATTGACGAATATTAATTTTACGATTTTCAAACTCCTTTCTAAGCTTTCCATGCTAACAAGTTAACAACATCAATAGACTTTTTTGGAAGACGCGTGAAAATTTGTTATTCCAAAGCTTAAGATATAATTTCATATATAAACCCAGCTAAGTTAACAGTATTCAACACGTCTGAATATTCTTTTTAGCTATTACACTAGAGAGAGCTACTATTTAACAATTAGACAACGAGTCCGAGTTGTCTATGAGTGAATAGTCAACGAAGGCGAAACCTGAGTTGACTATTCGCTCATACTCATAGACATTAACGTAGGCGAGTTGTCTATATATATAAATTGTTTTAGTATACACCCTGTACCTAGATGATATCAATTTCGAGACAATAATCGGTACACCGCAATTACACCGAAAAATAATTTAATTAATTCAATTTTATACAGTCGTGCGAGCAAATCAGTTTCCCAACGTTCACCATCACGAATAGAAAATGGTCGAGTAGCCAATCAGAATGTAGGATTTGTAATAGACAATAGTCGGGTGTATACTAAATATCATTATTGTTAGCTTGAAATTCTATAGTTTTTCATGTAATCTCGACGTAGATTCAATTTGTGGATATATTATCAAAACTTCAAAAAGTGAGTTGACCAGTGGAGTACTTTATCACACGTGTTTGTATGTTAATTTCTATTAATAATTGTATGTTTGTATGTTGGGTACATGAAACATAGGAATCTTGCCCTCTCTCAGGTATATTTGGGACGATAGCTTTTATAGCTTTTCCTGAACCTTTCAGTACTGCCAACAGATATGATTACACCCTTGGCTATGCGGCCTTCGTGCGATGATAAATTACATACCTGCTCGCTATGTTGTTTAAGAACGTCGAAAAGTAGTGACCTTCGTGAGCTGATCCATGTGTATCAAACGATGCCCTGCTTTCAACATTACCTAAAAAATAGAGAATCCATGATTTGGGAATCTTTCGACATTAAATAAAACGCCCGTTCTAAACTTCCAGGTGTCGTATCAACACTAAAAAACTGTGTTATTTCATCAAAAAAGGTGTGTTCACACGATTTTGCTATTAATATATTCTTGTTTAGGGATTAATATATGTAAAAAATAATGTATAGCTTATACAGGAAGTTTGCTGACTGCAAGCTATCGTCTGGAAATAGATAACTGGCTATATATTTCTCGATGTACGGAGGATAGAAAAGTTTTAGAAAACAAGTGGTTTAGAAAATAACAATGAACTTCGTTAACAAACTCTTGTTATTACATAACTCTCATTACCAGTCACTGAATTCAATACAACAACGTTGTAACCCCTTTTTCTCATTGCGTAATCTTTTCCATCAACTTGAATCGTTGCAAATCCTTCACTTCCTCGTCTACCTCCGTCATCAAGACCGTCACTTCTTATCCAAATCGTTTTGAGACCTGCATGGTTGCAAAGTTTAAGAATGAAACTTATAGAATGAATAGCCATTCTAAAATAACTTTCAAGTAGCATTTCCACTGATATCAATTCGAAAAGGCACATTTTACAAAAAGTGATTTTGTAAGTTATAAATTGAAAAGATTATGTATAATTATAATTAAAACGTATTAACAGTTCACCATGTTGAAGTTTTGATAATTTATTCACAGTGTTCCTCAATTGGTTTTGAAGTTTATGAACTTGGTACTTGTTCCAGTTGATAACATCTCGGTTACTACTGATTTTTTGTTCGTTTTTTCGGACCTAAATATAAGTAAAACAATTGTTTCAAAGACGGGAAAGTTTCGGCAACCATTGAAACAAGATCAATTCGCTTCCTATGAATACTATATATTTATAATTTAAATGCCATCATATGAATGACATCGCCAGTTATCCTCGAAAGGAGGCTATTTTATTGATTCCTATCTACTTGAACTAAAGCGAGAGTCCTTATATATATTCGGGTCTGTGTTTTTTTCGCGCAAGCGCGAACTTATTGCTTTCTCTGCAAAAACGTATTTGAAAGTTTGCATGACCTTATTAGAGTTCAGCGGCTCTTCAACTTCCTGTATCAGCTGCGGGGGAGGACTGTTTTTGTCATACGACACGACACATTATTGATAATATAGTGCGTTTATTTACACGTACTCTATCAAGTGCATTTGTGAATTGTACGCTTTCTAAGGCTAAGCGTACTCGATCGAAGCTAATTCGCATATTCTATACACTAGATAAAAACTAAACGACTGCATGTACGCATATCAGTCTGTGCCCTTGATCAAAACTAAACGCCTGTACGCATATTCTATGAACTCGATCAAAACTAAATGTCTGTACGCAATATCCTGTGCACTCGATCAAAATTAAACGTCTGTAAACTCTGTACGCATATATATTCTGATTACTCGATTAAAACTAAACGACTGTGTGCATATTCCGTGTCCTTGATCAAAACTAAACGTTTGCACGCATTTTTTGCGTATCCGATCTAGTTCATTTATTTCAAAATTCAACAATATAGTATGTTTGCTAACATGGGGATGAGAATCGACTTCACCAACTGTCGTTTTATGCTAACCTGTTTTATTTGTTCACCTTCATTTCAAGCGAACATATATATGATATATCGCGAAGCTTACAGCCTTACACTATATAAATGTGAACTCACCTCCATCACTGAAGGTATTTCGAACCATTGAGATTTGGCCTGAAGGAAGAGTGTTCCATTGGTAACTCGAAATCGAAGCAGACTATGGTTTTCAGCCTGGAAGACGATCGTTTAGTTTATCATTAGAAACAACAGGAACCTATATACGACGAAGTCGTAAAAATGATTATAGAACACCCATAATTGCATGGGAAGTTTCCCATGCATGGTACAACCGTGCAAATAGTTTTTCTTCAATTGCATCAGTCGTACCTTTCACTAAATCCGATCACTTGTAGTATTGATTGGATGCTACTAGCACGTATTTGATCACGAATCCAATTAACATGGACGATGGGATTATCATTTATAAACAGAACAGTTTACTTAATAAATAATTCAAAACATTAGTAAGATATAAACGGTGATAGAATTAGCAAATTACCCTGATGTAAAACGATTATTAAATACAACCTTTTGGAATTATGACAAAAATACAGTAACAACGTACCGTGTGTGATGGCAAAATATGAAGTGAACCAGCGAGTAAAACGCCGTAAAACAAATGAGTAACGTGCATTCCCGATATTTTTGTCGAACAAATATATACTGTACCTTTCACCAAGCGCGAATGCAACGTTGTGGAATGGCATAGAACAATGGCTATCTTTAAAAGGGGGAATCGGGGAGTCGGGGAATCGGGGAATGGGGCTCATAATTTGAAACTGGAAATTTTTAAACTTCTTTGTTTTTTTTAAAGGGTATTGGCAATGAAAATTTAGTTCACTTCACAAACTACTTGAGTAGCCTTCTTTCCATTGCCAATACTCTTCAAAAAACAAAAAGGTTTAATTCAGTTTCAAATTATGAGGCCCATTCCCCGATTCCCCGTTTCCCCGTTTCCCCGAATCCCAAATTCCCCCTTTTCAAAATAGCCATAGAACAATTAACCCTTATTTACCGCGACCGAAAACCAGATGTTCTGTGGAACCGAGACAGGTTGATATCTAATATCGACGGTCGAGACAGTTTACAAGGTAAACAGAAAAATAACTATTCCAAAAGACAATTTCAAATGGAGAAACAGTCAAGGTCGCATGTCCACGTGCGCCGCGCGTGATTGAAGTTGTTCTCCCTCTGCAGGGGGTCGCGCGAGCGTAACTTCAGTTTCATTTCGTTAGTTACGACATCAAAATTTCGCCAATATTAACCTCGCGTGATCCGCTCTCAATGAAACTATACGAACTCCAAACTTTGATAGGCAAGGAAAATCTTACAAGCAAGTACTTTACTTCGATAGGTGAAAATCTTGCAACTTGCAAGCAACGATCCAACCTCTTTTATCAAACCTACAAACGTAGTATGTAACTCGTTTACTTAAAATTATCAACTGTAAGAAAGCCGTCTGATGGCATTCCTGGAGTAATCTTGAAGCTATCAGCCGATATTTTTGCCCCATTCGCTGACAAAAATACTCAACCTATCTTTCATCCGGGAAATTTATCCAGACGATTAGAAATTGCTAAGGTCGTTCCTGTCTTAAAAAACGGGGCAAGGAATAATTTAAACCGAATTATCGTCCAATATCAATTAATTTGGCTGTTGCGAAAATATTCGGAAATTAGTGCATGATTAAATTGATCGTTACCTGACGAGCAATGATTTATTGTCCAAATATCAATCTGGGTTTCGACCAAACACAGCACTCTTACTGCCCTATTGGAGACTACTAATAATTGGAGTGCTAATATTGACAACGGCCTTCTAAATGGAGTTGTTTAACTTGTTTTCATTGACTTGAAGAAAGCGTTCGACACTATTGACCACGACGTTGGTAATCTCGTTCATATGAACGTTATACTCTGACGTTGTAGTATCCAACGTTGGTTGATAAAGTTGAATATAACGTTTGATCAAGATGACATTTTCGCTGTATCAACGTTACATTGTCACGTTGTTCCAACGTTGGTTGATAAAGATGAGATTAACGTTTGATCAACATGACCTTTTCGTTGTATCAACGTTACATTGTCACGTTAAGGCACGGTTGGTTGAAAGTCGAGATATTTCGTTGCAGCAATAAAAGTTGAGATTAGTTCAGTTCGAAATTTTAGTAAATAACATTAATTGTCATGGCGGCTTGAGGTTCAAATTATCATCGCTGCTTGGCGTACGTTCGTCTGTCTGATAAAGGACTCAAAAAACTTCACTAGATAAATGGTCGTTCTGAATAAGGTAACATATGAATAGATAACCACACACCCATATATTATGATTAAAATAACCTTGGCATTATACATTCGATATTGCCAAATGGTCGAAATGTAACGACAGAAATTTCATTTCAATTCGGAAAATTAGTGAGAATATTTTTTCATCTCAAAACCAAAATGGATGGCGGTATATGTCAATACCACACTTCTTACTCCTTGACACTCTCCTTAGGAAAGTGTTTTTCATGTGCGCGGTTCCCGCCTTAATCAGCGATTCGTTTGCAAATCAGATGCCAATCGGCCTCGTCCAATCACAGGACTCAAGAGACTTCATGATTGGACCTATCAGTCCAGCCGTTTTTAGAGCTCACTGGGCAAAACCACTGAGCTCTATATGGCCAAATGAGTCATGATGCGTTTTCCAATATGGCGGCTTAAAAAGAACACGTTACTTCCTTTAAATCAATTATATATTCGCTTGCTGGGACTTTCAGCTCGTCATATGAGTATGGACTATGCTGTAATTCACGATGAAAAAAATAAAGAGTTTTATATCGACTTAACACCAGGTAAATTAATTAATTGATCTACTAACGTTATGCAAAGTCTACCGTCAGTACTGTGTCTTGTGCAGTATGCACTGTAGTATTCTGATATAAACATTTTAGAGTACAGGCAGTGTTACACTAAGATGTGTTTGTGTTTATTACACTCCGGTTTTACTTTGTACTGTACTGCATATCATTCATACATGTATATTTAATTTCTAGAGAAAGCAGTTCTTCAGTATCAACTTATTCATGAAGAACCAAAAATCATAGATATGTATCATACTGGTGTCCCTGAAAGCCAAAGGGGCAAAGGAATTGCTGGTAACTTGGTTAAGGTAACACACAACTACATACCTATGCAGTTGAACAGATATGTATGTATATGTATATGTATTAGTATATTTGTTCACCTTAGCTGAGTGCATCCATGTACACTGCACAAACGGTTTATATAGTTCTTACACACTTGCTAACCAGTAGCTAAACAGCTTGCCATTCACTTTGTTGGGTATCATCTCACATGACACTCAAGCTTATGGTGTAATTATATACAGGTCAATGGATGGCAAACAGCAATTTATAAGACCATTTCCTTGCATTTATATTTTAACTTCTCTACCCCGATTATTCGTATATTTTTCATGCATGCTATGAGATGCATGCTATCCTAATTTTAATATTCTTTTCCAGGCTGCATTCTCATTTGTGGTTGCTAATAATCTGAGAGTTCGTCCAACATGTACATATGTTCAACATTATATCGACAAAAATAAACCTACAGAAATTATGCAAAGACTTGAAAAATAATACATAAACTTTCCTAGTTAGACCAATAAATATAATTTACTGAAAATTTGTGATTGAATGATTTGAAGTATTGTATTCTAATAATTTGTATCCATGTATATTAATTAAACTATTTCTTTAAAAATATATTTTTATATATAAAAATATATTTTTATATATTATATATACACTATATATTTGAGGGGAAGAAAGATTTTTGTATGTATACATATGTATGCATAATAATGATATAATATTTCAATTCAGACATATTAGTATACTGTGTTATAACTATAAAAAGGTATATGAAGGTGTGTCTACATTTCTTGTCCAGCTTTGATAAACATTTTAATATGTCAATTCTGTTTCGTTTTTTTTGTAAACAATCAGTTTTTCCTATACGCAAGGAAGTCATCTATACTAAGTCTTGAATTCATGGCCTCAACAAATGCAACAAAATTTTCCTACAATGATCATAGGGTTTTTTAAGTTATTGCTGGCATGCATTTTAACACATGTTATGAAATATCTTCGGCAGACTTGATTCCAAGTCAAGAGATGCTTTACAACACCATTTACAGTGTAATGTACGTTTACACTTTCAGTAATAGTATCTTACCTTTTTCTTTTCTTTGTCCACATTATAACGAAAGTTATCATATATAAAGCTAGTTCAAACTTCACGCGTTTACCCAAACATCCGGCGGAAGTGTTTTGATTTTTGAAGGTTCACTCGATCGGTACAAGATGGCGAAGAATGTGACACTTCAACTTTTCATTACTAAAAGTACACAAATACAGTAATCATTTCTTCTTTCCGATCATAAAAACTCAAATTAATTTGTGAAACATTAACCTTGCTTGACAAACTCATGACATCGGGTAGGTAGGCCTTATTTCAGTTATTTGTGATTTGGTTTTTATGTTCCAACTCTCATGTGCTGCTGGAAATATTCCCCCATATTGATAGTGACTGTCTTATAAGCCAACAAATAAACTGGGGCGGTCTCTAAGGGGGTGGGGTGGCGATGGTGTGCAGGAAGGTGGGGGGAGGTTGCAGGAGGTGGTTATAGAAGACAGTGGCTCAAGTTATAGGCCTTCAATGTCAAGACACACAGATTATGCATGGAGGGAACTGGAAATCAATTGAGTTCCAAATATAACATACATGAACCGCCTTGACCTAGTAGCTCAGTTTGTAGATATAACATAATATAACATTAGCAATGCAAAGCATGACTGTTGATCCCCATAGCTATCAACTGTAAAGTGTGCCTGCCTATAATAATGTTGGCCATATTTAATTGATTATATTGGAGGGCTAATTCTACTTCAGGATTATATTAATCATATAATTCATATTTGATTTGGCAATTCATTACAGTTCATTACACATTGTTTGCAAACTGTTTTTCTTTCTGGTTTAAATTTCAAGCTATAACAAGATCATTCAAACAATTGACCAATTTCTACAAAGTTCCCAGTCGAATTTACTGTTTTTCAAGGACTGAGGTGTGTGTAAGTTATGCTGAATTGCCAGGCAGCAGTGTAATTAAGCCACAAAACAAACAATAGCCTAATTTGTATAATATATTATACACATCAATCCTAACTCCAGGCATAAACGCTTTTATAATTCTAATTTGAAATTTCTTATTTTATGTTGTACACAAGTTGAAAATTACAAATATTTTTAGATGAGTAGGCCAGTTGAAAAGGCAATCACAAACAAATTACAAAGTGAATTGAATGTAAGTCGTCTCATTATCAAGTATTCAACTCTGAATATATTCATGGTATATACTCAATAGTAAATGCAAGTATTCATGTGAATATAAAAATTCATTTTTGTAGCCATCATATTTAGATGTGATCAATGAAAGTTACATGCATAATGTACCAAAGGGTGAGTTTAAATCTTCAATACAAGGCAGTGTTTTTTTTTGAAAATTGACTATTATTTCCAGGTTTTATTTGACTAACATGAGCCGGCCTAACCCCTAAGGTATGAGGTGTTGATGCCATTTTTTTTTCATAGACCCTGAAAGCCATTTTAAAGTTGTGGTTGTTTCAAGAAAGTTTGAGAAATTACCTCTGATTCAGGTGGTTAGATATCTGTTTCTTCGTATGCACACATGTCAGTGTAATATACCAATAAATTCCCACTCTATATTTGGGAGTAACTAGGGATCTGCTTCACAGTTTACTAGTGAGTATTATGTAAAGCTAAGGGCAATAATGATAATTCGAGTTTATCATGGATGTATAGCTAAATATCGCAAGGAGAGACGGAAAGCACCAAAAGGTGTGGGACACCTGCCCACAGACACCTGGCTGGGGTTTTGGACACAGATCAGTGGTTTTTAGCATATATGTACTCCGAGAATTGCGAAAAAACTCCTAAAAGTTTAATCACGGAAACGCGATTTGTCTCGCGTATTTCTTCTCTTCGCGTATTTCGGCACAAATTCCTCGACTCTTGAGTTCAAATTTCCTGACGTTTTCTCACACATTTGTTTACATTTTTCAGGCTAAGCCAATCAGAATGCCTAAATTTTAAAACTTTATATATATATATATATATATATATATATATATATATATATATATATATATATAACGGTAAATCTTGGTATCTTTTTCCCAGAAGTAGTCAATATTTATGCATTCTGATTGGGTTATTGGAAATGTAAACAAACTTGCTGATTGGCTAAGCTGCCATTTTATGTGCGATATTTTCTTCTTTTGATAGATGTGAACGAGTGAATTAGTTACGGATGTTCAAATAGGAGCTTGTACACATCAGAGCATTGGTAACTAATTACTCGTTCACATCTATCAAAAGAAGAAAATAGACCCTTAACCTATCACAACTGCTCTGAAATTTGAGGGGGGCGCAGCAGCCCTTCTTCGCTCCTCACACGCACACCTACGGACGTCATGATCAATCTTTAATGTTACATTCTGTTCTCATTCTAGAGACACCGACTTATCAATGAAATATTGGAAAATGAATTAGCTAACTCTATCCATGCCTTATCAATTCAGGTACACTATCATTATAGGTTAGATTGAAGTTAATTTTTTATAAAATTGTATGCTTCTTTAATTTCCAGGCCAAAACACCAGAGCAGTGGAAGGCATCTGGTGGCAAAGTAAATAAATCACCCCCCTGTCTTGGTGGTTCTGGGAGATAGGAATCTACAGAGAAATATATTACCAAAAATTGCTTCGTGAAGAACGATTCACTGGGCGTCGAACTGTCCGTGCACAATGTGCTAAATTATTTGGCGAGGGGTTAAACCCGGGGATTAGTAGGACACCTAGTTTGATGTTTGTAAATTATGTTTTGATTTTAAGTCCTGGTTACCATTTTTTTCATAAAGTGTTGTAATAAAGTTTTGTCTTGATTCAAAGATGAAACGTCACTTCGAATAAATATTATATTCGTAATGTGTTCCTGTTCTGTCTAATTCTATTAATTGAGAAGAATAGTGTTTATTAATTCTCGCAATCAGTCGGCAGTCAGCTCCAAACCATCGGGAAAAAATATGAACCGCCATGGGTAGCTAGTTAAAAATATGGTGAAGTTAAGTCTGTTACAGACGAGCACGTTTTCTATGACAAGTTTTTCTATGACAAGTTTCATTTGCTCTGGTGAACGTGCCAACAAGTTTACTTTGACAATTTAGTTTGCACTTTGCAGCCAGTGATGTAATCGTACAGCGGACAAGGTGAGCGCGCCATTGCAAAATACTACAGTCCGCTGGCCAACCGCATATAAGTGCTCACATCATGTGACAAGTTTTCTTTGTTGACTCATACAGACGAGCAAAATTTGTACTTTGACAATTTTTTCTATGGCAAGTACACTTGTTCAAGAATTGCTTCGGAAAGAACGATTGTGTGAACAAGTAGTCTTGTCATAGAAAAAATTGTCAAAGTTGGGCGTGCAGACGAACCATTAAAACTTTTCACATAAAAACTTGTCATAGAGAACTTGCTCGTCTGGTAGAGGCCTTACGCAAAAATTAAAATATATGAATAATACAACTAGATAATATAGTGTGCTCTTTACGACCTGTGCCTTTAAACCGCTTGCTGATTAAAATGTACGTACTACGGGCTCAATTTACAGGTTGCATAATTGCTGACTTGCTGTATGTGTTTGTTGAAAGCATTAAGCCAATCAGAAGACACGTGGTGACGGGCAATATTGAACCGAAACTAGCTGACTAAGCATGAAACGTTATACTTATATTTATTAACAAAACGGATTAACACATTCTAATCAAAGCGGCTAAACTCTGCTTTACTTACGTGAAATACTTTTGATAAGCTTCAGCTATGAGTAAACGACTGCAGGACATTAAAAAAAGAGATATTTCACGTTCATCTGGTTCTCCTCCGACTTATACGACTGTAACTGCCAAAGTTGTTAAAATTCACGACGGCGACACTTGTGACTTGGCCTTTGCCAGGAATGGCAGTTTCCAACGATTCAAATGTCGCTTGGTCGCAATAGACACTCCGGAGATAGGCACAGGCTCAAAGGCAAAGAAGGCGCGTGATTTTCTTGCCTGGTTATGTCTTGGCAAAGACCCTGCTAACTTTCCTCGGAGTAGCCCGCCATGGTCTGATGCTGACCTTCAGTCGAAGTTGGACGCGAACAAACAACTGGTTGATGCGGAATTTCAAGGCACCGGTGGATACGATAGACCTTTGGTTGTTTTAAGTTCGCAGTCGTATAGAGAATCTTTCAATGATCTCCTCATTGAGTACGGTTATGCCACTCCTTACCGCCGATAAACATTGGTTCTGTAAAGAATATCTACAGTAAAGTAAACTTGTGTATGTTTAGTAGCTTATGTTAGGTGTTTTATAATCGAGAACACGACTCTTGTAGTAAAAGAAACTAAGAAAGTAATCGAATAAGGAACAGTCATCACTCATTAGCTAAATTTTGTCTCATGTTCATCCACGTTGTAGCAGCATGTAATAATACAAATGTCCTAGAATATCATAGGTTTTGTAACTTTTTCATGCCCTAATGCGTTTAGTCTGGTTTTCTTATAACGTAATTATTGAAAACCACACTACAACAAGTTGCAACAAATTGCGACATTTGAATTACGACGAGTTATGACGAATTATGTTATATGAAAACCAGCCTTCATTTGTACATGTATGATGTATTCCAGAATGATTAAAGTGTTAAAACTCTTTGTTTACGTGATTGCTGAGACGATATATGAAATATTATTTTGAAAGTTGTTTCCCTTAAGTAAATTCATCCCTATTCGCGAATTCAACAAATTTACACTCGTAGGTTGTAATTTTGACTTTTGAGCAAACGATTCTTTTTCTTGGTATTTCCCCGAATTCGGAATTCCTGGAAGAGGAAACGAAAGTGCTGAATCGACAGAATCATCATCGGATGATATGGACGAGTGAACGAGTTACCAGTGTTGAAATAACGGTACTTATTTATCATAGCATTTATAACAATCTATCAAAAGACGAATACCGCAGCAAAAATTACAAGTGTAAACGGACCTTATAAGCAGATATAAAGATTACACCTGTGATACTATTGGTTTACTCCACAAATTTAATAGGTCAGCAATTAAAGATTAATACTAGCGGCAAAGACCGTATTTACACTAAAACTCGACTATCGAAGCGACGTTTAGCAAATCGCTTATTAGACACTTGAAAAATTGCATTGCTACATATTATGGAAATCGCCTTCTTTGTCTGGACAACAGACCACCTTTCTAAGTTTTCTTTTATCTGACACCTGTAAAACTATAGATATCAATATACATTTAATGTGATTAACCGCGTACTGTGTCAGTGTTTCATTGTGGGAACAGTGTCTACGATTGCATTACGTCATTTTCAAGATTAGGTTCCGCGGACCAGGAGCCTGGGAACGAAGGTGTGAAATCGGGTATTTTTAGAATACCTCGGGATAATAGTTTGGATTTTACCGAATTGCGGTTTACACTTGACAGCGTTCTTAGCTTAGTCTGCAAAGACTAAAGTGGTTGAACTTCATACCGACAAACTTCTGGTCGGCCTCAGCTATGAACAAACAGGACATAACTGACAGCGATATCTCGCGTTCACATGTCTCTCCTTCGACATACACGACCTTAACTGCAAAAGTCGTCAGCATTGACGATGGCGACACTTGTGATTTGGTGTTTATAAAAAACGGCCGCTTTGAACTGTACAAATGTCGCTTGGCCAATATTGACACACCGGAGTTAGGCACTGGTCTGAGAGCGAAGAAGGCCCGTGATTTCCTGGTTTGGTTAAGCCTGGATAACAATCCAGCAAGCTTTCCCGGCAGCAGTCAGCCATTTTTAGAGCACCAAATTCAGAACAGCTTGGACGGCAACAAAGGGCTGGTTAATGCGGAATTTCAAGGTAAAAACCAAAATTAAAATACAATAGTGAATTTTGTGGTTGTGTTATTCGATCCACAGCTGAACTATGGAGGAAGTACGGTATTTACTTAACGCTGTGCACGACGTTGTTAATGCAATAAATAGATACGAGTTATTGAAGCCTTTGGCGATGTTTGCACCGATTTTCAACTGATTAGTTGCAAAGTTGGATTATGTCACAGTTTGATTATGTCTAACGCACGCGCCCGCGAAACCGGTTAGCTATTGAATTGCGGTTGGATATAATACAAACTTGAATGTACGATGCAAACTTAAATGTAAAATGCGAAAACTCGAATACAAAATACAAACTTGAATGTGAAAACAAACATGAATTTAAAACACATAGATGAACGTAATACACAAACTTGAATACACAATACAAAAAGTCCAATAAAACAAAGAATGTTCAACATAAAATAACGAAGTTGAATTTTGGCGGATATATGACGCCATATTAAACCGCTTGCTAAATTTAAAAACGTACGGGCTCAAAGTACAGGTTGCATAATTGCTGACTTGCTGTATATATTTGTTGATGACACGTCATGACGGGTAATATTGAACCAAAACTAACTGACTAAGCATAAAATGTTATATGTATAAACTAAACAGGATATCGATTTAAACATTCTTATCAAAGCGGCTAAACTCTGCTATACTTACGTGAAATACTTCTGATCAGCTTCTGAGCTTCAAGCCTTCAGCTATGAGTAAACCACTGGAGGACATTACAAACGGAGATGTTTCACGTTCATCTGGTTCGCCTCCGTCGTATACGACTGAAACCGCCAAAGTTGTTAGCATTTACGATGGCGACACTTGTGACTTGGTCTTTGTCAAGAATCGCAGGTTCCAACGGTTCAAATGTCGCTTGGCCGCAATAGACACTCCGGAGATAGACACAGGCTCAGAGGCAAAGAAGGCACGTGATTTTCTTGCCTGGTTATGTCTTGGCAAAGACCCTGCTAAATTTCCTCGCGATAGCCGGCCATGGTCTGATGCTGCCCTTCAGTCAAAGTTGGACGCGAACAAACAACTGGTTGATGCGGAATTTCAAGGCACCGGTGGATACAATAGACCTTTGGTTGTTCTAAGTTCGCAGTCGTATAGAGAATCTTTCAATGATCTCCTCATTGAGTACGGTTATGCCACTCCTTACCGCCGATAAACATTGGCTCTGTAAAGAATATTTACAGTAAAGAAAACTTGTGTATGTTTAGTAGCTTATGTTAGGTGTTTTATAATCGAGAACACGACTCTTGTAGTAAAAGAAAGTAATCGAATAAGGAACAGTCATCACTCATTAGCTAAATTTTGTCTCATGTTCATCCACGTTGTAGCAGCAATACAAATGTCCTAGAATATCATAGGTTTTGTAACTTTTTCATGCCCTAATGCGTTCAGTCTGGTTTTCTTATAACGTAATTATTGAAAACCACACTACAACAAGTTGCAACAAATTGCGACATTTGAATTAAGACGAGTTATGACGAATTATGTTATATGAAAACCAGCTTTCATTTGTACATGTATGATGTATTCCAGAATGATTAAAGTGTTAAAACTCTTTGTTTACGTGATTGCTGAGACGATATATGAAATATTATTTTGAAAGTTGTTTCCCTTAAGTAAATTCATCCCTATTCGCGAATTCAACAAATTTACACTCGTAGTTTGTAATTTTAAACAAACGATTCTATTTCTTGGTATTTCCCTGAATTCGGAATTCCGGGAAGAGGAAACGAAAGTGCTGAATCGACAGAATCATCATCGGATGATATGGACGAGTGAACGAGTTACCAGTGTTGAAATAACGGTACTTATTTATCATAGCATTCATAACTATCTATCAAAAGACGAATACCGCAGCAAAAACTACAAGTGTAAACGGACCTTATAGGCAGATTATAAAGAATACACCCGCGATACTATTGGTTTACTCCAGCATATGACTCCAGTCACAAATTAAGTCAGCAATTAAAGAAGATTAGCGACAATAACCGCGTTTACACTAAAACCCGATTCTCGAAGCGACGTATAGCAAATCGCTTATTAGGCACCTAAAAATTGCATTGCCACAGATTATTGAGATCGCCTTCTTTCGGCGATGTATTAATTAGACCTGAGTGTCTGGACTGCAGACCGCCTTTCTAAGTTTTCTTTTATCTGACACCTGTAAAACTATAGATATCACTAGATATTTAATGTGATTAACCGCGTACTGTGTCATTGTGTCATTGTGGGAACAATGTCTACGATTGCATTACGTCATTTTCAAGATTAGGTTCCACGGTCTAGGAGCCTGGGAACGATGGTATGAAATCGGGAATTTTTAGGATACCTCGGAGGATATAATAGTTCAGATTTTACCGAGTTGCGGTTGACAGCGTTCTTAGCAAAGTCTGCAAACTTTGAACTTCATACCGACGTACTTCTTGATCGGCCTCAACTATGAACAAACGACTGCAGGACATAACTGACAGCGATATCTCGCGTTCACATCTTTCTCCTCCGACATACACGACCTTAACTGCAAAAGTCGTCAGCGTTCACGATGGCGACACTTGTGATTTGGTGTATATACGAAACGGCCGCTTTGAACGGTTCAAATGTCGCTTGGCCAATATTGACACACCGGAGTTAGGCACTGGTCTGAGAGCGAAGAAGGCCCGTGATTTCCTAGTTTGGTTAAGCCTGGATAACAATCCAGCAAGCTTTCCCGGCAGCAGTCAGCCATTTTCAGAGCATCAAATTCAGAACAGCTTGGACGGCAACAAAGGGCTGGTTAATGCGGAATTTCAAGGTACAGGCGGATACGGAAGACCTTTGGTTGTCTTAAGAAAGTCTTATGGGAAATCCTTTAATGATCTCCTGATAGATTATGGCTATGCTAATCGTTACCGCTAAAAAACCGCATCTTCTGACACTGATTACGGATTAAACACAAACTAAATATCATATTTTTAGGGGACATTAGTTTGTCATTACTCGTTAGCTAAATAGAAAAGGGCTTCGATTTTCATCTTCACTGACACTGAATTTTGGTTGTCTTTGAAATGACTTATATTCGTATAATTTGAGAACGACTTCGACACAATATCTTACGTAATTAAGTAGTATTATATCTCTTATAGTTTAAGGTTATTTATAAGTCACACATTTAATATATCTTATTGTTGGTACAAATGATAAATGTCTTTGGTAATCTTTACTTTGCCTATTCCACAGACAAATTTTGCATTTCTCGGCTGAATAATCAGACTTAATTTCCATTTATGTAAACGAGCAAGCGGGCGGTCTCTTTTCACGGTATTTCCCCCAATTCTGGGAAGAGAAAAACGAAAGTTGCTGAAATGGCACAATCGCAATCATTCTCGTTTCCAGAGCCCGCGATTTCCTCTGGCGAGGAAACAAAGGCTTATTTTCACAGATTTGTGCGAAAGTTAAAGTGGAAGTGAAGTCTGTTCTGCACATAGGCACAGAGCATACAGAGTTTTGACTGCCGTTAATTTTGCGTACCCCTGGCTTAGCCAGTGCGCTTAAGAGAGGCCTTCTCCCCCCGGGAAAGCATGCATATGGCGGCGGCTTGAACACATGAATGGAATATAAACAGCCGAGACAATTATCCTTTAGAAGAGTATAGAAGTGGGAGCGATCTGTTTATTTATATAGCGATGGCTATTTATAATGTTTGGTGGGGATAGAGCCTCTCTTTAGCGCACTGGCTAACAACATGGCCGCTAGGAACCCATAATTAATGCAAGGTCAAACCTCTGTATGCTCTGTGACATAGGTTCTGCTTTGCATCGGTTCTGTTTTGAGACAAGTTTTCATGATCGTGTTAAAAATTAAAATACTTTTCCAGACCATGTTTAAAATGAAGGAAGCTACGGTCGTAGGACAAAAATAATGAAAACCCTCGAGTGATCTTTCCTGATTATAAAAAAGCACTTGTCTTATGCATGTGGGTGTCTTATCTAGGTATAATCTCCTAATATATTGTACCTCTAATTCAAGTCTTCATTAAGGCCAGGATATGGACTTAAGAATAATACATTATCTCGGCATATTGCCTTTGAAATTACCGATAAATGCTGACGAAATTTTGCCACCATGGTTACGAGATGAGCTCTGCATAATGAACATTCAGGAAAGGCTTATGCGTTTTATCACTCCATCACTCGGTCTTGGCACCTGAAGCAAGAAACAGCTCAAAATACAACAACAAGAAGAGTTTTGAAGAAGAAGAGTTTCACAAGTATAACAACAATGAAGAGTTTTGGGCTCTGTTGTTTGCTTTTGTTAGCTTCAGCCTGCGTGTTTGGTAAGTTTTGTGCTGGTTTCTTTTCCATTGATTGTTGTAAGAACATCAGAAATAAGATCGATAGATTCACTACCGATTGATAAATTACTTGTCAACAATATTCCGTGTAAGGCTTTCTCGCTGGCAATCTGTTCCAAAGGCATAAAATTTAAATTTGTCTTGTTAAAGAAGGAGTCTGAACAACGTTTTCACAACTGGTTGGAAAGTTTTATCACACATTTTTGTGAAAGAACGTGAAATTTAGACGCGTGTACTTGCAGTCGTATAAGACTGTGTGCAGTTTGATTATTTCATATTTTTTCAAAGTCGCTCGAGCTAAGTTGCAAAATAAGCCTGAGCTAGCGGATGAAGTAGGTGACGAAGATGACACGGAAGCCAACGAAAAAGACACGGGAGCCGACGAAGAGGACGCGGAAGCCAACAAAGAAAACACGGAAGCTCACGAAGAAAACGAATTTTGGGAAACCGAAAAAGATGAAGGTATTAAAAGCTTGCCTGCCTGCCAAAAAAATAGTGCATGTTCACAGTGCATCATTTCATCCCTGATGAGCACACTTCAGACTCAGACTGCAGTGTCGAAACGTCGGATCTTGAATGTGACATTTACTTTCATTCTTCAAGTATGTGAAACTTCATGCAAGACCAACTGTACACTGTATATATGTGCTCAGTTTTCCAAACTGTAATCCGACTGTGAATAAGTTTTAAATATTAAAAAAATGATTTTTGAAAAAAATAATGCATTTAATTTTTTTGAGTAGAAACTACAGATGTTGCTCCTCACAAGCCCAAGAAGCAAGGTTGGTAATATAGCATGTAAGTGTGTTAAGCTCGCAAATTTTGTACTTTTTGTTATATGAATAAAAAAATGATAATTTTGTAGCCTGGTAATTCGTGGCCAGAAGTCGAGGACATGCATGGAATTTGGAGATTGCCGTAAAAATTTGCATTTGTAGAAATATCTTTTAACTGCAGCACAATAAATTATATTGCGATTTCACAACGTTTGAGATCTTGCATGGAATACTTGCAATTTGCCATGTTTGCTTCTTGTAAATCAAGAAGAAGTTGCTAGGGTAATATTCTGTGGGTTTATTCCAATTTCTCATCAGAGGAAATGACATGTTTATATATTAATAAAAAAACAATCGACTTTAAAAGATATGAAATATTCTCCCCGTCCCCATTTACGCATCTATGGCTTTCTCTCTAAACACAATTCCTAACAAGATTGAAGTTTCGAGCCAATGGGATTTCGCATAATCTAATTTTCATTCAAAGTTGCTGATAAAAGTTTTTACGCGTTACATATCAGGTTTGAAACTGAGACATTTTGAAATGGTTCGGTGGGGCCGGTTGTATCAAGGCCGTTTAGCTTAAACGGTGGTTAAGTTCAAAATAGAAAGCAAGTCTATCGTTTTATTCAACAAGCAAACTAAATGTTTTTAACCTTAATACAAAGATACAGTCTACAACTGCATATTCAGTGCATAATATTTAAGTTGAATCATTCAAGAGAGATGTAAGAGTGTTATTTAATTTTGACTTATCCACCGTTTAAGCTAAACGGGCTTCATACAACCGGCCCCTGGCGTTTACGCTCTGGCATGACTGTGTTTTTTTGTGACTGATAAGGTTGGGAATGCTACCAATTCCATAGAGAGCATCAATTGTGCGAGATCTGTGCTCGACGTGTATGTACGCGATCGTGCTGGCAAAAATCATGCAAAATAGTTACATGCAGTGGAGTAAGACCATCGTATCGTATCCAGTACACAAACGTCAGACACGGTCACGGGCATCGCCAGTTTAAAAAGATCATACAATTGCCATACGGAGTTTGTTGGAGTCCAACCAAAATCTGCTACCAATGTGACTATATCCCTTCCAAATGTAAAGAGGTCTGCCGCTTGGAATACGACGTCAAACCGGTGAAGTCATGATGCCTAATTTTCTTAAAATGGTGAACAATGTACTCTTTACCGAAAGTAGTCAAAATTTATGGGTTCTAATTGGGTTACTGGAAAGAATAGAAATGAATTTAATTTTGTCAAATATATTTTGAATTTGTAATACTTATGTTGGTTTTATGTGGTTCTTATACCGGCGAGCGTTCGTAAATAATTTCTATGCTGTTGTGCTACGACTGCATTACGGGTATTAGTGCATTTCACAACATGCATGACGTCACATGCGCCATCTTGATGTTCAGCTGGATTGAAGAGAATCGACCGTACTCATAATGACGTCAAACAAATACGGAATCCTGATGTTACACGACTTTTGTTACACAAAAATAAAGCGCCAACGAAACTTCATGTAACATCAGGCTTTCCGTGTTTGACGTCATTATAAGAAAAGGAATCTAATCAGTTAAACTCATTTGGGCTACTGATAATAATTCAATGTCCAGCAAATCTTAAATGAACGAAATTCCTTTTTGACATTAGGACTCTCAATCCAATAGACTCTTAGAAAAGTTTCAGGGACGAACGGTAAGAATTTGTCTATTATTTAATTTTAGTGCATATTAAACATGTTATCAAACATCGAATATGTCAGCGGTTTGTTCAAATGGGGGGTCAAAATTCATGATTATTTTCAATCGCATTGTGTTAGTCTGTTTACTACACAAACAAAATAACTATGCCATTACAATACGAAACAAAGAAAATTGCATCCAAACTAACTCCGGGTATATATGATGAACTGAATAATAATAAAAGATATAAAGGAAGTAAACTGACCAGGGTTGCCAGGATACTGAACAAATTAGCCAAATGAACTGACCAATGAATTTAAAAATTAAAATAATTGTTTTTAATCTTTGCGGCATCTGCTTAATTATTCCAGCGCCAGCGACGGAGTTGAAAATTCGCCCCGGTTTTGTTTTTGTTTGTTTTTTTTTATCTTTTTTTTTATAATTTTTCGTCGTCGCAAGTCTGTAATGGCGCGAAATATACTAGTATTTGAAATGGGTTTGTGATGGGATTTATTTATGTCCCAGTCTTGTCTCCCAAGAGTTGTGGTGAACAGCTTTGGCTAATTTTCCGATGCGCGATTCGATTTCGCTCGCATGATACGGCAATTCCTCCAAGAGGGACAAATAAACCGTTGTTTTCATGCTGTTCGATTAAGTTTAGATTGAATTGGGGTAAGAATATATTTAAAACATGTAGATTCTGGTCCTATTTTAATAATATCGCTGCTATTTCAGAAGCTTTATGTTGAAGACTGGTACGTGCGCGCCACGCCGGAGTTAACGCCAGAACAGGCGTCTTGTATTGTTTAATGTTTGTTATGAACGCCAAACATGCTGGAAACTTTACATAGGACAAGCATTTGACCATTAAGACAGCGTGGTTATCCATTTCAAAAAAATTGACATCATAACCAAAGCATGGTTATCTTGTTTAATGTTTGTATATGAGCGCAAAACATGCTGAAACTTTACATTGGACAAGAATTTGGCCATTAAAACAGCGTGGTTATCCATTTCAAAATATTTGACATCATAACCAAAGCATGGTTATATTGTTTAATGTTTGTTATGAACGCAAAACATGCTGGAAACTTTACATAGGACAAGCATTTGACCATTAAAACAGCGTGGTTATCCATTTCAAAAAATTGACATTATAACCAAAGCATGGTTATATTGTTTAATGTTTGTTATGAACGCCAAACATGCTGGAAACTTTACATAGGACAAGCATTTGACCATTAAAACATCGTGTTTATCCATTTCAAAATATTTGACATCATAACCAAAGCATGGTTATATTGTTTAAAGTTTGTATATGAGCGTCAAACATGCTGGAAACTTTACATTGGACAAGCATTTGACCATTAAAACAGCGTGGTTATCCATTTCAAAAAATTTGACATCATAACCAAAGCATGGTTATATTGTTTAATGTTTGTATATGAGCGCCAAACATGCTGGAAACTTTACATTGGACAAGCATTTGACCTTTAAAACAGCGTGGTTATCCATTTCAAAATATTTGACATCATAACCAAAGCATGGTTATATTGTTTAATGTTTGTATACGAGCGCCAAACATGCTGGAAACTTTACATAGGATAAGCATTTGACCATTAAAACAGCGTGGTTATCCATTTCAAAATATTTTATATCATAACGAAAGCATGGCTATTACTCCGGCGTCAGCGACGGAGTTGAAAATTCGCCTGGGTTTTTTTTTGTTCCTTTTTAATTTATTTTTTGTTTTTTATTATTTTTCGTCGTCGCAAGTCTGTAATGGCTTGAAATACAGTAGTATTTGAAATGTGTTTGTGATGAGATTTATCTATGTCCCAGTCTTGTCTCCCAAGAGTTGTGGTGCACAGCTTTGGCTAATTTTCCGATGCGCGATTCGATTTCGCTCGCATGATACGGCAATTCTTCCAAGAGGAACAAATAAACCATTATTTTCATGCTGTTCGATTAAGTTTAGATTGAATTGGGGTTAGATTATATTTAATACATGTAGATTCTGGTCCTATTTTAATAATATCGCTGTTATTTCGCCGTTTAACAAGTTGATGTGGCCGTGTATGGGCGCGTTGACACGAAAGTAGGCTGCAGGATAAAAATAATGAAAACCCTCGAGTGACCTTCTTGATAATAGACAAGCACTTGTCTTATGCATGTGGGTGTCTTATCTAAGTATAGTTTCCTAATATTGTACTTCTAATGCAAGTCTTCATCGAGGACAGGAAATGAACTTGGGAATAATACATTATATCTCTGCATATTGCCTTTGAAATTGTACTGATAAATTATGACGCAATATTGCAACCATGGTGACGAGATTATCAACCATCCATAAAATTATAAGCGTACCACAAAAATTAGTGAAGGTCTAATATAAACGGAGGCACTGCTGAGCGATATGCAGGATTCGAATTGTCGAATTGTGACACAATGATCCTGAATACGATTGATTAAATGATAGCCGCTATACGGTTGTTCACAAAAAATTAAGAACGACCACCAAGACTGCACTACAGACATTTATGTACAAAATTGAGAGATATACTTCGAATACGACAGGGGCCCGTATATTGCCAAAAAGGGGACGTTCGTCACGATGTACATACTTGCTATTACTTACAGGTATGTAGATTTTAATAGGAGTTGCTGATGTTCTTACTTTATCACATGTGCAAGTTTAAACGATTTAATCTACGATATAAAACCAGGAAATCATCAGAATATAATAGTGATATATCTGCCAGTTTTACTAAAATATTATGTACCCGCCGTTTATCAGAGGAAACAGGTCATGCAGATAAGTTGGGCCAAGTTTTTAAAAGGAGGTCGCATATGTTATCGCTTGATCACTTTGTTTTAGCACCTCAAGCAAGAAACAGTTTAAAATTGAACAAGAAAGAGGGATGAAGAGTTTTGCGCTGTTTTATTTCCTTTTGTTGGCTCCAGCCTGCGTTTTTGGTAGGTTTTGTAGGTTCTTTTTTGTAGGTCGATCAGAGCCGAAAAACTAAGAACGATTTTTCATTACGATTATCTCACTGCTCGTTAAAACCAGTTGATTAATTTCTTATTTACTTGTCGATATTATTCCATGCATACAAGGCTTTTTCCTATAATAATCTCTTTACTCAAAAGGACTGTTTGACATTTTTACAAATGGTTAGAAAATTTTTAAGTTTCAACTAGAATTTATTCAAAAAATTTGAAATTTAAACGCGAGTACTTTCAGTGGATCATATATTGCTGCGTTAAAGCTTTCTTTTATATTCATCCGGCCGGTATAAAACTCTTTAACTACACTTTGCATAGTTAAATTCCTGTTAATTAAGAGATACACGCCTACGATTGACCAATTGCGTCATTAACTACAGTTAAAAGTTAACTAGTCTTTTATACAACTGCTCCCTGAAGTCGCTCGAGCTGACAAGGAAATTCTCGCTGTCGATGATGCTTCCGAGTTGGGAAATCCGCCTGATATAACAGTTGAAAAAGAACAAGCTGACGAAAAAGACACGGAAGCCGACGAAGAAGAGACGAAAGATGACGAAGAATACACGAAAGACGACGAAGAAACCGAAGATGACGAAGCCGAAGAAGATGAAGGTATTCAGATTTAATTAAGACCAGGCAATAATGGCTTAACTCACTGCTGCAAAGGTTTCCAAGCATATTCACAGTAGATATTCACAACCATCACGAAGACATGCATTTACACTAGACTAGATACACTGTCATTCCAATGCGCACAAAATATTAAAAAAATGCGAAAGATAATTGCGAAAAAAATGACATTAAGTTTATTTTAAGAAGAAACTACAGATGTTGCTGATGACAAACCTGCGAAGAAAGGTTGGTTAATGTTTGCATTTATTTGAATTTTGCCATGTTTGTTTCTTGTAAATCAAATTTTATCGAAGTTCCTGGGATAGCTAAAATTTTTGCTTGCACGGAAAGCAGAAAGAATACTGATAAAAAAATTCTAAAATCTACCTCTATCTTGTTCTATAACTTACTTGTTCTGGAACTAGCAATCGGGTCAAATTATACCCGACCTAATAATAGTTATAACATAGGTAGCCCAAATATGCGTGATAATTTAAACGCGAGAAATTTTTCGGCAATTATATACATTATTACACCATGTTGACACTCGCGTTCAAACTATTCCGCATATTTGGGTTGCCTATATGATTACCTTTTAGCGTTTTAGTCCTTTGTATTGTAAAGTCTCCTATAAACTCATGCGGCTATAGTTTGACACTGTATGTGAATTTCACGTAATTTAAATTTCATTGCAAGTTGCTGTTAAAATTTTTTCAGTGTAAAATTAGGTTTAAAGTTCAGATAGGTGTAACCTTTTTTGAAAAGGTTGGTATGAATTGATGGCATTTTTGCTCTAACATGGCTTTCCTTTTTGTGACTAATCAGGTTGGAAATGCTTTGGACATTCAAAGTGCGGGACCTGCTATCGAAGTGAATGTAAGCGATCGTGCCGGCGAAAAGTATGCAAAATAGTTACTTGTGGCCGGAGGATGGAATGTCATGCGCTGAGCGGGTACAGAGCTTGTGAGATTGTACCTAAAACCTGCCCAAGATGTCACATTTTTCGTTACCCATGTCGAATGGTCTGCCGCAATAAATACGTCTACAAACCGGTAGGTCATATTCAGAAGCTGCATTTACACAGAGAAAATTAACGCCTGGAACATACCTCGGAATGGAACAGAATAGGAAAGTTTTCGGAGGAAAATTCTTCGAAATCTGCGTGTTTGTTTCTTTTAAGAGCTTTTAAATAATCAAATTTTTTATCTGCCATTATTTAGTGCGTCAAACATCACGGATAAACTGCCCATAACCTCGTAAAATTATACATGGTGGAATTACAGACAATTGTAGTACTTTATTATTATAGCATTATAAAGATATAGAAAGATGACCACAATCATTGGATAGTTTTGGCTTGTAGAAATAAATTTTGAATTTTCAACACGTATCTTTATTTGTCTCATGCTAGTCTTGAAACATAAGAATCCGGCGTAAATAATTTCTTTGCTACGACTGCACGTGATAGTGCATTTCACATGCATGACGTCACAGGCGCCATCTTGATGTCAAGATTAAAGAGAATGCATTGACCTTACGTAATCGTAATGACGTCAAACACGGAAACGAGTCAATCAAACTTAGTGTAACATAAGGCTTTCTGCGTTTGAGGTCATTGTTAGAAGAGTCTAATTAAACTCATTGTGGCTATTGCAAATAAATATCATAATTTGACCAACGCATGAAAATAAAAAAATAACATAGTTAATGCATGCTGCACCTGCTTAATTTTATTTCTAATTTAAACAAAATTTTTATATGTATCAACATCCCAAGCAGGTACTGTAACAGCAAAAATTGGTCCAATCGTAGTCAGTCATACTAACTGCATGTCCTGACAATGAGCCGGTTTTCCGGTTGAACCGTATATTGTAACGAACCTTAGCATATACCTTCGCTCGGAACGTCGAGAAGTTTTTTGTCTATTTAAGGCAGTTGTTATGCCACATTTGATGCGAAACACTACATAATGGGCCAGCAGATTAGGATATAAAACATGCTGAATTATATCTTGAAATTCGTTCTTTTTCTCGCCTAATATATTTACAAGCTTTAAAGAAACATTTCAAAGAAACAAGTTAAACTATATTTTTGCCGGGGAGCATGTGTTGAATTGAACGAATGTAAGCCATTGGACAAAAATAATGTAAACCCTCGAGTGACCTTCTTGATAATAGACAAGCACTTGTCTTATGCATGTGGGTGTCTTATCTATAAGTATAGTTTCCTAATATTGTACTTCTGATTCAAGTCTTCATCGAGGACAGGAAATGAACTTGGGAATAATACATTATATCTCTGCATATTGCCTATGGTGACGAGATTATAAATCCGTCCATAAAATTATAAGCGTACCAAAAAAGTTAGTGAAGGTCTGATAAAAACTGGAGGCACTGCTGAACGATATGCAGGATTCGAATTATTGACTTAACGCTTGGTAAACAATGACCCTGAATGCGACTGATTAAATTATAGCCGCTATACATGCAGTTGTACATGAAAAATTAACGACAACCATGACTACACTAACTAGAGCGTTTCAATTTTATAGAAACTTGTATAAAATTGAGAGATATACTTCGAATTAATACACGGGCCCGTATATTTGCCAAAATGGGCAAGTTCGTCACGATGTTACTTGCTATTACTTACGGGTATGTAGCTTTTTAACAGGAGTTGTCGATGTTCTTACTTTATCACATGTGCAAGTTTTGAACGATTTAATCTATAATATAAAACCAGGAAATCATCAGAATATAATAGTGATATATCTGGCAGTTTTACTAAATATTATATACCCGCCGGATATCAGAGGAGACAGGTCATGCAGATAAATTAGGCGACGTTTTTAAAAAGAAGTCGCATTTTAATGATTTTATCGCTTGCATGATCACTTCGTTTTTGCACCTCATGCAAGAAAAAGTTTCAAATAGAACGAGAAGAGAGATGAAGAGTTTTGCGCTGTTTCGTTTCCTTTTGTTATCTTCAGTTTGCGTGTTTGGTAAGTTTTGTGGCTGCTTTGGGTGACTGAAAGTCGATTAGGAATATGGGACATAAGATCGATAAATTTATTACGATTTTTTATTACGATTAGCACACTTTTCGTTCATTTTAACCTGTGTACTAAAAAAGAATACAATTATTAAGTTTGACTTGCTAAAGAATGACAACATATTCACAACCAGTTGAAAAATTTTGAAGTTTTGAAATTTAAACGCGAGTACTTGCAGTGGATCATATAAAGTAACGTGAAAGTTTTCTTTCAAATTCATCCGGCCGGTTGTATAAAACTCTTTAACTACACTTTGCAGTTAAATAAGAGATGCACGCGTATGATTGGCCAATTCCATCCTTAACTATAGTTAAAAGTTAACTAGTCTTTTATACAACTGCTCCCTGCAGTGGCTCGAGCTGAGGAGGAGATTGCCGCCGTCGATGATGATCCTGAGTTGGAAAATCCGCCTGAGATAACCGATGCATTAGTTGAAGAAGAACAAGGTGACGAAAAAGATACGGAAGCCGACGAAGAAGACACGAAAAACGACGAAGAAGACACGAAAGACGACGAAGAAGACACGAAAGACGACGAAGAAAACCAAAATAAGGAAACCGAAGAAGATGAAGGTAATAAAACCTACCTGAAAAGAGAGATCTCAGAGCTTCTCGATTTTAAAAAGAAATCCGTAATGAAAACAAATGTCTGAACATTCTCGCCTCTCCCCTATTTATAGGTGTCTAAAGGTTCCCTCTAACAAAATTCGCTTAATAATAATTATTATTAAACCCCATCAATTCATGCGAACTTATAAAATATCTTTGAACTTTAACCAGCAGAACGTTACACGGAAAAACGTTTAAAAGCAGTATGGCGGCACGCAATAGAAATTAGATTATGTGAAATTTCATTAATCTCGTGCCCTGGTCTAACGAGGATGAGATATCATGCACTGACGTGTGTGTTTTATAATTAGGCATGATGTGCAGGAGACAAAAAATAGGGAAAAAGTCAATCACGTTCTTCGTTTGTCGACTTGTACGCAAGCAAACGCGTGGCCGTAAAGTATGCCGGAGAATTGGATGTGGCAAGAAGACAGCGAGTCGTAGGAAGTACAGTATTTTCAAACGTGTTGCTGGTAACGGGCATGACTACGTGTTAGACGAAAGGCGAATACTGCCTAAATTTTGTAAGAAAGTACCTGCACTCTGCAATTTATTTTTTACACCTGGATAGTCTGCCGCAAAAGGGTGAGGCATATTCCGACTAGGCTGCCATTCTTGCTGCAATTTTCCCTTGCAATTTCCTTCTCATAATGTTTGATGGAGTCGGTAAGACCGAGCCTAAACATGGAAGAATTTTGTCTCAAGCTAATCGCCAAATTTGTTTACATTTTTCAGGCTGAGCCAATAAGAATACCTTAATTATTTATACTGCAGGTAATAAGATTGTAAGCAATGTGCATGTCTTTTTACCAGGAATAGTCAATATATCAATTTACCAAACTTTAAAATAACTGGAGACAAATCATAGATGGGAAACTGCTATATATTGGCTATATGTGAAAGGTGTATATTGGCTATAAGTGAAAGGTGCATGACGTTTAGTTAGAAAGTTTTATTAATAATATTCTTTCATTTTCCATTTTTAGTGCGGCTAAAATACCGCGGATAAACAACACATAACCTTATAAAAGTCTACCTGGTGAAATTACAGACAATTACGTTATAAACTCGTTATAATTATATAGCAATATTTAACAAATAGATTACAATGAACCGTTGTCTGTTCAGTTATAGATACACGGTATGACGTCATATGTGATAAGAACAAAAAAAGTGGCCACGAGCCGCCGGGGCGAGTGGTCACTCTTTTGTTCTTATCACATATGGCGTCATACCGTGTATCTATAACTGAACAGACAACGGTTCATTGTAATCTATTTGTTTTATATAATAAAACTGAAAAAAAAACCAAAAAAAAAACAAGAAAATTGCTGTGACGTCATTCCGTGCGTCTGTCCTCTTATAGATCATGGCTCTCGACCAATGAAATTGCTTGAATTCTTTACGTTATTATATAAAGTCAGATATAGAACGATTCTCACAATCGTTGCCTAGTTTTGAGTTGTGAAATAAATTTTGAATTTGCAATACGTATGTTGGTTTTATGCATGTTATTCTTACAACGCATGCGTTATAGTTCGTAAAAAATTTCCACGCTGTTGTGTTCTACGCCGGCTGCGCTGTTAGTTAGAAAGTGCAACTCACATGCATCACGACACAAACGCCATCCTTGATTTTCACTGAGATTGAAGAGCCGGAATAAAACCTCCATACCGCTCACGACACAAGTTCAGAGTTATTCTTTTCTTTATTTTAAGTTTTTAATATAAGCACGAAGTTAAAGTTATGTCATGTTCGTATGTAAACAAATAATTCATTTACATTTTTGAATTTCTATAACTATTCAATATAAGATAGCCTATAGCTATGACAGGCGATGACCATCATTTTAATTGGCAACTTGAAGGAAGTACCCTTAGTGTTTTCTAAATGACCGTATACCATTAGTGTTTTCTAAACGATAATAAAAATGTATATCGGAAATAAACTGTCTACCTTTGTTTATCTTGCGTTTTTTGCTTCCCTCCTGATTTTTTAAATTTATCGAAGACGTGCATCTTCATCAATTTCAGGCTTTCATACTGTGAGTCAATATAGATTTTAGGGGTTTTTAAAGGATCCTAATTTCGAGTGGAATTATACACACTTCAAATTCAATTCTCTTGAAAAAGCATTGCACACGGCATCGCAAAAGACTAGGTTCGATTCCTGCCGGAGGACCTATATATAGTTGACTCATTTTGCCTTTAACTGTCCCTGGCTTGAATTTGAAGTGTGTATAATTCCACTCGAAATTAAGGACCCTTTAAACCCCTAGAATTTACATGCATCGAGTGAAGTGCCAAAAATCACGGCATTTGAGTAAATATTATATACTTTTTAGTTCACGATAAGATCAAACATATATACCAAATAGCTTGTCAAATTGACAAATATATTGTATAAAATATTAGAAATGTTGTTTTGGTCGGCTGGCTTATTTTGCGTGTGGTGATATTGGTTGGAAAATTGTATCAAAATGCGTAAATAATATGATATTTTCGCTATTATAGGTAATACGACATTTTTACAGTGCGTAGAATACACTGATTTTTATCAGCGGCAAAAGGCACCATGAAACAACAATCATGCATGTTTATATATAATCAATAGTACCAGAGTTGCAAAAAGAGTTCAACCTTCCTCCGGTTGAATTTCAAGCTTTGAAAACCTCCCTAAAACCACGTTACGTCACTGAGTCAAGTGGCAACCAGCATAAAGAAATATTTGTTTTTTTGGTACATGCATGCATGTGATCAATTAGAGTGTTCAACTCTGAACCTTCCTCACAAACCTCATTCAAAGCAAACCTTCCTCCGGGTGGTACTTGCGTATACCCGCAGCTTTTTTGCAACTCTGATAAATCATAAATACTAGCTAGCTTGAGTGCTTGTTGACCTTCAATTATTTTTTTCTAAAAGTGACACATTAATTGATTTCCCATATAGAGGAAACGCGTCAATATAGGCGCAATCCAATCACGAAGTGCTTCTTGAAAGAACATCGACTTTGTTAATAGCTATTTGTAATAAGGCCTCATTAACCATAGTAACGAGGCTTGAGGCTGTTTAAAAAGGCTGACTACAGCAAGATTTTTTTGCTGCAAAGCTATTACGAAATATTTTGAACAGAAGCGCTGACATTAGCCTAGAAAATCAGTGGTTTGCTTATCAAAACAAATTCATGCCGATAAGATAAAACAAATTCATACACCGCAAAACGTTTATGAAATTTCAACAAGAAAATGTGATCACTGATACACAATTTTGCATTTCTGTATATCGCTATCAATGAGAGAACTTTTGAATAACTTTTAACTCTTTTTCTGAATAAGTTGAATACGTTTGACAGTTCATCATGCACATCTGACAGCTGCGAAATGGCCATTTTATAACGATTAATTTTCTCCAAGTGTATAAGCTTCAATTTTTTTGCTGCAAGGCATATTTTGTTGAGTATAATTTTTTCACCAACTTTGAAGCCTAAGTATTGAGAATCACTTTCCTTTTTCTTAACAATTTTTCGGCCTAGGGTCACTGAAGGTTGTAAACACTCAAAGGTCACACAAGGTTGCTGTGTAAAACAACAAGCATTTCAGCGCGTCTAAATCGGTAGATCACCGTTCCTAAGTAATCTAACATTGGCTTGATGAATTTAACACTAATATTCTAGAGCCTGGGGCTTAAGGGGACATAAGTACAGGATATGATCACATCAATTGATATTGTTCAGTTTGAAACGGTAACATTTTAAAAGTCAACAAAAAACAAGCACGATAACTGTGTGGGTGAAATATATTTCTCACACAAAATTTGAGATTTTACAAATACACTGGAATTAATGTCGTTGGTGAAATTTTGAATCATTGCATGAAAATTTAACTTAACACCAATGGATGATAGCACTTGTAGTATGTAATAGGAGGAATGTAGTATGTAATATATGTTTTATGCTGATTATACTAATGCATGTGTATATAAGCTAGGTCAGCTAATAAATTGGATATATACAACACTACAGCACTTTTTTTTTGCCATTGTTCAGATTTCAAATTGAATTTTACCTCTTTGCCATGCACGTCGCTTATTCAAGTGGTTATTTCGTTATCCGGTTAATTTACAAATATTATACGCCAAATTCAAGTCTTGGTCGTGCCTGGAGATGAACTTTGGAATAATATACATAATCTCAACATATTGGCTTTGAAGTTACTGATAAATGCTGACGCATATTGCAATCATGGCAACGAGGTCATTAGCTCTGCATAATGAACCTAGGTAATGTGTAAAAGAAGGCAAATTTATCAGTTCATCACTTGCTCCTGCAACCTCAAACTAGAAACGGTTTAAAGAAGAACAAGAAAAAGCGATGAAGAGTTTTGTGTTCTTTGGTCTCCTTTTGTTGGCCTCAGCCTGCGTTTTTGGTAAGTTTTATTAGATGCTTTTGTTGAATAAAAGATTAGGAAAATCAGAAATAAGATTGATAAAACAATATATATTTGCACCGGGCTAGCTGAGTTGGTCATAACAGACCTCACACCAGCAAGTGTAGACAAACTAACAATTGCAAACTTTGCAAAATTGCGGAGCTTTGACCTGTGCATAAACAAGACGCTTTGACGTCACATGAAATTATCTCATATAGGTGCATGATCATTCGACGGCGAGTTCAATTCGTTAGTAAGAGTACAAGTAACGTTTCTAAATTTTGCCAAAGTTGTAGGCGCCGCCAGGGGCGAGTGTACTATAGCAACATTTATTAATCGAGCACTATTAATTTCTAACTCTACGAACAACATCTCATGAATATTTGTTTATCATAAGCATGATGGAATATCGTAAAACGTTTGTAGCGCTTTATCGTGATCTATTGCCACATATTGTTTATGCAAGCATTGGAGTTTTTTGTTAAAACACATTCCTTCCAGACTTTTATCTAATATTTTATACTTTTCCAGTATTATCGTTTACCTTTGTGACCCTTTTTAATTTCTACATGACTGTTTTGTTTCTATGTTTTTAAGTTTTAACAAGCATTTTATTCCTTTGTGAAAGTTTTATCATATATCTACAGTAGCTCGTGCTGAGGAAGAAACTTCCGCTGTTGATGATGCTCCCAAGATGGAAGATCAGCCAGAGATAGCGAATGCGGTTAATGACGAAGAACAGGCTGACGAAGAACAGGCTGACGAAGAACAGGCTGACGAAGAAGAGACGGAAGAAGACGAAGAAGAGTCGGAAGACGACGAGGATGAGGAAACCGAAGAAGGTAGTATAACTTAAATGAAAGCATCAAACTCCAAAGTTTTGATTTGTTTTTTACCATACGCAACATTACATCGCGTCCGGCGCCAGTTTGACTTAACATAAACATTTTGTCGCAAAATCACTCCGGATCAAATATAGCCCCGATAACGAGCCGAATCAGCATGATTTGAGGTCGAACCAGCCCTGTATGATGACTATAAAGAGATTAGAAAAGTGTCGAAACGTTGGGTTGCGAATGTATTCTTTGTGTTGTGATTACTTTCATTATATAGCCTCGTTTACACAGTCTGACTTGATATTTGATTTTTCGAATCGATGTAAATTAAGCGGGATTACTTTGCACTACCTGTACGAGGTAGATTAAATAACGCGAATTATATTAAAATTTCTTAAAGTGGTCAGTCGCAAGTAAACGCAGCTATGGTGCTAGTTAAACGCGTTCATGTTTAAACCGGTTTAAGTTCGTACCGTGTAAACGGGGCTTATGTCATCAGGTTGTTGTGAACACAATTACCGAAACCGTAATCCCATTCTTCCCTGCGAGTGCGTCAAATTTATTTTAATTTTCACTGTTCATTATATAAAAAAAGAAAATGAGACATCAATAGTGATCGTTGACTTGATTTTTTTTAAGACGAAACAACGGATGTTGCTGATGACGAACCAGAGAAGCGAGGTTAGTGACATTGTTATAGCTGTGATGAGCTTGCTAATTTTCTACATTTTGTTTAATGCAGCCAGAATTGAGAGTCGTGTTAAGATTTGGTCTGGTTTTAACTTAATCGCGTAATTGTCGTGAACACGACAAAATGGCCGATGTAATAGGGTGTTCCTGTGTTTCGGAAATTTATGAAGACAAATTGACATTCGAACAAATTTCTTAACAACGAACGAATTATTATGTATCAAATAATATAACGGGGCGAAGAATTTCTCGCTCTTCCTTTAATTCTTCCGAAACTGGTTGACGTCTAACTTCCTCTGTGAACAAAAATTTGCAACGTGAATGAAGTTCAAAACCAAACAAATTCCTCATAAGTAATTTAGCTTGTAGGTACACCACGTATTTAATACTGCAAAGCTTTCGGTCCGCTGCTTAACCCGGACCTTCCTGATGAAGCTAGGTCCGAAAGCTTTGCAGTATTAAATACTTACGTCGTGTACCTACAAGCTAAATTAATTATCGACTATCACCATGCAAACATACAAGAACATTATTAAATTCCACATAACCTAATTTTTATTGCAATTCGCAGTCAATGTTGTTCCGTGTAACATCAAGTTTCACGACTTTGGAAAAGGTTAAGTATGAACCGATGGCGCGTATACGACCTGACATGTTCCTTTTGTATTAAGGTTGGAAATGCCGCAACTACAGGAAAGGAGGAATTCGAAAACTGTGGTGCAGGGAGTGTGGCTGCCGACCTGTATGCCGACCGCGATGGTGCAAGCGACGAGTTTGCAAAAGAGTTAGATGTGGTACAAGGGTTGTATGTCGCACTGTGTACAGAACCAGAAAATACAAATACTTCTACCCAATATATCGTGGATATGGACCTCGCTTCGTGTGGAAGACCAAACGAGTCCCGCACAGAGTTTGTGTCAAATTACCCAAGTTCTGCACTCGATGCCACAGCATTCGCTACCAATGTGGAAAGATCTGTAAAAACATATGCCGTTACAGAAAGGTAAGGCGACTGAGGTGAATTCGCCGACCTGAAAATACTTGAATAACCTTTGTATGGCTCCAGTGGCGTAGCTAGCAACCATAATTGGGGGAGGGGGTGGCTGGGCAATACTCGTATATTCATGTTAAGTGACTAAGACAGTAGATTTCAAAAGAAATTGATCATTCAGAACATGAATATATGAATATCCCTCCCCCCAATTATCCATGCTGGTTACGCCACTGTATGAGCCTATAAAGCTTTTATTTAAAAAAAATTTATTTTCCTTTTTTTAGTGTTCGCCAGTTTATCGCGGATAAACGAACTATAATTACGATTACGATTAAGATTACGATTAAGATTACGATTAAGGACAATCACGATTTCATTATATAGCATTATTGATTTAGAATGGTACCCGAAATCTTTAACTTGTATTAGCTTGTAGAAATAAAGTTTGGTTTTGCATAAAATTTGTTTGTTTTTATGTTGTTCTCACCCCGCGAGCGTTGTGGTACGGCTGTATTACATGATAGTGCATTTCACATGCAGGGGACACAGGTGAAATCTTAATGTTAGATTGAAAAGAATAGACCCTTCCCATAATGGGTCAAAATTAACAAGCCAATCAAACTTCATGTAGCGTCTGGTTCCTGTGCCTGACGTCATTATCTTTGAAAAGCCTGGGTTTCACTTGCGACATACAAAAGGAAAAACAATGAAACGCAATGCATAAAATCTGCAATACAATCATCGACTTAAACACAAGCATAAGCCTTAGACATGACTTGCTCTGACATGACTGTGTGTTTTGTGATAAGGTTTGAAATGCCGTGAATACAGGGATAAACTTTGGTGCAAGGTCTGTGGTTGACGACGAGAATATTTTTTATATAAAGAAACCTAAATTTTGCCCGCCATGTGACTTTATTCGTCAGGGACTGCAACAATGAATCGCCTACAATACGGTGAAGTCGTATTCGCAATCACGCGTGCGATCGATGTGCAAAAGCTGTAATTATCTTTTTCCATTATTAAAAGGTACAATTATCTTCTTCTATTGTTAAAGAGAGTCAATAAAACCGCGCCAAAACATGGAAGAAGATTGTTTTAAATTTATGATAAACTTTCTTTTAAATTATGCATTCGTTTTTAAATTATGCACCCAAACACGAAGTGATCATTTTCAGCCATAAATGAATTTCTTTTCCAATCGGCCTTATATACTGTAGTGCCTCTTGAAAGGACATCGACTCCCGGTTCCCTTGATAGCTATTTATAATAAGCACTGTGGTTTCAAGCAGTGTCAACGAAGCTTGAGGCTGTCTATATGCCTGACTTGAGCACGGATTTGCTATAGAGCTGTTACGATCATCTGCGGTCCTGTAAATTTTACGCCCGTATTTTTTGAACAAAAAATCATACTCATTGGTAGCGAAAAATAGACTTTCTATAAGACCCGGGTTGTCAAAGATTCGTAACACTCGTTGCATACTGTTGATATCGAGCTTTTTGTCTAAAATAAGAAGCATTGTAGCAAGTCTAATTCGATCACCGTTCCTTAGTAACTAACATCGGCTTACTGAATTTAAAACTATTATTTTAGAGCCCGGGGCTTAAGGGGGCGTAATTACAGGATGTGATCGCATCAATTAGTATTGTTAATTCAAATTGAAACAGGACATTCCACACGCGAAGATACAAGCCCGATAACTCGATAAAGTTACTGCGTGCATGGGTGAAATATATTGCTCACGCGAAATTTTAGATTATACGGCTACAAATACATTGGGATTAGTGTCGTTGGTAAAGTTTTGAATCATGTAAGGTATAACTTACGACGCATGTAAATTGTTTAAAATAGCATGTATATATAACGTGGTTTCTGATTGGTTAATGCTACCTTCGGCTATTGTTTCACACGCTTTTCTTAACTCTCGCAATATTTCCGCCATCGCTTCAAATTTCAATAGACCTCTTAGCCGGTTGCGCGGCCAGGGTAAGAATCGTATACGACAAATCGCATTATCGCATAGTGTAAATGAGCCTTAATATTGTACTCCGAATTAATAATATTGTACCCAAGTCTTCATCGTGGTCAGTAGATGAACTTGGAATAATACATAATCTCAACATGTTGGCTTTAAATTGCAGGGGCCGGTTGTATCAAGCCCGTTTAGGTTAAACGGTGAATACAATATATATATTTGCGCTGGACTGAGTTGGTCGTAGCGGAACTCACATCAACAAGTGTAGACCTTCTGATAGGATTAAGGTTAATGAGATCCATGATCAACCACTATTTCTTAAATATGCGGAAATTCAACTAATAAGCAACTTGTATGATCACGTTTCTTAAAGCCTTAAATTGATCCGAACGTTTATGTGCGGATGAAGATGACCGATGATCCGAATAATCCCCCCCTCCCCTATGTACATCATAAGCGTTCCAAACAGATGCGAACAGGAAGCTGACATCCACAAATTTTGCGGTCAGAAAAACACCGGAGCTTTAACGCACAAACAAGACCGCTTTGAGATCACATGCAATTATCCTGTAAGTGATGTTTCCTGTGCTTTTATTTTGCGATTAAACACAAGGGTGAAATTAGTGCAGATGATCATGCAATAGCGAGTGTAATTGGAATGTAAAAGCACGATTAATGTTTTAAAATTATGCCAAAATTGTCGGGGCCGCCGTTTGAAGCTAATTATGGCAGAAATTATTAATCGAGTAATATCAATTCCTAATTGTACGAACATCTCATGAATATTTGTTTATGACATACGTGTATGAGAACATCGTAAAATATTTGTACCGATTTATTGCGATTTATTACACATAATGTTCTGCATGCATTGAAGTTTTTTGCTAAAACACAGTCCTGACAGACTTTTATCTAATATTTTCTACTTTTCCGCTATTTTCGTGTACCACTGCATGGCTGTTTAGTCGCTATGACGTTTTTCAAGTTTTAACAACCATTTTATCAGGGGAATGTGAACCCTAACGCGCGCACCTGCAGTCGTGTAAGCCATTGCGCATGAACGATTTTTTTTCATATTCATCTGCACCAGCTCGAGCTGAGAAAGAAACATCTGCTGTTGATAATGCTCCCAAAGTTGGAAGACCAGCCCGAGATAGCGAATGCGGTTGGTGACGAAGAAGACACGGAAGCTGTCGAAGAAGACACGGAAGATAACGAAGATGAGGAGACCAAAGAAAATGAAGGTTATTATAACCTTTGATTGCAAATAAAAACAGCATCAAGCTCCAAGGCCAGTTTGACTTAGCATAATTATTATTATATACTTGTTGTTATGAGCAATAGACGCTTGGCTAACTCCGGAGATATCATCACACATTATTACATAGAGTATACTGCCCACTGGGTTGTGAGAGTAATTTCTCTGTGGTAGTTACTCCCATGATTAGACCATAAGAGGCAATAATAGCGATGGATTAAATTAATACCTTTTGCTGTGGACTCGACTACCAAAGCTGTAATCCTAGCCGTTACCTATTGGTTAATTACCAAAACTGTAATCTTAGATTGTCAATTTTATTTTAATTTTTACTGTTCTTTCATAGGATTAAAATAGGAATACGATAATTGAGACAATGATAATGACAGTTGACTTTTTTTTTAAAAAGAAACTGCAAATGTGGCTGAAGACGAACCAGAGATGCCAGGTTAGTAACATTGTTTTGATCCGTTTTACATGACGTTAATTTACAAGATGTATACCGCTGAGTAACGCGGGCGTAAGAACAACGTAAATACGAACGTTTACTTTTTCATAGATAAAACATTAAAAGAAGAACTATAATCTACTTATTGACTTATATAAACTTTTTTCTGCGTAAATTGACTTTTCTCATCCAGGCGAAAATAAACATAACAATAGCCTCGATAAGCTTGCTAATTTTATATATTTTGTTTAATGCGACCAAAATTGAGACCATTGTAGCCTGGTTTTCTTTTAATCACGTTCGCACGTTGCAGGATGACAATTTACATTCGGTCAATTTCTCAGTCACGAACGAATTATTATGTACATTATGCTACAGCGGAGCTTTGATAGTGGAATAGCTTGCTGGAAAATGCGAAATTCATCCTAAATTTTTCCAAACTGGGCGTCTAGCTTCGCCCCTGACACAATTTGCAATGACAATGTGAGTGAAGTTTAAAACCAGTCAAATTTCACATATCCTAGTTTTCATTGCACGTTGCTGTTAAAATAATGTTGTTTCGTGTAAAATCAAGTTTTGAGATTTTGGAAAAGGTTAGGTATGAACCAATGACGTTTACCAATTGACATGACTGCGTATTTTGTGAAAAAGCTTGGAAATGCCGCAAATACAAGAAAGGGAAACTATTGTGCAAGGAATGTGGATGCCGAAGTGTTTGCCAGCTACAAAGACGATTGTGCCAACGACGAGAATGCAGAGAAGTTAGATGTGGTACAGAGAGGACATGTCGTATGGTGTATCGTTACATCAAATACAAATACCACTTCGTAAGACATCTTGGATATGGACCTCGTTATGTGTGGAAGAGCAGACGAGTCCCGCACAGAGTCTGTGACAATAAACCCAAATTTTGCACTCTGTGTCGCAATATTCCCTACCCTTGTGAAAGTGACTGTAGAAATATATGCCTCTATAAAAAGGTAAGGGGACTGAGAAGAAGTCCCGTCGGACAATACTCGAATAATCTTTGTGTATCCCAACTTAAAAATCTTCGTTTTCTAGCTTTCTATTAACACCTATTTTTCTATTTTAGTGCGGTTTTGCAGCGGATAACCAACCTATCACTTCATAAAAGTATACCTGGTGGAATTACGGACAATTACGAGTTCATTTTAGCATTACAGATTTAAAACGACTCTCATAATTGTCGGCTAGGTTTAAGTTGTAGAGATAAATTGTGATTTTGCATATACGTGTGTTGGTTTTATGTTCGTCTTAGACAGCGGGCGATCGTAAATAATTTCTACGCTGTTGCGCTACGGCTGCATGCATCAAGTGATGGTGTGATAGTGCTTTTCACTGCATGACGCGAACGATAACTCCTCCGCCGTTTTAAAGCTAAATTGAGGCCAACTTTTGCAAAAAACATTTTCGAGAGAGCAAATAGCTTTAAGAGCGTTTTAACATTTCGGCGCGTTCTTCTGCCGTTATGATATGAAATAATTTCATAAAAGCACTACCAACTATTTTATACTATAAATTTCAAGCTTGGAAAATTATGATATCGGACGGAAAATATCTAATGCAACTTACCGAAATTTTACTTTGTCATTCTCCCTAGTCCTTTTGAAGTTGTTTTTTAGGCGCGGTTCCCGCCTTAATCAGCAATTAATATTAAAATCAGCCTGATCCAAGCATTTGATTTGAAAGACTTCGACATTGGCGTCATCCTTCCAGTTGTTAGAGTTCACTGTAAAAATACGAACTTAATTCTTAATATTAGGTTAGGATTAGAATAAAAGATCTTAAATAAGGTTTATATTTGACTAGGGTCAACTCCTAAATCTAATCCTATAGTAAGTTAATCGCAGGGATTAAATTCGTGTATTCAGGATTTATACTGAACATAGAAAGGATTACCGGCTGCTTCCTGTAATGTGTATCACCCTAAATTAATACGTTGGTTCGCGTATTTGAATTGTTACGGAATATTTCCCTGATTATTTTTCGTTCTCCCAAAGTCACACGCGTGTTTCTATAACTGTATAGAGACACGGAAAATGTTTGTTATTTCTTAAATGTACCACATTATTGTAAGCTAGGAAGCTATACTAGGTGCATAAAACTATTTATTTCAAACTATATAGTATACCCATGCATATACTTGACGATCGAGTGTTTTTTTTACTGTGACTGTTATAAATCATGTCTGACGCCTCGTTTATACGCATCCAATTTTCTTGGTGGCGATTTAAACACATTAATGCCCATTTCAAACGTGAAACAGGGCTAAGGGCGCTTCCAAAATGGTCGCAGCAGTCAGTCTATTTTGAATTGGATTACAGTATTTTTACTAGATTTTAGCGGCAAGATGTAAATAACGAATTACTGGGATACGACAGGACCTGTCTGGCCGTTTTTACTGTATAAAGAAACAGCCCTAAGTATAGGTAATAGGATGGTTTTGAGTGCGATATTACCAACGGTTAAACATTCATGAACGAGTATTTTGAAGACTGCATGTCTAAAATAGCGCGAGGCTTAAAGACAATGGACAGACAATCTTGAAGCACAAAACAGTAACAACACAAAGACTATCAGAGAATATTAGCTTACTTGACCAGGGATTCGTTTGCCGATCTTCCTAAAGTGTTGGCAATGAATTTTACGAGCGACCGCGAGGTTCGCGTCGTGTGTTCCCTTCATACAACTCACAACAAAGTTCACATTTATTGTCGTCGAATAACTTGTTCCCGATACAAAAGTTGTATGCACCAAAAGTTGAGAATCTAACCGAAGTCTCTTACTCCCAACAAAATTTATCCCATTGTGAAAACTCGTGCCTCTAAGTTCGCCTTCCGAATTAGCCTTCAGAAGCGTTTTCTCCTTCTATAACACGCATGATCATGTGCTGTATACACTTCACATGTGACGAATATATTGAAATAAATATATTATAAAGCTACCTACGCATGGTCCCTAAAAACCGGACGCAATTGCATTTGTCTATTGTTAGATTTTGAATGGTCCAGCGCTAAAAGCTTCTACGTTTCCCCCAAAATAGACGCTGTTGTAATAATTTGTTTGAACTTTGAGAGCACTAAGGCCCGAGTTATACGTCGCATTTTTGTCGCGTGGAATGAAATTCAAACAATAGATAATGAGATGATAATGAAGCTTAATGAGGTTTATCATATCTATTATTTAAATTGCATTCGACCATAGACAATCCAGAAGACATTCTTCTGGATTGTCTATGATTCGACACGACCAACACCATTTACAATGGTTTGTTTGCGGCCGATGATCGCGTCGCTAAAAATAGTACAGAGACTGGCGCTGATCTTCGTTAAATAACTGTCGGTTTTCTTTCCAGTTTAAACTACGCTTAAAGGGCTGTTTACATGAGCCCGGTTACCCGAGATTGAACGAAGCGTGAGATGATTTTGAGGTATTGAAATGAGCAGATAACATGATCCTGGCAGTCATATAATCACCACAACAATAGCATGTGCTTGTTTCATGTCATAAAGACTTATTTCAATACCTCAAAGTCCTCTCACGCTTCGTTGAATCTCAGGTAAACATCCCCTAAATTTACTATAATATAGAGACGTATGACGTATAGGAAAATCAAAAGGCATCAGGCATAATTATCATCCAATAAAAATTACTAATTTTTGAGAATCAATTGTATACATGCATCATTTTACCTTTTTGGAGTGGCGGAAAATTCGGTAGAGTTAAATATAAATCAGAAAAAAAGATTGGTATAAACAACACAGTTCAAATCTAGTCCTGGACCTGACTTAAAAGCTTTTTGCGTTGTATATTTGCTGCGCTGAAAGTATAAATAAAATGACGTGATTATGATTTTTGGTACTTCACTCGATGCAGGTAAATTCAAGAGGTTGAAAGTGTCTTAATTATGTTGGCTGCACCACACAAACAATGTTGTTATCAACTGAACTGAATTTCCGCCACTTCTTACTTAATTACTTAATTAGACTAGGGTATTAAAGTTGATTGAAAACGTTTAGGAATATATAATAAAAAAGGTGACAGGTAATGATGAAACTTGACAGTTTATCCTCGAATGCGACGACACTAGAGAGAGAGAGAGAGAGAGGGGAGAAGATAATTTATACATGATTACAAGCATTTAATGGAATAGACGAATCTCTGTCAACTATTCGGGGAGAAATAATCTTATCATTGGTAGACCAGTAGCTTAGAAAAACAACTCCAACTCGTCTCTTTTACTTCATTTATAGACGAGATGAAATCAGTTCAGCACATCGGCTCCAATGAAACGTGGGTGTTCTGGTTGGGTGTTCTGCTAATATAAAAATTGTCGAAGTGTTCGCATAATTATAATTATGCATGTTTTAAGCCCCTTACAGACGAGCAAGTTTTCTATGACACGTTTTTGTGCGACAAGTTTTAATTGTTCTTCTGTACACCCAACGTTCAGGATAAGTTTTTCTATGACAAGTACACTTGTTCAAAATCAAGTATACTAATCCTGACGCGAAGGCGCCGAGAGTTGTTATACAACATTTGATGCTAAGTTATTTGATGACGCTGACAAGCTGCTCCCTGGTCATAATGGAACATGTGAGAGGGAGTTCTACCCCAAAAGTATGATGGCATGAACCCATGATTTCTTTAACATGATCAGCCAAATGAAAACGTTTTGAAGACAAGAGATACCGTAGACAACTTAAATCTATGTCGTGACAATGTGAATCTGGTATAGTGTAATGTATCCCCCTAGTATGGGTGACCCAAGCTAGTCCAGCATATTTTGGCAAAATTATTATCTTACCCCAGTGTTTCTGTAGCTGCAACCATAGCCGCAGGATTTTCCACAGCGGTAACGTCTTGCATAACATCGTGTGCAAACGCGCAGACCACATCGGACTCTTACGCACCGACGGCGGTGAATGCAGATTTTTGCCTTACACCTGTTTCCGCAAGACCAGCATCGCTTGCAATACCGGCAGTTCAGCAAGTCTTAATCTTGCAGCCGACACCTTAACACGAATTCTGTATTAAGCCGGTTTTCCACTAGCGATATTTTTCGCGCGAAGCGACATTTTACTTTTGTTTCAGAGCTCTCACCTGCAACCATCTGGAACAAATTGCTCAAATACAAAGGAATAAAGTCGCTTCGCGCGAAAAATATCGCTAGTGGAAAACCAGGGGCTGTTTATTATTATGATCTCGCGGTTACCCGAGATTCAGCAAAGCGTGGGATGATTTTAAAGTATTGAAATTAGTGTTCATGAAAAAAACAAACCAAAACTTAAATGGGATGACCCCACCACTGCCAGGTTCAGGTTATTTACTGGCCTGATCTATACTAGAGACGGATCATTCATTTGGACGAACTTGGGCAAGCAAAAAATAGTTTGTCTTCAAATAGTTCGTCTGTGTGTAAACACGGGCAAACAGATGATCATCCGTCAACACGAACTATCCGCATAGTTCGTCTTGACGCAACAACCGTCTTTTGGTATAAACACGGGGGAGGGGACGAACTACCAAAAATTCATCATGAAACGGCTTTTGTGCACCCTTTTTGTTACAGAAATAATTTCCCAATTCCCGTGCACTTTCTAAACGCGCGATTTTGATTCGTTTGACATATGCGTCTGCGTATAGTTCGTCTGGATAGTTTGTCGTTTGTTTATATTCAAACGAAACGGACCTTAATCATTCGATCATTCGTCTAGAGGATAATCCGTCTCTAGTAACATATTAATATATTAGCCTACATAGTTTGTGTAGATAGTTTGTCGGGATGAATTGGCCCACTCATTTCAATATCTCAGGGACATCTCGCACTTTTGTTGAATCTAGGCTTAGCGGGATCATGTAAACAGCCCCTAGCTACGAAAAGAAACTAAAGATACCTAAAAACTACTACGATGTATTAGAACAATTTATACTTCGACTATTGTAACGAGTTTTCTAAGTCATCTCTGGTATATCATGATTTCGCCAGATTGAAACGTGCAACAAATTAATACTTCTTGAAAATATCTATATAGATATTCTCTGATTTACTATAATTTTTATCGTGTTGCAGCGAAAAAAATGCATGTGCTTAAAAGATTGTATAAAATGAAACTATAAAATCACATTACTATTCCGAATTATAAGCGTACTTGCGAGTGTATAGTTGCTTCTAAAGTCTTAAACAGTATTACGAAATATGAAACAGTATTATGAAATAGCGATATCATAATTATTATATGAGGTTCCATTCCTATACCGGAAGATTGTTAGTATTCTATTTCCAATGCTCTCACTTGCACTCCTTTTGTTTTGAGTATGGGAGCATTGATCGAGCGCTCAGGTGCATATGTGGTACAAGTGCATCCGATATTCTGGGATCACTACGAATTTTCAGTGATCGGCCTGGGCGGGTGGGTCGCCGCCGCTATCTTCCTGGGCGCTCGATCGAATTTGAAGTGGGAGATGCAGTGAGAACCACCTTATTTATAGCCACCACTCCCCCTTGGGGCTTAAACTCTTCATTTAAATGCATTATGCATGATAATCTGTGTTATTTCTTCTTCGTGCTTTGTTTCAATATGTGAATAGTTGACTAATTTTTCTCAACAGTTCTTGGCTTTAATTGAGTTGTGTATGATTCCACACGAAATTAAGACATTGTGTTTGCTATACTCACCGCGTTTTGTGTCGTCTTGTTCACCATTGGATAGATCAGCTGTTATTCCTTAAAAAGAAAGATTGCTTCGTGGTATCGATTTTTTCAGCGCTGTTGTGTAAAATAAGTAAGATTTCGATCAAAACATAAGAAAAATTAAGTCATTACAATATTGAAGCCCTCGAGCGAGAAAAATATTGCTGTTCGACATAAACATTTTCAGGAACGACAAATTTGGTTTTTACCTCTCGTTGTGTCTTTGCCTGTCTCTTCTCCATCGGCTTCCGTCTTGTAATCGTCTGCTTCGGCCTCATCTTCGTCGACTTCCGTCTGTTCTTCATTATCTTCCGTCAGGTATTCGTCGGCTTCCGTCTCTTCCCCCTTGACATCGTCATCATATTCTTCGCCAGCGAGACTTCTGTCAGCTGACACATCTGCATTCTTCGCATAATCATTCTCCACTTTTGGTGCATTGTCGTCATAGTAACTTCCCTCCTCTTCACAATTAACTGCTGTTAGTTGAAGTACAGGAATAAATCAGTTATTTTACTCAAGGCTTCGGGTGATTTCTTTATGGCATCAGAACGCCACTCTTAACTGGGTTGGCTGATAACAGCTTCAACGTTTAAACATACCAGAAACGCAGGCCATTGCCACCAAAAGGATGCTCAACAACTTAATAGTCTTCATGTTTCTCTTCTAATCTTCTTAAAACTTTCTCTTGCTAATTCCTAAACCAATGTGGCAATGTGGCAACTTGAGGTTTCATACTCTTGCGTTGCATTTTTTCAAGAGGAGGGAGCTAAAGGATGCCGCCCCTTTAAAGATTGTATACTAACTATCCATTCATTACCAGTCAAGTGTGGGTCGAACGAAATCTTCAAGTATAAATGTAGCAATAAAAATTGCTGATCGTATTTATACAGTTATGCGGAGAAGATCTGAACTGGACCGAAGTTCAAGTTGTTGAAATTGTTACGGTTTACAAAATCCGGAGTTTTACTCAAGCCGTGAAGATCCGTAAATTTGCAATAACGCTGTAAGCTCAGCCACGGTTTGGTAAATCCGTTCCTTGAGCTGTCTCACTTAAACTCGCTATAATATATTTCGGCGTTTTACGGTCCTTGAAGATTTTGTACTATTTTGATGTTTTGAACTTTAATTTTTTACCGTTATAATATATATATAAGTTCTGAGATTCCATTAACTGCCTGCTAAATGCAATGGGTGATGTTTACTTTATTTTTCTATAAGTTTTATGACTGTATTTGTTTCCAAAAATTAAAAATATCAGCTAACGACTCGGTATTTGAGTCATTTCATAATATAAGATTAGGTCAGGCTGGCTTAGGAAATTATTTGCGAGGGGTTGCTGCATGCATCTATATTTCTAGTACTATAAAAAATGCTTTTTTTATTACAAATAATCAACAAAGAAAACACGACTTTCCCAGAAACATGACCCAAGACTTACCTCGAAGTTTTGGTCTTGCACTTGAGACGAGTCTGTCGCACTGTCGTCGCACAGGACTTAACTTGCGTTTTTGTAGCAGATTATACCAACAGTATTGATACGAAATTGATTACGCAAATGTTTGCCCGGTAAATTAATAAACTTCTCCATAAATTCTCCATGTGGGACAATGTAAACGCAACGGCTATCGATGCTTAAAAAAGTAGCAATGCTCAATTAACCGGCGCTTTTAAATCGTGTATTAATTGACACAATAATTCTGCCATTTTAATAGTAAATGCACACAAATGCAGCAAGGAATATTAATTGTCCCTCTTCAGGGGCGGATCCAGAGCGAAAATTGACAGTATCATGGACACCTTGAGCACCGAAGGTGCGAACCGAGCGCCGAAGGCGCGAGACACCTAGGGGGGTCCGGGGGCATGCCCCCCCGGGAAAATTTGAGAAAAAGAACCTCAGAAACCGCAGTTTGCCGCAATCTGGGCGCCGAATGTTAATAAATAAACATCAAAATTACCAACCCTCCTCCTTTCGCATCCGGGCTTGGGACTTCCAAAAACTATAAGGTTTTACTACGAGGGTAGGGCAAAACCATATCAGGGGAAAACCATATCAAATATCATTCATTTACGATCTATAGGTAAATTCATATTAAGTGTATATAAAGCCATTTGGCGCGATCCTATGATCCTATCTAACGACTAACTAAACTCGCAAATTTTTGTTAAATGTAGTCCTGTAGTCCTGAAGACCTCTTGTGAGCAATTAAACTTGACTTCATTTAAATCCGAACAGTATGAATTAAATTAAAATATATTCAAGACAATTTTACACACAAAATTTCCATTCAGCGCAGTCACGCAAACTTTTATAGTCATTTATATAGAGTGATATATATTTAAGATGAAGACAGAAAGAATGTTTAGTATCGTTCATACCTGACAGGAACATGAAGCGCACATCTATTAAGTTGGCTGTTCGGAAATTGCAGCTTTGAGAACGCGCATACACGAACATTGACGCACTGGCGCTCTGACGATTGCCTCTTCTCGACCAGTAAATCCGTACACAACTGTTTCAGATCCGAATTTCCGAAAGTTCTCTTAAAACATCTTCTCTACAACTTGACTGGTCGAAAATATTAACTAAATTTCTTAGTACGTTTTTTGAATGAATGGCCATTGCCCACTAAGTTCAACTCACGTTTATAATAGGGCAATGCTGTTGTTAGCTATATCGAACGAACTTTCCGAGGCTTCACGATAATTTTATTTCTTGCGCAATCAAAACACAGCCAAGGTATCGAAGGGTATCCAACGTCACAGATACACGACCTATGATTGGCTAGATACCCTCAAAGGTATCCAAATGCCTTATTTAGTTACTATTTTTAGTAAAATTTGAACCGCGGACCGTATCAGTACACCGTGGACGCATAAAAAATATTTTCCCGATCAATTTCCGATTGAATTTAATCCCTCTGTTCGTGCTTTCGGAAAGTTCTCGGCTTTTTTCGGTAAATCTCCATTTAACGACGTAGAAACGTATTACGTTTATACGTTAAGAGCTGTAATTACTCGAATTTTCATTATTTTTTGTAAACAGAAATAGCATGCGATAAAATGGAATATTTTTGGAATATTTTATAGAAAATATTTTGCGGGAAAATCTGACCGTATCTAGAGCTACGCTCGATACCCTCTGGATCCGCCCCTGCCTCTTGAGTACACATCAGTCGGTAATCTTGAAAGTTATAAAGAACAGAAAACGAATTTCTAAAATTTCCACCTTTCCCATGCAAAACAACTGGACACTATAAAGTGTAAAGGTTCCACAAAAAGGTAGACATTTGAATATTTAAACTCCCCAATCTACATGCAGCTATTGTAGTAATTCGCAAATTAGGCCCGTTTCAAGCAGACGTCGAACTTTTCACGTGCCGAACCTAATGCTAATGAGCTAAAGCCTTTGAAGTTTTAAAAAGAAGTCAACAACTATAAAAATTGACAATATATTTCGGTATATCAAAGTACTATCTTCAGGTACCAAAGTATAACATCTAAAATAACTAGCGTACAAACATCAAAGTTAACCTAACTAAAAACCTAATAAATTTTAAGAATTATTACGACTAAATGTTCGATTGTTCAAGATCATACATCCGTTAAAGTTTAGACATTACATACAGGGTGTCTCAAAAAAAAACGCAACCACTACTTAAATATGCAAGAACATTAATACAGCTCTAAAGCGCAATAGATAAGCACGTCTGGGAATTGAAAATGGCTCTTAATCCTTTATTTAAATTGCTAAAAGTCATTTTAGCTGAACTATGGTGCAAACCCGAACAATATTAATATTTTTACATATTTAAGTGGTTGCGTTTTTTTTCAGACACCCTGTATATAAACAGTAAGCGAAATTGAGCTAAAGCCTTTGTTTAAGTTCGACGTCTGAAACAGGCCTTATAATTATTAAGTCGACTGCCTTCCATCTATTCATTGTCGGTATATAATTGAAAAAGACACAAACTTTTAATTCATCGTTCAACTTTTAGTTCGTGTGGTAATTAAACTCCCGGCCATCCGGCTTTGTATATAAAAACCTTTATAACCTTTCATATTTCATTAAATCGGTAGGCTCAAGATTGTTTTCATTACATTTGTATAGTGTTCCTAAAATAATTAATACAAATACTTCAATTTGTGGTTTCCTTCAGGAAATTTCTCGTATACCCCATGCGGTACAGAAAAAAAACATTAACATCACTCAGAATCTGACAACAAGACCGAAAATTTTGGCAGGAAATGACACATGCAATACTTAGTAAATTGCTTTCGATGGTCTATCATTATGCCGAGCTATAAATTATCCTGTTTGGTTAATTTTATAAAATCTGCCCAGGCGAAATCTTTGAAGAAGGCCGCTGTAATCCCTTTTTAATTAAGTAAATCGTAACGGAATATTCCAAAATCTAATCCCTTTTAGGAAGATTAGAAGCATAGAGAAAAGTAGAGAAAAGACCCTGGGTACGAGGTTGGATTAGAAGGCAGTTGTATACACTCTTAATAAGCGACCATATTATATTATTTGTAGCTGTTGGGACCCACAAGTGTGTAAATTTTACCAGAAGTATTTTCATGCATGATGACAGTAAAATTTGTTTTCACAAATTTGGTTTTTATTAACAATATTTACATACTTACAACTCATGCACTAAAATCCTCGACATTTCCATCTTCTCCGGCAAATTTTAAAATAAGTCGCGTAAATCACCACAGCCATGCAAAAATTCGCAAACAAGTCATTCAAACTTTAACATCAAGCGATTTCAACGGGGTTTTTTGGGACACCTGTTATAGTCTATAGAGACAGCGAAAAATGCATGTGTTAAGTGCATGCAAACACTCAGTCTCTGCAGAGTATTAATGATTGTAAGCCAGCCTTTCCATGCAAAGCAAACAGTAATTAAGGCACTCGATATACGAGTGTCTTTTGGGATTCCAAAGCTATTTCCGAGAATCAGTTTCAAAGTGTACTTCTTCAAAGATAAATCTTCAAAGATTCTTTCAAAACTTATAACTTTTCAAAACAATATTTTGGTCGTAAAATCGTTGTAGGATTAGGTTGGAATTTCCGCCATTATTTTCCATTTGCCCAGCAACAGAGTATTTCGCATATATTTCTATCAAAATTTTGTTATTTTCTCTCCAATTTCAAAGGTAGCTTTAAGTATGAGACGTGCAAGTGTCTTATAATTCTCGTGAAAATTCTTTTTCAGTTTTCACCCAGCACGCATAAATTTGTACGTAGCTAAATTACCTTATTTGGTGGGTTCAAAGTTGCCGTTAATGACTACACGCGGGCATAGAAATATTCTCATGCACAAATTTGAAAAAATTACGACAATTGAAGACAATATACCTTGACCAACCTCCCTCGGGGAAAGCAACTGAAAGCTGCAAGGGCTAAAGCTGACCGTTTCTTTAGAATTTGTGCTATACTGCATGTACGTGTATATGATGTAGTGTTCGATAACTTATATCCGGCATTTTCTCTACACAAAAAACTATTTAAGAGGGGATATTTTTCTATGTCGCTCAAAACATCAATTATATATATATATATAACATATTATAATTATATTAGTCAACGAAATAATTAGAATTTCCAGAAATTAAACACTCCAGTATTTAAAAGCACTACCGGCAAGAGGAGTAATTTCGAACTGCAACTTTGTCGAACTCTCTCGACTCAAATCTAAAACATCGCCCTAATATGTTTAGCATTTCGAGAAAACAAAATATTTACGAAGGAAATAAGAAATTGATGTAACGTGATTTTATAAATAGACTGCTAAGGCAAGGTGTACCCCAAGGGGATACGCCTTGCCGACGATCATTTAAACTATTATATGATGGGCTTGGCGCCCTATCTAAAAGACCGACAGGTAATGGAGTGCACGCAATATGGGAAAGGTGGTCAATGGCCAGCAGCAAATCGAAAACTAACAAAGACCGAATACCTAAACCACAAATGGTCAGTTTAGGCATGACATCACCGAAGACAGAGCTCGTTTAAAGTTTAAATCGACTCAAACTCTCTCGAATCAAATCTAAAACATCGCCCTGCATATATGTTTAGCATTTCGAAAAAAGCCTTTATTGGTAAAGGAATTTTCCAATTGACTTTCATCTAATTGAATATATTACTTGTGAACATATTTCTCTAAGTTGCTCCCTAAATTTTATGGTAGTATAATTGTATTCATGCATTTTGTAATTATATCCTGTTTTCGTTGGTTCTATCAGTAATTCAGCTGAGAATCTTCGACAATGACATAAAGGTTTTTCAGCTGAACCTAGGTAGCTATAAGAAACGGTGACATTATAGTTGAACGTGCTGCAAGTAACCCATGCACATCATCTTAGATGCATGAAAGATATACACAAACTTCATATATGAAGTTAGCAATAGGCATTTAGCTAATTGTTTTAGCCTTTGTGGACCCCACACTAGCCTGTTTGTGTACATGTTGTGTGCGTTTAGTGGAATCGGAAAGGGGTCGACAAGTGTCTTACAAAAATGCCAAGACTGAGATTCTCAAGTAGATTGAAGTGAGATTTATTAATCTGTCCAGCAGAGGAGTTTTTCAAGGATAATTAACAAGGCCGCGTGCACAACAAGAGACAGGGGTGTGCATGGAAAAGTTTAACTTGT